GGCACATTTTTCCTAGCTTGTTAGGCTTTTGAATCAAAGAAGTCAAGTAGGAAATAAGTCCTTAGTAGAGTTGACAAAGAAGAACAGCCGGTTAAAAGACAGCTATTATATAGTTATAGGCCAGCTTGACAAGCTACCTTAAAAAAATATCAATAATATTTTATAAATAAAATAGCACTGATTTTTTTTAAAATATGACATCAGCTAATAAAATGCTGACGTCGTGTCATGATGTCATCATTGTAGATGGGCGTGTCGGCTAATTGGATTAGCTTATCCCAAGCCGACGCGTCATCTAAGCGCATCGTTCTGGCTGTCCGGCTCGTGCTAAGCCGATCACCCGAACCGGTGCGAGCCGAGCCGCGTACCTAAACTGGTGCGAGCCAAACCGCACACCAGAACCGACGTGAGCAATGTACGAAACCGTCACACGACGGTTCCTCCCCCATCCGGCACTCACTGAAAACGGTGCAGCCGTTTCGTGTGACAAACTGGTGCTCGGTGCTTGAAATGCCGCTTGACGATTCTTCTCCCGTCCGACATGCACCAAAAATGGTGCGGTCATTTCACGCGACGGAGCCGTGCACGAACCGTTGCACGAAGGGAGAGACTTTAGGGCTTGGAACGGTTGGTCCAAAAATGGCCTCCCATTCGAAAAACAGAGCCGCATCGTTCGCCCCTCCCCTCCACGTCCCCCTCATTCCTACCAATTTTCAGAAGGCCCGGAAAACCATCCTTCGGCGAGAGGAAGAGGAAGAACTGAAGGGATTAGGGGCATGCGGAAGCCGTCGCAGCACTCTGCCTCTGGCAGATCCTTTCGGAATCCTCCGACATCGACATGCGCCTCTTCTTCGCCTTCTAGAGCCCTCCGACATCCATCCATACTTCTGGAAGCGCCGTCCACCGCTTTCTAGCCTCCCGTTCGACAACGAAAAGGGGAAAGAGGAATGACTGAGCCCCTCTTGCAGCCGACGATTTCCAAATAGAAAATTTCCTTCGGAAAAAGAGAGGAAGAGAGGTGTGCAAAAACCACCACTTCTCCTCTACAGGGAAAGAAGAAGCGTTGACAGACCCATCTGAACGGTCTCTACGGCCCATTAATCCGTCCATGGTAAAGTCGAAACCTTACGACTTTCCCAATAGACACCTAATCTATTCTCAAGACAAGGCATTAAAAATAATACCATAGTGAGTCCTCCAATGAAAATATAATGATCTAGAGTTGAAACCATAATTGAATGTTCTAAGAGTACAAGGATGGCCTTTTAGATCAGCACAAGGGAGTCCTCCAATGACTTACTCTAAATAGGTAGAATGTTCTAAGAGTGACTCACGATGTGTAACTCAATAATCATGACCCTTTACTTACAGACAAGAGTTGATTAGACTCAGTATCTTTTTATACACATATTTATATTTATACTCACGCTTATGAGATAGGTGGTAATCTTAAATACTTAAATTTTAATGAATCACTTTAAGTGAGATTAATTCAGTAATAACCTCATACTATACAATTCATATATATATATATATATATATATATATCATTATCCACATTGATATTAATTCCAACACCTATTAGTGGTGGTCCATGACTAAATTGTCATCTACTAAATTTGTGTGCTAATACTTTGACTACTCTCTCTTGTTGCCTATAGTTGAATATCTATTAATGTCAACATCAACATCATCTACCTAAAGTCATCTTCCAATAGCCTCACCTACAACAATACCATTGACCTAATGTAATGACATTGTTCATCCTAGTCCTAGTCTCCAACTTTAACCCAACACAAAAAGCATGGGAAACCATACCTCCCGCTAACTATCTGAATCAATCATAGGAAATCATTTATAACTAAATTCCAACTGATTGTGTTGAATAGATTATGGGCTGCTAACACTTTGAAAGGCCCAATATTTTCATGGAATGGAGAGGATTGGGTTTGCCTAAACTAGACCAAAAAAGACGGCAAAGGGCCCATGTCATTAGGGGCTACTAATTCGGCACATTTACTGCTTTATTGGGCCAGACCAACACTTGCCAAAAATCTGCTTGTGCATCTTGTTAATTTTTGTGACCACTACTTCCACATCTTCAATTTTGGAGTAGCGAGGACTAAAAAAAATTCACTTGTTAAAATTTAAAATTAATATTGAAAGCTCTTCTTAAATAAATTATCTCATCAATATTTTTAAAACTTTATAAATCATAATTGGAAACTAAACTACTAATGAGTCCCTCATTTTTTATGTTTCCTAATAGCCTTAACAAACCACCCTAAATTTAACTTATAATTTGTCTAATGTACCTAAGTTAACAATAATTAACCTTTATTATCATTTAATTAGATGAAGAATGACCCCTCCAATTGATGTATTCATTGACTTGAAAAGGCACGGTGCCTCGTGTAGCATCCTTTTAATGAGATTTTCCTATAAGAATGTGCTCTTTGTCCTTTGCGCCATATAATACATGTTTAACTAGACTTTAATTGATAATAAAATTATTGAAACATTGGGTTCATTCTATTTCTAGTTTTATGTATGTTGTTTCACTAAATTGCTTATATTTACTTATTTTTTTCTCGAAGGGCTTTAGTTGGGTCTTTGGGATTATGTGGAAGGGAACAAAAATAGAAGAGCCTGTTTTTTCATTCAACCAAATTAGTCATTATAATAGTATATACCAATGACCATTTAGCTTCCACGTCAACCCATTTGCCCAAATTAGCAACCCTCATTGAAATCTACAATTCAATGCTAACGAAAGTCACATTAGTCATGATCAAGCACATTTTTTTATAACCAACTTAGATCAAAAAAATAATTTAAAATAATGTTGTTAACTCATAAAAGACTTGGGGAAACCAAAGGAAGGCATTCGTTACACCACAAAAAAAAAAACTAAAAAAAAATCCTCAGTATTCTCATCTCTTAGTATGTCATATGCCCATAAATGTAGAGGCTCCCATTAATCCAAGAACCAAAGCTATATATAGTGTTCAGTTATGTCAGGCGTCGGTGTCGTGCTAGAAAATATGCCACCTATCCTCACGGTGGGAGCATTTTTGTCAGTCCACGTTCACCGAATCTCGGCGTTTACTTTTCTGTAGAATTATCGTCTCCATGCGTACAATCTTCACCCGAATAAAAGAGGAAAATGGAATAAGAAATAATATCTCCGACGGCGCGATTCGTGTAGTCCGGGGGAGGCCGGTCCGCACCGGCAGATGCGGCCGCCACTTGCCCAGCTGGTGGCGACGCATGGGCCCCCCACAGGCCGCCACACCACCCCCTCCCTCCCCCGCCTCCACCAGCGGCGGCGGCGCGAGGTGACAGTCACCCTCCCTCCGCCTCTTCTGCCGCACCCGTCACCACCCTCCTTTATCTCCTCTTCCCGTTGCGACCGGTCAGCCGATAACTCCGAGTTTTCTCTCTCTATCTCTACGTCTGTCCGTCTACCTCTCTCTCTCTCTCCTCTCCCCGTGTGGGAAGGAGGATCGAGTGGCGGGAAGAGGAAGAAGACGGCCGCCGTACAAGGGCGAGGGGGGCCGCCGAGCCGGGACAGACGGGGAAGCACGGTTCCCAAGATGGGGCCCATCATACAGTCGAGGGTATAGATGAAATTAATCGATAATTGAGGGGTCAAAATCGGATAATTCGGGCGCGGGAGAATGTGAGCCTTATCTGCGGTGATGCTGAGCCGTCGCTCGCTGTTGATGGAAGATTCCCCCCTCCCGGCTATGCCTGATGCCCGACCATCGGTGTGTGGGGTTGACACGGAAGGCGCCAGATGTAAAGTAAAAATGTTGCCCACGCAATCGAGAAGGCACCGAGCATCTTCCAGGAGCCGTCATAAACGGGCCGCCAGCCAATGCGGATCGGATCGTGTGTTTGACATGGCCCGCGATGCAATCCGTCGAGGGTGTAACTGACTTTTAAGGGGTTAGGGTTTGTGGTTGAAAGAGACGCCGCTGCGCTCTCTCTCTTTCCCCGAGTCCTATATAAAGGAGCGCGAACTGCTGAGCCGTCATCCGCTTGCGTTGAAGCCTTGCAGTTCTCGTATTTCGTTCTCTCTCCTCTCCTCTCCTCTCCTCTCTCTGGGGGCCGCTCGCCGTTGAAAGGTAAGAGATCCTCTCAGCCACTTATTCTTTGGAGTGTTGTGTTGGACTTCGCCGTTGAGGCCGTCCTCCTCCGCTTATTTCTGGTTGGTCGTCGGATCCGCGTCCTTCTGTTGTTGATCGTGCCTGTTCTTGCAGAGTAATAGAGGAAGCGCAAGGGTTCTGGTTGAGCGGCGTATTATAGTTGGATGATCAACAAATCTTTTTAATAGTAAGGAACTCTTTGCGACGTCATTATTTGGAGCGATCTACTCGTCTTTCGTCGTTTGTCGTAATTTTGTCCGTGGTTTCGTTTCATCGGCTCGCTCTGGTGAAGATCTGTTGTTTCGCGTTTTTCCAGCTGTACTTAGTTTTGTTTCATTTCTATGTATAATATTCTAGGCTTGTTACCTGAGAAATGTCACGTTTTTTGTTTCCGGACTCTCATCTCTCTCTCTCTCTCTCTCTGTCTCATATATGTCTCAACTTGAGGCCGCCGAATATGCAGATTTCCATTCGCCATGCTTTCATCGATATCATTGACGAGATCTGATCCCACCTGTAGATTCCAATTGTCTTCGTTACGGTTTGTACCACTTTGTCGTTTCGTGACGTGATCTTTGAGACGTCTCCTTCTCCGTCCGTTGCTACGCCTTTTTGTTTTATTCATTGCTGTTTTGTCAGTAGGATGTTGAATTCAGAGATCTTCATGTGTCATGCAGTCGTTGGTACCATTTTTTCAAGATCCGATAAATGTAGCGTGAAAATTACATGATGTGGAATCTTTGCCGTTGTTATCGATCACTATTTTCTATAAATGGTTAATTTATCACGGTCGTCTAGACGATGGAAGCTGACCATTTTTATCGATCTGCAGCAAGTATTGATGTTTTAATGGAGTCTAAAGGTGGCCTCAAGAAATCCGGTAGCAGTAGTTCGTTACAGTATGAAGCTCCTCTAGGTTACAGCATTGAAGATGTTCGACCTAACGGAGGAATCAAGAAGTTTCGATCTGCTGCTTACTCCAACGTAAGTAGAGGAAGAATCAAAGTTGTCACGCTTAATGTCACTTTCTTTTTTTTGCCCATTTCTGATCAATTATCGTCTCTGGTATTGGCAGTGCGTGAGGAAACCATCCTGACTCCCCCCTGGGGTGCCCTCTGCGGTCCTGTAGGGGACCATCTGTTAGGATTTTCGTTTTGTTTCTGATTGAAACCCCACTCTGGCTAGCTGCTTTCGGCAATAATCAGCACCCGACATTTCCCAGTCTTCTCCGTCTCCTACTCCATCTGTTTATCTTTCAAAAGATCTGTTCACATGGCAACTTTAGAGGGCGAGACCCAAAACCTTCCCCCGCAAAGCCCTATCGGGTTTGAAGGCTACGAGAAGCGCCTCGAGATCACTTTTTCCGATGCACCTTTGTTTAAGGATCCCCAAGGTCGCGGTCTCCGCTCTCTTTCCCGATCTGAGATTGACTCCATTCTGGACACTGCCTTCTGCACCATCGTGAACCAGCTTTCCAACAAGGACTTCGACTCCTATGTCCTTTCTGAATCTAGTTTGTTTGTGTTCCCTCACAAGATAATCCTGAAGACTTGCGGGACCACGAAGCTCCTCTTAGCCATCCCTAGGATCCTCGAACTCGCTGCCGGGCTCTCACTCCACGTTACGTCTGTGAAATACTCTCGTGGCAGCTTTATATTTCCAGAGGCTCAACCTGCTCCCCACCGTAGCTTCTCCGAGGAGGTTTCAGATCTCAACCGGTACTTTGGAGGCCTTTCCTCAGGTGCCTACGTTATCGGCGACCGGGCCGTTCCCAACCGCAATTGGCATGTCTATTACGCCTGCGACAAGCCAGAGCAGCCCATGGTAACCCTCGAGATGTGTATGACTGGTTTAGACAAGGATCGCGCATCAGTTTTCTTCAAAAAGTCCTCCGAGGGCAAGCCTCCTTCAGCTAAGGAAATGACGAAGCTCGCGGGGATTTACGACATCATCCCAGAGATGGAGATCTGCGACTTCGAGTTTGACCCCTGCGGCTACTCCATGAATGGGATCACCGGCCGCGCTCTCTCAACTATCCATGTCACCCCGGAGGACGGCTTCAGCTACGCGAGCTACGAGACCATGGGATTCGATCCCTCCGCGTTGGACTACCAGGCTCTTGTGCAGAGGGTGCTGAAATGCTTTGCCCCCGATAACTTCTCCCTCGCAGTCACTGTCTTCGGACCCCGTGCGGCAGCGGCGTCGTGGGACAAGCCGATCGCCGCGAGAGGATACGCCCGCGAAGACGTCGTCGAGCAGGAGCTTCCCGGTGGTGGTTTGGTGTTCTATCAATCTTTCACCCAACGCGCCGAGTCCCCGAAGTCTGTTCTCCATTGCTGGGAGGCGGAGACAGGTGGAAAGCATGGAAAGGAGAAGATGGGCGTTGTGGTGGGTGCTGAAGACATCGACATGATGTTCCCCCTGTGAGTGAGTTCCCCTTTCGTGAAGCAGTTAGCCAGGTTACTTCTAGTTCTCCTTACCTCCAGTCAGAACATTCCAGTCCTATTCTGGAGAAAATAAAGCGCCATCTGCGCTAGCTTGTGCTTGTGGTTCTCCTCGTCCAGTTTCTTCTCCCTCTTTCAGGGTAGGGGGCCGCTCCCTCTCCCGCACGCTTGTGGGGGACGTCTATTGTCTCTATGTACCGTTCTCATCAAGTCGACTGCTTTTCGGTTCCTCTCTCTCCCCTCCATTAACCACGGCCCATTTGGTCCAATTTTACGTGTTAATAATCTGGGCCCTGCTAGCGAACCATGCCGGGCTGTGATTGGACCTGACAGTGGGCGGATGCTTTCCTCACTTCCAGGGCCAATTCCCCATTTTTTGGGCCGGGCTGGTTCTGTTGTCTGGGCTTTAATCTTAAATTTGTTTTCTACCCAGGATAAACCGGGCCGGGTTATAAAGCAGGCTCAGATCTCAACGTTGGACGAATCTCACCTTTTACATATTCAGATCTCAACTACCCCCACTCGTGGTCAAATAAAACATATATATATTCGGTCAACAATCTCGTAGTCAAATAAAAAGAGATCTACTCCGGCTAAAAGATATATTCTTATTCCTGGTATTTGAGTAAAATTATCTCTTGTTTTCCACACATCAATAAAGTAAATGTAAATTATTTCGCTTACTAAAAGCTTCACTATTTCCCTACAGTGTATATATACATATATATATATACATATAGAGAGAGAGAGAGAGGGAGAGAGAGAGAGAGGAGGGTACGCTTTTTCCTTGGTGGGGTGCATCCGAGTGAGCCCATCTTTCTCACGCCCACGGAGCATTCAATTCGTGACAGGAGGATTGATGGCCCATCTACACGATTCTTTCTATTTCGAGAAATTTCCCTTGAATGCGATCGTCTCGATGCTGCGGAGATGAACTATATCTCCGCCTGCCTGTCTAGCCTTGGGTCCGATTGTGTTCCGTGGACCATACATACGATGGGCGGGTGGGGGCATCCACAACGGTGGACCGTGGGCCATTGAGAAACCGGCCAAAGCCGAGTTATGACCCAATTTGTCCTCTAACCACGGAGAGGACCACGCTCTGATCAGCTTCTCCTCCTCTTCCTCCTCTGTGGAGTGGACCACCTCAGACGGCGGCGTAACGCTGACCCCACGGACGGGTTCAATGGGCAGCAGCGTTATTGGGAGTTGTTGCCGCCGCCGCCGCCGCTAGTTGACTTCTAGGACGTGTAGGAAGATGAGGAGGAGGGGGGAGGGGCTTCTCTCCTTTCCCTTTCCGCCGGCAGAGATACACGCCGCTGTTGGGACACCATTTTCTATGATCGATACTTTCTTGCTTGCTTCCAACGCCAAGGACGCGCCATTAATGGCGCCCAACTATGCCTCCGTCCTCTCCCTCTCTCTCTCTCTCTTACCCCACGTGCATGGTGGTGGCCTGTTTGGGGTTTGGTTTCGTTCATATGGGAATCAGGGTGAGGCGGGTCTGATGAAAAGGTTAAGTTTTTTTTATTTACTTAATGTGGGCATCTCGAGGGTAACCCCGGTGCCTCGAGAAGGTCGCGGAGCAGATGTTCGGCGTTTTTACCGACCGCGAGCCCGAGAAACAGCGATGGCGGCTCCCACTGCTGCTGCTCCTGGCCATTAGAGGACGAGGAAGGCGACGACCCGGCACACGAGAGGAGCCCTCCGACGACAAGGACGGGCTTCCCGGCGTGCCCAGCGCAGCGTCTGACGCCCACATGCACCTACAGTCCCGCCACGGCCACCCCTCTCTCTCTCTCTCCCTCCCTAGATGATGCGGCTTCTGGAGGATCGGAAGGGCGAGCGACCCAGAAAGGAGAGGGGGGCTTGGGCATTTTTTCTTTGTCCATAGATACATACACTTGGAGGAGGATCCCTAACAAATCTGATGGCCGAAGAGTGAGAGTAAGCAAGATATCATCACAAATTTATATCTAGCGGCCAGAAATGATCACAATCTCTGCGTTCTACGCAGTGAGAGAAAGAGAGAGACTTGGGGGGGGGCGGGGGCGGGAGTGGTTCATGGCCTCCGATGAATCAGGAGGTCGGCGACAGCTTCCCCAACAAGGTCCTCCAGCAATTCTCCGCCAATCTCCCTCCCAACTTCTTCCGCCTCCGAGGACATCATCTCCCCCCAAACGCAGCTGGGCACCTCCATCCTCAACACCCTGTCCACTACCAGGCCGCTGTGCCCCCCCGCCGACTGCTCACCGCCCACACTCCACCATCCCTTCACCCGCCGCCACACCTCCTCCGCCACTGACCCGCCGGCCCACCGGGCTCCGCCGTTCTTGGCGGCGGCGGCGGCGGCGGCCCTGCTGATGTCCAAGAGGGCGACATTGGCAGCGTCGAAGAGCAGCCGCTGGCTAGACCTCCTCTCCCTGCACTTGGCGTCCTCGTCCTTCTTCTCCAAGAACTTGTCCAGTAAGGAAGGGTCCAGGGGGCTCTCCAGCGAATGCCACCTCGCCAGCGCCGCCGCCGCGGGGGGCGCCTCGCCGCCGAGGCCGGCGGAGGAGAGCAGTGACTTCACGAACGAGTAGTGCTCCTGACACTCTTCCGCCATGGACGAGTTCCTCGCGAGCTTCGGCTGCGAGTGAGACAGCGAACGGGCGACCGATTCGATCGGCGGCGATCTAGAGATCATCTCTGCGCAGGAGAAGGATTGAATCAGCAAAAAGAAATCTCTGTGCAGGAATTGAATTTCCAGAGGAAGGAGGGCGGAGATGGGTCTCCTGAGACTCACGCCGGCAGTCCAGATTGGAGGCGCCGCCCTCAGAGGATTGAGAGGAGCTACTGTTCGCCTCATCCTCGAACGACACCTCCAAAATTGAGACCGGGCTGGGCTGCTCGCCGGTGATCTCGGCTGTTCTTGCGACCTTCGTCTGAGATGAACCAGCCTACAAAAAAAAAAAATCATCACAAAAGAGAGAAACAAGGGAAACTGTTCTTCGCGAATTCATCCAATCGTATCCCTCAACAAGAACAAGAGACTCTAATTATTAACAAAAATAAAGTTCATGCGATCGAACCTTCGAATTCGAAGCGGCCCGTTTTGCTCCATTTCCCGACGGAGAAAGAGAAGAACCTCTGCAAGTCAACCCTGTGGGAACTGGGGCTTCTCCTCGCATAGCATCAGGAAGGCTCTCGGCATTGCATTTAGGGTTCACCGACTGAGCCCCGGCGGCAGCGCCGGCCGTGGGAAATGGATCGGCTTTCTCTCTGTTCGACTTCTTACTCCTGGAGAAGAACAAGCTCGAGACTTTACCCTTGAGGAAGGTCTTCCCACTCTTGGGCCTGTTGAGATCTTTTGAAGCAATGGGTTTCTCGACTTGGGAGGTGGAATCTTCAGCAATGGACCTGCCATTATCGAAGGTCGAAGAAGAAGCAGGAACAGATTTCGACCGGAGAAGCTTCCTCGGGGACTCCGCACGGTCACTCTCAATCTCATTCTCAGCAGTTGACAGACTGGGCACCAGCAGCCTCGCATCTCGGTCTCCACCGCACGACCGGCTGCTCGACACAGCAAACCCTCCATCACACTCTTCCTTCTTCTCGGGGATGGCGAGCATCTCCCCCAAGGTGCTCGAGCTCCGGCGGACTTGCCTCTGTTGATCTCTGCTACTACTCCCGCCCGATGCCACCATCGCCCACCTCTCCGAGAGCCGCTTCTTGGCCTCTCTGATCACCGATGACTCTGGAGAGTAAGACGCTCTACTCACAGAAGAAAGAGAGAAGGGACTGCCAAATCTGTTGACATGATCCCACGAGTACCGCGAGGTGGGGCGACACCATCTCCAAATCACTGAAATTACCAGGGTCGTCCTCTATGAACTCGTTATCCGACCTGTTGAAGGAGCTCTCGTCCCCAATGTATCCATTAGACAGGACCGAGGACAGCAATGTGTCATCCCTCCTGTTGCCGCTCAGGCTCTCCCGCATCTGCCGAGTGATCTCCTTCGCCACATCTCTCGATCCTCTTGCATCATCGGTCAGCACCCCCTCAGGAGGATCCTCCTCTACCATCGGCGAATCCCGTTGCAGGATTTGGAGGGTCTTGAGGCTTCCTGGGACTGGGCTTCAAGACCACAATCCGCGTCGGCTGGGGCAAGCTCTCCACCTTGGGCTGAACGAAGCCGGAGCCCCGGCCGACCCTTTTCTTCTCAGATTGATCATCTTCTGCAACCTGATGATGGTGCCTTCTCGGGTTGTCCTTGCCGTTCTCCGCCTCCACAGATTTTGATGGCTTCAACACCGTGATCCGCTTCGTCTGAGGCGCCGCCATTGCCTCAGGGGAGCCCTGGAGCTCCTGCAGATGATGCGAGAACAAGGAATTGGGCTCTTCCAGGAACTTGAGGAACAAGTCTCTGTTGGAGCTCAGAACCTCGAGGGCGTCCTGGAACTCCTTCGATTGGAGGAGCCTCTGGTCTGTAGCCAGCCGCTTGGCTTCCATGAACTTCTGCCGGACGAGGTCCATCCTCTTCTCACTCGGCAATGGCAGCTGCTGGTCTCTGCAATAGCTCGGCTGGGGTTGTTGAGGCCACACCTCGTACACATCCTTGCAAACATCCTGCTGAGCAGACTTCTCCTGCTGCCCGCGGACCAGGGCTTCTCCTCCTCATCTGAGGAAGGTGATATTATGCGGGTGAGCACCTTGCGGGCTTGCAGCTGGCTGCTGCGCTGGAAGCGCGTCAAGCCCCATCAACCTCGCGACAACACCAGGCGGCTTCTGCTTATTTTCCGTCTCCTTGGACATCTCATGGGCGATGAGCATCTTCATCGGCGTTCCTCCGGACCTTCTGGCGGGCAAACTCCCTGTTGGGTCATAACTCACCTGAGAGCGGATCAAAATCAGAGAACAAGAACATATTTTTGCTCTTATATAATCAAAACCCTGTGAAGAAGTGCTGCTTACTGATGGTTTGTCGTCTGTCGGAGCAGAAACAGGATCATCTACCACACTCTTCGGCATGTAGGGTCGATTGCCGGAAACAAAACCTGATGACAAATAAAATCCATGTCGATGAGGACTGGTACGAAATAAACAGGACCGCAGAAGCGTTCATGGCGTATTTCTCCGTCGACGCACGAAAATTCTGAGAGGAAAGCACAGAGGAAAGGAATCTGGTTGAATAGCTCACCATCTCGATGAGGTCTGTCTGTAAGCATCTTCGTTCCAGCCATTCCCGCACTCGAGCTGAAGATGTTAATCATCCCCCCCATGCATCCTGGGATCGGCTTCTGGGGATCCTGCGCCTTCCACCTCTGTGTCTCGTTCATCTCGGCGCCTGAAAGTTTCAGAGAACAGCGGAAGAGACGATCCTCAGACTCCATCCCCACCTCTCCTCCGTTTCTCCCGAGCCACGACAAGTCGACAGAGATCCCTCACCGGTGTCACCGAGAAACCATCCCTGAGCCGGAATAATGGAGATCTGAAGCCAGGATACTCCGATCAGCCTGCAAAAAACCCATGAAGGGCAGATCAGAAGCTTCGTTTGGGCAATGCAAAGCGTTTCTGGGCATCTAGGGTCTCAAATGCAGATGCAGAAGAAATAACCTAACCCTAATTCCCCAGCCTTTTCCTTCGTCCCCTCACCTCCCCTCCCCCCGGAGAACAACGGCACGAAGAAAACTCTCCTTCCTGATCATAATCGGCATCTGGGTACAAGAACAGATGACGCTACTGGCCTCGACGGGTCGAGGAGCTTCCCACCGAGGCCGACGAAGGAAAGAAAGGGGAAAAAAAGGAATCATGATGTCGAAAAGCTGCGACAAGGAAGCAGGGAACGGGAGATACGACAGGGGATGAACAGTGCAAACTGTAGAGGAATTTCTGAAAAAAAAAAACAAGGTAGAGCAGGATCGAAGGGAGCAACTGACGAAAAGCCTGCATCAGCAGAAAGAGAAGGTCGGAAATACCAGAAAAAAATAGAATTATCCGAATGGTGAAATACGAATTTCATTCCTGAACGGGAAACGACGTCCGAACATCTAAGGAAAAAAAAAAACCAGTAATCCTCGAGGAGCACCTTGAAAGCAATTGGAGGGTCTGCATTATTTGCACGCGTAAGAAAAATTAATCAAAAACCGAGAAATCGGTCTTTGATTCGTATTTCCCCAAGAATAATCTGGCGAAGGACTGCATTTAGAGGATGAAAGAGGCCCGGAGAGCAGATTGAGAGACAAGGAGAGATGCATAACGCATCTGGGTGAAACAACCTGCGAGTGATGGGGAAAGAAGTAAACGAAGCCGCATCTAATCAGGAAATCCATGGTGCATTTCACCGGATGAAATGATCTGAGAGCTGGAGAGAAAGAACCTAAGAGACTACTCCACCCTACCCTAATCGACTGAGAAGAGCTCCCACGACATAGAAACCGACGACGGAGAAAACTCCGGAAAAACGCGCCAACAAAAGGAACCAACTTTGTGAACTCGCCCGAGATCTTAATCTCGGAGACCCATCTCACCACCCACGGTGGGACGCCGAAGCCCTCCGCCTTCCCCCCCAGCCGGATTCCATCCCCACAGATCTCCCGGCTCCACCAAGGACACCATCAACCGACCTGCTAGCACCCACCCTGGAGAGCCGGCACATTGCTGGAACTGATAATGGCGGTGGTGTGCTCCGACGGCAAAATCCCTCTCTCTCTCTCTCTCTCTCTCTTCCTCTCCTTCTCCCCCCTCGTTCGCTCTCTAGTTCGTAGACGACGATGCCCCGTAGAGCAAGCACTTCAGAGGTCACCCGCGAGTGAGAATACAATTAGTGTCCCGTGAGCTTACCGTCTGCACCATGTAACTGACGGGCGCGAAACCAGGTCCGTAACGGTAATGTAAACGACGTCAAGAGTGCCGTCACCCGCGTTTTCGGACCGCCCAATCGGTTGCTCCCTGCTCCCGGTAACTCGTTAATCGAACACAGACTGAGAATATAAGATACTTCACATTTAAGGGCTTTTATATAATATACCCTTCCACGTGACACTATTAAACGAAAATATCCCCTCGTTTTATTCACATAATTAAATAAATGTTATTATTGGTGATTAATATACTATTATTATTGTCGTAACTTATGAATTATGGGCATAAAGAGATAGTTAGCGATCGAATTTTTATATTTTAACGGTGACGGAGAGGACCAGGTCCGAGGGATGGTTTCCGCTACGGCCGTCTGCTGAGGTGTTGGCAGCGCTGGACAGTACAAACCGACAAACGCGGAGACCTGTACGACCACAGAACCCCAGCACCAAGATTCTCCGACCCCGATGCTTACTTTTCCGCCGTCCGATTCTTGAGGAACGGTCCAGATGGCTGCTTGGGAGGACAGAGTGATACTGTTAACTGCCAAGCGCCAGCTACGTCGACCGTTGCCTGAGGTACTCAGTAAGAAGGGCGGTGATCGTTTCCATTGAGATACCTTCGGTGAGCGGATGCCGTCCGGGTCGCCAGCTAGTCGGCGAGAGAAGTGAGCCAGGGATCCGGCACTGGAGATGACGTCATTTTACACGTGGCACCGACCATTTAAGAGGGCACTCACGGGCGGTGCACGATAAGATTGCTTGTGAGGTTGCTAATAATTGACCACGAATTTTTCATTTTCCCCCTCATTTGAGTTCGGTATGGGTGTGTGAACCCTATAAACAAGTAATATATCCTAACTATTCTCCCCATCGGCTAATCCCTCTTAACTCTAGTGCACGTGACGATGATATGCGTGCATTGACTTTTTCTGTCCTCGACGTTATGGATAGGCTTTATCGATCAACATCGGTCATGGAACGAATAAAAGTCAACTGCCGATGTGTATTAAATAAAATACAAGATACGGAGCTAAGTACTGGTTGATTTACCGGTTAATGTAAGGGATGATGAAATATTTTTACTCCTTTTTTATTACCCAGTTTTTGGGAGGCCAGAGGTTGACTCTACAAGGAGAGTAGATTCTAACTGAAAATCTGACCGTTCGTTCTTTGGGTCTCACGAGACATCCGACGTCATAAAATATATACATATATGTATTTTAAATTACAAGTCGCCAATAAATAAGTGGTGGAAATTCAGAAGAAATTTTATGGCGTGGTGTGGATATGGGGGCTCAATCTAGCCACCAGAAATGTGCTCCATTGGATCTGACTGTTGATGTGGCCATTAATTTATTATATCTGTATAAGTTTTAAAATATTATAATTAATCACATTATTAAAATGGTATATCATATTATATATTTATATTACTACAATTAAGGTATACTTTTAAATTATACAAAATTTAAAATAAATATAAACACGCATGCTTACCTACAATCTTCTCTCTCTCTCTCTCTCTCTCTCTCTCTCTCTCTCTCTCTCTCTCTATCATATATATATATATATATATGCATATATATCACTAGCCAGGCACTGTTGAACTCGTCAAATGCGACGATAGGCACGCCAGGTGCTTGGCAAACACCGATAAGGGAGGGCAGAGGATGGAAAGAGACGCGATACAGTGTAGGAGTCCACGGGCCCGTCTCCAAATAAAAGCCCATTTACAAACTGGCTTATAAGGCCCAAACCCAACACACCGCACCGGACGGGCTCATCCGACCGGCCCCAGATCGTCGTCCTCAATGGAGCCCTAGCCGCTTCTTCTTCTTCTTCTTCTCGAGTCACACACCACTGGAGAAGAGCGAGGTGGAGGGAGGGAGAGAGAACCCACTCACCCTACAGTAAGCTGTCTATTCTGGCGGGCAGTCGCCTGAAGAAGTTGGCAGGCTCCATCGGGAGCTTCGTCCTGAACTTGGGGTGCCTCATCACGTAGAAGCCGAAGACACAGCAGACGACCTTGAAGGGAACCACATAGAGGAACAGGGCGGCGACGAGGCAGAAGACCCAGAAGATGAAGGTGGCGCGGGGGTCCCTCCAGCTGAGCAGCGTCTGGAGCCGTTCCCCCTTGGTGGCGATATCGCCGGCTATCGTCACCGCTTGGGCAGCAACGTGCCTCAGGCGATCGTACCGGTGGCGGATGAGGTCGGCGGCGCGGCTGCTGGGGAAGGTGTCGAGCTCCTCGTCCAGATCGTCGGGGCTGGTGTCGTCGGCCCGGGAGAGCTTCATGTCCATACGTGGCGCTTGGGTGGGGCGGTGGAAGTAGTTCCACAGGCCCGTGGTGAACATGTACAGGAACGCGGTAGGGAGGATGAGCTCCGGGAAGCCCAACAGAACGAAAAACAGCACGTGAACGAGGACAGTCGTCGAAGGGTTCTTCCACCGGCACACTTCGCCGAACCAATTCCACATCGCCACCGCCCCGGAGAACAGCGCCATGAACCTGAAGAAGTTCGCCCTTCCCTTCCGCATGCTCCACGCGTCGGAGCTCACCTCGGAGACGTACTCGATCACCTCCTTCCTCAGCGGGGGTTCCATCCGGCCCAGACGCGCTACCACGACCTCTACCGCCCTGCTCCGCAGCCTCTGCTGGTCCTGAATCGGCAGCGGTCGCGTGTAGTGCATCTTCGGATAAAGCGGCTTGAAGTACATGGAAATCAGGTTCATCGTCGACATGGAGGAGAACCGCACGGCCAGTTGGAGCTCGCCCATCTTCTTGACGCCGGAGTTGCGCAGCGCCAGGAGGGGATACAGGCTAGTGTACACGCGCCCGGCCTCCAGAGTGGACAGCCGGATCCGCACCTTGCCCATGGGCGTGTCCCTGGCGGCGGAGCCCTTCTCATCGACCTGGACCTGGCTGTTGTCGAAGACCGCCACCGTGAGGACTGTGGCCGGCTCGTACACCTCCCAGGTGTACTGCTCGTTGAACATCGGTTGCAGGCTGTTCGGTACCGTCCGGGTGCGCACCCACTTGTTGCCGTACTTGGCCACGCAGTAGGCGTCGCAGGAGCCCTTCCCCTCGTGGTTCTTGATCGGGGAGAGCTCCACGGCGTGGCGTATGCCGATCTCCAGCAGCCCGAGCGCCCCCTTCCAGAGCTGCCTCGCCGTGGGCCGGAGGTCGCTGCTGAACTGGATCGGCTCGTCGAAGACGTGGTAGCCCCCGTCGAGGTGGGCAATGATGTGGAGCCGGGTGGCGAACTTGTTCTTCTTCAGCTGGTCGACGTCGATGAGGCCGGGCTTCTCGAGGACGCGCCAGATCGGCAGCACGGGGCGGTCGTCAGCGCGCTTCTCCAGGTTCGCCAGATGGACGGGGAGGGTCCCTCTGTCCTCGTTCTTAGAGCCCCCGACCTTCTCCTGCAACGTGAGGACCAGGTGCTCCTCGAAGGGCTCGGCGACGACGAACATGAATTCATCGCCCCAGATGGCCGCCATGTTTCGGGTCTGGACGAGCTTGGTGTTGTGGATCTGTCTCCCCACCTGGGCGCTGACTCTCACCTCCGCCGGCTTGCTCTCGTCCCCCAGCGGCACGATGTCCTGGGCTTCGATGATCTTGACCCGGACGTACCAGAGCCGAGGCGCGTGGTAGACCTTGCCCCGCAACTGAGAACTGGCGGCGCTCTCCTCCGAGATCACCGTCTCGTCTGAGAGCACGGCATCGGGGAAGGTCTCGTCCGCCTGCGAGCCGAGCCAGACGGCCAGCATGAGCTCGCTCATGAGCTTCTCCCCCTTCTTGTTCTCCAGCCGGTACCACTCCGGGGCGAGGGGGCTGTCAGGGGGCACGCGGTCCGGCACCCCGTTGAGGTCGATGCGGACCATCCCCAGATGGTCGTCCCTGAGCAGAGACTTGTCCTTGACGACCACCTCCAGCTCGGAGGCCTGCAACTTGTCTCCGGCGAAGGCGAAGACCTGATTCCACTCCGGGTTCTGGTTCTTCTCGAAGGTCCTCGTTCGCCCCCTGTAGTTCCCCAGCCTCACCTCCACGTAAGGATCGACGGTGCCGGCGAGCTCCATGGCTGCCAGGTCCCGGCCCTTCACCACTCGAACGAAGAGGTACCGCATCTGTTCCACGAGGTCGTAGCCACCACCCGTCCTCTTTTTGGTGTTCCCCATGGGCGGTTTAAAGGTCTGCCCCCCAACGCCGGCGTAGGTCTTCGCCGTCGCTTTGAAACCCTGCTTCACCGCCGCCGCCGACGACGACGAAGGTACCGCCGCAAAGACCCTCGCCGTCGCGGACGGCTCCGCCCTCATCTCATTCGCCGTCGACTTCGCCGCCGGCGGCGAGCGCTTCCCCTTGGGGAGGTGATGGAACGAGTGCCTCGACCTGGTCCCCTTCTTCTCCGCGGACACGCCCGCGTGGGGACTTGCAGGCGGCGCCTGAGCTCGGAAGATCGGAGACGGCGGAGGGTTGGCGAAGGGGTCGATCGTCGGCAGAGGGTTGGACGGCTGGATCGAGGGGTCGTCCGTGACGTAGACCTTGAGGCCGAGCTCCCCTCTGACGCGGGAGAAGATGCCGCGCTTCTCGAGAGGGCACTGCAAGAGCACCGCGTCGGAGTAGGGGACGAAGGAGGTTCCGGCGAGGCGCACCTTTCCGAGGAAGGACTTGGAGGAAGGGTTGCTGCTGCCGGAGGCGCTGTAGACGCAGGCTTCTAGGGCAAGATGAGGGAGCAGGTCGGGGTCCGGCACGTTGAAGTAGAAGCGTTCGTCCCACACGGGATTGAGGTCCTTCTCCTTGGTCGAGGTGCGGAGCTTTTGGCCGGCGAACTGGAGCTCCACGAAGGAGCTCGAGGAGCCCTGCCCTTCCTTGGCCATGAGGTTCTGAGCCCCCCCAACCTCCACCCCCACTTTGAGGGTGCTCATCTCTTCTTCTTCTTCTTCTTCTTCGATCTCCTCAGAGCTCGCTTCTCCTCCTGCGGACGAGAACAGCGTGGGACAGTCAAATCGATGGATAAAATACCCAAGAACAATCCCCACAGATTTATCTCCATTTTCGTTCACGATCGTAATCACAGAACGCGTAGAACAGAGGAAGAGACCCGCAGAATTGAAGCTCGGAAGAAAAAAAACGATACCATATGTTCTGCTCCGATAGTAACAAAAACTCAGAAAGCCTACCATATTTTGAGCTTCAATAGTTCTGGAATCTAACACAATTCCCACAGTCTGGGCCTAACAGTCGGCGAATATACGCATCACAGAGAATGATTCAACGCCTGAAGAGCAAATTGAGAGGGAAGCATGCGCCGGAAAACGAGAATCGTTGAAAATCGGTAGTGAAACCAAGCATAGGTTTCGACCGTGGTTTTTATTTATAGAAATAACGAAAGAAAGAAAGAAAGAAACGGCCGTACAAGGAAGGAAGGAACATTCAAATCGAGAGGAGGAAACGACAGAGGCTTAATCGGCTCTCCAAAGAGGACGACGCAGGCCGCTCGAGAGCTGGAAAGCCGGAAGGCCGAGTTGATGAAGGGGCTAACATGCCGCGGAGGGAGGGAGAAATGTACGCCTCTGGATATTCTCCAGCCGATCAGATAATCTCGAAAATACACGACGGCAAACGGAGACGACGGAGCAGTGATGCTCTCTGGATCGTCCCCGAACTGGACCTCCATCCTGCACAGGCCGGAAGAGCGAGAAAGGGGTTGGATCGAGATAGAACAAGCCGCCCCCTCACCTTGTCCCTGGCCAGATAGCTCCTCGATATCCCCCGACCCTCTCTGCTACGAATCGAACCCCAGGAGGCGATGATCCAACGGCAACGACTCCCTCGACTCCTGATGCTGGTGCCTCCGAGGTAAATCCGCTCAATTCGGGATTGCCAGAGGGAGAAGAGAGAAGAACACAGAGAACAGAGCAAGAACAGAGAGAGAAGAGAGAGAGAGAGAGCTTTTCGTACTTCCAACGGGAGAAGGGTTCGCGGCAAGAAAGAGATAGACGGCACTGAACATCAAAGGTGGGGCCCATTGCAAGTCCCCATCAGCGTCTTGACCCTCCAAATCCCTGCCTCTTCGTCGTTATTATTCTAAAAATATTATTCTTAAGAAAAAATCTTACACGTAAACGTCGCCGCCGTCATTTGTCAACCCGGTTTCGGAACGTGATTGGTCCAACTCATCATCATCTGCCGACGTCACCCACCCCCCAGCTGGGCGATATCAGTTACTTGTGGAGATTTATATATATATATATATATATATACTTCCTGGTGCGGCTCGTCTTCTTCGTGACGACTTGGGCGATGTGTAAAGGACGGTAATACCCTTCAAAGGGGAGACTCGGTCAGACATCTTGAAGTAACCCGTCGTACGGCTGGGGATAGCTCATTTTAGGGAGATGGTCAAATCCACGTTGACCGAAGGAGAGAGGTCGTTGTGTACTCTTCATCTCTCTAATCAGCTAAGCCTCGGAAAGGTTGCCACATCCTACAGGGGTCGTCCCGTTGACGATCGCTACGTACCAGAAATGTCAACAATACCCTCGGAGGAGGACCGTTCCTCTTCTTTAATCTACGACGCGGTCGGCTGGGAGGAAGCCCGGTCAAAATCGACGGCAATGGGGGCCCACGAAAAGAGGGAGCTCGTCATCCTCCGCGCGTGGTTGTCGGTAGTCAACGCGCGCACTGGGGGACCGACACGGTGATACCGACTCATGATTGTAAACTGACGGTGGCTTTGACTTTCGGATAAACCCATCTTGCGTGAATCAGTCAACGATTGATTCCAGAGGAAATTCATCGGTTCCTTCTCATAACTAGATCATTATGGCTATCTTTGTCGGCGGAAAGAGCGGAAATATATGGAAAAATAAAGCGCCATTATTATTTTTTTCATGTGATTATACGATGAGAAATCCAATACTGAAGGAAAATAGAGAAAATCCATTATATAAAGGGGGGGAAAAAATATGCACCGAGGAGATGGAATATAAGGGAGGAGTTGACCTTGCGAGGCAACAAGGGTGGAGTCAGACTCTTCCGTCCATGCCATCGAGAAGGCCTGACCAGATCCCCTTGACGGGGGGCAGCTGGGCAACGAAAGCATTCCAGGGAGGGCTGCCGACCCCGCTGCCCCGGACACGACCGTCCATCCGCAGGGAGAGATACCTTCAGCGTGAAGAACAGGTTTCTCAGATAAATGAGCAAATGGTCGCCTAAGCTAGCTCATGGAAGAAGATTATGTAAATTAATATTCGCACCAGTCCATCGCCTTTTTCTGGTGTTTCAAAATAATTTTAGACGTGAAAATACCCGATAAATAAGATACAATAGATGCATGTGGAGACATTAATATTTAATGAAGTCAACCAAAGTCAACGCGCAAGAGTTGACTTTTAAAACACAACATTTGAGAGTGCTCTGCAAGCAAGAAAATATTTACCCAACGTTATTTTTAAATCGTTCCAAAAAATGCCCAGGTCAAAAATTTATAAATACCACAATAAGATACTGTATTAAAAGAACCAAGGCCAGAAATACTCACACTGGGGAGTCAACGGCGACATTAGCCATTTTTTTCTGTTCATCTAGCCACCTGCAGTGCACCGTCCCATGCTAGGATCAGACTAATAATGAGAAGCGTCAACTTAGGAAAAACTCTCGTGGATATGTGATCTTACTTTGACCACTCGGAGGAGTAGAGAGGAGTCAACTGCCAGAGTCTCCTCCTCCTCCGGACAAGAGCTGGATCCTCCTCACTGCTCTCCTCAAAACTAATGGCGGGTGGGTTTCCATCAGTGGCAATGGGGACAACCAGAACCCCTCTGTCAAGAAGCGCTTCAGAGAAAGGGATGCTGCTCTGGAAGGCCTCGGATATGAAGCTGGCAGGGCCGGAGATGATGACGAGCCTGGCGAGCCCTCTCAAGGCACTGACAGCAATGACTCTCTCCTCATCAACTCGTAGTCTGAGATTCGAGAGGCTTTCTTCTCTCGACAGCCTGGCCAACTGGGCGTTTTTGGCGTTTCTCTCTCTTGAATAAAGAAACGCAAATATGGCAACTGCTCCAAAGTCAATACCGAGACCATACAAGATGTCGGGGACTTGGGCTGCTCTTGATGAATTAGCCAGGGCAGCGGTCAGTTGGGTGAGGGCTATTAGCCCCCCTAGTGAGCCACTCGCAATGAAGGCAACATAGAAGAACATGCGCACAGACCGGAATGGAGAAAGAACTTCGCTCCGTATCCTGGCTGTGGAGCTGAAGAAGAAAAGAAATTCGGATCACAAGAGGCCTCGACCAGAAAATAAAAATGGTTTCCTAAAAGAACAAGCGGAAAGATTCATCTCTGAGGCAACGCAAAATAGCATTAGTCCACCAACTATCCTAAGAGAAAGATTTAACGGCTGTAAAATCTAGCATGTGACAGGTGTAGTTCCTCACCTCTGTTTCTGCAATATAATTCGTCCACCGGAAAAATATAAAAAATGGTGCCAAATATTACTGAAACGATTTCTTGCCAGATATTAAGGAAAAGTACTCCGTTATAAAGGCGTTGACTTTAAGAAAATATCGACAGTTTTATCTGCAATTTATTTTCAGAGTATACTGTATGAAATATTCTTAGTAGAAAGCGTGGCAGCTATGTGGGGCACGAGAGGAAAACACAGTACTCCCCCATGAATGTCCCATCAGTGGGGGTTCTCTAAACTATGAAACTCCAAGATCACCGCAAATAATTCTAGGCGTGGCCTTTGTCTAATATGGGATTTAGTTCACAGAAGATAAGCAGGCTACTTCTACCATCATGTCAGCCTGCACGGCACGGTAGGAGATAAAGAGGCTACCTGGGTCAGGGAAGATCTACTAAACTTGAAGATAGCAGCTAGAAATCAAGATTATAGAATTGCAGCTCAATGGAAAAAAAATCTTCCCAAGATAAACGACGAATATCAATGGCACATTTTTTATGTGATTTCGATAGCCCCACCTCCAAGAAATGGAGGTTGCATGTTCAAAGGAGCATGGAGAGGGATGGTCATGGATGCCCTATCTATGTTTTGAGCACCTCAAGGAAAGGTCCTTGCCATGAATATGCTACCAACAGTGTCACATTCATTAATTTGAAGTCATGGGGAGGGAGAACGAAGCAGAACTTCTGTAAACTAGTAAACACTGAAAAGAATAAATGAACAGAATTGCTGGGGACAATGAGTACCCAATACTAACAAAAGGACGAAAATAAATAAAATGTGGCTCATGCTATCCCATGTGGTTCAAGATTTTCAACTCAGAGTTGATCCCTTGATCTAGTTTCTGCATGAAATAGATCCAATGAATTAGTACCTGTGAGAATAACGGAAATACTCTTAATGTACTCTAACATCGGAAATACTCCCAACAGAACCATGAATCCCTTCTCTTTGCTGGTGTAAAAAACAGTATGATCCTCGCTCCTCCCTGAAAAAAGAGGTCATACCAGATCGCCGCTTCATAGAGATATCCCTTCTCATGAGAGAAAAACTTCCGCTAGATCCTCTAAACATTCTTACATTGTTTCACCAGAATGAAAATCTTTTCATCCTTGGAAAATAAAGCCTTAACAAAGAGGCAATGAACTTTAGTCAACCAATTTTCAGAATACTCAACAAACCGGCCATCTACCTCAAGATCAGAGAATCGACTCTAAGACCAGTCCATTACTGATGCCTTCCGTCTAGACATATTTTATTCTTGCATCTACGTGTGGAATCCCGCCTGAAAAATTACAACCTGTAATATCCGAGGGTCATTCTGACGATGGAACTATTACATCTGGGAAGGGCAACAGATGTGTACCCAAAAAAAGGAGCAAGTTCATAAACAAGGATAACTGCTTACCAAACTTTTTGATTCTGAAATCATTGATTTGGACGTCAAAGAACAATCTTATTCAGTGTCAAAATCATACTTTGATACCCTCCTCCACTTATTTAAATACTGGAAAGTAACCTACACTCGATTAGACGGCTGACCTTCATTACACTATGCTACAAGCTACAATTTCACGAGGATACTCGAGAATTCCCGTACGCAATTAAGTGGGTGAGACGATTAGTACAGCGCGAACGCTCACTGAATGTGAATCATATTTAGATGGACGATCACCTTGGCGTCGTTTCTGGCGCTTGGTGGAGGTGAAGTATTCCGAGACAGTCTTAAGGAGCCAAATTAATTCACACGTTCTAAGAAGTGGTTACTTTACATTCTAATACTCTTTGAAGCTTTTTAATCACATCGGCCATATAGTCATTCTCTTTCTGATCGTCCTGATAAGGATGATCATACAGTGTTAAAGTCTTTGAGGATGCATGCCGCGCTTTCCAATTATTTGGACGGCTTCTCACGTCCACTCAAAACCCGACGCAGAACGTCACCAGTGAAAATGAAATATAAAAATAAAGAGTAGGATGGGTTCAGATTCTCATTTCCTTCGAGGCCACTGGCCTCCAATTTTCGATAAACCTTCTCCGTGTAACTACCGAATCAAAGCCAAAAGCAGCCGGAAACAAGTGTAACCACTTCAAATTACCTAATCTCTGACGGAGAGGGTTCGTCCGAAGCCGAGCAAGATACGCGGGCGAGCTCCCTTCTCCATTTCCTTCTGCGGAGTGTGGAGGAGAGGAAACGGACGCAGCTCCCTAGGAGCAGGGGAGGGGGCAGAGAAGACGAAGAAAATCGAATCCCCCGGCCGATAACTGAACACTGGGACTGGATTCTTGGCGAAGAACAGGGAAGGAAGCAGGAATTGGCCGCCATGGAGGGCTGATTCAAGTTTCCGCAGATCATATCCTCCCCCCAAACCCCCCTTCTCCCCTCTCCTCTGCTTCACTTCATTCGCTCTGTCATATTCCCCAACCACCAGAAACTCCCCCCCCTTTGATCAGAGAGTCCACGTTCACCGTAGCCTCAGAAAACTCAAAAAGCCCGTTCCAGGGGTCTACGGCACAGAGTATCGTTACGTGGCTCCTCATTCAACTGCCCGATCGTAGATCTTCGACCGTCCGATCTCATAACCCCCCCGACCTCCTCGTCGAGGGACGTTAGGTAAATACGATCTACGGGGTGAAGTTAATCGGGAAGTTTGAGCGGGAAAGGATAGCTATCTTCACCCCTCCTGCCCTGCTCGCTGTGCCCGCAACGGCAAGAGAGGAGAGAGAGAAAGGTAGAGGCATATATTTTGTAATTAATTAAATCAACAAATGGATAAAGATATTTATAGCTAACCTTAATGGGTCAGATCTAGTTAACCAATTTCACTTATATCGAAATCGGATTTGACAGATCCGATTAAAAGAAAATATGTAAAAATAAAAAATAAATTAGAGGATGTTTATACACAAATAGAGGATGTTTATGATATGAATATAATATTTGGTTCTCTAACATTTATTTTTTAATATATGTCGTCTAATATTAATTTTAATGCAAACTTTTGAAAGACTCCCCCCTCCTAATCATTTGGTGAAAATAGTCATCAGTTATGAATTAGTTAAGATATATAGTGTGTGTATAATAACACTTACCAACTTCTCTTCAGTGAAGTGTTGGTCAACCTCAATATATTTGATTGAAACATATTTCACTTTGTATGCAATAATTATGATAGATTTATTGTCGTAATATAATATGTCTGGATCTTGCAATTTGATTATAATCCTTTATAAGATGACTTTCACTTATATTACTTCATATATTATTTGAGTAATGACTTGAAACTTTTACTCCATGATCAATTTAGTCACCATTTGTTGCTTATTGCTACTCCATTTGGTGAGATTAATCGTTGATCTCAATTGAACTTGCATAATCAACATTAGTTAAAACCTCAATTTACATATTATGATTATTATGAAATAATATCTATCTACAACAAAATTCTTTAAATATTATAGAAATCTGTATGAAGCTAAGAGTTGAATTTCTCTTGAAGTATGCATAAATTGACTAAGAACATTTGCATAGTATGTAACCTCTAGCCTAGTTTGGAAAAGCAAAATCAACTTTCCCACAAGACTATGATACTACAACTTTTTGTAAATACTATTTTCTTGGAAAATCTTAAATTTATGAATTTATAACCTAAATTTTCAATTTTCTTTAGCAGGTTACTAAGATAATTTATATCATAAATTATTTTCTTAATTGAAATGATATCAGTGAAAAGTTGTAAAACATGTAAAATATTCTTAATTATGCTTAGAGAGTTTATTTTTATATTTCTCATGCCTAGTAAGGTAATAAGGGATTATTAAACAAGGACCATTTTCCTATTACTTGGGCAAGGACTAGAAGGGAAAAAAAAAACTGAATTTATAAGAATTAATAACCATCAAAAGGAATGAGAGAGTTGAAGGAATCTTATGGTGGAGCTACAAAGAGTTTATACTTTAGGATTTGTGGCTACACATAAAAAAAACAAAGGTTTCGCCTATCACAAAGCTTTAAGTTCAGTTGCATACTCTCTAATAAATTAAGTTTCTTATTCGATTGATTTGTGCTTCATCATATTTTTTTGATAGATATTTATTTACTTTTTCTCAAATATCATTAGTTGTGTGAAGAAATAAATAATTTTCATTGACTTAAGGGGTCATTGTGTTCCAAACCCATGTCTTAATAATTGCATCCTCTTCTTTTCAATCCCATAGAAAATAATCTGTTGATTCAAGATGCTGATCAAATAAACTATTTGATTTCCCTCTGTCAGTGAAGATAACTTTGTAGCTTAATTATGTGATTAATTAAATCAGAAAACGGATACAGATATTTACACCAAATTTGATCCTAGTGGGTTGGATCCAGTTATTCGGCTTCACTCATGCTGAAATCAGATCCAACACACTCGGTCAACGAGAAGGATGAGAACACCAAAAGGAAAAAAAAAAAAAAAAAAAAAAACCACAAAGAACAAGTATCATATGAATGCGATATCTCCTTCTCTGACACCATGGAAGATCTGTTTACTTCCCTAGATGTAACATATATGTGGTCATATGTTTTAGTTTTTTTTCATTTGTGAAGAAAAAATTACAGAGTAAGCCAATCTGCTAGTTCAGATCAACATCATCTGCCGTTTCTTGAGGCTTCAAATGTTTGATTCTTCTCCTAACAATAGAAGTACACAACGATTAGGAATCGAAGAAGCCGTCTCTTGTGGTTTCAGATTGGAAATAAATAAATAAAATTGTTTAGTTCCTTCCCTAGAAGCTAGATTTTTGTGGTCTGTTTGCTCGTTTTCTGCCGATAGATTCAGCAAATCAAGAACTAGTGCGTGCATATTAGACGATTACTTATTTTTTTTCATTGGTGTGGCATTGATTAATGAACATAACTACTGATAGGGAGTTTGGTGTTGCGGCATGCTCCAGTTAGATTCCACAGGCGAAGATCAGGGTCTGGCCGAGTTGAATAAGGGGATTGGGTTGGGGTTCGGTCCTCCTGTCTGAGTCTACATCTGTAACTCCCATGAAACAAGGCTTCTCTTTGGCTATCTACTCTTTTCACGTCCTGTTCTTGGCTAACCAGTCCAATTCTGTCCACCTTTCAGTCAGGTGCCGCGGAAATGGAAGCTACACAGGCCTCTTTACAGGTTCATTTGCCTCTTTTTGGCTGGTTTTTGCCAACTTTCTGAAATTTGGACAGCTGGGCACGTCCATGATTGGGTTTCAGATTAATTTATGCGTAGGAGAAGAAGATCATCCGGGTCGGAGATGGTAGGTAAGCATCTCTCTCGCATTCGGGTTTCTATTTTTGAGAGTTTTTTTTTTGCCTTGGGGCAATTGCACTCCTTGAAAACTGTTTTTTTTAAAAACAAAGAAGAAATCTTAGAAAACCCATCACAGAAAACGAAGAACCCATCACAGAAAACCCGGCACGGCCGATTTTGACTTGAGATGAGACCAGTTAGGGCAAAACTTTGGAAAATTCAGGGCCAAAATCGGTCATTTTTTTTCCTTCTTTGGGCCAGAATTACGGGGGGCATCCCATGCTGTTTCCGGTGGCTGATGCGGGGGTAGAGAAAGCGGAATTTAACTAGAGTTTGGTGAACAGAACAGCTTGCACAGAAGAAGGGTGTTTATACAAATGCCCAAATCAAGTCCCCGTTGACCTCCCCAAACACTCGGAATCTCACCCGCCAGGCGGCGGCGTACTCAATTCACCTCCTTCACCTCATCCAACGCGTAGTTGTTGGTGGACACGTTGGCGTAGTTGACCCTGCTGAACCGGACCACCACCGGGTAGCGAGTCTGCGGGTCCTGCAGCCGCAAGAATGCACCACGGCCAACCTTCTTTCAGTTCACAGGCTAGATAGATAGATACATAGAACACGGACAGAGAGACAGAGACGGAGAGATGACCCACCTGATCAACGGCGACCACAGAGCCAACATCGTTGAACCAGTAGGACTCCCTCCTGAGGATCTTCACCTGACACAGCAAAAAGAGTGGAATGGGGTCAGATCCCAGAGTGAGATAGAGATAGATAGGTAGATAGATAGGGAGAAAGAGAGAGAGAGGTTACCTTGGTGCCCTTCTTGGGTCCACGAGGGGGGGGCTTGGGGGGATCGGCGGTGGGCTTGCCCTCCTCCGTGGCAGCGGGGGCGGCGGGCGGCGGCGCGGAGGCCTCCTCAGCGCGGACGACGAGGCTCCTCCTGGCTGTGGTCCTGGGGAAAAAGACGGAGACTGCGCGGGGGTTGCCGGCGGCGTTGGGGGAGATGGCGGGGGTGAGGGCGAAGCCGGCGGCTGCCGAAGCCATGCTGGAGGCGGCCATTGCGATCAGTCTCAGTCCTCGGCCGAAAAGTCGGCGGCGCTTGGGCTATCTATCTGCTCTCCTCCTTTCTCCTCGCTCCTATCTTCCTCTTTATCCGCGGGAGGCAACGTGGCATGTGCTAGATCGCCGCAATTGATCGGGAAATAAAATCGGGATTGGGCGCGCAGGTTCGGACAGCGGTCCGAGGCCCCCCGCAGCCACCGAAGGCGAAGGCGAGTTGCCTTGCCCATTCGGGTGCTGCCACGTATACAACGCTATCCGATCCCCCGGATAACGCTAGCCCACCGTCCACGAGGATGCCCCGAGTAAATTCGACGGAGGGCAATAAAATATCGACATTTATTTTTATACCCAAAATATTTCCATCACTTTATATATATTTGCACTTTCATGCATCTGAAATAAATTTATTGCGTTTTGGCCCTTTTCGCCACAGAACGTGGAAACGTCGTCGGTGTAAGGCTCTCTCGCCCCTCATACACATCTAACATAAGCTGGTTAAATTTTGACCCTCATACACATTTATGCCAAAAACCTTGATAAGCTGGTTAAATTTTATTTGAGAAATCTTGCATATTCTCTCTCTCTCTCTCTCTGAGAGATAACCGGAGTGCTACGGAAGGGATCCGAGTCTACGGTTTGGATGCATGCATCTTCGGGTTGGAAAGAATGAAGGGCCCGGCAGATATCACCAATCCGAGAGATAAAGTCCACAGAAGACACGCGCACACATGCACTCCCCCCTCCCCTCCCCTTCCCGAGAACACCAGAGAAGCCACTCACTCCGCCAACAGACAGGCACCCAACAAGAGAAGCAAGCCGAGGGCATACAAAATTACAAAATAAACAGCAACCACGGTCAGGCGGGCAGATGCGCCGAAGAGGCCAGCCAGGGGGGGGTCACCCGTGGCTGGCGGCGTTGATGGCGGAGCCCGACCTCGCCTGCGAGATCCGGTTGGCGTAGATGGTCACTAACCGCAGCTGCGTGCTGTTCAGGCCCTCCAGGTACGGCAGGAAGGCTTTCCCCAGCATGATGTAGATGTCCACCAGGCAGAAGACGACCGTCTGCAGTCAGGCCGGCATTAGCCACATCTAGCACTAAATTTTTGAAAAAGAAAGTCTCTCTCTCTCTCTCTCTTCTCTGGGCAGGGAAATCCCAGAAACTGGTCTCGTCTCCACTTGTGTAGAGCCCACAAGCCCGTTTCTTGGGTTTTTTTTTTTTTCCCTCCGGGGCCAACTCATTGCACCACCACTCATTGATCAATCTCAGTGGATATCCACCTTAAAATAACATGATTCAGAGTCATTAACTACCAGGGTGTCTGCTAACCCGAATTATTTTCCCTCATGGAGAAAGTATCGATATAAAAATATGAAATAAATATCAGATATGGATATAAACATACACATATATCTAGCGAGAGGGAGAGAGAGAGAGAGAGAGTAGGAGAACAGACCTTGCGAACATCTGCACTCTGGTTGCCAAACGCATCAAAGAGGGCGGGTAGAAAAGAAGGCAGTTGGGTCATCAGCTCCTCCTGAGAAAGCCGCCCCACAAGCTGAAACCATGGAGATGCATCAACATGCTATGCGCATACATATTCCGACAACAACGATCATAATAACATACATTTCCGTAACCAGAAAAAGAGACGGGAACTCTTCCCTATTTTGGGTGCTTTTGTACTTCCCAGTTAGAAAAAAAAAGAAATTAATGAGAGGCCACAATTCCCAGCATCGATATAAAAAATATACGGACGCTGAAAGGCTCATAACCATATTGATTCAGAGCTTTACCCAAAGTTTCTTCTTTAATTCGAATATTCGGAAAAAAACCCACCTTAAATAGACGCGTCCCTTAAAAATAAGGATTGAATTTATTTTATTTTATTTTTTACCTTAGTCAGACAGTTAATGCAGGTCACGAGCATCTTCTCATCTTCACTGACCAACAGAGGAACAACGACCTGTAAAAAAAATTGTGGAAGAATGATTTCGGCTACAAAGGAATCGCAACAGCCGATTGATCATGTTCTCCAAGCTATGAAGAGAAACGACTTACAGAGAGGCATCTGTAGGGATCATACTTGGATAGTATGATCGACAGACACTGCTGGGCTTCATTGGATACCTGAAAGGGAAATATGGAGTCAGGTGAAAGATCGTAGCATGCTCCTTTAATGTGGGATGGACCTCCCAATAAGCGCAGTACCTTCACAGCACTGTCTTTGGTTGCGTGTAGCAGTTTTTCTATGACGATCTCAACAGAGTCCTCCATGGCATCTTTCTGGAAGTTGAGAAATAAGGTGAGGATGAATCAAATATTACATTTTATAAAAATGATAAGCAAAATATGATTTTGAAAAATAAAAATCATTGAGATAGTTCGTGAACCTGCTGATCCAGCATTTCGACTATGAGTGATAGAACGAGCTCCCTGGTGGAAGAATCAGGATCGTCCAGAGTTTCAAGCACAGCTGTCAATATCTGATTGAAGTACTGCAAGCGCAGGAGCACCCATAGTTATGAAATGCGGGTACCCGGACGAAGCACAAATAGTTTAACCTAAAACAAATCTCCTGACATGAAGTAGAATGGACAGTGTTTTTTTTTTTTTTTTTTTTTTTTTGTTAACATTTTTAGCATTTATAGGATATTCAGAGTAGTAGCGCCATGATCTCATCCATGCTCTCAACCTTCTGAAACTTTGATTTTAGGAAATATGATCAACAGTTCCCTTTCTGAGGACGACCATTTACAGCTTAATAATGTTCGGATAAAATCGTAATAAAAAGCCAGAAGCTGCCTGGCCGGCATAATCTTCGGATAAAATCATGTTTCAGCTGCATTCTTTTACTTTGCCCAATAGGGGAATACATGTTATCAGATCATCTCCACCACCTTCGTGCATGTGCTCAAAAGTAAATGCAAACCTTAGGCCACACAGATTGATCGTTGGATTTGGAAGCTTCAGCCAACTGTTGTAGAGCGTCCCTTTTGTTTACACCTGAGTTCTCATCATTTCCATTGCAAATCTACAGATCAAGAGAAACTAAATAAGATGGCTACCACATATGAATATGAGGACGGCCGAACGACAGTCAAATGAAATTTGTTTCATCAACAATATCGCACAATTTTCACAATGAAAGTTCCAAGGCACTAAAACGGATCGTCACATGCTAACCTGGTGAAGAAGTTGAGGGATGCTAGGCCCAGCAGCTGACTTGGAACTACTTTTACTAAAAATAAGCTTATCCTGACTGTATTCCACATCAGCCAAGCCTTCACCATTCAAGCTCAACCCTGAAGCCCTTTGCACATCCGAACCTAGGATTCTACTGATATCGAGTCGTGGAGTCACAGCAGAACCCGCAAAATCAATGCTAGAATCCACCTTCCCAGAGTGACTTGTCCATTGCCCGGAACCACCTGACACAGAATCACTAACAAATTTTGTATCCTTTGCCTGGGCGTCATCACGGATCTCGAAGCTAGAGCTCTCATCGTAGCTTCGGTACAGATGATCTTGGCTCTCATTAGAGGTTGGCAGCACTACAGAACTGCTGACATGGCTAGGTTCCTGTACGGAACTCCACTTCCTGCCACTCTCCATATCAATAGAACCTGAAGAATATCTTCCAAAAAGGTGACTTTTCTTGGATATTCCAGCATATCCATCCTCAGAGGATCCGATAGTATCAGGTTGGTCATAAAAGGATTTTGGGCGTTGCCTATCCTTCTTGCTTTGCAAGAAGCTCATAAGGTCAACCTCAATACGGGGAGTATACTGCTTTAGCGCCCGTCTCAGAGAGTTTTGGTCTTCGACGGATAGGCTTATAATAAAATTAAGGACAGCTGTCGGATCAAAATGGGAGTAAACAGATATGATACCAGTCACAGCTGCTTCCTTCAGCTTTGTGTTTTTATCACTTACCAGGGGCAGCAACTTAGCAAGCCACAGTTTAAGAAGTCCACCATTGCTCGAACCATCGGAGTTCATGGCGTGTTTGTTAAAGGAGTTGTTTGCATACTGAATGACAGCCAGTTTGGCTTTTGGTGACCTCTGCTCATCTAAAGAACGAAGCAAGGCAGGGAGCAAAGAATCAATACCATAGGTCTTGCTGACGATTTCCAAGGTAGTTGAGCAAGGTCGCCTGACCAACTCCTTAGGGTCAATCAACCTGGAAAATACATGTGGTAGCATCCTTTCAAGATAACTCTCAAAAGGCTTCCGACAAGCCGGAATAATTTCTGCAAGGGTCGACAGGGCTGCCTGGGCAACTTTATGATGAGGATCATCCAAATGCTGGAAAAACAGCTTCATGACTTTCTCAAAATGTTGAGATATTTCCTGAATGCCTTTGGGACCTTGCTGCAATAATGTTTGGAGATAATTGAAAGCAGAAACCCTCGCCATCCAGTCCGAGCTGGGGCTCAAACCCTCTGTAAGAGCATCAGTGAGGGATGCCGGACCGTCCATATAGCCAGCCATTTCACCAGCAGAGAGTTGGGTATCATCAAAGCTGTTCCTACTACTTGCTGATGCCCTGCCAGTAATCTGTTTTCTTAAAAGAGGCCTTTGGAAATTTGGAACATAATTATGAGTGTCTTTAAAGTTTGTGTCCTTGTAAGGCGTGTCGAGATACAGCTTTTCATTATGCAAAGAAGGAAGTCGCCTGGCAGCCCTCATGTCGCTGTTGTCTTCAGTAAAACCATCCTCTCGAGGCCTTTCAGAGTACCTTTTTGCTGCATATGGCATTGATAGGGCTGGCAAAGAATCAGACGTGAGGTTATCATTGTACGACGCTTTACCTTGTTCTCTGGCAGCCTGATTTTGAGAAATGAGGTCACTTAAAAATGATCCCCCATTACGAACGTTAGCACGGGCAGTGTTGGTTGTATTAGAATCTACCAATGCAGAGGTCTGCAATGAAAGATGCGTTGAGGAGAGAACAGCTGGTGGAAATGGCGGATCACGAGATGATGGTGGGTCAACTCCTGCACTAGGAACAACAATATAAGTTGTTTAGATGTTCAACTAAATATCTACAGGGGTTAGGACAAATTCCACTGACGATATCATTCAGGAAAAAAAAACTTAGATCATGGTTCCATTCAATACCTAGATCCAAGCTGCTTGAGCGAGTCAATAAATTTGGCTTGTCAGAAAGACTTACACCCCGCAGTAAGCTTTCAATTGCAGTAACCTTCTGCTTACTGGAATGAAGCACATTTTCAAGGCTCCTTTCTGATTTTGCAAAAGATTTTGTCTGAGACTGAAGCAGATTAGCAGAGGAAAGAGACGCCCCAGAACTAATACTTCCACTTCTGTCCATAGCAACAATAGCGGATGTTCCATATCCAGGTACACCAGATGAAGGATTGTGAGATGAAGCACGTGACAGTTGTGCTCCTCTTTCACGGAGCGAGGGAGAAGCATAGCGCTTGTGTATACCTCCATCTTCTTCATTGATTAACTGAGAAGAAGCAAACATGTCAGAACATGAATTTCACCATAAATAAAGAAAAAACTGGAAGGGATTTTTCAAATAACCGTGAATAAAATACCCTTTGGATAACAGGATCAAAAGATAAGAGTAGGCGTCGAGAACGCTCAGGCCAAGTTTTTGCAAACATCCTGTAGCATGTTCTTGCAGTTGAGCGTACCTAACACAAGTCCACTATGCAATTAGATGACACAGAAAGTGAGTTATAGTTAACTCATGCATGCACAAAAGATAAAAAGTTATCAATCCGTAACGTATTTTTAAAAAGGGTAAGGCATCTACCAACACCCACACAATCAGAACAAGCAATGTGATACCACGCATAGTAGTCAACCAGACAGATAGTTGGCGAGCCAACATTCTGACATTCACCAATGCTCATATAGGCGAAACAATATGCATTCAAACGTTGTAGTTCTTATCACAATATCATTATCGCACAGGACAGAAAGTGCAATGCACGTGATCAACCCCAACCAAAAACAAAAAAAGAACTCTTTCCTAATGCTTTCCTATGTTAACAATGATTACTCCCAAATACCTACCCTTGGAAGTTCTGAAGAGGAAAGTTCCCAGCATTCGGTTATGACAACACATGCTCAAACATTTGGGTTTTTTTGGGTCCAAGACCAGTTCGTAGTAAAGGTCTTATTTAAGGCAATCCTAGAAACAAAACAACAAAAAATTAGTTTTACCTCACTCATTGCGTCAGCCACACAACACTTAATAAGATCTTCATAAAGATCAGCCGAGCGCTGAATTTCTGGAGCATCAGCCCAGTACTCTAAAATTAACAGTGCATATTCACAACATCTGCAATGGAAAATATAAGCAAAATAAGTATTAATGCAGCACAGATGATAGGTCTCTTGTCACTCTTACCTGGCACGAAGGATTGCACTTCGGTCATTTTTCGCACAATCAGCTATTCGGGGAAGAACACGAGCAACTTTACAGTTACGTAGCATCTGGAACACTCAGACATTATTTTAACACGATCTTGTAAAACCTTATCAAAAGAAAAAAAACGGGCACAATGTTTCAAACCGTTTTTATGCAGTTGTCAGCAGACTCAGCGATCACAAGAACTGTAATTACAACGAGCTTAAAGATCACCTGAAACAAGCAAGGACCATTAAGAACTGAGATCATTGAACAGCAGACTGAAAGTCAGAAGAAGAAATAATTTACCGGTATTAACGTCTCAGCACAAGCCTCAAAGTCCCCCAAAAGTTCTTTTGACAAGAAGTTCAAAAGATGGCAGGCCTGGAATAAATGAAGTACAGTCAGACAAATGGCATTTGACAGAATGTTGACAGCTTCAGGAACAGCGCTGAAAGCCAAATAAAATAAACAACAAAATAGTGCCACATTCCATCCAATGAAGCACCATTGTTCCATAACTCACTGAACTCTTCAAAACGGAATCAACGTCAATCGAATGAAAATTTCCTGGTCATAGCATGTTCATTTCAAAATGATTTACATAAAAAGTAGTAGAAAATAATACTAGCAGAAAACTAGCAGAAGCTGCCAGCAAGGAAGTCAAAACAGATAAACACTATATAAAACATCAGTAAGGATTGCCAACATCCGACGCTCTACCAAAGAACCAAACCAAAATAGAGGACATTCTCACAAAAACCTTCAGCTATCTACGCATATTTACACCATGAGTTTATTCCCTCTGAAGGGCCGAAGGGATTCCAGAAAACAAAGCCAACAAATCAAGTCAATTGTATATTTCCCAAGTAAGGACTGTTCATCCTTTCCACATGCTTCCATAACTACTCTTGATAACAAATATATACCCAACCTTTATGCTAAACTTGAAATGTAGTTCTGCACCTTTCCTTCCCCTCAAAATATTTAGTGAATTAAGAATATCATCGAATGTCATTAAAGAGCGCCTAATAGGCACCCTGTACTGTGCAAAGAATACCTAGAGTTAGGCATCTTTTTATTAGGTTGGACGCATAGCAAACAAATGGTTCACTGGGATTGGCGGATCAGTTAATATACGGGAGTTGCACACCATAGCTCAAACCATGGGGGGTGTCTTCCACTGATCACGGGTATGGTCTTCAAAATTATTAGCAAGCTCACAAATGTAATTGCACCCATGATAGAACCCAAAACACAACATCCACCACTAATCGTTAGCCTGTTTCTCATCTATCTTCTCCATTGCTACGTACAATCTTTTTAATTTGGTGTGCATATATCCGCTTTATGTATACTCTTCACCCAGTAATTATCAATCCACCGACCAGGTCACCGTGCTTGGAAAAAAGGGTTAATCCGCACCAGCGACTGACCAGATTGAATCAAAATGAGTCTCTTTAAAACTCATAAAATACAGAAATTTTTATATTATAATCCATAAAAACCACTGAATTATCAACGATTCTCCACGTTTATTGATATTAACTGTACATTCCCACAAACTGTCTTTACGTTTTAGTCCACCAGTTATGAAGAAATTTAAACCGGATAATTAAGGTCGGAATATTCTAAAAGCATGCCTAAATCTACAAAAATGATGAAAAACCAGCAGGAGAGAGAGAGAGAGAGAGAGAGAGAGAGAGAGAGAGAGAGAGAGAGAGAGAGAGAGAAAGAGCGAGAGAATACGGGTTTTGAGGGTGTTTTAGCCTTTTTCCTAACTTATGCTAATTGTTAATGTAATTTTTTTGTTTATTCCAGTAAATCTGACAGATAAAAACAGAGGGCCTGAAAAACGAGGAAAAGGTTATTCGTGGGGATCTACAGAAATATCAATAAAGACAAGGATTTATGGAAAGCAGGGATAAAAACTAAAAAACCCAATTAAAAAACAGTCAGATGCCATTGATCTCAGACAGGATCAGCCAATTCCAAGCCAACCAAGGCCTTTAAAAATGACTCTTTGGCTTTTAAAAGGCTCCTCGGCCTTCTCTCTAGTAACTAGAGGAAGATCCAACTTCCAGTAAAAGAAAACGAAGAGACAAGACAAGTTTGTTCGAAATAAACGGGGGAAAAAGGTAAGGAATACGAACCCTAATCCCCATGATATAACTAAGGGCAAAGGTAGAAGCGAGATATGCTCTCTTGATAAAAGTATAGAGTTTATACTGTAGTCAGCGCTTTTTCTTACTAAGGGCTAAAGTTATAGATTTCGTAAACTACAAGAAAGTCGTCTTTTTGTTATCTTATCAAATACTCCACTTCTCCAAAATATTTTGATTTGGTCAATGTGACCACAATATAGACTCTAATCTAATTCACTATACCATTCCTATCGAACTCTGGGTGGGATCTGGTTCTGTGGCTAATGCAACTTCACTTACCACGCTCATAGCAGATGAAATATATCAAGTTAAAATATAAAACTCCTTGGAAGAACAAAGCCAGTAGGTTTCTACAAAACTTCATAGTATCATCAAACATCTAAGAAAAGATAAGACAACAACCACCTCCACTTCCTCTTCTTCAGCATTGCAACAATTATGTTCATAGTTGCAGTCATTCCTCAAGGTTCTATAACCCCTCATCTGTCAAAAAGTTTCAATGTTGACAATTACCTCCTCCCCCTCCAACCCCCGGCTGTAATAACACACAAATAAACAGCCGCTCCATTCGAGGGGACCTTTTCCTCTAGTACTCTCCCTAGACATCTAGAATATTGATTCGGAAACAACTTTGTACACCATTGCACTGTTAAGGCTGCCACTGCAGAACTTTATGTTATAAAGGGATCCATTACTATTAGATGTCTCTGATTGTCTTCTCCTAGTTCTTTCAGGGAGAATCAAAAGTTAAGGGGGATTATTGCGGCCTCTTTCTCATAAGTACACTGTTCACCTTGTGATCTTCCACTGCTCTGTGAATCCCACAGAGCAGTGGAAGGTTACTCTATAAAAAAAAACTATCCTTCTCCACAGTTTGAGTATTCAAGAAACATAGAATCCAACACAAAAACGCTACCAGTAGAAATTAAACCAAATCAAATTATTCATCACCCTACGGTTTGAGTATCAAAGGAGCTGCATCCTGATGCTACTATTCCAAAAAATTGTTTATTGATCGTGACCATTTTTCTTTTGTTTAATGGCGTAGGACAAATTTTCATTTTTTTTATGGCAATTAGAAAATAGAAAGAAACAATGTTTCTCCAACATCTAATAAAAAACATTCGAGAAAACTTAAACATCTCAAGTTACATTCAGCCAGATGCCCTATTCACTCGTAATGCATTTGAATATAACTTATATATTCGTGGTAGAGGATCATATCGCTCATATCCATAGCAGAAAAAAGATATCTAGAAAGTTTATGTACCTGTTTTACGATGCTAGAACGTCTGTCACTGAGCTGAGAGCTGAGAGGAGTAACAAGTTGCTTTAAAAGCATGGGAAAGGATGGAAAATCGGTGGCACCTGAAGACGAAAATAGTATTAAGAATATCTAAACCATTGAATAATCGAGAATATCAATTTGATTGCAAAAGTGAACATGATTGATAGTATATATCCAGGATGCTTTCAACCAAGAGTCCAAACATTGGCCTAGAACCATGAAAAATGAACGCACTAGCCAACTTAAATCATCTCAACATCTCAAAAAAAAATCACGAGAACCATTCTGAAATAGTAAAACACAAAAGCAACTGAAATGAACAAAAATAAAGCCTAATAAAAATGTCTCACAACTATAAAAATGAATTATGACAATTTCTCAAGGAGATAGTAACCTTTGTAATGATTTGTATAAAGTTTCTTTTTGTTTCTCCGTTTCACAACCCTTGAATAGAAACAGAGTTGTTTCTCAAGGAGATAGTAACCATTTCTGTATAAAAATGGGCCACTGTTCCTGGACAAAGATAAAGAGTCGTCTGATGTTTAATAGACCCCAGTAAATAAGATACTAGGGAACCTTAATGATGGAATAATATTTAACTCTCTGTTCCTCAAGTTGGTAGGGCATCACTTTCTCAGAAAAACCAAAACACAATTCCAGCAGAGGTAGTGGGATGGAATAAAGTTAGATCCAATTCAGTGAACATCAAAACTAGGAAATGAGCACGAAAAGGCAACAATATCATGGTTTCCTAGAACATAAACTAAAAGCGTAAAACAAATGTAAGATCTGATTTCAAGCATTTCCTTGGCAGGGCATGCAAATTGCACAACGTACAAGTGAGCATTTGTTTCCAGAAGGCTCACACTCCTTTGGGGGAGAGGGAGATGCAGAAAACAATCAGCCCAACAGAGTTCCAAAAGATCATGATCTAAATATTATTCCTTTTGCTTCCAAATAAGAAATGCAGTAAAATCTAAAGCGATAACCTTCAGTACTAACCTCCCAAAACAAGTCCTTCAATTCTCTGCATTGCAGCTATTCTGATTGACCAATCCTTTTCTGGAACTAGAGTCGACGAAATCTTCTCAAATTCTCGCACCAATTCTTTGTCTGTGTGCACTGAAATGGGCTCTACTGGATTTTCAGCAGCATCAGCTTCACCAAAGGCTAAAAAAAATAACAGCACGTTAAACAAGCAGACTATGATTATGAAGAAAATACCCGCCTTTCAGATTACAGAGATGTCTTTTGTCACCAATTATACGTAAGGAATCAAATAATTATTGCAAATCTAAACAGAGTGGAGCTAAACAACTAACTGATGCTCTTTCTAGTTCCCAAACTCTGTTAAATTGAGAGAAAAAAATGATGACAAGCAAACAAAGTCCATTCGTAAGGGACTGTATTGTCATGACGGACCATCTATAAATGTGATAGAGGAATAACAGAGTAAAAGCACCTTTCCCAGTAGGGGCACAAAATTTTAAGCCAAAAAAGTGATGCAAAACAAAAAAAAAAGATGAAAATGCATCATAAAAGCAGGATGCTATGGGAGGTCAAAACAATTGTGTCGACTACAATAACAAGAAGAATGAATCCATTAGACACGCACAACCAATACAACAATTTATTGGAAGCACATTTGCAAAATTTTGAGTTCCACACAAGAACTTCACCGTCATACAGCATTATACTCAGTTATCACTAGCACTGTTATGAAGATCAAGATTTAAAACACCAACCATAAAGTATTACTAGAATTTAGACACGTCCACCGTTTCAATATAAAAAATGCTAAGATTTATTTAGAGAGCAGTTACTCGTACATTAAATGATTCTAACTCAATTATGTATTCTCCAATAACCATCGGACTAAATCACAAAAAAAGATGATAGAATATCATCAACCACTTTACAATGCTTTTTAACACACAACTTCCCCCCCTCCCACTCCACCCCTACAATAATAACCAACCTGTCAATCAGACAACGTTTCCTCAAGTACTTATAAATGCATTAAACAACTGAACAACCAAACAGAGAGTAACTGATCCACTTGAACTATTTCAGTACATTTTTTAATGTTCATCCATGAAAATTAAGACGATCAAGTCATAGCAACATTCAGAATATTAGGATTCAGCTCAAACCTCTCCAAATACTCATGCAATAATACTTACCACCATAAAGAGTAGTTTCCCGTGGAGCTGGTTTGGCCTTTGGGCTGCTCTTTTTGTGGTTATGTAAGGAAGATTTCACTTCTGAAGGAATAAAATGGCCTGAGCTTTCTGCTGGACGTAATTTTGGTTCAAGCTTCTCCAATCGGCTATTAATCTCTTTCATCTATAGCAACAATTATGACTTTATAATATCTGTGAAAGAACAATTATGGACAAAAAATGAGTTACATGACCAATAGCATTACCATCAGCGGAGGAAGATGGTGTCGTTGCAATTCATCATGAAATTGGGGTCCGATCTGCATATAGATCTCCTGAAATTTAAAGGAACAAAGTTATAAATTTAACATGACTGGCGAATAACTTTTGACTAATTATACACAAATATGTATACATATGTGAAACAGAATTGATATGATTGGTGTAACATAGAACCCAAGGAGAAAATCTGAAAGAGTGACAAAGGTCAGGAAGGGAACATCACAGTGAAAAATTTGCAAAAGACGCATCAAGGAATCTCAATTACCTGTGAGTCATATCCCGGTACTTTGCAATCAAGTTCTATGATGAGAGTCAAGCCAAGAAGCTATTCTATTTATGCACCAGTTCCTTTCACAGAAATCATGAAAATAATACTTCCAAGTCAGGGTAACAACTAATTTTTTGAGACTTCTCATTTCCCCAAATTTCTAATTTGATATTCTGAAGTGATATCCGCCGAAGTAGTAATTTTTTTCATTGTGGAACTTTTGAAGTTGTCAACAACTTCGGGGACATTCATTTGTTTAAAGTCTTTGGGGATGATTACACCGTTGTGTATGAACAATATCATTTGTTTGGTATCATGCGACTGTATCTAGCCATTAATATATCATTATATAAACTGACGCATAAACCGTCATTTTCATGGCCTTGTAAATTCCTGTTAGTAGGCAGAACATTACGAATTTGAAATTGCAGAAAGTGGATCCGAATGAAATGCATTCCCAGGCATATTAATGTGAACTAAATGGATACAAAATATAGGATCTAAGTTAAACATTTTGATCATAATACATAAGTTAGAACACTGACCTCAATACAAGAAGTAGCAGCTTCTCGAACACTGTAGTTAGAGTCATTCAACAACTGCAATACCTGGCATAGACAAAAGAAACAATATTTTTAGAAAAGTGAAAATTGCGAACCATAGTATTTGCCAACTTTAATCTAAGATTATAAACGTACTGGAGAAAGAAGAACCCGCTGAAGAGTAAGCTCGGTAGAAGCAAAAAGGCCAATTGCTATAGTTACTGTACGCACAAACTCTTCACGAACTCTCCAACTCCTGTGGTTCCAAGCATAACTTCCAGCTCTTTCAACGATAATTGTCGGCGAAGAAACCTAGTTTACATTAAAAATCTTAAAGTCTGAGCTGTAGTGTTCTATAAGATCATTCTATGAAATAAAATAAAATAAAATTACATGTCTCCATTGAAAGAAATAAAAGGCAAAAATGAAGAATTGGTAGGTGCATAAAGATTATCAACTAATTAGTTTGTGCTCTCTGTGACAATGGCATCCAGTTTTTAATGCTGAATGATATTGTACACCGCATTAGAAAACAAAAAGGAACAGCATTAGTAAGAATTTACAGCAAAACAAACACGAACGCGAATGTGGGAGGAACAGTGCAAACTACATTATAAATTCTTCAAAAACAGTGATAACAAATAGAACTTTAAGAGACGTTATAAAGAGAGTATTCAGAGATTAGGGAAACCATTTACCACATTTTTAAATAAATACAAAATTATTTTTCACACGCTCAAAAGAAATGAGGGATAGAGCAAGTGGGGGATGGGGAGACGTAACAATGATTTTTTTTTTAGCATGAACTTTTTAGAATCAATTTGAGGCAGAACGACTTTAGAACAAATGGAGCTCGATCAGATAGGCGAAACTTCCTGCTTTTCCCACGCTCGTGAAGTTCCCAAAAAAAAAAGTGCGACATGCATTCACTTCACTACAGCAAAACGGAACCAAGAATTAAAAAACTCAATCCGACCATCCTGTTCTACATAAATATAGTTTTTCTTTCGTTCCACGATGAAAGACAGAGATCTAAAATATTGCGGAGAAAACTGGAAAGAACTACAACATAGAGTGCATCGTCCTCATTATGATAAAAACATGGGGAATCATCTCAAAGAAATCAAATCTGGAAACGAAATGAAGCTCATAGGAATCAACCTCCATAAGAGTTATCAGAAGCTGCCGAGCGGCATCCCTGACTGGCTGCTTCCCGTCCCCTAACCGTTCCACAACAGCCGGAACCAAACCATTGAAATGTAGCTTAAGGTGTTCCCCTGAGAGGACAGCAGCCGAGGAAAGCGCCTGGAGGCCACCCTGTGAGACCCTGAAATTGTTGTCCTTGAGGAGATCCAAGCAGCAATCGACTAGAGAGGTGACGTCGGCAGCGGAGAGGCTTTTACGGGAGGCCTCCAGTAGCTCATGGAGGCGCTCCACACCGGCCATTCTCTCTTTCGTGTCTTTCGACCGCGCCATCTCCAACGCCGCCTCCATTTCGACGGCGGTGGCGACGGAGACGGCGGAAATATCGCGGTCTCCTCGCCTTAGGGTTAGAGTCACTCCCGCCGATCCGGGACAATGTCTCGGATCTGAGTGCTTCCGACGGAGATTCCCCTCAATTCAGGGACACGACGGCAACAAAGCGGCGGAGGGAACTCCGGCTCGCCGACGACGCCGCGGCAGAATGGAAGCGGAAGGTGGTGGTTAAACTCTGCAAAGGACGCTCGAGGATCGCTAGATCGACGGAGCAGAACCCAGAAGGTGGCACGTCCGCCGGTCGTTGGAGTTTCAAATCACCATTTTCGCTCCCCTAATTTACGAAATATGCCACTGCTCTTTCACTCTTCGCGCTTTCCCCTCATCGTGGGCAGAGAAGAGTCGCGAGAAAGGAGAGAGAGTGTCTGGCTTTCTGAGAAAAGATAACTAAGCGATTCAGTAACCTGCCGTAAATGCCCTAACGGTTCTCTCCAATTCACCAACTGTACCACTCTACTCCTGTAACGGTACGGTATTCCGCCGGCTCTATCTAGAAATTAAACTATTCCCTTGCCTCCAACGCCCGGACGCTCCTACGGTCCGGATATATCTAGTCGTGTAATAGGTGGATTCTTCCTCAGGATCCACTGGACAGACGGCAAGGATGGGGAGACATGGATTTGGACGGAGGCGATGGGACCCGCCCTCTTTTGTTCCAACGTTTCCATCGTCCGGTTGGTGCGTGGAGGGCTGGATTTTGTTCGAGAAGTTATATGGAGAGTAGTTGGCCATGGTCGCTACGAGTTTACGCATACGGTTTGGCCCTTTGGGGAGTGGTGGGCCCCACAAGCGCCACTCCCAAATGCATGGGCCCCCAAAACCTTACAGGCCGGATAGTGAGGGCCTAACTTCGAAAATGACTGAAAGCGAGGGTTTATCGCAAAGACATCCGACGGAGACGCCACGCTGGACCGTGCGGCGGTGAGTCCACGTCGGTGCCCATTTCATCCAAGCCCAATAACGAGCCCATATAATTTTTGGCCCAGAGACCGCTAGCCGTGGGACCCACAGCGCCGACAAAAGTGCCTTGTCGGCTAGCGAAAGTGGAGCCCTCCTCGGTGGAGGACCTGTTCCGCGGCATGGAAGACGTTCGCCACCACCGAGCTCTTTGTGGTTTTGTCCCTTCCGCAGCCGGCCCGGCGGCTAGGCTTGCTTGCTCTTAATCCATCTTCCTCGTCGTCCTCATCCGCCCGCAGGCTGAAGCTTCTGCTGTAGCAGTAGGCGGGGGACGGAGCTCAAACTTCCTGCGGAGGTGGAGGTAGATGGTGGTTTCCATGGCGGCCAGAGCCACGCGTGTGAAGGAAGAGGTTCCAAAACCCAGGGCTTCGGCTTCATCCGGCCATGCCAGGTCTTGGATCTCCCGGATCAGACAACCACGCAAGAGAGCGACAGAAACAGAGGGAGATGGAAGCACGACGACTGCGGAGAGGAAAACCACGGGCTGTGGATGCCCGCTCAAACTAGAACAAGACAAGGATTCGCGACCAAGCAGAGGGACGAACCCGGGGAATACACTGGAACAGAAGACGAGGAGTCGCCAAGATTCTTGGAGGGGAGGAGACGAAGAAGCAGGGGGGTGGGGTGTGTGGGATAGGAAACCAGCCAAAGTATCCGACTTGCCTAACACGGCCCAGCAGCCAGCCAATCAACGCTTGGACGCCTTCCTCTTCCATCTCTCCTTCTCTTGCCTCCGAGCGCCGCCGCCGCGGCTTTTCCACGTTGTCACGGGGTCACTGAACAAGCAGAGGAGGAAACTGGACAGATACACGTAGGACGCCATGATCTCTGGAAGCGTCCCCCCCCCCCCCTCCCCTCTTCCCCCGATCCCGCTCAGATCTACGGAGAAGAGGACGAGGGGAGACGGAGCCACCTTCTGGAGATCTCTGTTATCTTTATGGCAGTGAGGATTGGCTGCGGCACCACTTCTCTCTGCTTAAGACCAGGTACCCTGACAAGAAAGAAGACCAAAACACCCAACCGGGTTTTAACTAGTAGTTGTATTATTTAGTAAAGTGTGCCGCTGTGGGGCCCTACCCAGTGAATAGTGCTTCTGAAACCCGCTTTAAGTCAATCCATTGACCAGAAGGGAGTTTGAAAGGACGGCCCGATTCGTGTATGGATGTGATTGTACTGCGACCCACAACTTTTCGACAATTTCTAGAAAGCCATATTATTTTCATAATTCGATATCAGACATGTACGCGGTGTTGCGTAACTTGTTGACGCGTACCCCCTGGAAATCCCCAGACCAATCCTTTCCGAATGGTTCTGCTTCGGACACACCTCTCTTCACCATCTTCACCCATTTCTTCTCTCTCTCCCCCTCTCTCTCTCTCTCTACCTCTCTCTCACTCTCTCTCTCTCTCTCTCTCTCTCTCTGCTTGCTAGGTTTTTTCTGGCCTCTACCTCTCACCATTCTCTAGTTCTCCCCTCAGACTGCGCCTCCCCCTCGTTCCGGCACGCAGTTTCTCCTCCTCTCCCCGCCTGTTCTTCAGAATGGCGACGCTGCAGTCGCTTGCGCTCTCCTCCGCCGTCTTCCATTCCCCGCGGCAGCATCGCTCTCTTTTAGGTGGTCTTCTCCCGTCCTGAACTTGCTCCGTTCTGGAACCCCAATGTGGGAGTCTCCGACCTGTAAATTTTTCTGTAGAGCTGGAGATTTCTGCTCCATCGTAGGCAACCTGTCGATTTGTTCTCTCTAGGCTTTTAATCCGTGGCTTATTCGAGTTAATCTCTAGGGATTCCTGCATTTTTTTGTGTTATAATCGATGAGAATTTCGATTTCTTCAGCGAAACAAGATGGGAATGGCTTCCTCCCGTTTCTAGGTTTTATACTCTGGATTGTGATTGTGTTATTCCGGTCTCGGCAGTATTTCTGGACCTATCGCAAAATGAAGTGAACAGATTCCTCCAGCGTTCTCATGATTTCCCTGAAGAACATACCACCTATATAATGAAGATCTCCACGAGGAGATCGTTTCCGGCGTTTGCCGAACAAATCTAGGGTCTCCCTTCCTGAACCTCCCCCGGAGGATGTCAATGTTGGACTCTGCCCGTTGACTGTAGGCTCTCCCTCCTTTCAGGTTCGACGGCCTTTCCAACGGGGTCTATTCAGAGCGCCAGCTCCTCCTTCAATGGCGCCTCCCTGGAGCTCCGTAAACTGAAGTTCACCCAAGTGAGATCAAGCCGCCAAATATCACGAGCGATTAGAATGGCGGTCAAGCCGGCGATCCAATTCATTCAGGGGACCGACGAGCAGACCGTGCCGGACGTGAGGCTGACCAAGTCCCGCGACGGCACCAACGGCGTGGCGACCTTCGTGTTCGACGAGCCCTCGCTTTTTGACTCCTCCGGCGAGCTCGGCGACATCACCGGTTTCTACATGATCGACGAGGAAGGCGTGCTTCAGTCCGTCGACGTCAGCGCCAAGTTCGTCAACGGAAGGCCGGCGAGAATCGAGGCCAAGTACATCATGCGCACCTCTCGAGAGTGGGACAGGTTCATGAGGTTCATGGAGAGGTACTCCGATGCCAATGGCCTGCAGTTCGTCAAGAAATGAGAGACAACCTGTACATACCCCCCCCCCTCCCTCCTCCGTGCCCACACCTTGTTCTAACTCTCTTCTCTCGAAAATTTTTCCATGCTTCTGAATCACTCGTGCCATATATTCCTCCTCATTTTTGTATCTCGTGATGCTACCTTATGAGAAAATTGGGAACAGTGAAGAATGTTTTCCTTCTCTGAGAATGATGGTAGTGATGGAGAAACAGGGGAACTCTGAGAGACGACGCGGAGAGAGGAAGAGCACACAGGAGGAAGATTATCAGCGACGAAGCTAAAGATTCGCTTATGGCTGCAACCTGCTGCTACATATTGCTGTGAATCAAAGGCAAGGAGTTCATCCTCGTTTATCCAATAATCAAAGGTTTATTCGAGGAAAAAGGAAAGACCTACTTCTTAGGGAAATTTGAGAGCTTCAAATCTCTCTGTACACCAATCATATGGAGGGTTCATTTACTGTCGCTGCCGGCTGCCGTTCTCTACCCTGCCCAGGTAACGGCAATGGGGCTTCTCACTCTGTGGCGTCGGTTACGGCTGCTGAACCAGGTCAGATCCCCTTCCTCGGAGCGCGTCTTCCCCTTCACTGTCCTCTTTTTCGACTGGAACCACACCCTGTAGCTCTTACTCTGGTGGGCGGCGTTGAAGGTGAGGACCGGCGGGGTGACCCTGATTCTGACCCCGTCCATCGGCGCCACTCGCACGATGTACGTCGAGTTGGGCGGACCCACGTTGGTCACTCGCCTCTGGATGATCTTCGTCGTCTCTGCCTTCTTGAAGACCACTGAAACAGAGGGATAGTTGAGGCTGAAGTACCTGTTTTTCGCCTGGATCTCCCTGCAGCTGGTGTTCCTGTGCGTGACGGTGAAGATCTCGGAGCCGGTGTACCCCAGAGTACAGAGATGCACGACGTAGTCTTCTGGTCTGATGTCGTAGACTAGACCGGGGTCCATGGCCCTCGCCGGATTCACGTGGCCAGCGCCGATGGCGAATACTCCGGCGGGGCTCGCGCCGTCCATGATGGGCTTCCCGTAGTGATCGAACACGTCGGCGGAGGTCATGATGGCGGACTTGACTGCGGCGGGGCTCCACGAGGGGTGGGCAGCGCGAACCAGAGCGGCGATCCCGCTGACGTGTGGGCAGGACATGGAGGTGCCGGAGAGGATGCTGAAGTTGACTCTTCTGTAATCCTCCGGCAGTCCCGAGGGGCCCAGGTTCTGCGGCCATGCGGCGATGATGTTCACCCCCGGAGCGACCAGGTCTGGCTTGATGACGGAGCGGTCGGTAAGGCTCGGCCCCCTGGAGGAGAACAGCGCCACCGCCGGCCCCCTGGCTCGCCGGACCGTCGTCCCACCGAACTCGATCTGGGCCACGGGCCGCCCCGTCGACTTCATGTAGCTCTTCAGACGGAGGGACTCGTTGTAGCCGACCAGGGCGGTCGGCAGGACGTGGACGTCCACCGAGTCCTCCTCCTGGTTGATCTCCTGGTTAGCCAGGATCATCCCCGCCCCTCCGGCTTCCCTCACAACGCCTCCCTTCTCAGCCCGCCCGTTGACCCCGCGGTCGCAGACCACCATCTTCCCGCCGACCCTGGCCCTGGCGAGAGACCCCCTGAAGCAGAACTCGCCTCCGCCGTTCCCGCCGTCCTCGTAGACCAGCTCCACCTCCCGGCCGGGGATGTTCCTGAAATGGTTCCCAGGGTAGAGGGACTCGCCGTACAGCAGCTGCCCGTTCCCCATGCGGACGAAGGCCGGGAACCGCCGGTCCATGGTGCTCGCGCCGACGGTGACGATCCAGGGGGCCTCATTGGCGACGGAGCCCGGCGCCGGCCCGTTGTTCCCCGCCGCGCAGATCACCACCACACCCTTCTCCATGGCGCGGAAGGCGCCGATGGCGATGTTGTCCTCGAAGAGTGGGAGCGGGAATCCCCCCAGGGAGAGGGAAAGCACGTCGACGCCGTCGCTGATGGCGTCGTCGATCCCGGCGAGGATGTCGGAGCTGTAGCACCCGTTGAACCAGCAGACTTTGTAGACGGCCACATGGGCCCCCGGGGCCATCCCAGCGGCGACGCCGCCGCCTACGCCGAGCACGCTGGCGCCCTCCACCACGGCGCCCGCCGCCGTGGAGGACGTGTGTGTCCCGTGTCCGTGGGCGTCGCGCGGGGAGACGTACTCCACGACGTGGGACAGCCCCGGCTCGGAGGTCGACGTCCGGTGCCCCTTGCCGTAGAAGCGCGCACCGATGAGCTTACGGTTGCAGGCGGAGGAGTTGAAGCTCTGCCCCTCTTGGCAGATCCCTCTCCACCGTCTCGGCACTGGGGGCATGCCCCGGTCGTGGAAGCTCGGGCTTTCGGGCCAGACCCCGGTGTCGAGGACCCCGACGATGGCCCCCTTCCCGTAGCCGGAGTTGGCCCAGGCGCCGCCGGGGGAGAAACCTAGCCCCAGGAACTGGTGCGAGTAGGTCGTGTGCAGCTCGAGCCGGCGGTCGGGGTGGACCGCGGCGACGCCGGTGTTGCGCCGTAGAGCGTCAACTTCCTCTGCAGATAGACGGGCGGCGAAACCGTTGACGGCGGATCGGTAGGAGTAGACAAGTCGCCCCGAGGGGCCCTCCTCCTCCTCCTCCAATGCGGTCGTCGTTTGCCGGAGGAAGGAGAGGTGCCATTCGAGCTTGCTTTCAAGTGTGGTCCCCGGAGAGCCGGCCGTGTGGTGGAGGTGGACGATGTAGGTCCGCAGCTCCATAGCCTCCAGCGGCAGAAACCATGACGTGCAGCAGAAGCAGAGGAGGAGGAGGCAGCGGCGGCGGTGGTGCTGAAGGTTTCCCATCCGTGATCGATCTTCTTCTGCTGGGTGCTCTTCTCTGGCCGCTTGCCGCAGGGAGTATTTGAAGCCGGCGGCGCGCCTGTAGGGACATTGCCACTGGGGAGATGAAACTCGTGATCGTCGGAGAGCTCTCCTTCACGGGGATAGGTGTGTGGCCGGAGCTTCAGACGTCCAAAGAGAGAGATAGAGAGAGAGAGAGGAGCTCTTCCTTCGAGAGGAGGAAGGAGGGGAGCCGGGATACTCCAGAAATCCTTCACGAGATCTCCTGCGAGGATTTATTGCACCCTATAAGCTCCTCCTCGTCTCGCCATTATGAGAGATTCAAAAAGGCCTTCCCCGGAATCTCCTCTCTCTCTCTGCTACGAAGGCAATCCAGTGGGGCCCAGTTATGTTTGAAGAAGAAGATCTGGCGTGTGCATTCGCAGGTTGCGAGAGCGTCTCCGCTTCTCCTTTGCCTCACGCCCAACGTTGACATCCTAACGGTCAGTCGCAAGCGTGTACTGTGTCTTGTTAGTGCATAAAATAAAAAGAAACATATTTTCACTTTCTATTTTTTTATGCTATTTTATATTAGTACATTAATTGATTATATAGTTTGGTCTCTACGAACCCTCCACATTTTTACCCCTTTATGTCTCTCCGCCAACAATGAACCATTCTTTCGTTATAAGTTAATTGTGAGAAATATTTACAAATATCTCATTACTATTTCAAATTTATTTTTAAAGATAAATGTTAACCTTTTGTTATGAGAATGAGATGGCCCATTTTATAGGACCTTTTGACTTCTATTTGTAAACCATGAGAGATATATACACAGTGAAAGAGGGAGAGTTTAATTATTTGTAGTATCTATTATGATAATGTTTAGATTATGTAAAGGGTGATACATTACTCAAATGGTCTTCATGGAGTTGAAGTAAAGTGGTCAATAATAAATCTTTAACCATGCCTAATGATGGTTGACTTTTTTAAAAGTCAAACATATGGATAAAAAATATATATTAATACAAAAAAAGGAAATCGTGACAAAGATGTTAGTTGCTCTATACAATTTTTACTTGGTGTTATAAGTATAATTGATAACCAATTAATCATGTCTAAGAGGTTAACACTGACCAAAGAGATAAACCCAATAACTCCAAAAATTATGGATACAAAGGGTTTGGGTACCTCTATATAGACAAGGCCCTTATGACTGTTAATCACACATTTGGTGCCAAATTAATTACTTAATTGTTAGATAACATCATGATAGTAATATCATTTGGCTCCCTTGCCTTCATACCATGTCTCACTCTCGTGCTCACATCTTGCTGCTGCATTCACATACCATGTCATTGTGCACTCTTATTGTGATGTCATGTGCCTCAATTATGCCATCAAGCACATGCATTGTGCCATCATGCATATTAGCTATGCCACCATGCACCCATGTTGTGCTACCATGCACTCCCACCATGTCATCATGCATATGTATTACGGTATACTTGTTTGTAGCATGTGGTGTCTTAGTGTCATGATTTATTGTTGTAATGTGACCTTAGTTAACATTCTCCCCCACCAGTCAAATCTAACATCTTCGTCAAATGTTGTTGGTCATAGTAGCTCATAATGAGTTCCTCATGCTACCATATATCTATGTCCTTCTCTCAAGTGGTTGTCTCGTGTAGTTGTCATGCCCACTTGATGAGGTAGAAGTTATTACAGTTTACTTCACAATATCTAAATACATTAATGGTTGATAGCCCATAGACAAGTCAAAAGGTTAGTACTTGATAGAAGAGTATTATCAAATGTTATGAGCAGATTATGCAATGCCAGTAGTTTCACTAAATTATTTGTTATAGATGTTATGTAATAGCATATGTACTTTTCAAATATGTCATTAATGTACTTCATTTGCTCATCTATTTGATGGTAAAAAGTAATGTAAAAGTTAGAGTTCAACTCAATATACTTAAAGCTTGACAATGTGTTAAGAATAAATATATTGTTTCCTCTTACGTACAATCATACTATGTAAAATAAAAGTGATATATTTGAAGAATTGGACTACCACTACTAAGATAGAATCATGATGTTAATTCTAAGGAGCCTAGTGATGAAATATTTTAATAATGGCTACCATGACCCTTTTGTAATGAGGAGAGGCTCCAAAATTCTTACTACATTTCACTACTTGATCTTATCTTGTTGAAAAATGAGACAATAGTACATGTAAGTCTTTACATTCCCCTTCATGATAGGTCAAAAGTAATTATCTGCAAAGAGTGATAGCGTGTGTTGTTGTCTTGGGTGACTCAAGTACAATACATCATAAATATTTCAAAGAAATCATTTAAGTTGTCATCTATGAGTCGCATAGGGGCATTGGCCCTCTACATAGAGGACTCTATCTTTTATTTAGAATTGACGAGTCTCGCATGTGTTTGTTGTATGATATTTTTGGTCACCGAATTCATGGTGTAAACCTTTCATATAGCGTCCAACAAGTCATTAGTGATAACTAAAAGGATGGTTAATTCACCAATACACTTTTTGTCACTCAAAATAGTTGTTACCACATTAGCATGACTCCAAGTAACATTGCAAAGGCATAATGATAGTAAGGTTGGGATATCCCTGCCCTCCAAATCAGACGTGAGGGTCTCCCCTCATCTGGCTCTTTGTAGGGGAATCTCCACTCACTGCTTCCCCTAATATCCTCCCTTTATCACATCATGGGGGTTTACAGGAGTTGCCTAGCCAAAGTTGGTTGGACAAAGCTATTCTCTAATTTTCTTAACAAGTTGGTCCTAACAAATTATGTCGGTTAAGGCGAGTCATCAGTCCTCAATCTCCACTAGGTCTTGTTGTGTCCAACTAAATAGAGACTCCTAATAAAAACTTTTCATCATTTGAAGAGTTATTGGGATTTAAGTAACATTGCAAGTCTCGTAAAAAAAATATTGATTAATATTGTGTCTCGTTTCTTAGAATAAGGTTTGGATCATACATCTTTAGTGTCAAGGGCCCCACATATGGGTATGCTCTTAGTATATTTAGATGCTTGTGATCTTGTTTTAGTAGTTAGTCACAACTTCCTCCAACTACCTCTAACCTAGTTAATTTTATTTTTAGCTACTCTCACAATGAACCATTTTGAACTACAAAGGATGTAACTAATTTCTTTGATTGCTCATATAATGATTTGAGTTCTTCATCCATCTGACCAAATAGGGCCTCAATAGTTGTTGCCACCCAAGCTTGTTCCTTTGCATGTGTTAACTGAATCTTTATTTTCTCCCATAGAAAGTATGTCCCATCCTTCAACTAATTTGTAAACACTTCGACAAATCTTAGTATCACCTTCTACTGCTCTTTTAGATGGGCAATTCTCTACTTGTGACTGTCACTTTCATTGCCTTTACTTCCTCTATTTTCATCTTTCTATTGCTGATGAAAAATAGACAAGGATGATAGGGGGGGGGAGGGTTTTGACATTTTTTTAAGGCTCTTATACTATTGGGACAAGGATGCTAACTATTTCACACAATCTTTGCTTGACATTGGATGTACTTGTCCTCAATTAGTCAATCATGACCAAGAGGTTAACACTAATGAAATAGGTAAATCTAATAACTCCATAGGTAACATATATGGAGGGTTTGAGTTCATCTATATTGATAGGGCTCCTAAGATAATTAATCCCACATATGGTATGAGATTAACTATTTAATCATTTGATGACACCACGCTAGTGACATCATTTGTCACCATTGCCTTCAACCTCTATATCATATCTCCCTCTTGTGCTCCTATCTTGCTGCCACATGCACATGCCACATCATTGTGCCATTGTGTACTCTCATTGCATTGTCCTACATATGTGCCATACCATGGCTATATGTGATGCTTAGTACCAATATTTTAATACCCATATGATGAAAATAATAATAAAAATAATACATGAGACTTTAGATTCATATTGAAGAGGATGAAATTATGCATGCTTGAGCTAATGACGTGTGAAATAACTAAAAAAAATGGATAAGGTATGGAAAATAAGTCATAATATAAAAAATCTATAAACTAATGGGAGAAATCTTGACAACTCCCAATATTTGAGGCAACATCAAAATCCATCTTATATTCATGAGCTGAAATTACAAATAAATTTAATAATAAAATTTTAAATTGTATACATATGCATATAATAAAAAAAATAATTATTTTATTTTCAAAATTATGCTACAAAAATGTGACCTACATTTTTGTGTTGTTTGAATTTTTCCTTAAAAATCGATCATTAATCATGAGAGCAATTAAGAACATTATATATTTTGATAGAAAGCCTCAAAATATTAAATAAAACAAAGTATGATAAAAAAGACATGATAACCAATGAGAGTAGTATTGACTAGAGAGCCGAGGACATTTCTTCTTAATCTACTATGTGAGGAGACCCACCCATTTGTTCATATCTAAGAGACCTACATGATAAACAAAATAGAACCTTAATTACTAGGCGTAGTTATGAAAAATATTTTAATAAATGTCACCAATGACAATAATAATAGTTTTTTAAAATAAATAAAAAACATTACAGCACGTACACAAATATGGATTGCCTAAGCACAATAGTGGATATCTATAAAAATATTAAAAAAGTGAGGAGAGTATTTGAGTGTATACTTTTCAAAACGGTTTACCAGATCTGACTTACATACGGCGTCGATGGGCTGGATAAGGCAAAAAAGTATAACGAGGACGAGCACGATTATGGGCTCTAAGGACAATAAAAAGAGAGGCTAGGGCCGGCCCAATTATTTTATTGGGCCGACAAGAACGTGGTTGGTCACGACGATCTACGCGTCGCTCACTCTCTCTCTCTCTCACCCATCTAATCTCCCACAACGTTCGGTGAGTTGAGACGGAGGGCCGGGCTAAGACTTCACGTGGTTCGGGCCTGGTAGGCCACAAACTTACCGAACTTATTGGGCCGCCAAGTTGGATGAGGCCGTGAATATTGGGCTGATTGTTAATGGGCCCCTATAGGGTGCCTATCGTCCATAATTTACACTACTCCGATCCGCCCGCTGCGTTAACAGTCATGAAGGTGCTGGGGTGGGAGCAAATTCCCAGAGTCTCGCACCCGGCGGCGATGGCGGCGGCGCGGGAGGAGAAGAAGATGCAAATTTACGCGTCGGCGGCTGCCGCCTCCGGCAGAGAAGTCAGCCCCTACTGGAGAGGTTGTCGACGCTCTCCAGTGCCAGAGCTTTCCGCTCTTCTTTTTTCAATTGTTTTCCTTTTACTGACTCTTCTGCGTCCACGGGATCTTTCCGCTCGGTGCAGAGAAGTACGAGAGGGATGCCGGCAAGTACTGGGATAAATTCTACAAGCGTCACCAGGACAAGGTTCGTCGTTTCTTCTGCTTGCAACTTGTCCCGGCGTTAGTAAACATGTGTCTGCTATGACGCTGTTTCGGATTTTGGCGGAGGTAGTTCTTCAAGGATCGACACTACCTGGACAAGGAATGGGGCTGCCATTTCAGTGTAACGACGTTATTCCCTCAATCTCCTTCGATTTATCTATTTTTTTTCTATCACGCAGATAGTGTTCCTGTTCTAAGTCAACCTAAGTTTCACGCACAAACTGTTTTTCCTCTCATCTGCAGGCTCAGGAGGGCAACCAACCGGTCGTCTTGGAGGTAACCGGTCACTCGGCATCTCACAGATTAGATTTTTTCCCTCGAAAGATCGCCTGGATGATTTATATTTCGTTCTCGATGCCGACGGTTATTCCTTATTACCCCATATTTCCTGCATAGTTCCTTTTCGAGGGCCTTCAGTAACTTTTCATAGTTCCCCCAGATATCCATGTTTTTTTCTTCGGTAGCACTTTTCTGGGATCGTCGTTACCTTCTGTTATAGTAGTTATCTGATCTTTTTTTTCCTCCCCTCTTTTCTGCGAGGCGTGAACTATTGAAAAATATCCCCTTTTTTATTTTTTCAGTTGTATATTATTAGTGGAATTGTATTTATTGTAATTTTTCGAGGAATTAGGAAAAGAGAAACTGTGACTTGCTGTCTGCTTGTTTTCAGGTTGGCTGTGGAGCAGGAAACACGATTTTCCCTTTGTTGTCCTCATTTCCAGATATCTTTGTCCATGGATGTGATTTTTCGGCGCGTGCCATTGACTTAGTGAAGGTTCGAATGTCTATGTAATGACACTAAGGTTCTATGTTAATGTCCTAAATCTATTTTACTAAAACAACGGCATGTCTTCATGGTGCCCCGAGAAAATAATGCGGGTAATGATTTACTTTAAAAAATATTATACTAAAAAGTGTCTATGATGGAATGTGTGAAGAATTTTCTGCAATGATGTCCTGTGATGGTGGCCATAGTAGCATTCATGATTTAGTTTCCATTGGAGTGACCCTTTTTCTTCTACTGCTTCAATTCGTTGGAGTGACCTTTTTTTTTGCTAATGAAAAGTTCTAGTACCCAGATTCAGGTTTCTACAGAAAATAATGTCAACGGGCTAATTTCTTTCAATAATTCGATGGTTATTGAGAAATTCTGTCAACACTGATCGAGAACTTGTGCTGATCTCTTTCTTTGCACGTTGATGTTCCTGCATCAGGCTCACAAAGACTTCAGAGACGACCGAATAAATGCCTTTGTCTGTGACCTTACGGTGGATGATCTAAGTGAGAAGATACCGTCTTCATCAGTTGACGTCGTGACGTTGGTAAGCTCAACCAATTCCCCGCTCTCAAATCATCCAGAATTCAATCTATTCGGGTTTCAGAGCCTGAGTTTCACTTTTGACATGCTACCTTTTTGTTAGAAATACTGCTACATGATTAATATCTGACATATTACGTAGGTCTTTATGTTATCTGCAGTGTCCCCTGAGAAGATGCCCTTCGTAGTGCAAAACATCAGGAAAGTCCTCAAAGTAAGCCTTGCACTGCCTTCTACATTCTAGGGCTGGAGAATATTCTAATCCCCCCTTTAATTTCTTTAATTTTTCAGCCAAATGGGCGTGTGCTGCTGAGGGACTATGCGACTGGAGACCTGGCTCAGGTTGGCCAGAATCACTGATGACTTATGTCGACCCAAACATTTCTTAATGTTCTAATAATGGTTTCTTAAATTGGTGATTATCATGAGGATTAGGCTTTTAGGGTCTATCTCATATTTCCAAATTATTTTCTGTTTGGATGGTGGTATTGATATTGTGGGAAAACTGCTCATTGGGCCTTATTCTTTCGCTCGAAAAACTGACTAGATCTCCGAAACTCAGTCACTAATCACTGGCCAACTTACCTGCAATGCTTCTTATCAAGCGCTAATTTTTTTTTTTCCGATCAAACGTGGGTGTAGTTTGCTCATTCATGTCTCCATCTTGCCTCTGAGTTTGACGTTGAATTGTGGATGCTTCGTCTCAGGAAAGGCTCACATGCAAGGAGCAGCAGATCAGTGAGAACTTCTACGTCAGGGGTGATGGCACTGTAAGCAATGCTAGCATGTTGGATCTTCGACTGTGGATTTTTTTATATTTTCTGAAGTCTTGGTTGAAAAGAAATTATTTCTGCTTCAGCGGGCTTTTTACTTCTCGATTGACTTTTTGACAAGTTTGTTCGTAAACAATGGATTCTGTACTCTGGACATTGACATCTGCCACAGACAAATACAGAATCGGTCTCTGGAATTGGTTATGAACAGGTAAGAACTTCTTAAAAATAAATTATTTTAATAATTTTTGGAACACATCACTTCAGTTTCTTTGCTCTGTTTTTAAATGCTTTTTTGGCAAATCTGTTTCTCTCCGTAAATTTATGTTTTTTCTTCTCAGGCGTTGGATTCAAGCTGTTTTCATGGCGATTGCTGACGGAGCTCCTCATCTGAAAGGAGAATGAACTCTCCATCCGCAATGAGAGCAGAATGAAGGAAGAAAACCCAGATGATCTAGATATCTCGGACGCCATTACGGCCATGTTTGATCTTTTGCCATCCGCCGGCAAGGTACTTCTGCTCCACCTGATTTCACAAGGAGAAAGAAAAGAACACTTCGAAGACCCTGGTCCAGTGAATCTTCCTTGGTGGATGACCGCAGGGGACTGAGCTCATCGAGCTGGGCGGCCGAACTCTGAGAATAAAGGCGCTGGCCAAGGAATTCCAGCACACCTGCAGATCAACCGGCCTGTTGCTGTGGGAATCCGCCCGCCTCATGAGCAAGATCCTGACCCAGAACCCTTCCATCGTCTCCCAGAAGAGGGTGCTGGAGCTGGGCTGCGGATCGGCGGGGCTCTGCTCCATGGCCGCCGCCCCGTTCGCCGAGCTCGTCGTCGCCACCGACGGCGACCCCAAATCCCTCCTCCTCCTGAGGGAGAATCTGACGGCGAATCTGCCGCCGATCCTCCTCGAGAAGGTGATCGTCAAGAAATTGGTCTGGGGGAGCGAAGAGGACATGGCGGAGGTGAGCGGCGGCGATTTCGACGTCGTCATCGGCACCGACGTGACCTATGTCGCAGAAGCCATCTCCCCATTGTTTGAGACCGCGAGGAAACTGATCTCCGACACCGGCGCCGCCGCAGGCCGGGGAAGCGGACCAGAAGTCAGACCGGCGGCCTTCATCCTGTGCCACGTCCAGAGGCGCGTCAGCGAAGATTCCATCCTCGAAGCCGCGTCTCGGAACGGCTTCAGGCTAGTTGACCGGCTGGTCAACGGCGTGTGCTCCGGCGGCGGCATCATCAGCTCCTGGTTCTCGTCGAGCTCCGGTCAGGAGGACCTGCTTCAAGGTACGGCCGTGAACATCATGTACTTCCACCTGGCTTAGTTCGTCTTCTTCGGAATTGCGTGTTAATGGGCCCGATGTAGGCCCAACTGCGGTTGGATTTATGGGCTTCAGATTGCATTATGGGCTCTATTTATGGGCCGGACCAACCATAGGTCCTAAGCCCGCCCAACTGGGTTCTCAGAAGACCGCTATTATGTTAGTTTCAGCTCCCTCTACAATCTGTCTATTGTCGTTGACCCCCACCGTCTATTCTTCTTTGGCTTTTGGTCCTCTCGTTCTGAGTGAAGAACGGAGATCCATGGATATTTGGGAAAACCCCCTTGTTTCTTGTCAGATTCTCACACGTGTTAAACTCAGGCTGATCCTCGACTCAAATATCGTGTTTTGTGAGGATAATGTGTAATTAATGAACCGGACCGATCAGGGAGACGTGTCAAAGTAGACGCTGACCCAAAAGGCTGCCCGGGACACGTCTCCTTCGAGCATTCTGTGAGCGTGGTTCCACGACCCGGAAAGCGACGTGGCAGTTTCTTGTCGTATCCTCTTATCCGCTAGGCCTAGTCATCACTCGATAAAAATACGTCCAGGCATATGTTACCGTATATAAAAATAAAGATGTTTGACATTAAGCAAGCCCGAAAGCCCGAAGGCCGGCCCCTCTCTCTCTCTCTCTCTCTCTTCGTTTGACCTGAGACACTTTTTTCTACGTATCACCCTCTCACACATGCCGTGGACGATATATTCTCCGTCTCGGGCCGATTTTCGGGCTTCGTGAGATACCGCATGGATCGGGCCGTCGTCGACGACGGTTTCTGACCCGGCTCGCTGGCCTTTGTGTCCACGTCCCTGAAAGGTCCGCCCGCTGGCGCATTGACCAGTCCGATGGTCGCTGTCCCTCCACGTGGCGAGTAGGGATCCAGTGAACCATATTCTAATTAAAAAAAATTGTCGTGGAAAATGGGAGAGAGAAGCTAAATGGGACGGCAGATAAACATTTTGCGGATAGTTATTTGTATTTTTATTTATTATAATTAGATAAATAATCGTGGGAAACATGAAATAATACATTTGCACCTCCCCTCCTAATGGTATGTGGCCCGAAGTAAATTCTCATCCGTTGGATTGGGCTTGGACGGCAGATAAACATTTTGACATCAATCTGGCGGTTTCGAAAGGGACAGCGAGGGAATAAATGCGCACGACGGGTAATATTCCGAATAATATTCCTTTAAAATATTATTATGTTGATACAATATTATTATTTAATTTCTTAATAATTTGGGAAATTATTAGTTTCCTTTTACAGTGGAGGAGGCCACAAAAGCCCATTCGCGTCCCAGCAAAAGACGGCATCGGTGCGCGTCCGTACGCTCACTAGTTCTGGTGCTCCTCGGGAACATTTGAGCTCCTCGGTGCACGTCCGTACGCTCGCAGGTTCCCAGGGAACCCGAGCCACGTGAGTCTCGGAGATGAGGATCTTAAAATGTGCCGCGAGGCTATCATACAAAAGTCTACTACCCTCGCCTCCCCACAAATTTACCCGCCTTTTTCTTCTCTCCAACACAATCTTTGTCAGAAGCCCAACGAGAAAGAGAGAGAGAGAGAGAGAGAGAGAAAGAGAGAGGAGGGGAGGATCAGGGGTCTCCATCTAACCCCACCGGTTTCAATGGTAATAAACCTGCTGGTCATCGGAACCCTCGGAGTGGCCCCAATCAACCAGTCCCTTCCGGGGAGGAGGAAGGCTCATAGCTGCTGCGTCTCTCTCAACGTCACCGTCTGACACCGTCTTCTTCTTTCATGGAGTTTAGCGTGGAGGCCTCGGAATCCCACCGTTCTTCGGGACCGAGGAAGTATTTGACGGGGTCGAACCTCGGGGCAGAGTTCCCCGGGACTGCCCCGAAGCAGGAGGAGAGGAGGGGGGAGAGGATGTCGGATTGGAGCTGTTTCTGTTGGAGCAGCGGCACGCCCCAGTTCGTCTCCTACGAGCCGGAGCCCTTCTCGCTTCCTTCGTCCCTCCCTGCGTGGCCCGAAGGTGCAGCTTCTACGCTTTCTCGTCGCGAGATCGAATGGTTTTGGTGCCTTGGTGCCGCGATCATCGTATTCTTAGCAATTTTCCACCTCCTGGAGCCTCCAACAGGATTCTGATAAATCTTAAATCCATTGTTCATATTGGTTATCTGTTGTGTTTCATCTGAGAGAAACTGTGCTGCGAGGATTTTCGCGCGGTGAATTGTCCAATTTCAGTTCGTATCTCTGATTATTATCTCCCGGCTCCTGCCCGGCATACATATGCGTATGCCACCGCTCAGTTCCAGACGACGGAGGTTTTTGAAATCGGTCGGGTTCCCATGCTCGTCGTTCATGTATCTGATCGTTACACCCTTAAATCCCTGTGTTTCTGTCCCTCTTCCTCATCACACCCCGGGTTACGTAGATCACCAAAGCAGTTCGGATGCTGTGTAGGGTTTCTTGATGGTCGATGGGATGTCCAATGAGCCATTGCTTGCGACGCTCTTTGGGTGGGTTTCTGGATGTTCTCATTGTCCATTGGAGTCGTTTGGGTAATCCTTGCCTCCGAGAAGCTTGGGTTTCGTGGCGTCTCGTTCATTTTGCTTATATTTCTTGCCGTCTTCTATTTGATGCTTTTATCTTTCTGCAGATTCTGAGTTGATTAATGCAGAAATGCTCTCTGGATGTTCACTAATTTTTTATTTATTTAAGCTTAAGACTTTAATCGGCCGTTGCTTCCAATCTGGACTAGCCCTGTGCAATTCCACGATCATAGCTTTCACATGATTTTGTTCTAAAGGATGGGATGCACTGCCCATCTTTTCCTCATGCTTCAAAACCATTAGTCAATCATCATTAATCGATGTCCTCCGTCTCCTATCTGGACACTGTGGATCGTTAGCTCCGCTAGCATTATGCACTGTAAGAACCTTTTACTTTCTGCGAACGTCTCACCCTTGTTCTTGAGGGAAATACAAAGGATTAGTGGAAATCTATTTGACGAAGAAAGTGAATGATTCCTGATGAGTGCAAAAACTTTGGTGTGATTGATATATTTGGTTGAAGTCATATACTGGATGGTGGACAGTTTAAGGCTTCTCTTCTGATGTTCTTGGCGCAGGTTGACTTGATGCAAGCATAAACTCTGTTGAAACTTTCCATTTTTAGTTATCTCCGGCATAACTTTGTCCACGGATTTTGAGATTAATGCTTGGAGATGGCGATTGTCGCGGGCATCTGCTGCAAAAAAGTACTAAAAACGTGATGATCAATGATCCCTTCCAGGTGGAGGTTTTGCCAAGGATATAATATGCATCGGAGAGCTGGAGGTTCTGCAGATCACAAAGCTCCAGAGCGTCTGGAGTTGTAGCCTGTTGAGGGAGGAGAGCAAAGGTGCCACTTTTTATAAGCCCGTTGAGATCCCCGCCGGCTTCTTCTGCCTGGGCCACTACGGGCAGGCGAATCACCGGCCTCTGCATGGATTTGTTCTGGTGGCCAGAGAAGTCAACTCCAACAAACCAGCCGATGCTCAGACCGGAGCTGCTGCCGAGCAGCCGCCCCTGCGAGAACCCGTCGACTATTCTCTCGTCTGGAGCAGCAACGCCGACTGGGCTGACGACGGCTTCGACGGATGCGGCTTTTTCTGGCTCCCCTCCCCGCCGGCGGGCTACAGAGCCATGGGCTTTGTGGTCACCGACACGCCAGAGAAGCCCCCTCTGGGGGAGGTGAGATGCGTCCGCTCTGATCTAACGGAATCGCTGGAGACCCACGAAGTCATCTTCGACGGCCTCGCCATGGCGGCGCCGCCCTCGGGGAGCCCCTTCAGAGCTTGGACGACGAGGCCTCGCACCAGAGGGATGTGGGAAACCGGGCTCTCGGTGGGGACCTTCTTCTGCAGCTCAAAAGATCCCTCCGACATGGAGGATCTGGGGATCGCCTGCCTGAAGAACACGAGCAAGTCCCTGGCGGCGATGCCGAACCTGGATCAGGTTAACGCGCTGGTCAAGCACTACGGGCCCACCGTGTTCTTCCATCCGGAGGAGGTGTACTTGCCGTCGTCTGTGCCTTGGTTCTTCAAGAACGGAGCTGTGATTTGCAGGCGAGGCGGCGGCGGCGGGGGTGTGCCGATCGACTCCAAGGGCTCCAACCTTCCCCCCGGTGGCGGCAACGACGGGGAGTACTGGATAGATCTCGCCGACGACCGAGCGGAGGAGGTGAAGAGGGGGAACATCGACAGCGCAGAGCTCTACGTCCACGTGAAGCCCGCCATGGGAGGGACCTTCACGGACCTGGCGCTGTGGGTCTTCTGCCCCTTCAATGGGCCGAGCACGGTGAAGATCGGGCCGGTGAGCTTTCCGATGAGCAGGATCGGGGAGCACATCGGCGACTGGGAGCACTTCACGCTGCGGGTGAGCAACTTCTCCGGCGAGCTGTGGAGCGTGTACTTCTCGCAGCACAGCGGCGGGGAGTGGGTGGACGCCGGCGAGCTGGAGTTCGTCGGTGGGAACAGGGCCGCCGTGTACGCGTCGAAGAGCGGGCACGCGAGCTTCCCGCACGCCGGCGACTTCCTGCAGGGCTCGGAGAAGCTGGGGATAGGGATCAGGAACGACGCGGCGAGGAGCGACTTCACTGTGGATTCCAGCGTGAGGTACGAGATCGTCGCCGCCGAGTACCTCGGCGGGGCAGTGGCGGAGCCCTGCTGGCTGCAGTACATGCGGGAGTGGGGCCCGACCATCGTCTACAGCTCACGGTCGGAGCTGGAGAGGATCATCAGCTTCTTGCCTTACAACCTCAGATTCTCCGTGGAGAGCATATTCGCCAAACTTCCGGTGGAATTGTACGGGGAGGAAGGACCCACCGGCCCCAAGGAGAAGAACATGTGGGAGGGTGACGAAAGAAGTTAGCTCTCTCTCTCTCTCTCCTCTCTCTTTCTTTGTGCCTCGGATTGAAGTAGGAAAACCTGGGTAGCCCAGAATCATCCTCGTGTAAACAAAAGACGATTGCTTGTATCTGCCCAGTATAGAAATGGCGATGATTCAATGAGAAATATACCCCAGAATCCTGTGGAGATCCCGTCCAGATGATAAGGGCAGAGAACTACTGAATGAATACTAAGAAACGCACAGATGAGGACGGGGAAGGTGCTTCCTTCTCTCTCTCTCTCTCTCGATGGATGGAACCGTTCGTCGAGTACCAAGGCCGGGCCTTTCTGTAGGCCCGACGTTCTGTTGTCCTCTCTACTGATTGCACCAGGGACCATTAATCCCCCGCTCGAATTGGAGGCGTTGACGGGCCAAGATGTGCTTCGGGCAGACACTTGTGAAACCCAGGCCAACGCCGATAGCATGACGGTCGGTCATTTTTCCGACTATTTATAGTTTATTTTATCTATCCTAAATGGGAAATGGGGGCCAACTCTTTCTGGCATTGCATTGTGGCAGTCATTTTCTCACGGGTCCCATCTCCGAAGGAGACGTGGAAGGGGAGGAGAACCGAGCCGGCCTAAGTCGTAGAATGCAATCCAGGAGAGAATTAGAATGGTCTCGTACCCATTGTCGAGTAGAACGCATTACAGTAGCAGAGAATATATCTAGGGCTGCGAGAAAAATTGGCCCAATTAGAGGGCCCGCATTATTTTCTGAGCGCTCTTACAAGGCTACCAGTTCCGCCTTCCTGCCCTCTCACCGACAAATTCTTCCCGCGACCTGTAAACCCAAGAAGCTCGTCTTCTCCATCCCACTTGTTACAGTTCGCCGCCGCGGCCGACACCGGCGGCGGCGGCGGCGGCGGCGGCGGCGGCGGTGGACGAGCCCAATCCTCCCTCACTCATCCTCTTCCCCTGCCTGCGGGATCACCAGATTCATCTGCAGGGGAGTCCAAGGGCCACACCGGGCCGCCCTCCGCTGGAGAAGAACTCAAGCGTCCGGCAGGCTACTCGACCTCGTGGAGTACTCCGCAACGAGCTTCAGGAACATGGAGGACTTGTCCTCCAGCAGCCGCAGCGGGCTGTCGAACTCCGCTATCCTCCCTGCGAAAAGCGGCGATTCCGGAGTCATTTCAAATGGGTGAGATCTGGGTAAGCTTTCTGACACAAACACAGCCGCTGGCCGAGCTCACCGTCACTGAGAACGAGCACCAGATCGCTGTCTATGACTGTTGGGATGCGGTGGGCGATGGTGCAGACGGTGCAGTCCCTGAACTCCGTCCGGATGATCTTCTGAATGAGGTTGTCCGTGGCAGTGTCGACCGACGCCGTCGCCTCGTCCAGCACCAGGATCCGCGCCTGTTTCAGCAACGCCCTCCCCAGGGAGACGAGCTGCCTCTGCCCCACGCTCCAGTTATCTCCGTTCTCCAACACTGCGGCATGGGGGCAGACCCCCCAAGATAAGAACGGTGAGAAAAACAGCAGCTTTGGGAAGAACAGGCTCGGATTTTTACTACCCAGAAGAGGAAATGAATTCTATATTCCACATGCTGGAACAGATCATTACCGGGAGCGTTGAGCTTCTGATCTTTCTCACGGATCACCTCTCCCAGCTGGCATTTGTCGAGCGCCTGGAGAGAGCCCAGAACAACTTTTCTCAGAACCGGTGATCAGAAGTGAAGGAAGGGGATTCGGAGATTGACCGGAGTAATCTACCTGCCAGATTTCTCCATCAGAGTGCTCCTCAAGCGGGTCCAGGTTTCCTCTAATGGTGCCTTCGAACAAGGTGGGGTCTTGGGGGATGATGCTGAGATGCCCGCGGAGGTCGTGGAGACCGATGGTGGAGACATCCACGCCGTCTATCACGATCTTCCCCTCCGAGGGCTCGATCAGACGGAACAGAGCCTGGATCAGAGTGGATTTGCCGCTGCCCGTGCGACCCACGATTCCGATCTTCTTCCCCCCGGGGAATGTACAGGTTACGCCGTGAAGGACAAAGGGCAGGCTCTCCTTGTAGCGTACCTGCGGCGGTGCCATTCAGGGAAAAAGACACCCACCTCAGCATGAATGAAAGCTTACAAACATGTCTATTTCTATTCACTATGAACAGAAGAAGAGGGGATGAAGGGGACGACTCGCCTTCAGATTAATCAGCTCAATCTTTCCATTCTGGGGCCAAGGCAGTGGGGGCCGAGTGCCCTCAATGACTGTAGGAGCTTCCCCAGGTATCTGGCAGTATTGATGGATGCGCTCAATTGAAATGATCTTGTTCTCGAGCTTGCAGAAGCTCAGTATCCACCTCGATAGCCGTGCATTCAAGTTTAGGCCATAGGTTACAGCAAGGCCCGCCATGCCTGCCATTCAAGGAGAGAATTCGGCCATTAAAGAGAGAAATCTGAGCACCAGGGTACAATCATCACTACCATTAAAGAAGAATGGGTCATTTCTGATTTAAAAAAAAAGGGAAGAAAAGTCGAGTAGACCCACTGGAAATCAAGGGCCAATGAGCGGGAAAGGCCCACGCCTTCGATGCCTGATCTCAGTGAAGAGAAATTTTGAGCATCAGGGTACAATCATTATTTTCATTACAGAATCGGGCTGTTCGAAAAAAAAAAAGGAATTAAATCGAGTAGACCAGTAGAATAGCTTCCCCCCTTCTCTCTCTAAAGCCATGTTTACGAATCAAGAAACCATGCACTATTTTCTAATACTCTCACTCAAATACATCAGTCAATCATGTTTGAAACATTGACCCGAACTTCCCAGAGCAGAAATAACATTAAAAACAAGATTAGAAATGTGACTAAACCGGATGAACAAGAAGGTCATGCAGTACCTACTTGGATCAATGCTTCCGTGGGGGAAGCTAACCAGGATGGCCATGCAGAAGGCGAACACAACGGTTGAGAGCAGCTCCATGCGGAGGCAGAGCCACTCAATGGCGGCGAGGCTGCAGAAGAAGGGGCGGGCAAAGCAGTCGAGCAGATAGAGGTTCCTCTTCATGAACCGCTTCTCCTGGCCAAAGCCTCTGATGGTAGCTGCTCCCGCAATGGACTCTCCAAACAGGTGAATGATGGGGGATTTCTGGATGCTGACAATGCGCACAAGCTCCCTCGATGAAGCCATGTAGTACTTCTGCACAAAGCATAGAAAATGAATAATTTCCTCATAAAGCATTCTCAAATTCCATCACCGAGACTACTCGATAATGAGCAAATTCAATTCAATGGTATAGAAATAGTATATATATTAAATGAGCAAGTGGCAAAAAAAGGTAATAACAAATACAAAAAATATAAAAGTAAAAAAAAAGAAGAGAAAAACATCATGCAAAAGGGAGCTTCGGTCTTCAGACCAAACACCTAATCTTTGCTTCTCCATAAGTCTCTCATAATCTTGAACCCACTATTTCAACCATTGCTAGAACCGAATCAACTAAACAAGATACTTCATCAAGTCATCTCGACCTGACGATTGGTCGCTGAACACTTCTCAACGACTATTCTTGACATCATCCACCATAGGTTAGCAGATCACGGTCGACTGTTGCTTCAGATATTTTTTCAAATCTAGGTATCAGAAATTATTCGCAGATTGATTCAAATATATGCAAGGTCATGAAAGAGGAGCAAAATAATATAACAAAATGGCGTTGGATGATTCTGGGGAGTTCAGTGGCGCTTCTACGAAGCATGCACTTAAGCAATTTATTAAAAGCTTAGATGACAAAAAATGACTCCACAGCCAGTGAGCGATGCGGTTTATTACCTGCATCCACCAGCAAGCAATAGCCATGGGGAAGAACAGGAGCAGGACTTGCCATGTGACCTTCGACATCACACCAACTATGCCAAGAAGTTGAATGGTTGTTGAAGCAAACCCACCAAGTCTGAAAGGAATATCGAGATCCACAACACTCTGATCCACAGACACCTGATTATAGACATGACACAGGAAACGATAATAAGCTTCCTATTATTTGATCTCATGCTGTAAATGGTCAGGATATTCATACTGTGTCAAAAGCGTAGCTCACCCGATTTAGTATCCGCCCAGATGGAGTAGAATCGAAGAAAGACATGGGAGCTCGGAAGATGCTCCTCAGCATCTTCAAGAACAACTTCTGTGCGGCTGCCAAGCCGAAAGTAGCGACCAGGACTGCTCGAATGAACACAAAGCACGAGCTCCCGAATGCCAGGATCATGTAAACAAGAAGAAGAACCATACTACTGGTCTTTGGCGAGTCACCAGAGGTCTGTGGATTCGCCCAGGCCATCCACCAATTGCTTGCTATTTGAAGTACCTGAAACATCGTCTGGGCAAGGACAATCAACGGTATCAAAGCCCCCTTATACGCAGCAGCCATGTAGGACAGATACACTGTCAAGCTAATTTTTCCCCTCTCCCGCTCTTCTTCTTGAACAAGTTGCTTCTTACGAGAGCTTTTGGCCTTCTTCTTCTCCTTTATCACCTTCTTCTCAGATGAAGAACCATTTTCTCGGGTTTCCCTGTTCATGCTGTCGAGGCTACTGATGTTGGACTCCAATCTTTTCCTCGAGGGGAAAGAGCTCTCCGGAGCAGCCCCCACTGAATCTTCGAGTGAGCTCTCGTGTATGTCCATGGCCTCGATAGCTTCATGATGGGCTGAAACCAGAGCATTGAAATCAGTCCCAGCCTGTAAAAGATCTTCATATTTTCCGGCCTGTATTACATGGCCATCTTTGAGGACCTGCACCCAAGTGAAAGGCAAAGAAGGTTATTTCAGACCAAAAGACCTCGGGAACATTCAAAAGGTGCCCTTGCCAAAAGCTTCAGGTCCTCTGATTCCCAATGAATGGGCACCTCCATGTTCCAGTGTTCACCAATGTATATCAGAAGAAAAAGCTATAATTATCCAGGTATATAAACCCTTTTAAGCAAAGATCCCATCCCTCAGATTGCTGGAAGAAGATAGAACTATTTTACTAAAAAAGCTTAAATATACTCATTTTAGCCGTCATTATTCCTCTCACCTAAGGCAAAGAAATATATCACAGCGCAAAAAAGAATACACAGAATAAAACAAGAGGGGACATCTTAATATAATTACCCAAACCTGACATTGCTACCCTCACTCTATAATCGAATCGAAATGGTTGGACGGATCACTATAAATCCCTAACGATGCAGAGCACATAGTCTACATTTTCTTGACTTTATCCCTTTGATCTCTCCATAGTACAGAGCTTAAAGAACCCGTATATATATTCAGATGTGAATAGCCGACTTTACCTCTCCAATATCCTGCCAAAAGTTAATGGGCTATCCGTGCTTCCCCTAGTTCCTGGTTTACCATTTCCATAAACTAGGAGGCCACTCACATCATTATATCAACTCAGGACATCTTTCTCTTTCAATGAAGAGAATTTTATCAAGGAGACTGCTAAAGACAGAAAGAGCTGAACAGCGTGTGAACTAATGCACACGTTAATTGTTAGGTCTCTCAAAATCGGAAAGGTATAGAACGGTCAAATAGAGGAGCCACGTACAAGTATCAGGTCTGCAGACGGCAAGAATTCAACTTGATGCGTCACAAAAATCACGGTTTTACTGGCCAACGCCGTCAATATGTATTCCTGCAGAACCCAAAACAGAGGTACTGAGATTTGCCACAATAGGAAACAAATCCCCAAAGATAAGATGACATTAGATGACAGGGCATGGCGTTGACCTTAAATAATTCACTCCCAGTGTGTGCATCCACTGCACTAAACGGGTCATCCAGTAGATAAATGTCTGCATCCTGATAGAGCGCTCTGGCCAGCTGCACCCTCTGTTTCTGGCCGCCACTTAGATTAATACCCCTGTCACCAATTATTGTTTGGTCTCCATGCAAGAGCAGCTCCAAGTCCTTCTTCAGTGAGCAAGCGTGGATGACGTTCTTGTACTTTGGCTTAACCATTGGGCTCCCAAAAAGGATATTCTCTTCAATATTCCCAGATTGTATCCAAGCTGACTGAGAGACATAAGCTGCAGAGCCACTGATTTTGACCTGAAGAGGGAAGACGAAGTCAGAGGCGAAAAGGAATAGAGCACGAATAATTTATAAATATAGAATATAGCTGCAGGTTCAGAGTTGAGTATACTTACTTCACCTGAGATTTTGGGTATCTCTCCAAGAATACAGGACAGGAAACTCGACTTCCCCGATCCAACCACGCCACAGATGGCGACCCGCATTCCCCTCCCCACCCTCAGCTGTATGCCAGAAAGGGTGGGCCTTGAAGAAGATGGGTTCCAGCGAAATTCCCCATCTTTGATTTCCACCGCCATGTCAGTTGAGGCCCGAGGGACGAACACAGTAGCGTCTTCTTGCAGCTCCTCCTCCAGCAGAAACCCTGATATCCTGTCCACAGATACCCTTGTCTGGGCTATCATGGAGACCAGATCGGGAAAGTTCCTGAGGGGCTCTTGCAGGATCCTGAAGGTGGCCAGGGCGGAAAGGACGCCTCCCGCCGTTAGCTGACCGCCCAAGAGGATGGAAGTACCGAAGGTGATGACCGAGACAAATATGGGCGATCCCCAGAAGATGAAGGTTATCACGGCCTGTGAGTAGAGGGCCTTCCTCAGCCACTTGAACTCCACGTTCCTCATCTCCTCCAGCATCAGCCTGTACCTGTCTTCCCAGGCTTGGAGCTTGAGGATCCTCATGTTCCTCAGGCACTCGGAGGTCTTCCTCATCCGGTCGTCCTTGGCTGTCATCAGCTTGTCCTGGTACTCCTCTTGCATCTTCGCCAGAGGGATGGTCACAACAATGGAGATAACGGTGGCGATCAGAGTTGCAATGAAGGCGATCCCCACATTCTTGTACAGAATCGCCAGAGCAAGAACAATCTGCAGAGGTAGCATCCATATGTCGTGGAGGTACCACGAGTAGTCTCCCACTCGCTGAACGTCGACGGCCATGTAGTTCACAATCTCGCCGCTCGTGTGGCTCTGGCGGGCCGTGCTCGAGAGCCTGAGGCCCTTCTGATACACCATGGCCGTGAGGGCTGACCTCACATGCATCCCCAGAATGTCCACTCCAAGGTACCACTGGCGCGTCGTCAGCGTCTCGATGAGCTTTGCGGAGAAGAAGACCCCGGCCAGAAGGTAACCCTCGTGGGGAAAGATGATGTTCCCCCCCAAGTAGTCGACGAAGTAGCTGATCAAGAACGGGCCAACGTAGGAGACGAGGGTGTTCAGGCCGGCGAAGATGGCGTTGATGGCCGCTTCTTTCCAAAAGGACCGGAAGAGCGCCCAGGTCAGGGAGGGCGGCTTCGAACGGCTTTCCGCCTTCAATTTCTCCCAGTTGTGGCTCAGGAGCTTGTAGGAGGCCTTGGAGCGATCTTTGGGCGCCAGAAGAGGGATGTCCTTCAGCTCCAGGGGCCTCTCCGCCCCAATCGACAGGAGGGGATTGAGCCAGGAGAGGGAGAGGAGACTGGAAATCCCCGCTTCGCTGTAGGGGGTGACCTTGAGGCAACCGGCTTCGTCGTCGTCGGACAGCAGGGGCCGCCGGAGGTCAGAGTCGCCGGAAGGACGGTCGATGCCCGTCGAGCCGCGGAGGGCGACGAAGCAGAGGAAAGCGAGAGCAGGAATGGCAGCGTAGTTGGCCGCCATGTGGGAGTTGAAGACGAGAGAACGGTGAATGAGGCCTCTGGTCTCGACGATCAAGGAGTAGAGACAGAGGAGGGAGGTGGAGAACCACCATGCCCTCGTCGTGAAGGGGAATTTCTCCGCTAATCTGAACCTACAGCGGAGAGTCGCCAAACCGAGGACCAGCCAGGCCAATGCCTGGACCGACGGCAAGAAAACAGTGGAATAATTTCTAGAATCGGCATCCCTCCTGGATAATCCTGCCGCCTCCCAAACCAGAACAATCACCTGGAGAAGAAGGAGGTAGCAGCAGCAGCAGAAGACAGATGATATGAACAGTTTACCAGAAGCGATGGGGCCGGCGGCTCCCAATCCGCCACTGGCTGAAATCAGATTCTCTCGCTCCTCCTTGTGAACCGCCGGCGCGCGCCGCCCCACCAGGCACAAGATGGCCCACCGGAAAACGGCGAGGAGGAGGACGAGGAGGAGCAGAGCCGAGTGGACGAACACCGCGACCTGCTCCCGTAGGGGGAGGTCGAGGGGGAGGGGACCCATCGCCGGAGTGGACCAGATCCTGCGGGGATATCCGCCCCGCGGCTGAGGCAGGAGGACGGCGGGGAGATGACGGCGGCGGCGGAGGGAGACTCTATGGTTGTACCCCCCGCTACGGGCATCTCACCATCAAGCGGGTGCCCAGGGGAGAAGATTCTGGAGGCGGCGGGGTAGCGACGACAGGTTGCACAAGGGAGCCAGGCGACGGCAACCTACAGGGGACACATTGCGGATCGAAACGAGGGTTCTGTGTCCTTATCGGAGGGGAGTGAGGAGGGGAAGTTTTGGGAGGAAGATGACAAAAGATGATCACCAGCCATGAAAAAGAATTGCCCGATTTTAGTGCTACTGGCTGGCCCTTACTCCTTTTGCTGTCGATCCGCATGCGAGCCGACGCGGATCCTCTGTAAACAAACCTAGTGACATGTAGAGAGAGAAACAGGGCATGGTGAACGCACCGGGGAGGAGACACAGGGCGACAGAGTAGAGCGGCGGCGGCATGAGCCGCCGCAGGAAGCAAGCAATCTCGCTTGCTTGCGACTACCCTTTCGCTCTGGCCTTCCTCCCTCCTCCCCCAACTCTCCCCCCCTGCAAACCTCGTATTCTCCCCCTCTCTCTTTCTCTCTCTCTCGCTGAACCTCCACGAGCACTCCCTTCTTTCGCCTGCTGCTACGGACCGCGACACGTGGGGCCGAGAAGATGAGTGAGAAGGCGAGAGAAGGGGAGAAGGTCGTTGCGGGGGGCGGGGGGCGGGGGTCTTTTAGGGTTTTACTGAGCCGCCGCAGTTGCCCATCAGTGCGCCGCAGTTGCCCAACAGCTGCCGCCTATCCCTCCGCATCTTACTGCGCTCTGCAACCACCCTTCCCCCCTTTCTCCTGCATCTCCATTGCTGAAATCTTGGCCAGAGGACGAGGAGGAAGAGAGCGTTAGCGTCCTCTAACCTCTCCCTCTGTGACGTGTATCCTGATGACGATGACGATGATGGTGCTCTGTGACAAGGTGATCGAGCTTCATTAATGAGACCATTGCAGTCGAGAGAGACAGAGGAATGAGGAGAGAAAAGGCCCTATGATCTTCCAAATCAGCCTGAAACCGGACGTGACGTGGAATTTACCCAATTGGTCAACGTCTTGTGGATGCTGACTCCTCAACCTTCTTTCTTTGACTACAAAGCCCCCCGGCTTTTATTCTCTCGTGTTTGGACCTTCCGGGTATCTTGTCATCGCCCCCATTCATATACATCGTTAGCGAGCGAGAGAGAGAGAGGGGGTGCTCCGTTGGTTGGGATGGCGCGTGCGAGTACAGCAACGGACCACGACAGCGGTGAGCCACACGCGTGAATGCCGTGAGCCGTTCTCCCTCTGTAAGAAAACGACGAGGGGCGTCCAGGTTAACTGCACCAAGGGGAGCCCACAGATACTGTTCGAAAATTTAGTCGGACATGGATTGGCACACGGGCCAGGCCCACCGATCTCGGCCCAGCCCAAGTGGGATGATGTGGGCCGGTGCCTTAATAGGGGAGAAAAAGAGAGGAAGAACGAGGGGAAATGACAAAGCGAGGATATATCATCATCTCAGATGATGATCAGCCTCTAATCATCTGATTAGATTGGAGATGCGGGGGATCGAAACCCCGTGCCTCTCGCATGCAAAGCGAGCGTTCTACCATTTGAACTACATCCTCAATTATATAAAAAAAATATTGCATCATTATTAATGCCGGAATTACAGTAACCCTCCTCTCACCACCACATGTTCAGTGAACACAAGTTGCATACAGACCTTCAAAAATGTCTAAAAAAAGAAATGCTCTCTCTCTCTCTCTCTCTCTCTCTCTCTCTCTCTGTGACAACTAGTCTACAGCTTAGAATTGGGTGAGCTTCAATGCCGTAGATCAGCCGCCTATTTTCTCATCCTCGCTGTCGTCGCTGTCGTCGCTGCAGGAAAAGGGTGAGAAGATTATTGGTCAAATCGTGTCCTAGGTTGGGCAAAAGTCCCGAGCTGGGCAGAGCTCAAGAGCTGGTCAAATCAGCCGCCTATTTTATTTTATTTTCGCCCTTTTTTTTTCCATCCGAGATGAAATCGAATGCGGAAAGATACCTGTTTTCAGGGAGCTTCGACAGCCTCCTGGCCTCCAAGCCAGTGATGTATTTCTGGGCAGCATGGATCCTCTCTGAACCTGCCACATTGGTCAACGGAGGTGTAAGAACCCTAGTGACACTAGTCGCCCATCTGGGTTTTTCATCAAAAACCTCTTTTTTTTGTTTGTGAAGTAAAAAATATCTTATTTTCTTTATAGACCGCAGATAATAAACAATCATATGTAAAATAATGTTCGACAGCTTTTTAGTACCTTTGGCTAGTTGGAAGGCATGCAGGGCACAGCGCTCAGCTGCAAGGCGAACAGGGGTGTTCCCATCTTTCAAGGATTCTGCGAGCGGTGGTCCTAGAATGGTAAGGTTGTTCAAGACGGCTGAAGGATTGACCTGCCAATTCCAATCACCAGTCAACCGAGATCGTGTTCTTGAGTCAGCCGCCGAATGATCTCAACGGCAATTAGAGCGGAATCAGGGCGCAGACCTTGGCGATTCCTTTCAAACAAGACAGCGCTCTCCTTCTGACTTCGCTTGATTCATCCTGCATTGCCGATGAGAGAAGCTGAATGAGCTCCGAGGCGACGGATGCAGATCTCTCATTCTGCACGAGGTGCAGCAGGAGGCTCCCCAATGCTCTTGTGGCAGCTTCTCGAATGGGAAACTGCAAGACGATCACCGAGAATTACATCTTATAAACCCACAATCAATGAGATAATGCACAAAAAAGATGGTAGTTTCGCCGATGTGGGTCTCCCCGCCATACCTTGTCATCCTTCAAGGCCGCTTTAAGGCGACTGATGACTGATGGAAATGTGGCTGACAGGCACATCATCGACGCGTTGTTCAAAGACATGGATGCGAGAGTGAGCATAGAACCATGCCTGGCCGACCAGTTTGGAGATGAACTGAGGCTTGATAGTGTTTCCATCATGTCCGATACTTCGTGATCTTCCAAGTACTAAAAGGGAAAAATAGAATGAAAACAGGTTGAATCTCTCTGCTATTTTAGAACTGGTCTTCTGCAGATCATTGAAAGGTATAGTAACAAAAAAAAATGAATTTAAATAATACTTTAGAAATGGCCCCCAGGGCCTTGGCAGCAGAGCTGCGCAGCTCTTCATCATCTAGTTGTATGAAATCCTTGACGAGGCTGCATGCGCGGGATTTGACACTGTTGCTGACGCTCTTTCCAGCATGCCTGATAACACCTTTAAGGGCTACCAATACAGCGCCTTGGACCCCAACTTCAGATGCCTGAACACCATTCACGCTCAGAATTTATTGATAGATTTGGAAAAATGCGTTTGACCATGTGGCATGTTCAGAAGAGTTACCTGCAAAGCAGATAAGAGGTCTGTGACCAACGGGTCAATCCGGGTACTTAGAGCGCTAAGCTTTGCAAGAGCAAGTGCTGAACTTGATCGAACCGACCTACAAGCTAAAAAATTAGCAAAACTGAGAAAAAACAAACGCTGCGAAATGGAGACTGAGAGGTAACCGACAGGTGAGAGAACCTTGCATTATCCTGAAGGCATTTAATGAATGTGGTTTGAAGCTGCGGAAGAAAAGGTTTCAGCGCTATTCCACCCTTGCTGATGATGATGGATAGGGTTGATAGAATGGCCTCTTTCACTTGCCAAGGGAATCTATCTCCTATGATACGAATGAGAGGGCTGCAAGGAACAGCATTGATCAATGACACCAACCACCAATTTTTCAGCTCAGAGACATCAGAAAAGTCCAGTGCTTATTCAAAAGATCCTGGCAGTACTCAAACTTAAAGCATCTTTTTATAAATAAAAAAATCGTGTCTACGTTCCAGCATACGTTGAGTAAGCAGTTGTCACATACTTGGGATGACCATTTCTAAACACAATTATTTAGAAACTATAGTAGTTAAATCATCAATACAGTGTGGTGTCTTTGTTGGGTACAATATTGCGGTATTTAATTACAAGCATCGTGATAGTAGCTAAAAAATATAGTATTATAACAGAGCACCCTGATCACAGACCAAGTGAACCCTAGGAGTCGGAAACACCTTCCAATGCAGGTTTTTTCTCCAGAATAATACCAAAATCCCAAGTGCAAGTCTATTTTATGGGCCAGGATCAAATGGTACACGAGTTAAAAAGTTGCGTCTTCTTTGTCTGGAGAAGAAGATTAAAGTAGTATTCGTGCCAGAGAGATTTGTCAAGATTGAAGAAACATTGAATATAGCTCGTACAAAGATTGTTACTTTCCCTTTTCACGATGAACTTATTAGGATCCTCTAGGAAAGCGAAATAATCCCTGGGGCTAAAACCAGCGGAAGGCAACGTTAGACTGCAAGATTAGGAAGAAGCTAGTGGGATAGACCATAGAGGTTCCCTCTGCTGGTAGAAGGTAGGCGAAAAGTAGCCTCCAGCTTGGCAACCAATGGTCTATCTATTTGTATACCGCGTAGTACCATGATTAAAATAATAGACGCAGTAAGAATTTATTCGTTAGACAGCATGCAGTAGCACAACAGAGGATTGAGTTGGCAGTCTGAGCTGGATATTCAACAAAGCCTATCCTATTATGGAGACTTAGGGAAAGAGATTCACTGTTAAAGAGAAACACTCAGGGAGTTCTCTGAACATCAAGCTTTTATCTTTGGAATAATAAATATTCCTTGTCAGTCTCCTTTGAGATCCGAGAAGATACAAGGAGATCAGTTTAAACAGATTTATATATAGATAAACAGAACCTAGAAGGACAATTCACTAGGTTCAGTCTGCTAAGGATGGGAACTCAAATGATCATGAAGCCCTAATAGATGCACGAACTGGGTGGTTCCCCAGGCTTATTGCCAAAAAAAGACCACATCTGCCGAGGAGAACAAAATATTCTGGACCGTCAGAAAAGGGCTATTTTAGAATAAGATTTAGTCAAGGTCTTTGAGGATACAAGGTATAGAATGTGATATACGAAATTAATCTGAGTGTTGCGACTACAAAAAATGCACTATTTCATGTGAGAGCAGCCCATAAAAGCTTACCTAATTTTGATATCATTTCTCAAAATGGTAGTTTGCTTTCAATCCATTAACCTCAAGTACTTCCAAGGGAAAATTTGTCGAAATAAGAAGGAACAAGAGAAAATCCCAAGGTTCCAAGATGTAGTCAAGGCTGCCCAAGTCGACTAGGAGAATTTCTTTTCCCACGGAGGATTTGTAGCTTGCTTCCAGTCTAGGGGAGTAAACATAAATTTTATTTTCGAGAACATCACTGGAGTGAGGAATTATATATTCGCCTTTCTGAAACGAAACGGTAGTCAAATGTGACATAAATCAATGCTTGAAGCAGTTGTAGTTGTGGATTTAATAATGGGTCTTTGCACAGGTGGATTCACCACATATAGTGATAACACGTAAAGATCCACATACCAGATAAAATGTTGACAGTTTAAAAATACACCTAACAATAAACAACAAGATAAGAGAAAGAATGAAGTTACATAGCAGCAACCATTCTCTACGAAAAATAATACGGGGTTGACATGGAATGAGGATAAAAGTCCATTTACTTCATGCACAACTGAAAAAATGTCCAAAATTTATATGAGGCTAAATACAACAAAAAAATAATAGCTAATCCGTATCATGACTTCAAGTTTAACAGAAAAAGTAAGTGGAAACAATCAAATCACAAATTGAAAAAAGGTCGGCACTTATTTACACCTAGGAATGTCACCTTCACACGTTTAAATATAAAAATACGGTGTGATGAATTTCTTAATTTCAAAACATCGAAATACAATAGTAGAATCATCAGAAAGAAAAAGTGAAAAAGTGAAGACTCGACATAACACCAAGGAACGAAAAAACAATCCAAAAAACATATAAACAAAAAATTAACAATAAAGTACTGCAAAAGATATGGAGATGAGAAAATGGATCTGCGCTGATGAACAATCAAATTTTGAGCTGTAATTTCAGAAATATAACTATCTATATGTTATTGCTCGCATATGGGGATGAGCAAATGGATCTGCTCAATCATTGGATCAAACGAAATGAAACATAAAGCACAATATAGCATGTGCTTTCTCCATTTACTGACTCACAGCTCTCTTATCTGGTTTAGCTTCAGCAGATTACGGGAGAGTTTAAGGAAACAGGTTGCAAGGAATAGTATAATTGAAGCCCATTTTTCAAAGCTATTCTCAAGTCACTGCGATCTAAAATGCAGAGAGATAAACTTGCTTGGAGGTGATCTCCACTTTATCTATTTAAGCAAGTGAAGCCTCATTGCAGTGGAAGGCAGACAAAAAAATAGTGATATAGGAAACCAACAAAATTTGGCTTCGACTAACCGAATATATGATAGTAAATATATTTATGAATAGATTATAAGCGAGAACGAGCACTTGCATTTAAAAATCGGTTACTTTGGTGACCAGATTCAACTGAAATACCACGAACATGGAGTGACATCAAAAGATCTTGTTCAAGTCAGGCTAAACTCTTGTACCATTGCAAAAAATAGGAGAACACGTACCCAGTGATAGGAACAACAAACTGCTTAAGCGTCTGTTCACCGGTCACATCAATCAACTCACCCAGGCCTTGTGCGGCTTGTTCTCTAGTTTCAGCTGAACCACTAATTATACCCTACAAACATAACGCGCATCACCATAAAACATCAGTCATTACTGATATTCAGACAGACGAATAACCACTCCCATCTCGTGGTCATAACTTCCTCAAACTAACCACTATTAAAAGAACATTTCAGAACAATAAGTTGGACTACGCAGAAAAAATAAAAATTGCTCTTCAAATATTAGACGTCTTGAAACATGTATCAGCCATGCAACCATCAATGAGCAAAATAAACAAAACTCACTACTCAGCTCGAGGTAGTCATGCGTTATCTCAGCTTGATTCGGCTAGTTTATGGTTGGGGCTCAGTTTTAAGAACGAAGTATGCTAGCTAAACAAGCCAGGCTTGAGATTAATGAGATATATGTATATATATATATCTGTTATTTTTATATTTCATGTAAAAGATATCAAGTTCTCTGTTGAACCGTATCAACCTTGTTCAGGTTTGATCTTCTTCGAGTTAAACTCAGTAGGAAATCTATGAGCTGAAAACGCAAACTCATCTGATTGAAGATCAGCAAAGCTTATTTATAAATCAATTTGGCTCAGAACATGTATACACCAGACATCAGGCAGCAGGTAAATTTTCATTTGTCCATGGTGAAGGCACCCAGAAATTAAGCCTTTGTTACTGCTGGTGAACTGTTTTTCTTCTTCCAATAATGATCGCTATGACTTGTGAAAACAATTTCGCTCGCATGTCAAGTTAGTTGGGACAATTTATATGCGAATCAAGTCAATAAAATGGGCGTCCCTTCCGAATATACACCAACAATGGTTAGATGATTCAACTGTGAAGATTTTAGCATAGGCATTTCGAAAAACACAATAACCAGTGGAAGTCAGACCAATATTTTAAACACCAGAATCACGTTTGAGGAGCTGAGAAGACCGAGTTACTGTAAATGGACGTACTTACTGTTATCTATGCAAACTATGCCGTGAGACCAATGAAAATAAAACATTATCAAATTGACAATTCCATGTGAGCAATTGAATAGTGAAGCAAACACATGTCAACATATAATGATAATTGCATGACCATTGGGATGAAAAATTATTAGTCATTTTGTATATGCCCACAAATTCTGACGATACGTAATGGCAACTTATTTCCTTTTGTTTAACCATAAAATTATAAAATGTATTGTACAGAGGCAGCATTTGAAAAGTAAGGATCCAAACACGTTGACAGTGAACCAAATCCACACCTGAAGGAATATAGGAAGCAGTGGCTGGAGAGCTTTTGGAAGACAAAATCCCGGTATTAGAACAGGTCCTCCCTGCAGTTTCATTGGCAAAGTAAAAAGGAATTCCAGAACAAGAGCCTTCATAATACATAGTAAATAAAAAATATATTCCAAAAACGGTACGGAATTTCTAAGCACAATAAACATGCATAAAAAATACCGTGTGTTGGGCCAAAGGAAAACTCTGAAATTATCAAACGGAAATACCTTTCTTTTCCTCCGCTCCTTGTCTCTTGCTGTAGAGACAGCATCTCGGACCACTTTAATGTATGAAGGAAGAACTTCTTTAGGAACAGAACCAATAACACTTCCTAAAGCTTCCCAGGAAACCTGCGAAGAGATACAAGGTTAAGACGAAATAAGGATAATGACTGGGAGGAAATGACCTTCTTCAAGTGTACCAGAATAGTGGCTTGATCACTGTCGCTCAACAAAGGAATCAATGTGGAGATCATATTTGGAGCCTCATCAACCAAATCTAATTTGCTATTCTTGAAGAAGTGTCCAATAAGATAGGCGTAACCTCTCCTCATCAAAGGCTGCAAAGAGAGATGGCGCAAGTTAACCTCTGAACATACAAAGAAGATAAGTTTCTGCAAGTCTGGTGGAGCTTTGAGGACCAAAACCTGGTTATCAGAGACACCTTTGAGCAATTCTGACATCAGCGAAGAAATACCCTCTTCATCTATAACTAGCACAACAGTTTCAGCAGCCTTCTTTGCCAAATGTTGCACATTCTAGGATTCAGAAAAAGAATTTTTTATCAACAAATTAAACAGAATAACGTGTAAGATCCAAAAAGCTTTTGAATTTAATAGCAAAGATATTGATGGAAAGATTCTCTAACATGTAAGCTTTACAGGCGCTTTGTTTATGGAATTTCTATCCCAGAAAGTGGATACGATCAAAATACAAAAACTTAAAGTTACCCTTGTTTCAGCGTAACTAATTTGTTATCGCCATAACATCAAAGCAGCAAAACATATCCTCACGAGGTAAGTTACTACACTGATCGCTGGCAACAGAAATAAGGAAACACAACATTGTCCACATAATCACTATGAAGAACACAACGCAATTATAGTACTGCAAAACAGACAAACCTTATCATCATCGCCCATAGCAATAACTAGGGGTGGAAGCATTGTTCCAAGGTGAAAATTGAGAGCAGGTCCCGCAACCTCTGCCAAGGCTCCTAAAGCATGGGCGTTGAAAGCACTGTGCAGAGATCTCCATAAGGACAAGCACAGATTTTGAACCTAGTTTTCCTAGTAGTGAAAGGGATATATACTCACGAAAGTGGGGAATTGACAAGCTTTGGCAAAATATGTGGCAAGACAGCAGCGGTCCTCACACTGAAGAAGTGATGAAGAGAAAAACTTAAGCAATTAAGGTGGAAAGAATAACTTAAAAAAGAAAACAAAAAAATATAAGCGAATTCAAAGTAACATTGACAGCGTTCCATATGCAACCTATTTGATAGACAATTTACAAGCAACATTTTCTGCGAAACAGATTATGAAAAGCTGCATGGGCCTACAATTGATAAATCTAACCATAGGAAACAATATAAAGCTTAAAGTACATGAGTTATTGATAATTGCATTTGTAAGGGTAGAGACCTCAGAATTTGCTTGAGGCCGTCAAGAGCTGTATGAGAGGTCTCATCATCTTCTAAAGCATGGAGCAGAGTGGGAACTATTTCATCAATTGCTTGCAAGCCAGCACTCTGAAAATTTTATTTAACAGTAAAAAGGTAATACCTTCACTAGATAAATCCTCCAAAATAAGTTTAGAGCTCGAGAGAATACCTTATATAGGGTGCTGAAAGCTAAACCAGCAGATTCGCGAACCTCAGGCACGCTGTTGAAAGAAAAGAGTAGAAATTGTCTCATCCTTCCAAGGATCAAGAGAACCTATAGCATAGAGTTGCCAGACCAATGAAAATAGTAGCAAACCTATCGCATAGAGCCACCCGAATGGTAGGTATCAGTTCACTCATGAAACCCAACAGCTGGTGTTTACCAGCACTGGCCATGACCTCACTAAGTCCAATGCAAACACCCTGCAGTAAATGAAAATCAATGAGCCTACTGCACTAAAAACACCACGTTTCTTAATACGCAATACGTACGGTCATGAAGAACAATGAAATGACCATACAGAAAATATCTATAAGCACATGCAGATAGAAAAAAGAAAAGGCATTTCATAAACTTTGTTCCCCGTCTGTCATTTCTTTGACTCAGTGCAAAACACAAAAAACCTCAAAGGCAATATCTGACAGTTTCCAAGCCGCTTTTCGTGGATTCATTAAGGGTGCCACTGAGCCAAAACAAATCCGCGAATTAGGAATCTCAGCGCACAAAGAACACAGGTCAGGCCCGGCCAACCACAAGCCCTGCGAGGCCTGGTACCAGACTTGTTCACATCTCAAGGATTAATACATATTTCAAATGGAACAATAAATGACACTCAACAGTCATTTTTTGGGCCATCTCATTATAAAAAAGATGCAGAACAGATTACTCATACAAGGAACAACAAGATCTGCCAACTGTGTGCTCGGATCTTGTATAACAAGTGAGCTTATCGAGGGGAAACCAATATTAAAAACAATTTCAGCTCCAGAGATTCGTTTCCCCGTCCTCAGACAAACATGAGTTATGGGCCGGGCAGCTAACTCTTTTCATTATTAAATAGGCCCTTTTGCAGTAGTTCGAATTACATAAAGAGGCAAACAACACAAAGGACAATGTTCTGAGCCCCATTCTAAACTGATGAAAATCTAGATAAACGGAAACTTGATTAATGAGGAATCTCATGAGAAAACAGCGATCTACATGTACAACAAATACTAAAGCTATAAATGAGACATCTCGGTTATAGAAAATGGGAGAAAAAAAGGGGAATAAGTATTTATCCAAAGTTAACGCAAGAGGGATAAAGATATGGTTTTTTTATGGTGATATTTGAGCAATAACCAAATGAGATCAAAATAAAGATGCAGTCACCTGTCTTCTACCAGCATCAGAGTCTTTCAGGCCTCGTGACAAAATAGGGATAATCGAAGGCAAAACTCTTTCTCCGAGCTTTCTAACAAGTTCTCCAAGTGACCTTCCAGCAACCTAAAAGAGAACATAAAAAAGGAGAAATTAAAATTTCACATCACAATGGCCATGCCTATGCATAGTAATTGATCACTAATTTAAAAATAATAATAAAAACCTGTCGACGCTCCAAAGACGAGGAAGCTAGAGAAGAAATGAGAGTGTTCATTAGAACAGGCATGATTTCCTTTAGAGTCTTCGGTGTGTTTGCCACAATAGTCTTCCACACATGCAATGCAGCCTGATGACATGGTGTAGACAAGAAAAGATGGTAAGTGACTTCATAATCGGAAAAAATCAACTAAGCGAACAACAATTTCAGTGTGGGAAAAAGATACATATATACCTGCCGAACTGATAAACTAACATCACTTCGAATCATATAAACTGCAGCAAGAACTTCATTACGCTTATTCCTACCAAGTACTTCAATAATAGCTCGTCCGTGAGCTTCAGTACTTGAACCTTCATCATCACTGCCACCCTCAAGAATTGCTTTACCAGAAGTTCCAGCGACCTACAGAGACATAACCAGGAGAATTGAAGCAAGAATCTCTAAAAGGGACAGTACAGCTTTGAGTCAATGAGAAATTCGTGAACCTTGAAAAGAAGATCACCCAAAAGCTCAACAGAGCTTTGCCGAATACGCCAGTTGTCATTGAAAATTCCATCCTCTATAGCTGGAAGAAGCAGCGGCAAAGACCTGATTGGATATTAAAATAACAGATACCAAAAAACAATCAGCCGAGTAGTAAGGTTGAAGAAGAAAATCTCACAGAGAAAGTATCTTACGTTCTTGCATAATGCTCCACAAAGACATGACCAGCACTAAGTGCAGCATCACGTACAGATTCATTCTCATCAGCAAGCCCTGGAAAGAATTAAAATTAAAACTGGACGGAACTAATACATGAAATAGAGAGAATAAAGAGAATAAACTTACCATCCAGTATAGCAGGTAGAACCTGCTGCAAGTAATTCTGAAATGTGGCTCCTAATGATCTTGGAAGATACTGAACACATAATTCCGTTAAAACGTGATTCAAAAAATTGAGAAATCAGAATGCAACTTAGATGGATTATCTGACCTTAAAAAGTGTTAGGTATCCATCACGGACTGAAGCCTTTTGGTGGGAACAATTTCGGATAATATCGGGAAGAAGTCTTTCAAAATAATCCTCGCCAAGGGCCGCCAAAACCTGAAATATGGAGAAGTTAATGAAGATGTAAAATGCCTGATTAAAAAGGAAAAAAGTATTGCATTTCGGTTTTAAACCAGAGTGAAGAAAAAGAGTGGCCAAAATGACCACCAAAATACGAACCGTACAGAAAGTTTGAATAAGAAATTAGAGAATGATAAGAAGTCATTTGCACCTAATTGTCCAAAATGTTCAGCTCAAACACCAGCAAAAGATTGTTGTATGTTTAACGAAGAAAAGATGAAGTGCTTTTAAAGAACCAAAAACATGAAATAAAACAGAAACAAAATTAGCAGCAACGATTCAACAAAGTAAACATGAGCAAAGATTAAAAGAGAAAGAATGCCATTAACATAAACCTATCTGGGAAATAATGTGAAAACTTAATGCATAACACACCTCACTCAAACCCTGAGCAGCTCCAGATCGTTCAACGTTACTACTGTCAGACTTTAGAGTGTCTAGTAACCACGATACAAGATCCGGAAAATTTTCCTCTCCCATACCCCTTATAAGAGAGCCGATGGCCCTGGCTGCAACTGATCGAACTTCCGGTATAGGATCCACCAGAACCTGTCCCAGTCATTAGTAATGACAAAAAAATATTAGATAGGAAAGCTATTGGCCAACCACTGTTGTTTAAAATGATATAAGGTTGAATGGGAGGAGACAGGAAAACCTTTTTAACTTCTGGAAGTAGCAAGCTTATGTAAGGAATCATATCCTTAGGTTCAGTAACTAATGAACACATGTTTCCCGTTATCTGAGCTGCTTTCTTTTTAGTGTCAACACTCCTCTCTCGCAAGCCTCTGTGCACAATTGGCACCAATAACGCCAATGACGGAGCATCAACAGAATTGATAAAAGTCGTCTGCAGAAGAAAGCACCATCAAAAAACAAATCCAATGAAAAAGGCAATAGACATTCATTACTAACAAATATTCATACTTGAAGAAGAATATCGAGTGAGTGCTTAGTGTGTTCATTGGGATCAGTGAGACCCATCAATAATGTTGGGACAAGGGCAGCTATCTCTGGATTTTTTATGACATTTCCAACCTGTAAAGAATAATAGATATTATCATTACCAGCCGCAATACGACACGAACACATGTAAAAAAAAGAGAGACAAAACCTGCTGAAGAGCCATTTGTCCCGCTGACTGAACCTTGGGATGTGTATCTGTCAACACCTGGAACACAAAAATTTCATAAGCAAGCTATTAGGCAAATGAATCTGACAAGCAAGGTCCCCATGATAAATTGGAAACCTCTGTAAGCTTGGGCACAATTTTAGGAAGGCATTGGGACAACTGCTGAGGTGCACAAAAAGCCATAGCACCGAGAAGCTGCACGCTACTTTGCTTAGTTCTCCAAGCTTTATCTTCCAGGCCCTGTGTAAATGAAAAAAAATAAATCAATGCCATTTCGAGCAGCTACATTCAAGAAATTTTTATATGGCCCCATTAATTTTTTATCACACTTCCTCTTCGTATCTAAAAGATGGCCATAGCATTTCCAAGGAGGCACTTTCTAACGCTACCTTTCCCCCTTTTCAGACCACAGCCTCTAAAGTTTAGAGGATTAGAACCTCACCCCCAGACTGCAAGAGACTGCGATTAACACCAGAGACTTCAACAATTTGGGTACAGATTTTGAGCTTTTGTACTTCTACAGTCATCTTCCCTCCCCAGTCATTCTTCAGTAAAAGAAAACTATTTCATTGGGGGAAGACTCAACAATTTGTTACTCGAACAAAAGTTACCATTAAATGAACATGGATCCTTGACACTTAAAACAATTAGTTAACCTTAGTACAGTGAAATTTTAGAAAAGGCTAGTCAGGTCGATGCAGTAAGCCATGCCACTCACAGGCATGATGGTTTCAATGAAAAATTTCAAATATTTAAACAATCTTCATGATGTATGGACGAATTAAAATTGGTTTCTTTCCTATTGATCTTTAAAAACATGATGTATCAAGAGCGTATTTTCGTTATTTAATAGTCCTATAGTACCGCAGCATAATAAGGAGCGAGGAATTACATTCCAAGACTAGGAACAATATATATCAAGATCAGGGTTTGGCAACTTAACAAATCGATGCAATCTATACCTAGTTATGAAACATCTGGGTCTTCATCCACACAGGATTAACGATGTCGACCAACCTAGTGCATAGTGCACCAAATTGGATCAAATCTTTGCCCTGCTCTATATAATGATCCGATCAGCCAAATCACCCGATATAAGGGAAAGGACTATTTTGGGGGTAAAAGATAACAACTTTGAAACAATACATTGCACATGTTATTAGGAGGTTCGTGCGGGAGGAGAAGAAAAACTAACAGACACAACTGGCACGATAATGGCGGCAGGTTGGGGATGACCTAGGTCTGGTTCTGCACTTTTATATCATTTTTTGCTGATTCGAATTGAGGGTTGATACCAAATCGACCTATTTTCGTATCTTCTTTCCTTGAATAAACCTATGGTAGGCAGCATATCCTCTTCTTCTGTCCATATTTTTCCAAATCTTTCTTCTCTTATTCAACAGTCTCACCTCTTACAAGACGAAGGACATAGTGAAAAAGTTTGAAGACCATTAATCTACGAAAAGCAAGGGACTGGTTCTCTATCAGTCTCTCATACCACTAAGGCGAGATGGACTGATTGAACCCAATGGGGCTTCGATTTTTAGCAGTTTGCAACAATACGGAATCATAGTATCAACATACTGGAAAAGGAGATGACAATGCAACAGACAATCTAGTCTGTTTCATTTCGCACTACTCGATCCAACAGCAAACATGAATCGACAAGAAAAGTCAGCCACCTACCAACGATATGTTCGAATCTAGCTTTTAGTCCTCGGGATTAAAACCTCGTGTTTGTCTGAGGCCACTTATATAAGCCATCTACAATATGATATCAAAGCATAAACCAATCGGATAAAATCACTCATAATTGTTTATGCATTCACTATTAGTGCAACGGAGAGACAAAAGCATTTGAAAAAATAACTGGTGACGTTTCACCTTATCCATCGACTTATATTCCATGAACGTTCTTGAAAACATAATTTGATAATATTGATTTCAAACTGACTTTTCTGATGAATAAGGAAAAAAATGCAAGATATTCCCAAATAAAATTCAGATAAGGGCGTACTTCGAAAGATTGATTGGAGTCTAGAAAATAGATTTTATCCACTAAGATACCAGCAAAGATTATTTAGAAATATACCTTGTCTTACCCAACTGTGTTGCCACTAAGAAACTAATGTGTGCGTGTATGTATGAGAGACAGAGACAGAGAGATTGTGCAACAATGCTCAAAGCCAACTTTAATGAGAATAGATGAATCTGAGGGGCAAAAAAGTGGTAATGAAATCTTCAAGAAAGCAAATGGATGTTATGACATTCAAATAACCAAAATGACACGTGCATCGGATATTAACAAAAAATAAAATGCAATAATGGCCGAGCAATTGAAACAAAATAGAGTTATATATAAAGATGAATAAGTTGTCGAAACAAAAACCTTCAGAAGAGAAGGAAGAATGAGCTTCACTCCATGTCCACTAAGCTGCGACATAATTGCACGAGCAGCACATTCAGCAGCTTCACGCACAGCCGCAACTTGGTCGGAGAAAGATACCAACAGCAAAGGCAAATATTGAATAACATACCTGGAATGCATGGAGAAAAAGCAAAGGCAATCAGGAGGCATTAAGGAGAGATTAATAAGAACATATTAATACATACGGTTCAAACAATCTTCCAAGCTTCTCGCAAAGGCACTCAAAACCTAGTAGAGCTCCTTCACGTGATTTAGCAGAACTCCTATAAAAAATACAAGATTATTCCAATATAAGAAATCTTCAATGAATATTATCGTCTCATAACTACATTCCCAGTAAGATACTTGATCCATAGTGTCACAACAATGAAAATGTCAAAGCTTAAAGTAAAACGTAACATTTTAGATAATAGAAACGATATACCTGTCCTCCAAACCTTCTTGAAGAACAGTCATAATCCCATACGTCTTAAGGCAACGAATTCCAAAGCCCTTGATAACCCCTGCAAGTCCAAATGCTGCACCACGCCTCTCACCGTACTTGTCGCTTTTCATTAGCCTGTTTAATAGGCGGGAAACAATTTCTTTGCCATTACCCTGCTTCATTGTAAGAAAGGTGATTACATTAGTTCTCAAATGCACACATCTTCACGACAAACTGGGAAAGACCATCTGATTCACGTGGAAAAAACACGTATGAACAGCTTCTCAAAGACCTAAACATTACAGTAAGCACAAGGAATTGCTGATATACCAGGGAATAAAATGAAACTAGCCTTGAGCATGTTATAATGATAATGGACATAATGGCAGAAACAAATAATCAGCAACCAATGGAATGCAGTAATGATAAACAAACTATGAAACATTCTCAATGTCATCGGCATGAACTACATGACTACTGGACAGACTACTGGACAAAAGATGCACAGTATCTCATCTAAGAAATGATCCCACAAATTCCTAGACAAAAACTATGCACAGATACCTCACTTAAGGATGGGCTCCACCGTTGCTAAACTAAAACTATGCACCAACAAAAAAGACCAAAGCGTCAATTAACAAAAAAAATCGTACATGACTTCTCTGATATCATGTTCCGTGGCCCGACGCCAAAGGAACAGACCTAGCAATAAACAACAATTAATCATAAGTCTTACACCCTCAGCCTGGGGAAAATCAGAATCCATTTCTCGTCACAAATCTCCACGATTGGGTGAGAGTAACTGGTGAATTTCCTACTAGGTGGTGGTAGAGTGAATTCACCTTCAGCCCTTCAATCTCGGTTAGTTATAGCCGAAAATGCATCAGGCTAGAGGAACCTGGAATCATGCCTTCCCCAGATACTGGGCCACTACAGAGTCATCAGGCTACAGCAAGCACATTGTTTGGGATTTTTTCTGCTGGATCTGACGTCTGAGAGACAACCTCTTCACGACTGTTTATCTTCTTCTTGGGACTCCAAGCCACCTCCTCCCCCAAAATCCCTATAATTTGTCCAGATCAGACACCACCTGTCCAAATCAAATTAAGGTGTGTGAGGCACATGTAATATGCCTAGAGTGCAACAAAAGTTTTTCCGGGAAATAGCTAACCTAAATCGCCCAGCTCTAACCATAGGTCCTCTGATCCATTTGATAATATTAATATGAGTTGTAGAGTACTCCACGATTGTTATCCTGATTCAGACATTCATCCTGACCTTGACCCATGGGTCATTAGGTTAGATCATCTTAATCTCATCCAGTTAGGCTCTTTACATTCTACAGAACAGCCACGTCCACCTACGACACGTGATGGTTCTGTGGACTGCTTGGAGAGCTCTTACTCTGAGTGTGTCCCACTTTCACCTTAGAAATAATCCCCTAGGAAGACAATTATGATGCCCATTAAAGAATCTCCTCGTGACATCCAAACCACCGCCAGCCAATGGAAGGGGTCCAAGAACTGAAAGCCTATGAATAAGCGCCCCATCAACAATCCCCAAAGCGTTAACAGAAGCCATCTTCAAAGTAGAAGGCGAAAGCACATGCTCTGTCCCCTCCCCAAATGATAGGACACTATCAAATGCACTGTCCCCTCCACCTGCCATTGGGGAATCATATAAGGAGATATGATCTACTATTGATTCCACAAGTAGCCACCTCAAATGAGGAGGAGAATCAGCAGAACAACGTTCTCACCACTTGTATAATTATGTTGCCCTTGGAATCCAATGGATCTCTACCTATACCCCAGGAGAGCTCGGCTAAAGGGCTTCCGGGATTGGAGCTTAGGCGGGGTTCACCTTCCTTTACCCAACTATACATTTTGAGTGATCCATTATACATCCTCTACCCCACAAGACGTGCATAGAGCCGCATTCCGGCAGTCTTTTAGCCATTGAAGTAGCATCTGGAGCACGGACAAGGATGGATGCCATCACAAGCTATAGGGCCTACTCTTGTCGGTCCCAACACCCTCTATTTTCTTCCTCTCGTGGGTTATTATCAATTAAATAGTTGAACCAGGATTTTTCACGACGTCTCAACCTTTGACACCATAAGAATCTAGAATAAAAGATAATGAAGATAATAAGTGTTGGAATCAATATCGATTTCGTATTGGCCAATGATTAGGCGGACATCAGTTCGCGTGAGATATATTAGCGCATTTGACACCCATTTAGAGTAATCCAATCCAAGGCCAAAGATTGAAGGAATATCATCATACAAGAACTAGACTTCAAAATAATCCGATTCCATGCTGCCAAAAACACAATGTAAATCTACCCTGAGAAAAAAATAACTTGTTTATTCTACAGAAGAATGCACCAAAGATATATCAAAATAAAAAAATGTGGCCTCGAGTATAAACCTATGAGAGTTCCAATAACATCTCACTATAGAACAACTTTCAAGTCAGTACATGCACCATAAGGATGAAGCATAAAAATTGATAACGTCAAGTCCTGGCTACACTCGAAGGAGTCCAGTCCTGGCGAATAATGTAATAAGGATTTATTTTGTCTGATTTTCGTCGGTCCTTAGGCCCAAGTTTATCTTTCACTATTATGGCCGTTTCTAGAAGTACCTAAGGTTTATCAAAGAGCTTAGACTATCCCAACCGTTTCACTACTTTTTAGGAGCATTTATGGCTGAAACACAAACCCATTAGAATTGGGAGTTAAGAACGCCCCTTCAAAAGCCTCATGTTGCTCCTTTAAATAGGAGGCTAAACTTCATGCCCAAAAATAATATATTTTGAATGAAAATTTTGCTAATAGCTCTCTCTCTAAGGGGTCGAAAAGTATGAAGCTGACAGTTGGTTCGTCCTTGTTTGATCCCTATCATCCTCTATGATATTTGGGGTCTTTACAACTTCAGAGAGGAACATAGTCGGTTGGCTGTTTGCTCCAATATCGTAAGCCGAAAGCTTCCACCCATACGATCAAGGTATATCATAGTCACTCCTTTCTGGACCTTTCATAATTTGCTATCAAACATCTTTCATTGCTAGTTATACTTGTCTCCAAATTCCCACCAGTCCTACCTCCTTATTCACTACTCTAGTCTACCCTTTGCACAACATAAACAATTACACTAGTAAGAGGAAATTTCCATACTTATGATCTAATTCTGGTTTTGAAAGCAAAGCACCTGTCTAGTGATGCTAACTATGACCATAATCCTGCCGTGACTTCATTTAAGTTGACATTTTCTGATTTCTCATAAATTCAGTCACAAGCATGCTAACTCCCATATCAAACATGGCATTCATCCGGCATGACTAACACCTTTACAGAGTATTGTACGTTGACTTACCTCTCAAATATACACAAAGGTCCTCTTTCTTATCACCATTCAGCACATGTCAAAGACACAAAAACAAAAGAAAACCACAGAGCAGCAGAAATTCACTTTTTTGGTTAAATACTGACTAGCAGAAATTTTTAATGTGACAACGCAACCATAACTTAAATAGCATCCTTTCAAAACCATTGAAAGAACAATACTTGATGAGAACACCATACCTGCTCTGCAACCATCAACGGAGAGAGACAGTCTGAAACAGCCCTCTGTACAGCCTCAGATGGAGTATTTAAGACATCCAATAACTTCTCCACAACATCATGGACTTTGGCATCATCCTACCCAAAAAGCTTAGAAAAATTAAAAAAAAGAAAAAGAAAAAGCGAAATAAAATCTTAGCGACAGATGATGGCAAAGATGCACAGGAGAAAATTTCACACATACCTTTGCCAAGTGTTTGGCCAGAGCTCCAGTGAATATAACAACGCCTTCCCGTATCAAGTCATATTTTTCTTCATTAGAAGCCTGTCATTCACCAAAGAAATCAATTTCAGATGAAATGAAGTGGTTGACGGTAATCAAAACAATGTTCCACCACTTTTAATCTAGACAGAAAGGCGAGGTGCTTAGAGACTACCTTTTTCAAATATATTTAAAATTCTATTGAATGAAGATAGCATAGTACATACAAGCTCAAATGATAGAACTCCAAAAATCTTCACTTAATATCTATGAATGAGATAAATGATCAATACAGTCAGGAGAAGAATAGGACGCCTGCCCCAATGCTATTTCTCATTGATGAATGGAGACACTGGCTTAGCTTTTACGTCACCAAGGAAAAGAGAAGACTGATCGAAAGGTCATACCTTTTTATTCAGATAGTTCTCAAAAATAGGAAACAACAGTGAAACATTTTCTTTCCCATGTCTATCAATAATCACGATACCAGCGTTGATCATCCTTCCACGGACGTCGATATTAGGATCCGCCTATAAAATGATGCACTAAGTTGTAAGCTGCTGTCTTTCTATTCAAAAAACCACACTGAAGGAAAAAGTCTAAAAAACAACAGTTCTAGCCAATAGCTAGAGAAGAGCATAGGCAAATTTGCATGAATTTCAGTCACCGATTTATATTAACTTTGTGATTATTTAGTAGCAAGAATCCAGTAAGATCTCAATGATGATCTCACAATTTTATAGAAGTGTTCCAAGAACATGGTTTAAAGGTTAAAAATGAGTCAACAGCCACATTTCATCTTTCTACATGATCAACTATAGCGATTGTCTCCATAAACATTAAAACTAAGTCAAGGACAATATTCAAGAGTGCATTAGCAAAGTAGTATGAAAGACAAATTCTTTTTATCCGAAATTAAATCGTTAAATTAAAAAACCATCTGTTTACGAAAATTGGAATTCTTACCAATGCACGTGAAATTAAAAACGTTATGACAACAGGAAGATCTTTCGTTCTTAAAACATCAGCAGCAGAATGTAACGCCATGGCAATCCCCTGCCTTCCTAACCAGCCAGCGTCTGCTATATCTGTCCCACTGGCAACATATTGAATGTACATAGAAAACAAAGTCGAAAGAGTTTCCTGGAGAACTAGCAGCTGGTTAGAAAATGCAGAATAGCTAGACAAATAAGGAATACGAAACTGTTTCAACAAAGGAGATATTAACTTGTAGAGTATTAGGGTTCTCGTCCAAAGCTGCAGCCAATGCTTCTGCAGCAGCCAAGCGTACATTGTAATTGGCATGAGAAAGTGCAACATAAAGACCAGAATAGTCAGTTCCAAAATCAAAGCCATAACGATCCCATATGTCTTCTGCTGCTTCAGCAACAACCTGAAAATATTAAAAAAATGCACACAAATGAACTTTAGATCGCAAGAAAAATTCTGCAAGGAGATCCGGATACTTGTTGGGGCTCCCACTGCAGGATGGGTGGGCTGATCCTGCCTGGTGGCAGAGAAAAACTTGTGTGGCTAGATCTCTTCAAGCCCAGTTCAGGCCATTTTTCGCTGTTGTACCTAATTATGTGAACTAAGTGTGAAAAAAACAGTCCAGACAACGGCGCACTTCTTGGCTAGTCCAATCCAATGATAACACTATTCACTATGAGTGCTGTTTTCCTTGAAATTATCACGTCCAATTCATCAACTTGCCTCACTCCCCTTTCATTATCACTTTAACAAAGGAAAAAGGCTTTTGTAACAGAACGCAGAAAGTATTCAGTACTTTGATTGAGAGTTCTGGAAGGTCTTGTACAGAATCGCTCACCCCACACAGTCATTATAACTATGAAGTAAGAGATAGACGCCATTAAACATTATGTCTGAGTAGAGGGACACATAAAAAAGCTCGATAATAATTAATGATTATAACTTTTTGTGTCAAAAACAGCTATTATAGTAGATAGCTTGCGCAAACAAGTGTCAACTCTTACCCCAGTTCATCATTTTTTGTTATTATTATCAGGGTGGGTTTCAATAAAGAACCAGCGTTGGGGCAGCGAAGCATACTGAGGTTCATCCGTAAACTATGACCACTGCAGGAGTGGCTGCCGTGCGGGGTTATTGCTCTTTCTTTCAAACAATCCAGCTGGGTGCACACGGGATATCTGTTCAGGCTATTTAACTTTCAATATTTGGCCTCACGCCCTTCTCTTAAGCGCGCCCCTCACGTCCACAAAAGAGACAATTAAGTCTGTGATACAAGAGATTGTACAGCTCAGTCTCTTGATAAATTATAGACGTGGGCTACAGATGGTTAACCGCATGCGACGAAGGATAGTCCCTAATTACTTTCTTCTTTCCAAATTGCCTCGAATAGGTAATCTTATATGAGGTCGTTTGGTCATTTGGCAAAGGCTTGTGTTTACATAAAAAGTCTCCACGCACACGAGTCATGGATGCTTTTTTGTCGTCAATACAAACCTTATTGCTCCTATGCAGAGTTATGCCTTCGAGCAGTTTCCCCAACCAGTAGGGTTTCGTTCCCCAAGCTTTCTGCCATATGGATTACACAACACATCTTTTCAAAATTCTACAGAGCAACATAGTCTGCCATGTTAATGCCACCTCTCCAGGGACGCACAATTTAATGGCAAGTCCTTGAACACGAACTAAAACAGAGAGGGAATATCCAAGTACGAATTTGTATTAAAATGTGATTCTATACATGACACAATACCTACGTGGGAACGACTAACCTAGAATAAATTCAGTCAGAAGAGTCGCAAATCGGAATGGTTAAAACATCAGAGGTTCCGTAAATTCTAAAACAAAAACCTTAGAGGTAACTAGTCACCAAGATGCTACACAGTTAGCGCTATACACTCGTAAGTTGATCCCAGGTTACACCAGGATGACAATCATAGAAACACCATAACAAAATTTTAGGGGCCCTCTTCATTCGTACAACTGTACCAGAGGTACTCAAAAATTCAAAATTTACAAATATGATAAAAAAACACATTTAAAAGTTTTCAATACATGGGATATAATAAAATTTGAAAAACATTTCATGTAATATCATATTACTTCAAAACCTTAGATAATCACAAAAAAATATTTAAGCCATGAACCGTTCAAAAAACATGAAAGATAAAAAGTTTTTCAAATGCAGTAATAGGTACAAATAATCATGATCTTGCCAGAAGACATTTGAATACTCAATAAATTATAATTTACGGTTTTATCTCTAGCCACATAAAACCCTAAAACATCCTATTAAGTATAATGACGACCAAAACTTACAGTGAATCAACTAATTGGATCTCTCACAAATCACGAGACACTGAGAATACCATAATAAAAAATATTGACATAATAAACATACTCTAAGAAATAAAAAACAGGTATTAATAAAAATATATAATGCTCGTGATAAATAAAATAAAAATATTATATCGACTATATTCACTGGAGATGTTCAAATCCAAATGAGACTACAATGCCCACTAATAGGTCTAAGAACATAAATTTTCCGAAGAAAGAAATTCAAAAAAATAAATTAAAACTGTTTAAAAGGAGAAAAAACCTTTCTCTGTAGAAGGTAATTCTATAGTTGATAAAAGAAACGCATTTGGATAACGCAATTATCAAGAAATGAATCAACCTGAGGGATAACATACCTTTTCAGGGTCGTGCAGAGAAATCCAAATGCCTGTTGCAACGTCAATATTCTGCACGAGGGAACGGCCAGAAACACAGGGAATGCACTTCACAGCACTTAAGCAGGCAAGTCTGACGTGCACATCTTTTGCATAAACCCCTTGTAGAGCCTGTGATTAAAATTTAGGAAACGGCTTTTACTTGAAACTTAGGTCACAGCCAGAAATCTGGGTCTCTTTAACAGAAGCATAATTGAAAGCTTTACCTGTCCTAAACCATTCGATTGCAAACCTAAACAGAGTTCATTTAACATTGGTCCGACCTTCGCTTGGTATGCTGGGACAACACTCAGAACGTGGTAAAGCGCCTGTAAGCCAAAACAGGCAACGTTATCACTTTTTCAAGAGAAGGAACCCAAGAAAGTGAGAGGAATCAAGACATAACTGATAGCATCTTCAGCCTGGGAAGAGGCAATATGGGATCCAGGTGTAAAGAAAGAATTCGAAGCACGTTGTCATGAAGGCTGGTCTTTTTGGAAGACAAAAGAATCTTCTCCAGGATCTGACAGCAAAAACATAGCAATAATGTTAAGAAACTTACTCGCAGAAAATGGCAGTACGTCAGAATGAGTTCATAAATAGATATATTACCGGAAATATGACTGTAAAGGAATCAGCTGGAAGAGGACCACTTCTACACGAGGTCAATAAACCAGCGATTATTTTCTCAAAGAGAGATGGTTTCAAGTCACTTTCACCGAGTCTGGGCATAGAAATTGAATCCCATGCTACATGTCCATCTTGTGTTGAAATTATGCGTAGAGCAGCAGCAATCTCTGGGGCCCAATCACCAAGAGGAGGAGCCAAGCACCTCACAAGCTTCAACATAGTCTCAAATGCAGCATCACATATAATTGGCGAATGAAGCAAAGGATCAATTAATTTTACCTATCACAAAGGCATCACCAGTCAACAAGAGATTAAAAATAATAGTAATAATTGGAAGATGTGCGTCTAAGGCAATTAATCAAGCCCTGCTATAATTTAGCGAAGATCGTTAATGAAAGACAAGATTTTTGGCAGACCATAAACTTGACATCCTAATTTCTATCGAAGTTAATGACAAAATCAGTCAAATGTGCCCAACTTCTAAAAAGTTTTAACCAAGCTAAGAAAAAAACAACCAGGACAATATACTAATCTTGTAAACACGACAGATGCAAAAAAAATAACAAGATGTGTAGGTCTGAATGGGAGTAAAAAAAGAGAAGGAATGAGAGTTTTACTGTGCGGGAGGGTAGTCAGGAGGGTGGGCGCAGATGAGAGAAACAATGGGTGTGGATATGAAGACTCCCGACTTGTTACTATTGGCGGTTGGGAAGGACAGAAGATGCAAGTTCTGCGCTTTGAGTGTCCCCAATTAACAGAAAGGTGAGCAAGGATCATATGGAGCTTAAAGATCTAACACTCTTCATCCTAGTTGCTTTTATCCGACGCTTACATTCAATTAATGTATCTACGTACAAATTCATTCAAATTACCGTCCTTGATCTTCTCATTAGCGAAAGTTGCTACAAGAAATTTAGGGGGACAAACATTGACCTTGCTACATCCTTCAACTAGAAGACTATGAAAAGACCAATGAGCATGATGCCCTCGGATCAATAGTTAACAAATCGCACCTCACAGAGAGTAGTCAATTTCATTTCTTACACATGCTCATTCGCATTACAGGTACATTGAGAAGGGAATATGAAGTTGGCATCAGCTGGCACTCTTTTCAATATTAGAGCTTCATTCAAATAAAGAATTCTAGGGATAATAAAGAGAAAGATCAAACAATTATGGAACTAGTAGTGTAAGAGGCAATTCATAAAAATGAGGCCAGATAGCATCAGAAAAATTTATCAAGTATGCTGCAATGATATTTGGTTAAACAAAGAAAAAAATTAATTGAGATATAAGGATAATAATGAATATCAAGAACAAGTAGAATTGCACAATATCTCAGTACAATGTCAGAAACTGGATGAGTGCAAAATGCAAGGAGATCTGAGAATTACGAGCAAAGGTAGTTGTCCATGCGCATAAACTGGATTGCCAGCAGCCATAAAGCCCAGAGCTCTGCAAACCACAGACAGGTTCCTCCGAATGCCCATAACTTTGTCACGTACAGAGGCCTCTTCCTTCAGTAGCAATTCTCTCGCCTCTTCCTTTGCAGTTTTAATTTTGTCTGTATAAACAAGATAAACGATGCAAATTGATTATATAATGACACGAATAAAAACATTATATGATGACATTAACTTAAATGTATATACCTTTCTGTATCTTCGCTGTTGTTTTTGTAGTATCTTTCTTCCCTGGACCAACGCCCTCTTTTTTGTTTGCTTCCCTTTGTGCTGGCACATTAGGCGAATTATCCTAGGAAAGAGAGATGCAATTTTAAGTAGTGCATGAAAGCTATACATCCTTAAATGGTAAAACAATACTTACGAAATCATCATCATCGCCATAAACCCTAAAACGTCCCTTCGCAAGTCTAACATTCTTGGTAGCCACAGACTCTGCAACATAAACACCCTGCTCGCTGGATAACATTCCTTCTGGTGTATGGAAAATCTGGAATGACGTGAATATAGAAACCATTTCAATGGTAGGTAAGTGTGGTAATAAAGTGCAATAGAAAAAATGGCTAAGCACAACATCTGAAACAATATCCATTAAAATCTCATTAAAAAGGTAGAGATACAATAATATTCCTACTTATTAACAAGGTATAATTTGTTGAAAAAAAAAAACATGACAAGGATGGAAAACTACCCATCGGCTTCTCCACGTTAATGCAGAGACTACCAAAAAACTTGAAGGCAAGGGTGACCGTGAGAGAAAAAACTGTACTCCTGAGTCTCAACATGAATGCTACATTTAACAGGTCATCCGGATGAAATTTAACAGATCACTTTGTGAAGATCCTAGTGAATAATTCCACCTAAGCAATTACATGAAGGCAACTGCTTTCATGTTAAAACCTACGCAAAACTTGACAAGAAGCTTAGCGTAAGCGACTATGAGCCCCAATCCATAAAGTTCTCATCAAATGACATATGACACACCCCATGAGTGCTGCTACTAATCCTGGTAACAATAGTTCTCGTCCTCTTCCAGGTATCGAGCAGACACAAAGGCCAAGGCTCTTCAGTCTTTGTTCACTTTTCTATTACATTGATTCCTTTTCCTTGCCAAGAAAGTTAAGAGTAACAATTACGATTTACGTCTTGATAACGGCGCCCATATTAAATACCAAGCAACACTTTCCAACAGAAACCAAAGAAAGTAACACAAGACTCTTCCAAATGACCTACTACAAAACAGTAGTAGTTCTCCCACTAATCCCACTTTTCTATACTTTGCAATCGCACAGTTTCTCATCCTCTTCAAAGTATGAGGCAGTCCAAAAGGCCAAAGGCCTTCATGAGGACCGAACCGCGAGCAGAAAGCTTGTCCAAGTTCATGACAATACCAATATTACCATCTGGCAAAACGTTGCCCCCTACCCACACTCGGTTAGAAAGCATCTCCATCATTACCAGGGACAAACACAAATCTAAGTATTTCCTCTGAAAATTCACAGGAATATGAAGCTATGATCATGCTCGTACTTTATGCCAATTAATGATGCGTAAATTATCGAACTGAGTATTTTTCTCATTTCCTGAAACAAGTTACTCCTATGCGAATGCTTTAACCATAAAAGTGGCTGAACAACTAAATTCTCGGCCAGAGCTGGAGTGCATTTTTCATTAAAAATACCAGAGTCTAAAAAGTAACAGATATCCCACGACCAGCAATATTTCATACTTGTAGACCTTACCATACACATCAATACCCATTAAAGATCTCATATTGCACATTCCGCATAAAGGACGTAATGAAGATCATGAAATTCACTGGAAGGAAAAAGAAGAGAGTGCAAAAATGCCATGCGCGCTTTGAATTTATCACGCTACTAGCAAATTGAAACTAGCCCAGCAAAGAGTTTTACACATCAATTGGAACATGTAATTGTGTTTATGCAAACTTAAGGGTAACACCTAAGTGAAACAGCAATTAAAATAAAATGAGCCTTCAATCAGGGACTAGTACAAACCATCAGATCTTCGTATGTTTTCCAAAAAACCTCTATTGACTAGACATTGAGAAGCTTAATGAATGAAAATGGATTGCTATCAGGAAAAAAAAAAAAGGGAGAAGACAGAAAGGGAGAGATGGCTAAATCCTAAGAAGATTGTATGACAAAGATACCCCTGTTATAACGGGTGTTACAGATAAAGCATAATGTCATTAAATTAAAAGACACAAATGTCCTCGTCTCCTTATTATAGATAATCATCTGCATCTCTTTACAAACACAGGAAACAGAAAGATCATTGATCTAAAGGAAGAGGATACTGTAGGTTGCTTCACCTTAATGTCGTTTTCTGATAGTTCATTGTGTAAAGACCAGTCTGGAAGCCTTTCTATGTGCTGTTAAAGCAGGCAAGAACCCATTGATGACAGTGTTAGAAATAAATATAAATTTGCAGGTGTGGAATAAGATCTGAACCCAACCTTTTTAAACTCCATAAAGGTGTGATTGGGGGTCACAGACATCAAAGTTGCAAAAGCCCGTACTGCTGTTTCTCGATTCAAGGAATTTGAACTCATTAACCCCATTGGACCAAATAATTCCTGAGATGCATCATGTAGTTTTAAATGATAGGCCTGGACCAGGAAGTTTACTTGGGACAAAGTAAAGTCAAGTGTAACAAGTGAAGGAAATAGCACAACATAATTATCAAAAGCTTTTTTGTTCAAAAACTGCAGAATACCCGTTCGTATCCACACTAAGAAACCGCCATATAACATCCACGAACAAAAAAGCTGCGCCACATCTTATGAAATTTTCATTAAAATCAAAAAGCTATAGTCTTCACCGATTGCTTCACTTTCAAAGGTATATATGTATATGTATATGTATATATATATATATATATATATATATATATATATATATACATACATATAAGTTACTGCCTTTAAAGACTAGTTGAACCATGTCCAAAAATATCGACCAATCTAAGTTTCGGTAAAATCCCATTGGCGAATAATTGTTCACAATTTTTTGAGCCATGGCAAGAAACCTTCCTCAGCCTGATAAAAAGTCCTAAAATCTGATGCACTCATTAGGCAAGACTGATGTGTTTAAAATGGTAGTGAAAATAAGATAATACCATCTAGTAACTGATCAACTGTGGTTTCAGTATATGATATATGAAATGCTATGATCTGAAAGCAATAAAAATAAATTAAGATAAAATCCAAAAAGAAGTCCATTCTATTCAAGCCATCAAAGATAAGTACCAGAACTTAAACCCATACAGGAAACTTTTTGGATGGCTTTATTAGAGAACAGGTATATTTAGAGGAACACGGCATTCATGCTCCAAAAGATATCCTAAAAGATATCCTGACCTATCAGATGTGAATCACAAGTGACACAATGAACAAAATAGTGTCAAAGACCTAAATGCTTTTGATGCAATCATACCTGTAGGAAGCATTCATTCATTAAACATTACATTTACTAATAGCAAATTCATTATATTACGATCAACTGACTCATAGATAACTTTGACGAACCTGATCAGAGAATGAGCAAATCTTCTAGACAGCCTTCTGAGAGGAAGGGACAATAACAACATATCCGTACCAAAAACTAGCGCTTCTCTCCTTCTAAATGCAATGCCTTTCTGAGACCTATAACCCCGAATTTTCACCCATTTTCCTTCAACATTTAGAACTGGAACATTGCACAATTTTGTGCAGTACACGAGAACAAAATTGCATTGAATTTTAAGCTAACTTCAATTCACAACAAACCCCTTCTTCATTAATCCCACACATGAGAAATGTCAGCCTCTTAATTCAACAGGCGGCCAGGAGGACTCACAAACCAATGCACAACAGAATAAAATTAAAAGTAAAAAATTTAATGCTACTTTAGCTGACAGCCAACTTCATCTTCGTAAAACATATGCGTACTCAATAATTCCCAGTTGGAGGAAGGAATGGTGCGCATTTGCTATTGGTTTCATAAACACAAGACATTCACAATATGCATGCAACTCGTGACTAAAACAAAGAAGTGATCACATGCTTACCAGTCAGAACAAAACTTTCTTGTGTCATTATTAGCAAACAAATGCGAGTAAAGAATTTCAAGAATAACCTACCATGAGTACCATCACACAGTGTATTTTCAGTTTTCCAGTGTCTCATACCTTGCAGATTATTGGTATATGCTCAGATATGATATTGATAATGTCAAATCCATGTTTCTGCAAGTTTCTTTGAAGTCTCTGCAAGTAGACAATAACGTACTCTTCATTTTACCTCTGATAGAAAGGTACACACTACAACATTACAATCCTCGGTAATTGAAATTATACACAGATGAAATAGAAATTGACAAACGACCTGATACAAATTTCTACATTAGTACACAGTAAGAAAAGTTTTAGCCAAATGATTGGCAACGACAACACAAAATAAATGTACAAACAAAATGGAAATGAGGAGCTTAGGTCCAGATAAATGATTGGCTTACTTTACAAACCTGAAAATTATGGGACGAAAGTATTATTTGTTGACTTAAAGTCAGTCTACATACACTCTTTCTTGACTTTTCAGGTTACCAAGCCTTGACCCACAGAGGATTTAGCGAGATCAATCAAGTAGGGCTCTTAAACAGAATCTAATGTTTCAGGGACGCAACAGAGTTGTCAAGTCCAAGTTGCAACAGAATTGACAGTATCAAACTCGGTTTTTCCATTCTCGAGCTATACTATAGTACCGAATGGACTCAAATTGAGTTTCCATGCTCCGTCCCTATGAAAATATGCTACTACAAGAATGACGAGGATTGAAGTAACAAAATTTCTCAGGGCATGGAGGAGCTAGTATTGTTATTATCTAGCTTCGTGAATAAGCTGGAGAGGAAGAGGGGGTCATCGCATCAGTACAAACAAATTCAATTGGCTCAGAAATGTAATCATATTTGGTAACAATAGCATGGCTCAAAATTCTGAACATGGGCAAGATAATCCGTGTAATATTAGTCATTTAAGATCTAAAAGGTCCAAGGACTTTCCTGAATCAAGATAGTAATATTGGTGTTATACACTCTAGTACTGAGCTATCCATTAGACAGACATGAAGCATGACCGCGAAAGATATGAACCCAATCTTTTTCACTGAAATGAGCCTCAATGCCTTCTAAAACCTCCACTTTATAACTAACTTGGCTTTCCTGGTCCAGCATTAAAGTGGGCTGAATTCTTAAATCTCCCTTTTACTAAAGATGCAAGGCAACGAAACAAGCAGCACAAGCGAAGGTAGCATTTAAGTAACCCTGATAAATAGTAATTATCACCATATTGTAGTTGAAGGTGCTCAAAGTTGATCCTCTACGCCGTGATAAATAAGGACGTAAAAAATTGATAAAAATAACAGGATAAAGCACTTTCAGATGATTGTGAACAAAATTACCTTCCATACAGCATCTCTTCGACCATTAAAACTAATGCAAGGATGGTGAGAGCAGAAAATAAGCTTCGCACAATTCCATGGGCCACAGGAAAGAGCAGCTGGTGCAATCAGAAGCATACTTTTCACTAACAGTACAGTGGGAGGAAGAAACGGAACTTGAGCATCCACAGGATATTCTGCATCACTGGAAAACCCAATTTACGTTTATAGACTGAAGTCAATGCAATATTTCTAACATGCTAATTGATAATAAAAATCAATGACTTTGCACGTAAACGAACATATACAGTGTCTACACTGGTATCTATGCAGTTCTCTACTAACAGAAAGTCTTACATTCATATAAGGCAACAAAACCAAACTTAAAATTCGCAAAAAGTCTTATATTCCCAGAAAAGTTCACTAAAACAACAAAAATGGAATACAGTCTCCAAGCCCAAGTATAGTACCACATCATAGGCTAAACGAAATACAAGGCACACCACGAAGAAAGAAGATTAAAAAACCTACTTTACAACAGTCACGATATATTTATCCATATCTTATGCATAGATATATTATCTGCACAACGCCCACAAAGAACAGATTCATATACAAGTACAATTACCCATGAATGCTTCAGATTACTGTCAAAGAATGTGGGGCACGTGCCCTTTAAACACTTACATTAAATCATCTTCAGGGTACTCAGTACGAAGGGAAATAGAGCATGGGCCTTACTTTTTTACTTTAAATGCGAATTAAAATAGGCACTTCCCGTAGAGCATGCTTTCTATTTTACAAACCAAGGGCCCAGCTTATGGTTCCAGATTAACTTCCCAAACCTCCCTCTGCCCCCAGCCCTCAATCTACCATGACACCATCATATCTACAGATCGGCATGCTTCTACACTAAACTACATAGAAATTAAAAGATATGAACCAATATAATGAGTAAAAAACCAAGACAATATATGACTGAAAGATTAAAACAGAATACAAAAGCAGAAATATTGTGCCTCACATGTACCAATGTTCGTCATACACAGTTACAATCGAGGATCTCACATGACTATTCGTACATATACTTCAATTCAAAACTTGATGTTACTGTGCGTGCACATAGACCGTTGCATTTGTTGGGCATCAAAAAATCTCAGAACACTCCCGAAAAGGACAAGGAGTGAGTGCAAAAACATACAAATAAGCACATATCTACTGCACCAAAATCAATCAGTGCTTCATTTATTTGGGAGAAAGAAGGAAGCACTTAGTTGCCATACGTGTACATCATTGTTTTACATTCTAAGGGTAACATTAAAACAAAAAAGTAATGAGGCAATTTCCAACATGGACACATCAATGCAGTCACACCGCAAAGCAGTGACCTGTGTACATAACTAGATTTCCACACTTTTTTGTAGCTGATACACACCTGACTTTTAGAGTAAAGGTCTCTTCCCCAACCACCGAAAGCAAATCCAAAAATTCTGTTAATAAAAGTTCTGTCGAAGATGAAGAGCCCGAAATGATTCTTGATGCTGCATCGTAAGCTACCCTGCGAACCTCCCAACTCGGGTGACAAATCACATATAGTATTATCTGTACAAAAAAAGTATGTGTAAGTAACTCTCAGAAGGAAATATTCCTCTTAAACCCATAAAAATTGAAAAATAACCTGTAACATTGATTTGACCGATGAAGCATCCAATCTGCAGAAGACAGTGATTGACTGAGTGGCAGATCAACATGTAATCATTAAAGAGTTGATATTCAACAAAGACTTAAGAGCTAGGCCTCCTACGTAAGCACAAAAGGCATTATGCACACCTATGTGTATGATCAACAAGCAGAATCTCAAGAAGATCCACGCATGCAACACAATCTTCATTCCCAAGTTTCATTGCCTGAAAAAAATAGATACAAGACCACCAAACGAGAAAAATGCAAATGAGTAAGAACTAAGCAATCTCAAGCTACTTCAAAATACCTTCAACAGAGAACCACATTCTAGTGGTACAAATAGAAATATATGGATACAAACTAGAGTCTTATCCATGTTTCCTATATCCACAGATACAAACTAGAGAAACTGGAATTCGTATTATGAACCATCAGTATTCTTAGTAGGATAAACAGAATCACCCACCACGAATACCGTAAGCCGAAACATGTGCATGGGGTTTTAAGTTACACATCTGATAAGTGTCCTGGATCATCATCTGGTTGCTAGAGTTTTATAGTACGACAGAGACATTAGTTTGCAAACGGCAACTCCACAGACAAAAATATTTGACCTTCACTACTTCAAGAAATACACTCATTGTAAAAGATCCTCAGGAAGGAGAAAGGTTAACAAAGAACCCACGTTGAACCAGTGAAATCTGAAACTTAACGTTTCTCGTCCTTCAATCATGTCTTTTCGCTCATACATTGTCAGGTCATTACTAACTGCAGCACTAAAATAGTCTATCGGGAATTATTTTTTGTAAAGAGACATGATAATCAACAAATTAGATGTTTCGTTATTACAGTGTACTGCATCATTTTTTATCACTTGTCTAGCTCGTTCGGAACTTCAACTTATAAGATAAATTAGATATTTTGTTAACAATGCACATTATATCCCGTCTAATTTCTGAGGATTAAATTTTTTAATATAAAGTAGATACCTTTTATCATAATGTATCACAAGTTAAATGATTTCATGTGCAGGATAAGTTGACATTCTCTTGTCATAATGTATGACGGCAACAGAGAATCTTATTTACAAAAATTCATGAAACTTTAAAATGACCGTCTTAAACTGCAGGATGAGAGAATAAGTTAATCAATACTATATATTAGTAATCAAACTTGTAAAGTGGCCTAACGTGGCCTGCATATGTTTTACAAGTGATCTCATGAGGCAATAAAGTGACTAAATCTAATCCCGACGCTTACTAGTTTTCATGCAAAGCTCCACACCTGTAGGCCGATTGATGGAATTTCCATAAGAACTGTCCTAGTTAAACTATAAGAAGGTAGCAGTGGACACGTACCATAGGAAGAGACAATAATGGAGATTCATTTTGAGATATCAACGACCAGATTTTTTCCTTCATCATAAGCTCCTCTGCCGGAGAAAGAGAAGTTTCAAACTGATTAAGGAGATCAGGCAATATGAATCACATGTCAAGGGACGAAAATAAATGTGATTAAAAGCATGAATCAAATGTTTACCTGCTCTGACATCCATAGAGAAAATCCTCGCCAAAGAAAAAAGCGCATAAATTCCATCCAATCTTTGCGCTACTTTTGTGAAACCAGTTTTTACCAGCTGAACAAGAAGCTCCAGTAGATTTGACAACTGAAGAATAATCAGTCGTGAGAAGTTATGCTTACTGAAACAAATTGGAAAAGGAAAGTCCTAATGATACCAAAAGGGATTATTAAATGTAGCTCCTCACTCGAGGCAATATATCTGGGTTCTTGCATACAATGCGTAAACACCGTAAATGCCCCCTTCTCAGTGCTTCTTTTTCTTTCAAGCCTGCTGCAAATAATAAGACAACATCTGGTTGAACAGTCTCAGCAGCTTTCGCAGCCCATGAGGCCAATGCAGATAAGATGATCAATTTCACCTCTTCATTCCCTGAAATAATCACAATAGCATCTTTTACACTAAACGATTTTATGTCAGAGAATGATAATTGAATCATAAATGTTTTTACCTTCGTCTTTGTAGTAGTATAGCAGGAAGGCAGATATAGAGGAAGCCAAGCTATTCAACTGTTTCACACTTGCCACTTTCGACAGTTCTTGAATTGAATTAAACATTCCAACTCTCTGGTAAGGAAGTGCTAATTTCCCCTCAGAACCTGTTTGCAGGAAATATGTTTTTAATTCAATATTTTAAAAGAGCCTGAAAATGAAAGCGAATATAAAAATCCAGATGTTACGGGAAAAGGAGGCAAAGATCGACCTCCAATCACAGCCTTGATGGTATTGAACATGGAAGGTAAAATATCTGGGTCACTAGACTTCTGAGCTAAACACCCGACAACAGTCAATGCCCAAGACCTCCTTTTTTCATCAGCATGGCGAACTTGTGGTAAAACAACAGAAAGCAGCTCCATGGCATATTTACTTAAATCAAGGTTAGTTGTCCCGACTACATCTACAACTGACTCCAACACCAACTCAGGATTCCTCTTAAGCATCTTCAAAGATGTAGGTAAAATGACTTCTTTAAAGTCCTCTTGCACCAAATGCTCGAAAAGAGGATGAAATGCATTGATAAGAAGCTGTGATGGCTTCTCCTTCGCATTCAAAACTGCTTTCAGATACACTTCAAGAAACATTTGCTGCAAAAGGAAAAAGTGATCAGTACAAAATAAAAGAATAAACCCTGAACAGACGACCCATAGGGGAGGTTCAACTGAAATATAGTAGCTAGGAATGACCTTGTACTGCTCAAAGAAAGAAGCAGCCATAGTTGAAAACTCGAGAACAATCTGTATCAATCCTGCACCATCTTTGTACGAGATTCTTGAATCCTTTATCTCCTCAATGTACATTTTGTAAATATTTGGAGACTGACCAGAACAACCATACAAAAAGCATTTAAGAAGATAATTCACAGGCAACAAAAACGGAAGTAACAGCCAAACAGAATTGGCCTCCAATAGGCACTGTAGATATGGAATGTAAAACTAATAGAATTGGGAATAACCTTAGAGAAAAGATCAAATAGTAACTTCTTGCAAGCCCTACGCAAACGGAAAGAACCTTGTAAAAGTAACTGAAGTAAGGATGCCTGTGCCGTTGCAAGCCTTGAGAAAGCATTTTTCGATGCTGAAGTAAATTGGCTGCATCTTAAAAGTAGGCAGGACCACTTGAGAAGCTTATAGCTGCCAACCGGAGTATAAGTTTTTACTTGTTTTTCCATCGACAAAACAAGAACAGCTGCAAAGCTCTTCATAAAGGGAGATTCAACAAGAACCTCGACAATCAGACTGTCCACAACATTGATTGATTGTCTATCATCGTAAATCGGCATTGTCTTGAAAATGATATCAACCAGTAATGAAGCAAAATCGGCTGACACTTCTGCAAAGACAGAGCAAATGAATAAATGATGCCAGACATAGATACCTGAACTTTCGCATCAATAGGTAAAGATTCGTCTCCACATTAGCCAATAGTAGGGAACCAGTGAAACAAATACGAATCATGAGTCAAGTATTGGAAATTCATGGATACAAATTTCAGCAGTAAAATTATCATCCATTCACAAAATCCAGGGTTTGATCCATCAACCCACGACATAGAAACAGACTAAACTGACAGTGCAATAGCCCAGATCGTGATTCTAAATCACTAAAGAACTACATAGGGTGGGTTCTTCATGGGAATTTTTTTTCGAAAATATTGGAAGGTATCTTCTTGAAGTGAGGATTTACTTGTAGTTATGGCATTGGACAGCAGGGACCGAAACCATGTACAGCCGAGAAAAATAAAGTAGGATTTTCCATACACACAACATTTGACTTCACTCAAGTGATAAAATCAACAATCGGCACACTTGAGCATCGCCCTAATCTGTGATTCAGATGACCACAGTCTCCGATACACTACTAATTCTTGCGATTTCACTAAGACAGACAAGTTGGCTCCTCAGGAATGGAATCAAACCATTCTACAAACCCTGACACATTTTCTGGGTAGAAAAATACGAAGAGAGATTTGAGGGATTAACAGAAGATAATAACCTATTCAGATAAGGCAAGAGTGGAACTTCCTAGTACAAGATGTGTTCACTAGAGAGCCAAATGTCTAAAACCACACACAATGTCCAAAGCAATTAAACTATTAAGATTATTCAAAATTAATAATGTGCAGCGATTTAACCGGAGTGACTATTATGGTTTGTTAACTCTTATGCAGGACATACTGTGGGGATATAAACATGATCCCCACGGTATTGGTCGATCTGGCCCAACAACATTTATAACTCAGAAAAAAGAGAGTTGGATTGTATAGAACTAAAAGTTTGATAGGGGTTGGTCCATGACTAAGATTCATTAAGTATGGCATGAGTTGCAAACAGACATCATGGCCTAATTTTTCCAGTACAGAACAAAATCGAAACAGGATGGATTCTAAGAGGGAAACATACATTCTGCAACAACAACACAAGTTCATATTGGTTTCCAATCACAAGTTAGTGAGATGCCTAACGTTTTAAGATATATTATTGAAAAGATAGCCGCACATTACGCCCTGATTGATACTGACTGCTGACTACTGACTGCTGACAAAGTCAGAAGTTCACTTGATGCTTACACAGGAATTAAATAAGAAGACAGGAGTTGCAACATCGACAGTGGTTCTCACTGGATGATTTAAGAATACTTGAAGCATCCAATTTGTGAGGAGCAACCGGTTCTGGGAATGAGAGCTTGTGGTCCTATTATGGACGATATCCTTGTACGCTTACAGCCTTACCCAAGCCAAATAGCCTAACCACGAAAGGAAAATGCTAGCTGCCAATTCAAACGCCACAAGCCAAACTAAGCATTGAAGAATAAGGGAACGGGGGTGAAAGAGGAAAGGCGATTTCAGTCAGATGCGCAAAACGGACAAAAAAACTCCATTTCGATCTGGGAAAAATCGTCTACCATACTCAATGATAAAACATACGTAAACATACTAAGTCTGACATAAAAATTAACATTGTCAGAATTCAAGGGTGTGTGTGATGGACCTATAATCTGCAAATGGTTTGAAGATGAACTTCTCTGAAACTGTTTTGCAGCTGTACGAGTTCAAAAAGGATGACTGAGTTCATTTGAATCACATGGGACCGGTAACAATGGTTAATTTCCGATCAGATAGCTGTCAGGTATTCGTGAACGATCTGAGTTAACTTCTCTGAAACTGCTATATAGGTATGGGCGTACAGAAGCAAGAATTGAGTTCGTTGAAATCATATGAGGATGTTGAGAATGCAGAATTTCCAAGATATCCGCATTGAAATCCTAGGAAGCAATAACCTTTCATTTCTACGAAGTAGGGATGTCTTATTGCATTAGGTACCTTACTCGTAACTGATTACTGCCTGGCCGAATTCCTTATTGTGGAGTAGATAAAATAAACGGATAAAAGCAATTAAAATATTATCTTCCTCAGGAGAGAACCATTGACAGGAGTTTGTGCTTAATCAGCTGACCAATCGAGATGTACGAGGGAATTGTCGAGAAGATATAGAGCCATTGACATCGAACTCGCGGCATTTTATGGGTGTGAATATAACGCAAAAGGCCGTCCGTGTTATCATGGAACAACAAAATCCAGTACCAACGTGAAATGAGTTGTGATACTTCGACAACTACATGAGAGCAACAGAAATTTGTGGCCATGAGCATGCGCCCCGTGGAGACCAAGAATATAGGCGCATTGTTTCCCCATTCGCTCGTCCATACTGAATCTACGAGACCAGATAACTAAAAAAAATCATCCCGACTCGTGAATTTTCCTTCAATAAATCTCCAGTACTCGCCCGTAAATGCCAAGATAAAGAACATAAATCTGAAACGACCAGAGCACCACTAGGATGGAGACAGATATGCTGAGGCGATGTCAACCCGAGAGGGAGCGCAGGATGTTACCAGCATTCCGCAAGGCGGCCGGCAGCGTATGACTGAAGATCTGAATCCGCTGCTTCGTGGAGGACGTGGAAACCTCGCTAGAAGCGGCTCGTAAAACTTCTGTGGGCTCTGGCTCCATTGTCGACAGCAGACACCGAGAGAACGAGCTGAGCTACCTCAGAGATGCGACTGACGACGCAGCCAAGACCCGAAATTGCCTTCCCTGAGTGTGTTATACGTCGGGTTTTCTCATCGGAACCGTGTTCATTACGGCCTTCTTCCTGAGGACCGACGCTTCACCTCGGTGGAGGCTAGGGTTTTGCAGTGGATGAGCTGGAGATCAGTGATGACTGAATATACTCAATACCCATGAATTACACTAAAATTATCATATTAACCATAAATATTATAATTTCTTAAATACCATATACGGTTTTCACCCATTTTCTATTACGGCTATTTTTTTCTATAATTTTGCCCCACGCGCCTAAACTATCTTCGAAATCTTCTTCTCGGTTAATATAAAGATATATCCAAAACTTCCAATAATTACAGTCATAACCTCAACCAGAAAGGGAATCATTACCAAACGGTCTCTGTTGAAGACCACGTTAATATTTAATAACGTAATAATTAATGACGCTTTAACTTAGAATTACTTTTATGTTTTCAAATGACCCCTCTGTAATCATATATTATTTTATTTTAACACAAAAACCACGTAAAACACAGAAAAGACCAATGGTAGCGATTTTGGTCTATATTAAAAAAAATAAACACCTACTCTACTCTGCTAAAACAAATTAAGTGAGCCTTAATTTAAATGGAGAATTAGTCAGAAATTATCTCGTATCAAATGCAAAATGGCTTATTTTTATTTTATTTTTAAAATTCCAATAAATGAGAAATTTTCGGCCAAACAAGGTACTAGCCTGTTTTAGAATATAATACACTGATTGAAATAAAAAAATATAAAATATACGATAAATACACAAGTTTATGCATTCCATAGTGGTAAGATTGTAATTTTACGGATTATTAAGGGTACAAAATGTAAAAACATCACAATCATTTATTCGGTCTAAGATTTGAAAAGGATCCCGCTCGTAGTTTTCCGTAGGCAGTGCCCCAAAGCTCGCAGGTGGAGGAAGAGCGGGAGAGGAGGGCCGGGGTGGAGGATATAAGGAAATTCGGCATGGAAGGGAGTGAGAGCGAGGCCGTCTTCGACACGTTCAGTCTCAAGCCGCAACTCTTCATCAACGAAGTGCTGAACATCGTCGACGATCTCGTCGATGACGCCTTCGACTTCTGCAAGGAGTAATAGATTCCGAACTTGGCTTATCATGCTGCCGTTACTTTTGTTGCTACCGTTTCTATCGGCATTACGAGAAATCTGCATCGCTGATACGAGTCGATGGTGTGCTGATTCCTCATAGGCATGCTTCTGCTCTCGTGAGCGGTGACGGGGACGCAGATCGGTCCCAGGAACTACTCCGGGTAACTAATTGTTTCGACCGAGCTCCACCAACTATCCCTTAACTCTCTGTTTTTAGTGTGGAGTTTTGCTTGCTGGATCAGGTTCTCGCTCTTTTCTGTCCTGTATTCTGTATCTTCCTGTCACAGAGCGTCCTCGTCTGACAGGGCAGGGTCGGTTACATTTATGCCAAAGAGCATCTGTCGAAGGGGCATATCTTAGTCCAAAGTTTACGGTCTAATTATAATTTTCCTCTCTGCACATTTAGACGGAAAGTTGAAAGCTGAGCCTTACGAGCTGGCATCTGAAATCATTTGTCCAGAAAATTTCGAAACCGAGTCTGCATTTTTTGGTAGCTACTTCATTCGGAATAGGTTTTCTAAAAGAGAGGGAGAAAGAAAAAATTTCCAGGCCTCGTTTGAGCTTATACTGAAAATCATAAAGTCCATGGATCGGGTTGCTACCGTGTCCAATTTTTTATTTTTAAGATGAAATACTTATCGTGTGGTGTCATCATATTTCTCAAGTCTTATGAAAAATCTGTAAAAAGTTAAATTTTGGTTTTGTGTTGTACTTCGATCGCAGGGCATTTCGTCCCTTCGTCATATGACTCAAGCAACCTTGAACAAACGATTGGGTTTGTGGGAGAGATATTGCCTTCTACATTGTTTCTCTGTCCCCGAGGGATTCTCATCTGCCAAAGATGTAGGTGCTCTGAATATTGACTTCATTGAAAGCACTATTAACCTTTCTTCTTTTATTTTGGTTGCAATCACATCTTCTATTCCATGCTTATTGATTGCTTCGGAGCTTCTCTGTGAATTCTTCAATTCAGACGCACAGATGATGCCCATTAATCTTAGTATTATACCCTAACGTTATAAGGAGTATTCCATCTCATTCGATTTGTCACCAACCGTAGGACAAGGTTTGCAATGAAAGGGAAACTTTCAATGAGGATTTTTTTGGGTGTTTTCAAACTCGCGTACGTTGATTTGATTCATATCTAGAAAGAACAACGCAATGACAGACTTGAAAAATATCAGAGTTGGATTGCTGTATGGTTCTCTGCTGCTTTCTTCTATCTTTATTTTTGTCATGGCTACTTTTCTTCCTTCTCTCCTCTGGAGGAAAGCAGACTGCCCTCTGTTTTATGTCTTCCACATAGTTGGATTGTTTCATCCTCTTGCCGATTGTGATATTCAACTCTCTTACATCTGAATTATATTTCTCTATTGCATAATAGTCTTTAGGCTCTGTTTGTGGTTCTGGCTCGTACCGATAAAAGGGGGCATTTCTGCCAATTCAACAGAAGTTGGGTTGAAATTGCTCATGACATTAATATGAGCCGGACATCTTCTAATTTATGACACTTTTCTGAACCTAGATTTTCAGGATAAAAAATAAAATTCCTTGGATTTCATTAATTTTTAACCTACCTCTCTATTCTCCACGTCTGTATAGTTGCAGTTGCACATGTATGCATGCCTAGACGTGTAACCCGGTTGCTTGCCAGACATAAAACTGAAGTACGAGAGTCATCTGGAACATAGTTTGGTTTTCCCGAATGGTCGTGGTTTATGTTTATATTTTTGAGACGTGTGTGCATGCCAAGACGTGTGAGCTAGTTATCTGCCAGACAGAAAACTGAAGTGTGAGAGTCACCTGGAACATAGGTTGATCTTCCCAAAGAGTGTGGTATGTGTTTACATTTCTGAATTCTTTTGCGAGCCTACCAAATGCTACAAATTGGCAGAATTGCATGTACTATGTCATATGTCAATATGTTCCCACGTTCTCTGTGATTTCCTTCTACAAGCTCAGACGGTTCACTTTTTTTATTCAATGTCGTGTTCTTGTGTAGATAATTTTACTTTCGAAAGCTAATTGTATGCCACAACTTTCATTTGGTTTTAAGGATTAATTTCATTTGCATCTAATATCTATTTACTTCAAGTAAAATTTCCATCAAAGGGTGAGCCAAAGAGTGGCTTTTCAGAGCTCTTTGGATTATTTATCATTGAACGAGGAAGGAGCATGTTTCACTATATTCATAAGTATAAAATATATCTTTCCATTATGCCATTGACTGTTAATAATGAGACCTTAGTCTAGTGTGATTTAACTTGTTGGTGCTCCACAATTATGCTGGAACAAGGAGTTCGGTTGTTTTGAGCAACTTTCTTGTGGTGGTGATGAGAAAATTTGCTTGGGTAATCGACCAGTTATCACAATCTGCATCTCAAACTTGAAATGCAAGAGATGGCAGCGGTATAACATCATAATAATCCGTCAGGTAACAAGTTAAAGAACACGGTACAATCTCATGAAACCAATGAAAATGAAATAGCAAACAGCATACCATCAAATCTGAAAGAAAAATTACATTGTTTGGATCTCAGTTTAATTGGATCATAATTTCTGACAACTAAGTGAGGTCCAACTGGTGAAAAATCTTCAGATGCAGGCAACTTCGTAAGCATTTGTAAGGTGAACCTGAATCTAGAGAAAAAAAAGTGAAATTGAGAGAATGTGAGTCAAAATGGCTCCACAATCTGTCCTCAAAACAGCCACAACAACTTCCAGACACGATTGAATAGTCTCATATTGGTTGGTAGAAAAATAAGAATTCAATTTTACATCCTTCGGATTTGAGCGCATGGAATGATGACTTTAACATGATTTTTCCAGTGGATTATTGTTTATAGGCTGCATGCACCTCACTTGTATTGTATACATCTCGGAGCCTAGAGGTCAGCTTGCACGTGAGGAGGCATGATCGAATAACCTTTCATTGGTTGGTAGAAAAAAGCCTGTGGCTACACGGATGGGTATATTGCTGCCATTACCTTCCCAATAGCCTTCGTAACATAGAAAAGCCATCGGGGATCATGCTGACATTTTATAATATTTTTATATTATACGTTAAACTATGGGCATTATCCTTTTAACAGAATATAAAACAGCAATTTCAGATGTTGTGTTATATCATAGGCCTCATATAGGTCTTAAACTCGAAGGTAGACATAAAGTGGGCCATTTTGACTCTAGAATTATAGATTGCGAGTCTGTTTTCTACTGCAAAGACTATATGTGATGTAATCATTATCTTTCCACTGGTTAATGTTATGTCAGTCTCGCACATCCAACCAGGACACAAGCAGTTTCTAAATTCATCTTTACAACAAACTATGATCAGTGTGAATGCATCATCTCTGAGTAGCAGTCCGACAAGGCAAATGCTCACAATTGCACTTGATATTTATCTCTCTATTCTATAGTTCAACTTCTGCTCATAGATATAGTGACAAATGAAACTCAAGCATACATTAAAAGCATATACTCAATATTTTTTAGTCTTTTATCAAGTTCGTGTAATGGCGCATATCTAGATACCCTGTGGGAAGATCCCTTAGTGAAATTAATGCAGATCTAGTATCTCGGATGATGTGGTTCCTCTTAGTCCTACAATTTAAATAGCTAAATTAGAGCCAATATCCTATACAGAAGCCAGGAATTGCACGGCGTCTCCCATATCCCTTTGGTTCAATGAATTCAGATGCTATCTCATAGCATTGCAATCACCCTAGCATGATATGGAAGGCAATAACACTCTAGAAATGACTTGACTTTGATAATTTGGGCCTTCTAGAAGTCCTCATCATGGCAAAGGCTCCAACTGAGCACCCATCTCTCTGCATTTCAATCTCCCTTGGGATTTCTATTTTGAGATAAAAAACGATTGCACCTGATCTAGGATTCTCAACCGTTGTCACCCTCTCAGTGACATGCCTTTAATGGAGCTCATGCAGTTCCATCAATCTGTAGATGTGATGTTGCAGAATTCAGGATCGTGTTTCATTTCAACGAAAAGCGACAGATGAATATTATTTCCATGTATTTTCGCATAACCGTGTATCTTATTGTCCAGGCCAACACATCCGTTGACCTTATGCATCTGCAAGATGGAATCTATGATGCAGAGCTGGACGCTGAATTAGTCTCTTTGAGGCGGAAGCTTTCCGCTGTAAGCAACTGATGCTCCATGTGGTTCAATAAGAATGCTTCAGTTTATCTTTACACTCTGGGTTTCGAGACTCAAGATGGCGGTCAACGTAGGTGGGAAATGAATGTGCTTCCCGCCAAAGAGAAGTCAACGCCTTGGAGAAGCAATCTGTTCAGCACAGCGGCCGTCATTCATCAGTTTCTGACGTCCTGCGTCTACTTGATGAGAGCTCTGTGCAAAATCTCTTTCAAGGTGTGCATGTTGACATTTGCCCGATAAATCTTTATCTTTTCTTCTCGATCCAAGTCTCCCAGGTCAAGTCAAACCCTCAAGTTCTTGCTCAGATAGTTTGAAAAAGTCGTCTCCAAGCTATTATCTCTATGCCTTGCAGAGATCGGAGAGAACGTCTCCAAGCTGCACAGAGAACTGAAGACTTTGCACGGGGAAGCCGCCCCTCGAGGGAGTCGCCGTGGGGAAAGGTGGCTTAATAACCAAGGTAAGCTCTCGTTTCTCTTCCATTCTGACTTTCAGAGAAAGTGGGAGTTTGTATAAGCCAAGAAGGAAGCTTCTTATTTCCGCGCAGACCTCTCCATGAAGCTGGAAGACCTTCAGAAAGCCGCGGACACCCTGAGGCTGTTCAGGAAGCCTTGACTTCCATGGTCAACGAAGGACCTTCCTGTTCAGGAAGGTGGTGAACTTGTTCTAGTCTTCCTTGGGTTCTATGGGTGCCGTATTTGGGATGTTACTCTCGAACAAGAGAGCCGCTCTCCAAGAACCCTGTTGGCATGTAACCGACCCCACAGAGCAGGTCAACGCTGCCCTTCTCATGCACCAGTAGAGAGAGAGAGAGAGGACCCGGCAGAGCCCATTTCAAGACACCACCTTTTTCACGCCTGAAAATATACAAGGGAGAAGGTCAAACTAGACTTATTACATACAAAATACTCTCGTTGCGCACCAAGCTCCTCACGGCCTCGTTGACCCCGCCACCCAGATCCTGATGGTGTGGTCATCGCTCGCCGACGCCAGCATGCGAGGCCGGGCCGGGTTCCAGCTCACGCAGTTCACTGTCGTCGCGTGGCCCGGCAGCACCTTGATCACCACGCAACGCTCCCTGTGCCAGATGTAAACCTGCAGACACTATTCTATTAAAAGGGGGGGTGGGGGCCAAAAGTCAACGCGCCGACCCAGGACGGCGGCGGAAGATCTCACCTGGGAATCTTCGCTCCCGCTGGCGATAAAGGAAGAAGCCGGGCCCCCGAAGCACGACCGGATGACGTACTTCACCTGCTTGTGGCCCCTGTACTTGGACGGCGCTGCCAAACTGCCGTCCACCTTCCAGAGGTGGATCTCGTTGTTAAGGTTGACTATCATGAACTGCCCGTCAACAGAGAGAGAGAGCGAGGTAATGGTGTGCTCCTCCGGGATCGCCAACTCGGTTCCCTCCTCCAAGTCGTAGATCCGGATAAGGTCATCGGAGACGACACTGACCAGGTGGCGGCCGTCGGGGGTGACGGCGAGGCTGGAGACTTTCGGCAGCCTCTCCCCCTTCCACACCTTCAGCTCCCTTCCCTGGAGATCGCACGTGTAGATGCAGTTCTCCGGCTCGCTGCTGCCGCAGACCACCTTCTTGGAGTCGGGGAACCAGGCGCAGGAGCTGATGACGCATGCCGAGGAGTCGTTCAGGGCGCACCGGCACGCGCCGGTCTCCACGTCCCACAGCCTGAGGACCTCCCCCTTGCCGCAGGTGATCAGCAACGTGTCGTCGGGGCTCCATGCGACGAAGGAGACGGGCTGGCAGTGCCCGTCCAGCACGTGCTTCAGGGAGACCATGTCGTCCTCTCCGACCTGCGAAATCACCATGAAAACGAAGATATCAGAACCGAAATGCGATTCCTGAAGCAGGATCGATTCGTCGGGCTGATCTAAGAAAGTGGAGCTTTCCAGTAAATAATTTCATTTTCCCTCTCATAAATAAATCACTGTTCTAAAATAATTATAATCTAGATTAAAATCTGGCCAGGAAATAACAGAAAATGAAAAATCCATCCATGATATATATATATATATATAGATAAATGTGACATAAAGTGCACCATACCGTCCATATTATTGCAGTGCAATCCTTGGAAGAAGATGCGAGGAACTCCCCATTGTTTGAAAACTGGACGAACCATACTTCATTTTTATGGTCGTTTAGAATCTGTGAAGTGGACAACTGAACTTAGAATATATGAAACCTCTACAGTACAAGCCACATTGCGCATAAGCAAGAGCATGGAGATGAAAAGAGCGTTACAAAAAAAAAAAAAAAAGATGAAAATTTCTGTCATGTTTCATACCTAGTATACTCTATTCCTCGTGGGAAAGGGAAAAAAAAAAAAAGGCCACTGAGGGATGGATGCACAGAAATGAACAGTCAACAAAATATAATAATCATAGGTGGGCAGAATTATGCATACATTCATCCAGAAAAAAAGGTTTAATAATTATCTTTCTTATGCTCAGAGGGAAATAATAAATTTAACGAAGATTCTGCATTCGGATTCTTTTACAAACTAAGGCAGGTCTTTCCACATTAACCAAATCCTTCAGTGAAAAAAAACCACCGTGTGAATCAAATGGCCAAGTCAACTACAGTTTCATGAAAAGATTGAAATCCGCATGGTTCTTGCTCTTTCATGTATAGTAATCCAGAAGATAGCATATGTTTCCGTCACATGGAAGTTCAGATCGCATCAAATCCTTCGCTCTGATGATACCAACCAGCTCTTTTTGAGATGCTTTCAACAGTGTGCTTGCTTTACTCAACTTTTTGGGCTAATTCCTAAGCAAGAAGCTGCACCAATGAGACTGCGAGTGCCATGTAGCAGAACCCAGATGGATTTATCCATCACAACATAAATTTGATGGATTTTTGGCTTATTGCATCCTTTGCAATTTTCAGTGCAATTGACTTTTCTAGTTGTCCTTTTGGTCAACCTAGGACTCTGTTAAAGAACCATCAGAAAACTTGAGGTCACAAATCACTCTCAAGTTGAAATCGAAGATCCAAGTCTGCGCTCACAAGCATCTAAAAAATAGCATTTCTTTAAAATAAATCAACCACGTGACTTTAGAACCCGCCCATATCATTGACAGCTAAATGTTTTGAGCACCAGGCTTTAGAACCCTTTTTTTTTCATCAAAACAGAGCGCACTTCTCATGCTACTGCTCTACCTAGATGCTTACTTCATCCACTTCTTTATTCGTTCTTGCCCAATAATCAGAAAAGCGTCTTAAGTAATGACCCAGCCCTGTGTATATACGGAAAATGAATAAAATGGCCAGAGCCCAGGAGCTTTAAGCAGTTTTTCGCAGGTGATCATCTGATTATAATCCTAGTTTCGGTTTATTCGATCTCAAACTTTCTTCAAAAACTATAATCTGCAGATATAGAAGTGTCCATTTTACATTCCTCCATAAGTTGTTGCTTTCGTAATAAGATGCCAACATTGATGATCTCACTATACCCACCAAACATAGCCACCTCAAGATCAAAGAACCACAGTGAAAAATGGCAGTGCTGCGAAATCCTAAAGCTATGAAGTGATCTGTGCGAGAATTTCCCGGACATCAGAAAAAGATCAAATGCATGAACTATATACTCAGATTTTCTACCTCTCCCACTGGTTTCGAATACATTTAACAACAGACCTAGAAACCATCAGCCAAGAATTGCCGGCATTGACAACGGTCTTCCATTGCACAGCTACCCATTTGAGGGAAATGGGGAGAATGCCATCACTCACATACCCCACTCGAAACAGGGATCAGAATGTCAGTTCTAACTGATTTTCATTCGAACAAGAGTCTCTAATTGTCAAAAAAGCAGATAATTTGCTATGGTTTTCATACTTTTGGACCAGCTGAAAAAGGGTTCCCATTAAGTTAGGTCTTGGCAGCGAGATCGATAGTATCAGCATAGATCAGGACCAAGCAGCTGAGAATACTCCATCTTATTTTCGTTGGTGCAGTACTTTCTGGTAGAAAAATTTCACAGATCCAATCCACCAAGTGGTGAAACATAGCTCTTGTTGACGATTTGCCACCTCTCAAGCAAAAGTAGATTCATGGTGGAAGGCCTTTCCTAGGGAAAAGATTAACGACACACTAGTTTAATGGGAAAAGGTGAAGGAGCATGCACCTGCACTGTTCGAGAAGGGATCTGATCGGGGTCACACTTGTGATCCTCGTATAAGGAGATCGGTTCAGTTGAGTTGTGATAGATACAAGATGCTCTCTGCTCGAGAAGGGCCATTTCCACCAGGTGCTCTAATCTTTGCCCGGGTAATCGAATCCAGGGAGGAAGAAGCTCTGACAACTCCACCAGGAGGCCCACCCTCCGGCGGACCAAGTTCTCAGAGACCACCCCGTCCAAGGAGACGAGACATCGCGCGAGCTTGTGCACCCTTCGTCGGTCCACACCCAGCGGCGATATCCGCTGCCTGAGCACATTTAGAGCAGACGACAGCGTTCCATCCTCACCACCGGTGGAATTCAACAGCTCCATGAAGCTCTCGCTCCAGACGAGGAACGCGGCCGTGGCCCGGGTCTCTTCCGGCAAGTCCTCAAGCCTACCGATGATATCGACGCAGTCCTCCCACTGCCCGGCTATGACCAGGGGAAGAAGGGAGGAGAAAAGCGGCGAGTCGAGGGGGACGCCGGACTCCGACTCGAGGGCGGCCGCGGACTTCCTGTAGCCGAGCGAATAGAGGCACTGGATAATGACCCGCACAAACTCGGTGCGTTCGATGAGACCCCGCTTGCCGAGCTTCTTCCCCGGCACCACCGCCGATGCGGGTTCCGGGGTTGTGTCGCGGTCAGAATTCCCGCCGTCTTCCATCTCTCCTGCGAATTCGCCAGCTTGCGCGTGAAGCACTCCAGCCGAATATCGAGAGGGCCGCTTAGCTAGCGAGCTAGCGAGGTCGAGAGAGAGAGAGAGGGAGGAAGAGAGAGAAGATCGCCCTGTGCTGGGGACGCAGGAAGTCGACGGTAAGCTAGGTGATGACCGAGCGAGGATAGATCCGCTTTAGGGAAACCACAGAGGGCCGGTGGGTCCCAAACCTAGAAGATGGGTCCCACTTCTCGCCCACAGAATCTACGAGGCACCCTTTGACCAAGCAGCGGTAATAAGACAAGACCTGGTCGTAGTACTAGCAGCAGTAGCTGTAGCGCCGCCGGCCGACAAAGAAACGCCGGCGAGGCGGCGGGTCACCTACCTGTACAGAGAAAGGCCGGCCGGCGCCAATGGCGGGTGGGGGGGGTACAAAAACCAGACGCTTTAAGGGGGTGGGAAATGAAGAAGTTCGACCCACCCACTACAACAGAGAGTCGGCCTTGGAGGGAAGCCGCTTGAAGAAATTCATGAAGGGCGAGGGGAGACGGCTCCTCAGCTTGGGGGGCATCAGGGCGTACAGCCCCCACAGGCCCACCACCAGCCTCGCCGGCATGGCGTAGAACAGGGCGGCGGCGGCGACGCAGAAGCCCAGGAAGAGCAGGGTGGCCCGGGGATCGCGCCACCCGAGCAGCGACTGGAAGCGCTCGCACTGGGTGGCGACGTCGCCCATCATGGACTGCAATCGCATGGCCACGCTCCGCAGGCGGTCGTACCTCAGGCTCATCAGCTCCACGCTCCGCAAGGAGCTAGGGAATGTGTCGAACTCTTCGTCCAGCTCGTCCTGGTGCACAGACTCGGCCTGTGACAGGCGGATGTCCATGTACGGGGGGTGGCGCGAGCGCCGCCGGTAGCGGCACAGCCCCAGTACCGCCATGGCGAGGAACAGGCAGGGGAGGATCACCTCCGGGAATATCATCGAGAGGACGTGAGCGACGGCGACCATCACGGAGTACGTCGGCCGATGCCAGGTCCTCGCCGCTTCGACCCAGCGGAAGATGGCGATGGGCCAGGCGAAGACGGAGACCAGGCGGAAGAAGTTCGCCTTGCTCCGCCGCATGCTCCACAGGTTGGAGCCCTTGTCCAGCATGTACTCGACGACCTCTCGCCCCAGCGGCGGCTCCGCCCGGCTCAGCCGGGAGGCCACCACCTCGCTGGCCCGGTACCGGAGGTGCTCCACCTTCTGCACAGAAATGGGCTCCAGGTAGTGCATCTTGGGGAGCGGCGGCCTCAGGTAGAGGTGGAGCATGCCGGCGGTGTTAGAGCAGGAGAAGCGTACGGCCAGATGGAGCTCCCCCATCTTCTTCACCCCGGACGGGTGCAGAATCAGCAGAGGGTACGCGTGGGTGTACAGACGGTCCGATTCGAGCGTGGACAGCCTGATCCGGACCTTCCCAATCCGACAGTCCCTGACACCGGCGGCGGCGGCGCCACCGCCGCCCATCGCCCTGTCGAGATGGCAGTTGTCGAAGACCCCCACCGTGACGACGGTGCAGGGATCGAACACCTCCCACTTGTACTGCTCGTTCCACCGGGGGCAGAGGGAGTCAATGACAGTACGGGTTCTGACCCACTTGGGGCCGTATTTGGCCACGCAGTAGGCGTCGGCGGAGCCCCCCTTCCCCTCCTTCGTCTTCATGGGCACCAGGCCGGAGGCCCCCAGGATGCCCATCTCCAGCACGCCGATGCAGGGCTCCCACAACTGCTTCGCCGTTGCCCGCAGGTCGCTGCTGTACATGGAGGCCTCGTCCAGGACGTGGTACCCCCCGTCGAGGGAGAGACGGAGTTGCAGGCGGCTGGCGAACCTCCCCGGCCGCTCGCCGTGAGCCCCTTCCAGGCCGAACCACCGGGAAGGGACGACCTTGTCGCTGTAGCGCTGCTCGACGGCGGCGACGGGAACCAGCAAGCGACCGAGCACCTCGTCCCTGCCGGGGCCGACGCGGTCCTCCACGAAGACGGCGAGGTAGTCCTCGAAGGGCTCCGCCACAACGAAGATCAGGTCCTCGTTCCAGACGGGGCTGGAGGGACTCCGGCTCGCAGAGACACGCGCCGGCCGCGTCCACATGATCTGGTTCCCCACCTGGGCCTTGACGAAGAGCTCCGGGTAGCGGCCGGCCATGACTGCGCCCTTCTCCCCCGGCACCAGGTCCTGTGCCTCCATCACCGCCACCCGGAGGTACCAGAGCTTCGGGGAGAGGTAGACCTTGGACTTGATGGCGGCGAGGCCGTCGCCCTGAACCCCCGCCGCCGTGGAATGCCACGCCTCGGAGAAGCACTCGTCGGCCTGCGTCCCGAACCAGACGGCCAGCATCACCTCGCCGGCGGACTTTTCCCCCTTTCGGTCGTCCATCCGGTACCACTGCGGCGCGAGGGGGCTGTCCGGTGGCGCGCGGCGGGGGACCTCGCCCATATCGAAGGCCACCCACCCGATGAAATCCTCGCGCCCCTCCTTCTCCTTGAGGAAGACCTCCACCGTCGTGCTCTGAATGCAGTCGCTAGAGAAGGCGAAGACCTGGTCCCAGTAGAGGCCGGGGGTTCCCTTGGTGAAGCCGCGGTAGTTCCCCAGCTTGACCTCGACGTGGGGGGACAAGCCACCGGCAACGGGGAGGCCCCGCGCCTTCACCACCCGCACGTACAGGTACTTCATCTGCTCGACCAGGTCGTAGGTGGCGCTGGACCTGTCGCCATTGACGGCGCCTCCGCCAAGGTGGGGGCTGGTCTCCTTGAGGGAGAACTCCTGGTGGTGCTGGTTGCTCCCCGGCCACACGGCCGCGCCGGGAGGGAACACGTCGTGTGGGCGCAGGGGCGGCCCCGCAGTGAGGACCACCGGCTTGAAATCCATGGGACCGGAGGCAGGCCCCGCCTGGTTCTGCTTCCCCTGCTGCTGATGTTGCATCTGGCTTTGGGAAGGCTGTTGCTGCTGCTGCTGCTGCTGCTGCTGTTGTTGCTGCTTCGACTGCTGCTGGCGCTTCTGCTGAATCTGCGCCGTCGCGGCCTGTTGCTGTTGGTGCTGCTGCTGCTGGTGCTGCTGCTGCTGGTGCTTCCTCCCGCCGGGGAGGTTAACACCGGGCTCTTTCACCTTGGCCACCGCCTGGTTGGTGGAGACGTCGTCGCGCATCTCGCCGGCGAGGACCCGGTAGATCTTGAGGCTGAGCTCGCCGCGGATGTGGGAGAAGAGGCTGCGCTTCTCGAGCGTGAAGAGCTGGGGAACGGGCTCTTCTCCGGGGGCGGGGACGCCGGCAGCGGTGATGCGCAGCTTGCCGAGAAAGTTGCGGGAGCTGGTGGAGGAGCGTTCATTGTACACGCTGACGTCGATGGCGCGGTAGGGTAGATCAGCAGGGTCAGAGACGGAGAAGACGAGGCGCTCGTTCCACACGGGGTTGAGATCCTTGTGCCGGACACTGGTGCGCTGCCGCTGGTGCTCAAACTCCACCTCCACGAACGACGACGACGAGCCCTGCCCGTCCTTGGGCATCAGGTTGTGCGCCGCCACCACCTCCACCACCAGCCTCTCCTCCGCCATGACCAGGCCGGCGGCTTAAGCTCTCCCTGAGCTTCCTCCTTCCCGCCGGTACCTTTCAAAACCCAGGTGCTAGCGAGACGAGGGGAGACGGTGCTAGGAAAAAACAGGGCAAGAAAAAGTGAGCTTCTTGCCCAGAAAGGTGAAGGAATAAGAAAGAGTACGCCGACGGCAAGGGCGGGAGGATGGAGGTAGCCGAGCAGCAGCAGCAGCAGCAGCAGCAGCAGGAGCTGTCCGCTGCCACTCCGCGGGAAGCGTGCGGACGAGACCGGCGAAGCAGGCGATGGCGGTGACCCCCAAAGGATCTGGGTCGAGAGCTTTATCCGCTAAAGGAAGCGTTTTTAGGCTCCCAGGGTTTGTCTGTTCCCCCCCTGTAATCTCTCTCTCTCTCTCTCTCTCTCTCTCTCTCGGTGCAGTGCCGCGCGTGCTGAATCCGCAGAAAATCCGGGTAGGAGCTTGCGGTATCCTCGCAGCTTGGAGGAGGGTGGCCCATTGGCTTGCGGTCTGGCCGTTCTGATGTTGTCTCTACATTACGGAGTGGGATAACAGATGGACCTCCGAGAAGCAGCAGATGCGACGGCCACAGGTCCGCCATCGTTCCCCGCGGTGCGACGGGGGGGAGGGGGGAGAGGAGGAAATTGTGGGGACCACCATTCTCCGTCGTTTCGTTTTTATTAATCCCTCTTTTACCTCCTCCTCGAATCTCGCTTCGAGGCCCGCAGGAGAATCGGCCGAGAATTTAATGGCCCGGCCGAGTTTAATGAGTTGCCCGATCTCTGCCTCCCCGTCAGAATTAACCCGCCGAGTCGGGTCTGCCACTCGGAGGGATATTCCTTCTGCTTGCCAAATCCCCCGCGGGGCCCACACCTACGACCTGCCACGTGCCGGTCTTCCGGTTGATTTGACGGCCCCGCGTTAACGTGCGGCCCATTAGGCCCACGGGACTGGGCTATAGTATAGAAAAGGCTGACACGGTATGGGATGTCTTGATGGGATGCTCCCTCTCTTGACTTCTCCGTCCATCTCTGACGAGACGTGGAGAGGGACGCCGTCTCGGCCCACTAAGGATCCGATCTTGTGGCCTTTTGGGTTCCCGGAGCCAGATCTCCTCGCAGCCATCCGATCAATCAGAGGGACAACTGGACGCGACAGGACGGACCCTCCCTCCTCGAGCGCCCACCAGGCCCACCGGGCCCATTAATCAAGTCCTCGGGCCTCCCACTCTGAAGGAACATGGATTCTAGCGAGAGAACGAGAGAGAGAGGGAGAAGTACAGACCATAATAAGTGGAGTGCAGCTTTTGGAATGTACCCCCGCCTTTTGGGATGGGAGCTGGGGGGACATCGGGCCGTAGTGGAGGGCCCGGCGGTCCACGTTAAAAGCCCGATAATTTGAAATAACATACTCTGGTCTGCCGGGCCGGGGACACGTTAAAAAGGCCCGAATTTTTAAATAATTCCTTAGTGGACCCTCCGTTCCCTTGGACCAAATATTATCTTTCCGCATTTGTACGCTATTGGGCCGATGGAATCCCGGATCAACTTTTGCCACCGGGTTTTACGTGGGCTTTCACACGAGTCGGCGATTTTGAGATTTCTGGATTGGGCCGGACGGAGAGGGACTACCGAGCTGAACAATGGGTGACCAAATTGTCTTGGGTTAACTGGGCTCGGCTCATATTTTAATAAATGAAAGCCTCGGATACGAGTTGGGCCATATAAACGGACTTTAAAAGAGGGGAACCCGCTTCTTTTATATGGGTTTTAAGTTCCTATTTTGGGCCGTAAACAACGTGGGCCTATATGGGCCGACAACAACTAGCCCAGGTTTAGAAGTGGGGAACCCACGTCTTTGTTGTGGGCTTCCAATTGGGCCGTAAACCAATTGAGCCTAGTTGGGTCAGCCAAAACCAGATCATATTTAAAAGTGGGAAACCCCCGTCCTTCTTATGGGCTTATATGTTCCACAATGGGTCGTAAAACCGTGTGGGCCAAATGGGCCGACCCAAACCAGCCCAGCCCATGTGTAAAAGTGGGGCACCTGCGTCTTTATTATGGGCTGATATGCTCCCAATGGGGGCGTACCAATATGGGCCTATTTGGGCCGATCAAACCAGCCCATATTTAAAAGAGGGTTACCCGCGACTTTGATTTGGGCTCATATGTTCTGAATAAGGCCGTGAAACAGGCGGGCCATTTGGGCCTGCCAAACCAGCCCAAATTTAAAAGAGCGGCACCCCTTGCCTTTATATGGGCTTCAACGTTATATATTGGGTCGTAAAACAGGCGGCGCCCAGTTGGACCGGCACAAGGGACTTGAATCAACTCCTTGAACAGTAGACGAAATCCTCCGGCGCAGGGGCCTGGTGACGCTGACCGGAGACTTGTCACGTGGCGGGACAACCATCTGTGTCATTTCCGGGCCCGCGTCATCAAAGCCCAGTCCACCAAGATGCAAGGCCCATTAAACCGTATTTTCTTAATTATAAACCGTATGTTGCAACATTCTATACTATTGCAAACGATCCCCCAAGCAAGGGATACCAATCAGATTATATTTAATATAAATTATTTATTTATCAGTTAAAATTGATTTACTTTGCGGAAATTTGATACCCATTCATCAGACAAACATTAGAAAAAATATCTATTAAACTGTTTTGATTCAATTTTATTTATATTAAACAGCTTTATTTTGTTTATCTAACGGTTAAAAAAATAATATTTTTTATATATACGTGGGTTGGAATGGGGAAGGATGCCATTAAATTCACTGCGCTGTTGTCCGAGGGAGGTGGTCGCCTGTTCTTCCCGCTCAATCTATACGGATGGGCTGCGGAGGGAGGCGGGTCGAGGAGACCACGTGGCATTAAATGCGCAAGCCCAGCTCGCTTCCGCCACGTGGGCGTGGAGTACGAGTTACCGCCGTCCAATCAGGCGGAGGTGCGAAATGAAGGCAGGGTTGGATTGCAATAAAGACCCCGAGTCGCCTCGGGGTTTGGGATATTTACGGAATCACCCCCACTTGGCAGTCTCATGTGTACACGGCTTCTGGGTCTCTGCGAAAACAATTATAATATGTTTTCTGGTATTACGGAAAGAAATGCTTATTTTCAGGGTATCTAAGTACGGGCAATTAAAAGTATTTTATGAAATATTAGTTTTAAACAATTATTAATCGATATTTGACAAGACAAAAAACGCACACACTATTTGCTAAATGGCGTACATTAAATCCCAATAATACCCCGCATAGTAGTCATCCGTGCAAGGGTGATTAGGTAAATACGCGTCACGGCAGAACAGACAGAAACCAAGATCCACGAGAGTTAAATGCTGGTTCCCGATGGGGATCGCAGTCGTCAGCCGTCTGATTCTGCGCGGTGATCGTCGTTCGGTTTTCCGTGGGTCTCCAGCTACTTCATGCAAACTCCCCATGGGCATAGGTTCAGCTCGAACTCCACCGAGCTCTCCCCGAAAACCTAGAAGAAGATGGAGAAGAAGGGGAAGAACAAGAATACTATAACTAGGATAGGCCCTCACGAAGAGAGAGAGAGAGAGAGAGAGAGAGAGAGAGAAGAGGTAGCGTACCAAAGAGCGGCTACGGATTTAATGGGTTTACTTGCGGCCTTCCAACGCGAGCCTGGCTGCCGGCTTCAAGGTTCCGCCATTAAAGCCTTGTAGATGAGGGGGTAGGTTGGGGTTTTATACGGCGCCTTCAAGCCAACTCCACAACGACTCGCGGAAGGTGAGCTGTTGAAGCTCATCTGTTGACAGAGATTGTGCCGAGTTTATGTCTCACTCTGTCTCTCTCTAAATCTCTCTCTTTCTCTCGCTCTACCCCACATCGTCGTCATCATCACATCCGGCTAGTGCAGTAAAAGAGCGAGCGGGGCCAACTCGAAGGGTCTCTGTAACTTGCGGCAGTGGAGAGAGAGAGAGAGAGAGAGAGAGAGAGAGAGTCCTTTTCGTCTCTCCCCCGTGGGGTTATTAAGGGGCTGCACTGAATGGCGAGGCCCCCCTCGACCCTCAGCATAGCGACCATGTTAATAGCAAAGGGAGCCTGAGAGGTGCTCGCCCGCTCAGGTGTCTGGTGTCCGGCACTGAAAGATATGGATATCGAGGGGAGGATTTGGACGAGGAGGAAACAGTTCTCCGGCGACTGTTGTTGCTGCCGCCGTCCCATGCCTTTCCTCCTCTCCCCCGCTCTTTCTCTCCTCCTCCTCCTCTTCTTCCTCTTCCTCTCCACCATCGCCGGCATCTCAGCGGTCAACGACACCCACGGGAGGCCAGTCGGAGCCCTCAAGCTGGAAAGGATACAAAGGCACCTCAGCAGAATCAACAAGCCGACCGCGAGGACAATCGAGGTGAGCCAAACTCGGCTTAGGGTTCTTTGCTCCCCACCTCGTCTCCTCGAGTCTCTGAGTCACCGACGTTCTGCTGCAGAGCCCCGACGGCGATATCATTGACTGCGTCCACCGCCACAAGCAGCCCGCTATAGACCATCCACTTCTCAAGAACCACAGAATCCAGGTACTCCGATCCACCTTCCTCTTCCTCCTCTTCGTCTTCTTCTTCTTCTTCTTCTTCTTCTTCTTCTTCTTCTTCTTCTTCTTCTTCTTCTTCTTCTTCTTCTTCTTCTTCTTCTACTTCTTCTTCTTCCTCCTCCTCTTCTGATTCTTCTTTTTCTTCCTCCTCTTCTTATTCTTCTTCTTCTTCCTCCTCTTCTTATTCTTCTTCTTCTTCCTCCTCTTCTTATTCTTCTTCTTCTTCCTCCTCTTCTTTTCTTCTTCTTCTTCCTCCTCTTCTTATTCTTCTTCTTCTTCCTCCTCTTCTTTTCTTCTTCTTCTTCCTCCTCTTCTTATTCTTATTCTTCTTCTTCTTCCTCCTCTGCTTCTTCTTCTTCTTCGTCCTCCTCTTCTTCTTCTTCCTCTTCCTCTTCCTCTTCCTCTTCTTCTTCTTCTTCTTCTTCTTCTTCTTCTTCTTCTTCTTCTTCTTCTTCTTCCTCCTCTTCTTCTTCTTCTTCTTCGTCCTCTTCTTCTTCTTCTTCTTCTTCTTCTTCCTCTTCTTCCTCTTCTTCTTCCTCCTCTTCTTCTTCTTATTATTTTTCATCGTCTGTTAGAGGGTTCCTCCACGGCGGCCGCGGCCAAAGAGCGACGGGGGACCGGGGAACTACACTGGCGGCGGGGTCGGTCCCAGGGGGGCATGGCAGACGTGGCACCACGTGGGGCACTGTCCGAAGGGGACGGTGCCCATCCGGAGGAGCTCCGTGGACGACGTGCTGAGGGCCAGATCGCTGTACCACTTCGGGAAGAAGCAGTGGCGGCTGCCCCTTGCCCGGGACGTTGACGCGCCGGACGTGGTCAGCGGCAACGGCCACGAGGTAAGTCTCCGCCGTGATCGAATGAGTCCTCGCCGGCGACGGCGGTCAATCCCCGGTGACCTTCTCCTTCATGGGTGTGCAATGACCCTACCTCTCTCTCTTCTTCTATCCATGGTCGTCGCAGCATGCGATAGCCTACACGGCGGCGGCGGGCGAGGTCTACGGGGCGAAGGCGACGATCAACGTGTGGGATCCGACGATCGAGGGGCCGAACGAGTTCAGCCTCTCGCAGATTTGGATCCTCTCGGGGTCGTTCGACGGCTCGGATCTGAACAGTATTGAAGCCGGCTGGCAGGTACTCCCTCTTTTGAATCCCTCCTCGCGATCTCTCCCTCCTTCACAGGGAGTGTTGAAGTCAATAATAAAAAAATAAGAAATTAGGGTTAGCATTAATTGCCGCTTTGGATGGCAATTTAAGAACACGCCGGTCGATTCCGGTAAAAAATCTCGCCGCCGGGTCGGTTCGATTTTGCGTGAAGTCTCCCAGTTCATAAATTCGGTCACTTCGGTGTTCAATTCCTGTTAGATGTCGTAAACTTGGATGAATGGAAAGGTTGAGGAGGGAGAGAGAGAGAGTGTGAGAGAGAGAAGTAATGGAAGGAGCTGGTCGCCGGTGGGTGGGAACCTTCCCGCCTGGGGCAATCAATGGAACGCCCGGCAGGCATGTTGAGGCTGTCGGTGGGCCGGGCGAGGCTCAGGTAATGCAATGCGGGCAGCTCTCATCATGACGCCGCTGTGGCTAGCGGCGGCGGCGGAGGTGCAGTGGGCACTGGGCAGCGCCGCCGCATGTGCTCTCTTTCTTCCTTAGTGGTGCAGAAATCTAAAGCGAGAGAGACAGAGAGAGCGGTGGAAGGAGGGGGGAGAAGGGTGGTCTTCTGAAGCTTTATGTTTTTCTAGTCAGGTCAGCCCTGAGCTTTACGGAGACAGCAGGCCGAGGCTCTTCACTTACTGGACGGTGTGTCCCTCTTCTTCACCTTTTCCTCTGGTTTCTCCTCCGATGATCGCCGGAGCGCTGACAGTCTTCCCACTGCAGAGCGACGCCTACCAGGTCACCGGCTGCTATAACCTCCTCTGCTCAGGCTTCGTCCAGACGAACAACAGGATTGCCATCGGCGCCGCGATATCGCCGGTCTCCTCCTACTCAGGCGACCAGTTCGACATCACCATCCTCATCTGGAAGGTAATCTCCGGCGACCCCAAAGCTTCCCTACCCTCCTCCATTGACTCCATTTGAGTTGTTGCAGGATCCGAAGCTGGGGAACTGGTGGCTAGGGTTCGGGGATAACACGCTGGTGGGGTACTGGCCGGCGGAGCTCTTCACCCACCTGGCGGACCACGCGACGATGGTGGAGTGGGGCGGCGAGGTGGTGAACATGCGGCCCAACGGTGCGCACACGGCGACGAGGATGGGTTCGGGGCACTTCGCAGAGGACGGCTTTGGCCGTGCTAGCTACTTCCGCAACCTGGAGGTAGTCGACGGCGATAATAGCCTCACCGCCGCCGACTCCATCGCCACCCTTGCAGAGGACACCCACTGCTACAACATCAGGAGCTCCACCAGCTCCGAATGGGGGGTGCACTTCTACTTCGGCGGTCCCGGCAACAACCCTAAGTGCCCATGACCGCTGCCGCCGATGCCGCCGCCGCCGCCGCCGCCGCTACCTTCCCCTCCGACCGCACATACCCAGCTCCACTGTAATTTCAAAGGAATGTCGAGCTCGCCATTTTTGGGTGTTCATTGATTCATCTCGATCCAGAAAGACGGCGCAACTCCTGCAGGTCGTCGTCTCTTCTCCAATTAATTGTTCCCGTTCCCTCGCCGGCCCGTAGACTCAGTCTGCTCCGGCGAGTTTTAAAACCCACCGGCGCAGAGCTCGAGACCCAGCCTGAAACCTAAGCAATCCTCCGCCGCTAACCCCGGCAGGTCGCCGTGGAGTTCCCTCTGTCGCCACGTGCGCTCTCGAATCAAAACCTCGCAAGCTCCCCACTGGTTCGATCCATCGAAGTGCCCGCTCTCCTCCAGTCGCAAAACCCTAATCTCCAGTATAGGAGGGGACGATAGGCTCCATAGCTTGAGCCAAGCTTGTGCGAGGAGATGCGCCATTGTTATTAAATAGAACGCCAATCCGCCATTAGAGACCTTCCCCCCCTCTCCCGAGAAGATGACTCTCCTAGTGGCCCTGCCTGCAGTGAGACGTCTTGATCGGGCGCAGAGTCCCGCTGCAGCCAGCCCTCTCAGCCACTGCAATTAAATTCTCGGCTGCCTGAAGAATGAATAGAAGTTACTGTTCACCTTCCCCATCCCCATGCTCTCCAGCCGAGAAAAACCCTAACTTTGTTTATCCGTCTCCCCTCCCCCACTGGGGCCCCACTTAATCCTCGTGCGGGGCTTAAGAGCTCGATGTAAGGTCAGCGCGACTGAAAGGATTTCCGCGGGGATCAAATACTCAAAATAGTGAGGGCCTTAGTGCAAAATACTCATTGAAAGTCGCCTGCCGGGATGATGCAAAGACAATATCCGATTTAACGAGGGGTGCGTGTCCAAATGCGCATAGGGAGTTCGAATGTAGTTTAAAAGATATCAGCGGCGAGATAAAAAATAATAAAATAGTGAGGTTGTATGAGCAAAATACTCGCGGAAAGTCCTCAGGAGGGTTTCGCCGCTTTAATAACCATCCGCCTCGAGGAAGGAATCTTTGGACTGTTCACGGCGACTCCCGAGAGCAGTGTAATTGGCCCACTGGGCAAGGATGACACTCAGCTGGGCCCTAGCCGAAAGGGGTGGCCAAAACAACACGGCAACAATCGACGGTGGCGCTCCCAGGGGGCGTATTTAAAAAAAGAAGAAAAAAAGGCCTAAATTGAAAGAAAAAGAGCCGTGAAGATTTTTTTTAAAGTCAATTTAAGATAATATTTATTTTCCCAAACTAAACACAAATGCAGAGTAACGCAAGAAGCCCCAGGTTTTTTACTCAGATCACCGATTTAAATAAATAATAAGATTCTGGGCGCATAATTTGTGGATTTCAATTAAACTATAACATTAATTACAAAGAGGTCATCCATTTATTGTCATTATTTCTCTATTTATGTTGGAAAAATAGGCATTAATTTCAAATTTATTTTAAAGTCTTCGAAAGAGAAAATACTTCACAATTTAATCACATGGATAGAATAAAAAAACTTGAAATGATAAAAAAATAAATTATGGAAAAATAATCCATCAAAACTACCCGGCCAGGCCCGATCTGTACTAACTTGGGGCAGGAGATGGAGAATATTGGGCGTCAACTTCCCACAGGTTTTTTTTCTATCATTTTCCCTCCCCAAAAACAGGGCATGAGAAGTTTTATTCTTATAATTCAGGTGAAAATAATTGAAAATTTTATGGTTGACTATATCCCTTTCTGGAAAGCCGGGTTCGTAAGTCAGAGAAGTCAGCTCTTTGAATTTAAACTTTTGAAAAATTACAACTAGAAAAAACTATTTCTCATGGTCACGGAAGATATATTGACAGATAATTTTAATGCGGTTAAAAAAATTATTGAATCATTTTTAGCCCTTTTGCGAGGGCCGGAAAAGGAGGACAAAAAGGATGAAGCGGGGATGAGAAGGAGATACCCCCATCGACAATCACTGATGCTGGCGGGCTGAGGGTCACTGATTCTTCCCCGAGTAGATTGATTAGTCCATGGGAAAAGAAATATTCAAAGAATGCTCTTGGAATGTATAAGAAAATCGCTCGTTAGTTTGACCTTTTGGGTCAAATCAATAAGCTTTATTCAGGTCAAACAGTTCAACCCAATACATAATCTCTATTCCACAAGTTTATGCACATAGATGCCAGCATCTCAACACCATGCCATTGGAGGGGGATGCCAGTTCATCCCTCTCATGGATACAACCGCCCTAGTCTCCAACATGGAATTGAAACAGAGAGCAGCCAGATATACATGGAAGAGGAAAGAATTGATGAAAGGAAGAGTGATGGGTGGGCGGGTCTGACCATCTGACCTCTTTGGCGGGACAAAGAAATTAGCCACCTCCGGAGATGAATGCCGGCGTAATTCTCTCTGCAGACCGCCGCCATCTATGATGCTTGTCGCGGTGCCCTGGCGCTCTTGGCTGCGATCTTTGAATGCCCCTGGGAAGCTCTCACCTTGGCCGATGTGGCCCGATGAAAGAACTGCTCCCTAGACAACGCCCTGATGCTCTTGAGGTACATGTCCAAGGGAATCGCTCCTTCCTGCACAGACTTGTCCAGAGAGTAGAAGGTGTCCTCCAGGGCCATGTCCGCCGCAGTGCACTCGATGAGCTGCTTCGAGAGTAGATCACAGGGCTCGAAGAGCTCATCCACGTCCAGTTCGTCCCTCCGCTTCTTGCCTGCGTTCTCTCTCACCCAGCCCTCCAGCAAGTCTGAATTCATCAGCGCGAGCTGCAGTTGCTGCTCGAGCCCTTCCTTTTCGTCATGCATCTCCCGGAGGCCGCTGGAAAGCTCCTCCGCTCGCCGCCTCAGCACGGCCTGCGTGGCAAAAAGGTTCTCAATCTCCTGCTCCCGACTCTTCCGCGTGGCGATGATCTCGGAATGCGCCGTCTCTAGGATCTTGTTGACAGCATTTCGGCGGTAGACCTCCGCCGGGTCATCCGTAGGACGGTGCTGGGAGGATTGAGGAATTCGCGCCCCGCCACCATACGGCGCCGCCTGCGAATAGATCCTGGAAGACGAATTTGGTTGCTGAGGGGATGGCGATGGGGAGGGCGAAGAAGATGGGGGATTGGGTGTCGGGACGGGATTAGGGTTCTCGCGGGTGTAGAGAGGGGGCAACTGGCCGAAGACATGGGAGAGCGTACGGACGAGATCGACGAGGTTGGAAGAGGGGTAAACCCAATTGCGGAGATACGGGACATTGACATGGCCAGAGCTGTCTACGTGGGGGTGGTTCCGCTTGATGATCATGTCGCGAGTTGGGGTGAGGAAGACGGCGGGCGGAGAGCGGGGGTAGGACTCGAGAAGCCAGATGACGGCCGGGATGTTGTAGACCACGCCGCCGTAGACGATGGGAATGGTGCCGTCGACCTGGAGAAGCTGCGAAGATCGGCCGTCGTTGTGGGTGAAGGTGGAGGACTTGGGCGGCAGGGACGGGAAGGCCTCCAACAGCGAGACCAGGTGCTGCCGGATCAGCCACTTTACATCCTCCGCATAGGGTAGCGCGTTGGGGCCCCTCTGCGACAGCGCGCCGCTCAGGAACTGCGACCAGTATTGCCCATTCGGCACCGTCGGGGGCGGAGTCTGCACCATCCAGAGCTCTGCAAACCCTAGAAACGAAGACGAACTTGGTTCGGGGGGGGGGGGGTGGCGGAATCGGAAAAGGATCCCCCTTCGCTCCACCGGGCGGTTCTGTCGTTCTGGTGGGCCAACGGAGCAACTTAAGACGGCAGACCCTCTACCCTGCGACCAATGTAGACGCGTATGCTTCGGTCCCAAGGAAGCTATCTCGATTTTCCTTAGTCGTGGAGAACCACGACAATGTAATATAACGAAATACAAAATAAAACTATTATAAACTAATAATGACGTAATCCGCCGCTCCCGCGGCCGAATCGGATCAAGCAGCCGGATATCCCCGTACCCGATTTTCACCGACAATTTTGTTCTTCACATCTCAGACTGATTTGGGCTTAGCTCCCTCTCTCAGCGCGTGGAGGTGGGCCCGGTTGCCAAGAGAGAGACGCCCAACGCCGCTACAAAATGTAAGGCAAATAAATCTCAACCGCTAGTATTCATCTGGAAGAAGTGGAAGTAACGTAAATATACATAGAGATAGAGAGAGAAAGGGATTAAAAGGAAAATTTAATATTTTTGCGTCAAAATATTAAATTAATTATTTTTAAATATATTTTAATTAAAGTAAACAAAAATGTGCAACATTTTTCCGCGTATCCATCTCTACAAGTACGCGTAGATATCGCTTTTGTACTTTGTTGTGCTGTACAGGGACACATTGACTCCGTTTGTTTCTTCTATCGAGGCAGAGCCAGGTTCCCTATAAGAGAAACGGACACGTGCCGGGAAAATGACAAGCGTCACCGTCTAAAACCCAGAACCTCTCCTCGTCTTTCTTCACCTTTCTTCAGCCTGTGAAAGGCAACCGCGGCCGAGCGTAGGGGGAGGCGTTCGGCAGAAATCCCCGAGGCTTCCGTCGAAGGGAGCCGGTCTCTTCCTGCATTCCTTCCATCTTTCGCTTTCTGTGATTGTCTGCTGTTAATGGTGGTCGTTGTTAGCTCCTGTCCTCGCCTCCTCTGCAAAGATCTGCTTCGTTCGTTTTGCGATCTACTGTCGCTCGTGAGGGGATCGCGAGGAGGACGATAGTTCCCGTGGATCCGAGGGTCCCGTGGCGAGCTTAGTGTCTTATGACCGGATGTCGTCGTTATCTGCTTCTCCGTTATCTTCTCGACGCATGGTGCCGGGTGGCGGCACCGCTGGAGCGTCCTGAGTGGAAGTTTTCCGGGGGCTTCTTTCTGACGATGCCGCATTGTGTGTTATCCCTGGGGCAAGAGGAGGATGCGGGCTCTAGTGAAGCTTCTACTTGCTTTGCTGCACCTGTGCTCTCTGGACTACGGTAATGCGTCCTCACGCATTCTCTTTTCCGGTTTTCTTGCCAGGGTTGGATGTGATCAGGCTACAATAAATAAAAAAATCAGCATTTAACCTATGAATCTTAGTCGCTTCCGGTGAATTATATGTGAGATCTTTTAACGCGAGGAGACAAGGAAGTATGAATCAGATTCTCCTATAGTTGAACTTGAGCTGATTTTTACACCACGATTGAATCTTCTGATCTCATATGAAAATATTGAATTTGGTTTCTGATCCCGCTAAAACCGATTTTGATTCTCTGGGTCTGTTTCGCAACGTTCCTGCAGCTCACAATTCCGGGTCTTCGAGTTTAGGAAATCTATGCTCAGTCCTCGTGTACAATGCCGTATGTCTCTAAACAAACCAGGTGTTCAGTCTGATATTGACCGATTCGTGAAATCTTGACTTCATTTTCGGAATAACGAGCTTTGAGCCACATGTATTTGACCAGCTCACAGTCAAAGGCCCAAAGAGAATCTATTCCCTTTAGGGGAGTTTTATTTATAATGTTATTTATATTAATATTGAGGTTGAAATTGGTTCTCTTGTAGGTAGGGAAGTAATGGTACTAGTCGCACCCGAAGAAGCAGGGTTCTTGGACCATGCTTGTCGGTGGAAGCTCAATGTAATTATAGGGAGTGTTAATAAGGCTTTCCTTCTTGAAATCCCAGAATCATAAGTGGTTGGATCACTGACAGGCAGGAAAGCCCAGAATGACGACGAGACTGGTCATTCATAAACATTAAAACCTATGACCAAACCGGGCTGGCCATTAATAAGCTACCAAGTCAGGAATAATTACTGGACTGGCCATTAACAAGCATCAAAGCCAAGAATCATTACTGGACTGGTCATTCATAAGCATCGAAGCCTAGAATCATTGTTGGACTGACATTCAAAAGCATTGAAGCCCATAATGATTGTTGGACTGGCCATTCATAAGCATTGAAGCCCAGAATCATTGCTGGACAGGTTATTCATAATGACCGTCTGATATGTCATTTGTAGGTCTAGAAAGTTGATCAATTTCCATCATCGTTGTACTTGTTCGTCTGTTGTGATAGAACGAATACTCAAGTTGTTGTGATAGAACAATGCCTGAGTGACGACATTGACATGTTCTATCAGGTAGGTGTTTTTTGGTGATACTTCAATGTGCGTGTTAAAAAAAAAAAAAAAAAGGAAAAGAAGAAACCTGTGACCAGAGAAAAGCTCAATGTTATTTATTTCCAAACTATCAATCAACAGTCAAAATTGTGCTTCAATATTAGACTGAAAAGAAGAGTATATTTAATTTCATGCAGGTTAATTGAATATTGTATATTCCCAAAAGAATGACTATAGTTTCTGATGTGTCTTCTCTGTAGGCACTGCCTTTTATTCACTGCAATCGTACTTGTACCTGAAATCTATTCAAATGCCGATGAGACTCTCACATCAAGGTATTTGAAGAATTTTCTGTTTAATGTGCGCCCGACTAGTGTATACTTTGAAGGTTGCATGCGCATAAGATGATCACAGATGAGGAATTTTGAATCAAAATATTGGATAATGTTGAAACCTTGCCTTCTCTCACGTAAGAGACAATGATTTTTACGTAATTAATTATGATAAATATTAGTTTATCTGTACGTAAACTGATGTTTACAAGGTTTGAATTGATTTCCCCTCAAACGGATCTCCACTCGTATATTTTCCATTCTAAGTTCTCAAATTACCATATCCAGCAGCCCCTGGTCCACAGAGTATTTTCTTGACTCCTTCAGAACCACCACTGAAACCTGTAATGCTTAGTATGAGTCCAGCTCCTGCACCAGCTCATGCCCGGAGATTTCAAGGTTAATTTTTAGCCTTGTGGTCACATTTGCTCCACTAAAATTGTTGTTGATGTCTCATTTGATTCTTTAAAACCATATCTTTCAGGGTCTGCACACAGTCCCACTGCGTCAAAACATCACCGAACAATGCCTCATGCAAGGCCATCAAAATCATTCTACCCCCCACTTGACCGAGGTCTGATCTTTTGAAGGGATTTGATTTGTGCCTTTACTGCTGAATGCTCCTGTTTGTTAGCTGTTTAGGTGAAGTTCCGACTTATGGGTTCTGTGCAGATTGTGGTCACATTGTCTGTACTGAGCCCTTGACTACGACTCCATTTGATTCACCTTGTGGTTGTGTGGTCCCTATGCAAGTGGAGCTTGATCTCGGCGTAGCACCATTCCGGGTATTTTCTGTGGTTGCAGAGCTAGCGCTTGAGGTTGCAGCAGGAATATATATGAAACAAAGTCAAGTGAGAATAGTGGGTGCTGCTGCTAGTTGCCAGGATCAAGTTAAAACAAGGGTTGATTTTGACTTGGTGCCATTAGGAGAAAAGTTTGACAATGTAACTGCATTACTGACTTATGAGAGACTTTGGAAGAAGAAAGTGCCCTTAAATGCAGCGATCTTTGGGGACTATGAAGTGGTTTTTGTTCGTTATCCTGGTAATTTCTGCTGTATCTCAGCCTCTTATTGTCTATGCTGGCATTTTGTTCGTTGACCTTGCATGCTATTAGGACTCTTTTAATGACTTAGATTTAATTTACAGGGCTTCCATCCTTGCCACCACTCAAAGCTTTGGGACCCAGAAGAAGTAAAAGTTATCAGAATCCCTTTACAGCAAATGTGCCTATAAGTGAGAACAAGAAGTGGAATCCCAGAACCATGACCTTGGTTGCTTTGTCTTCATTCATATTCGTCTTGATTGCCCTTGCTATTTTTTTTATTAGAATAAAATGGATGAAACTCAGAGGACCATCCATTGCTGTGCGCACCTCATCGACATCAAACGCCAGACAGACTGGTAATGTCATGTCTGAATTAACTCACTGCAATCGTTTTAAGATCCGCTGAAATTAATTTCATGAGATAATTATTGATTTCAACATGAACTCATAGCCAGTGCTCTGTTAGTGCCATAGAAATTTTCCTAGGAAATGCTACTGTAATTCATCATGTATGCTTATAGTTACTAGTTCCTTCTTCAAGCATTGCTCTCTAATGTGTCAACTGGGTTCGTTCTTCATCTTGGTGTCTTCGTTTGGTGTCCTATAAATCTATTTGACTGAAGGCATCTGAATGTGGCTGCAGGCTTCGGGTCCAATGTATCGAGTCGCTCAGCAGGTTCAACTTCACTGTCTCCGGTCTCAACAATTATCACTTGTGCACCTTCAGTGAAGGCATTCTCTCTGGCCGAGCTTGAGAGTGCAACAGACAAGTTCAGCTCTGAGAGATTACTGGGTGAAGGTGGATTTGGTCGGGTTTACAATGGGGCCCTCGTTAATGGGTTCGAAGTCGCTATTAAGTTGCTCTCAAGAGAGCACAGGAGTGGCGACCGTGAGTTCATCTCTGAAGTAGGGATGCTTTGCCAACTTAATCATCGGAACCTTGTCAAGTTGATCGGCATCTGCATTGATGGTCGCACCCGTTGCCTGGTCTATGAGTTTATCCAAAACGGAAGTGTTGAATCCCATTTGCACGGTATGTTTTTCAACCATCTCAGTCAATGATAGTTGGATCCAGCAGATCCATAGCTATGATCCATAGCCTCCTGATGAAGTCCTGTCACTGAAAGAGTTGATCAGTCTTCAGATTGACGGGATCAGATTCTTCTTCCAGGATATTCATTTGTCTGATTATATGATCAAGATAGGAGAGAAAACCTACAAACCTTGAGGAAAAACGGGAGTGATTCATCTACTAATTTCTGCACATCTGTGGTTTTGTTCTTGTTACTGACAGTCACAGCAAAAATTACTGACTGGTACAAGATAGCCGCCTGATGAAGTCCTCTTACTGAAATCTGTCTTCAAACCTTGGGATCAATTTTTTCTTCCGGGATCTTCTGTTTTCTGATTACATTAAGAACTGGGAGAAAACTTAGAAATGTTGAAAAATAACGAGGGATGAATTCATCTGCTGACTTTTCTGTACCTTTTTTCTTTTTATGACTGTCTCTCAGAGTAAGTTCACCTTATAGAGCCCTCATACTGAAATAGTCAGTCGGTCTTCAAACCTTTGGATGAATTTCTTCTCCAGGGATCTTCAGTTGTCTTCAGTTGTCTTTTTATAAATGTTTAAGGAGCGTGGGGATTCATCCACTCACTCGCTCACATCTTTTCATTCTGTTCTTGCTACTGACAGTCACTAGTAAGCCTCCTGATGCAGCCCTATCACTTTTCAAACCTTGGTATCAATTTCTTCTTCAGGGATCAATTTCTGCACCAGTTGATCTTGTTTATATACATATTTAATTCAGTTAGGGTTCCATTGCAGGTGCTGATAGGACGCGTGGTCCCCTTGAATGGAATACCCGGCTGAAGATAGCCCTTGGTGCCGCAAGAGGGCTGGCATATCTGCATGAAGATTCGAATCCCTGCGTCGTTCACTGTGATTTCAAGGCCAGCAACGTTCTGCTGGAAGATGATTTCACGCCAAAGGTGTCTGATTTTGGACTGGCAAGGGACGCATCTGAAGGAACTCAACATATCTCATCACGATTCATGGGCACTTTTGGGTATATTCGTCATCCCTGCATGCTATCATCCTTGCGATCTCCCCTCCCCCCCCTTCAAATTCTCCAGTAATTGTCATTATTCTGCTGTTATTGAGTAGACTAGGCGGGCAATCCTATATTGATTTGATATCATGTGAATAACCAAGATAATGTAATGAGAAGTGGATCATCACCTTGCAGGTATGTTGCTCCAGAGTACGCCATGACCGGGCATCTGCTGGTCAAGAGCGACGTCTATAGCTTTGGGGTCGTCCTACTGGAGCTCCTTTCCGGCAGGATGTCGGTGGACAATCGCCAGCCCCAGGGGCAGGAGAACCTCGTCAGCTGGGCCCGCCCACTTCTCACTAGCCGACGCGGCCTGGAGCGGCTGGTCGACCCATCTCTCGCCGGAGACTACGACTTCGACGACATGGCCAGGGTGGCGGCCATAGCTTCGCTGTGCGTCCACCCGGAGGTGTTGCAGAGGCCATTCATGGGCGAGGTCGTCCAGGCGCTCAAGCTCGTATCCAGCGACCCCGCCGAGATCTGCGACGTCAATGGGGAGCCCGGCGCCGGCGGCAGCTGGTGGGACGCTGGCACGCCGCGCCGGTCCTACGGCGGCTTGACCTCTTCCTTCACTTCCATAGAGCGTAGCTCCGGCCCGGCGGAGGACATGGCGCGGCGGGGGGAGTCGCCAGCGCGGGAGAACAGATCGGCCCCGCTGCGGACCGGCCGGCGCAGGTCGGGGCTGTCTGGACTGAGGGGGATCTGGAGCGAGAACGAGGTTCTCTTCCGGCGTTTCGGGGGCTGGTGGCGGGGCTGAGAGGTGATCTTCCTCTCGTATGCCTCTGGTCGTCTCTCATCTTCCTCTGTGCGGTGGTGAGAGCCTCTCTGGGCACAGCGCGGCTTCTAATTTTGAAATTCCGGGTGTTTATATTGCACATAACCCCTTGTTACTACTTTTTATTACGAAAATACCGTACGGATGTGTCGGAGATGGCTGCGCCCCTTTGTACCCCCGCTACAGTCCATCTATACCTACCTCCGAGCGAGAGAGAGAGCAGATTGATGCTTGCATTTATATCCTCCATGAAGCATGAAGGGATATGAATGAAATAAAAAACTGTTATTTCGTAAAATGTATCGAGTTGATAGTATAAGTAGAAGTTTTCTACTTTCGAATTCCTGGTGGTATATTGCACATAAACCCTTGTTAATATTTATTACTACGAAAGTACTATCTCATGCGTCGGAGATGGCTGCGCCCCCTTCGTACGCCAGTCCGGTCCTCCGTGTACGCCTGCTAGAGAGAGAGAGAGAGAGAGCAGATTTGATACTTGCATTTATATCCCTCCATGAAGCACGTGGGATATAAATGAAATTTTACATACATAGTTTAAATAAAACATATTAAATAGAGGGTATATATGGAAATATTCTACCACGGTTTCATGGGCCACGTCGAGTAAGCTCAGCCGATCGTTTGATTGGGTATCTGAGGGACGTTATTTCTGCGGCCTCCAGAAGAATCGATCGCCGTTGTCTTGGCGCTCCCGCGCGATGTGTAAGGGACTTGGAAATTCTTGGCCAGAAAACGAAGAGACCCTCTGGGGAGTTGAAGCGGAACTCAATGGCGGCCAGCTTGATGACTTCTCCGCATTCCCTTCTCATCTTCTTGCAGCCGTCGTTCTCTGGTAACACCGTGATATCCAGGAATAGTCTCCATTGCCGTAAGAACGCCAGGGTGCCCCGCCTGAAACTTGACAGGAGAGTTGGTGTTGCACGTTTGGGGTGCGGAGGCTCTGGCGTGGCACCAGCTCGTTGTTTGAGCTCGCAGAATGGAACCTCGTCGATCGAGGTGGGGAACAGGCCTCCCTTTGATCTTAATCTTGCTGTTGTGCTTGCGGGTTTCGCATTTGAAGCTTACACGAGCCCTCCGGTAAATCTCCCTTCCTTGGCTTCATCCTTTCTACGGTGTTCTCTGTTCTTCAGTTTGACGGTAGCGTTTACTATGCGTAAAAAAATCTTTATGCGTAGGAAAATGTGGGAAGGCGCGAAACGGATTCGGCAGATTGTCAGACGGTGTTTCTTTCTGAGTAGGTTTTCGAGTTCTCAATCGCATGCATCCTAATTGAATACCATTCCTATATAAGGAGAAGTTGTGGTGATTTTGATGTGCCTTCGCTATTATCCTAGAGTTCTATCACTTTCGACTCATTTATGGTGTTCTTTTCTTCGTTTTACAAATGCTGGTTGTTATTGTGCCATTCAAGAGACGTGTTTCAAAGTCTTTTTTTTCCCATCAGTTCCATAAATTTTCAAGTTTCATCATAACCGAGGTTTTGTGTCGAGCAATTAAGATTGGGTGAATTCTCATATTTAGTTTTTTGAGGCATGGAGACTGGTTCAATGGTGAACCCATATTACGTGTTTGTTTTCTGAGGGAAATGACGTTTGTCATCCAGGATCAGAATAAGAGTGTTAGACATTGGTTCCTATTTTCACCTCTTCCTCTGTATTCTTCTAGTACCTGTTTATGCATCGCATCGATTACAAGACCAAGTACGGAAATCCTTCCATTTTTTTTAAAAACTCGCGCTCGAATCAGGAAATTAGATACGAACTAGAGTGGAATCGTATTTCGATAGCAACATCCTAGTAATGCACGTCTTAGCCTGCCCTAGATATTGTAGCTGTTCTCCGCTGCCAACTTTGTGCGGAAGATTTCAAAAGTAATGAAATCATAGAAACAATGGTTTTGGAAACATTGAAACTTGCCGAGTTGAGTGACAAGCAAGCATCATACTGCTATGCAGATATGCCAATGCAACTTAAGAAACAAACTAGGCCATCCCGTTTTTATGAGATAAGCTTTAAATTTTTTCTTTTTAATTTTGATTTACTTTGGAAAAATATTCGAATATTTAGTGTTGTTTAAAGAAGTGCCTAGTAAGCACAGTAATCTGTCTTTAGGGCTGTTGGTCTAGGATGGCTGTTGGCATACAGAGATGCCATAAAAAGGGATTTTAAGATCATATTGGAAACATTAATATATTATCTTCTTTTTTTAATATATAATGCTTGAGTGATGGTATCCACTTTCAGGAGAAAAAACAAGCTTCCAAACGTTCAAGATACAAATCACCCTGATACCTTAGTCTGACATTCTCCTTTGTTCAACAAGTTTATAAAGCTTGCTCAGTCTTCTTGCATACAATGTTCCATTCACTTAATCAGTTACTGTTTCTGCTGTCTTGAATGCTCTGTGAGCACTTATGATTGTTTATTGATTTCTTTTGTCTTTTGATTCATTCATCTGCTTGATAGTGTGATTAAAAATGAACAAGGGGAACCCTGCAGTGTATTTTCAGGAATCTGAATGTTAGAAGGTGTCAATTAAGTATGTGACATAGATTGCGGCAATTTTATTCAAGAACGTTATTAATTTGTATGGCATTAGTGCACGTATCTAGATTGTCCAATAAAATGAATATTTTCACGATATTTTAAGGTAAAGATTTGTTTCAGCGGATTTCCCTCTTGGTATGTTTAGTCTAACTATTGGTTTCAGTTCTTTGTTGATTACCTTACAAAAAATAAATTTGAACATTTTTTAGGTCATTTTTACGTGAAGTATATGATGGCCAGCTGTTCATAAAATTAAAGAAAGGTTCTGATTTTCCTGCTATGGATCCATGGGTATCTTTTCTTTGTCTTACGACGTCCCATAAATTGTTGCTATCTTGTTTCCAGAAGTATCATCTTTTGTCTGTCATGCATGTTGTATAATCACCTAGACAAATTTTACTTCTCACCCATTCTGTTAATCAGTTTTCAGTGTTGTATAACTTTCTTAGCTTTCAGTTAACTTTTCTAGTTGGGATGATGTGTTTCCGTTCTGTTGATATGTCGTGTGACTTTTAATTTAGAACTACCTATAACTCTCTATCTTATTGAGGTGCCTGACCTCAAAATAATTTTATCCATTTCTGAGTAATCTCACTTGGGAAGGGCAATTAAATCTGTCCTTGAGAGACATTGCGGCTACTGAAGAAGAGAATGGCTAGAATATTCTTGTGGTATAAAATTACCAAGGATGCGTACTTTGCAATAGAAACCATTCCTCGCTTCACATGTACTATTCACAATACGTCCCGAGGCTTTCTAGGGCTTTTTCCAAGCCAGTACTTCACAGAGACATCAGACAAACACTGGTGATGTCCTTCTGTAGCTATTCTGTCCGTGCTTTTCTTCTGCATATGATAGTTTAAGAATTCTGCGTAATCAGAATAACACTGGTCCTAGAAATTCTTTTCCTGTCCATATTGTAGAGGCAAAAATATTTTTACTCGAATCAAAACCTGATATATTTCTGTATATCGTTGTTAACTTTCAGGGAACAAGTGATCCATATGTCGTCTTCAACTTAGAGGGCCAGGCTACAAAAAGTGGGATTAAATGGGGGTAAGCTTTATGCTTTTTCGTGTTTGTACAGCTTCATCCAGAAAAGAAGGGTAAATTCTCACAGGTCAAACTAGGAATCGAGGGTTGAAAGTATGAAATATTAAATGTGTGCAAAAGGGAAGGAGAATATTATATATCTTTACCGAGTATATTCTTTATTGAACTTTTGGCCAAATGCCTATTTTGTTCATATAACTTCAGAATATATATTTTTTCCTGTACTCGCCTTTTCTCCTACATGCATTATTGAGCATAGACATGGTGCACAGGAAATGATTGACTGAACCTGTTTTTTCATCTTTATGGCTGAAGATATTGTTTGACGGATTGAAGCGCAAAAATTAAAGGGTCTCCAGTTTCAGTTTAATATTCTTGTGGGCGGACATATGAAGATCACGTTGTCTTTGATGTCATTCTATTTTAAGTCTTGTTTGGCAACAGAATGATAAGAATTTTGTTTCAACCGTAATGCAATATTTTCCGAAAATCATTCCAATCTGTGTTTAAAGATAGGTGATATTATGTCAATAAGTTTTATTTTATTTTTTGGATCAGAGGTGCAGAACTAAATGGAAATGTGAGTTGTACTGCAGTAAAAGGAACTAGTTAAATATTGTGGTTAGAGATTTGAGTTTGTTCTTCTCATTGTCAAGGAGATACGTGAGAATAACTTTACATGAAACGGGATAAATTAAATCATGTGGCTGAGTATATGACTTAACTCTAATCGTTGTCAGTAGGTTTTTAAACGTTAGCGTTTAATGTGAAGCCGATAAATTAGGCATCTTTAAGCCTCTGTATTTCAAAATAAAAGAAATGACTGTTAAATGCCACAGATTAAGACAACCGCATTTCAGATTCCCTTCATTTTTTAGTCGCCTAATAGCTAGAAAAAACCACATCGTCTTTCATTTCCTCTTTTTATTCTCTAAAAAGCACCAAACACCAGTACTACCACGTTATTCTCCACAAACTCCCTACCTCTCTTTTTGTGTTCCCTTTTTTTTATTAAAGAGAAAATAAGGCATTTCGGTCTGTTTTTTCTTTATCCATTTCTTAATCCTTTTAATACTTCTTAACCTATTTTTGTGTACAGGACGAAGGAGCCGACTTGGAATGAGGACTACACCTTGAATGTCAATAAATATTCCAGTAAAATGTTACAGGTTGCTTGAGACAAAATTTTGTTAAACGTTTCTATCATTTGCGGTCTATTTTCATTTATAACTGAGCCATGATTTGGATTTTTTATCTTCTTTTAGATTTTCTGTTGCAGTTGAATTTTTGGAGACCTCTTATGTTGGACAATACTGATGCTCAGACTCATGTGATATGCTTTTCACATGAAATAACAGACCGAAATAAGTGTTTGGTGCTTTTTACTTGAAGAAATAAGTGTTATCATATCCTATGTTATGCTTTTCAATGTTGTCAGTAAAATGGAAAGGGTTTATTATTTTCGTTTGAACATTGTTGAATTCTTGTGATGTTGACGAGTTGTAATATTTGAAATTTCTTTTCGAGACTTTATTCCCAACGTGGAAGTTTTTCACCCTGTTGGAGATTTTTGTTAGTCTTATGTCATAGCACAATCGCATTCAAGTCTGTCTCACTTATTTGGTCATTGATTATGTTTCTCATCACTTGACAAGTTAGTCTGATTCTGATGAATAATTTAAAAGAGCATGCCGTCTGATAATTTATATATTAACTGTTGTTCTTAGGTAGCAGCTTGGGATGCTAATCTTGTGACACCTCACAAACGTATGGGTAATGCTGGGATTGACGTCCTTCCTCTTTGTGATGGTGAGAGCAACTCTTCTCTTCATTTGTAAGCCTGTTGATAAAATGACGCTTCTCTTCTTTTTCATTTCCGACTTCCTAGCTGTGATATCCATGATCTGAATTTTTCTATCCTATAAAGGGAGCATATGACTGGTTTGGCCATCTTATCTCTTGGACATGCTAGATGTTCCACATTCTTGCCTTCGATAGGAAACTTAAATGTTTCACATTTTTCTTGTGCCAACGTTATTTCTCAGGCGTTTGATCCATTCATCTTTCCGTATTTAAAGGAATTTAATTACTTTTCAATACACAGATGTTTAATTTGATGAAAATACCCATATCTATGTATCCTTTGTACCCCATTTCAAAAATTGGGCAGCATTCCTAGTTGATTCTTGGCATTCGTGCCCATGTTGTCTCCATCATAGCACTCTATAAACATTGGATCCCACGCGACTGCAAAATGTTGTCCTTGGATGAATCTGAATCACTTTGGTGATACCAAAACTATCTGTAGAAGTTGCATTTGATGTTGCTTTGATGAAAACGATGAACTGTCTTCTGTCAGGAAAAGTGCATGATTTGGTGGTGGAGCTGGAGGGGATTGGAGGGGGTGGAAGGATACATCTTGAGGTAAGAGCTCCTCCATTGTTTTTCATACATGTATTAGTTTGATTTGTTTGAAAATAGATGAAAGAAGACCTATTCATCACATTTTGTTTTAACGTGTTAAAATTCACCTAGGTCTCTCACATCAAGTAAATAACTGCATTTTTCAATGTCATTCCATTATTCTCTTGCCCATTGCTTATTTTGAAATAGCCCCATCTAGGTTAGTACAGGAGTAAAGATATGGCTATAATAAGTTGACCTATTCCATTTCATTTTCAATTAGTTTTACATTTGACCACGCAATATCGTTAACATGGTGTTCGAGTTGATCGGTGTCCTTCTATTTCTGTTTCCACATGACAGAATCTGAAAAATGGCATGAATGTAGGTTGTGTTAGAATTATTCTGGATTAATTTCATGCAAGAAATATCCAAGGCTATAAAGATGGAACATCTTCACTTATCGCCCAACAACTTTTACTTGTTTAGCACGCCTTTTGAGCGAAATCTGATTACCAATGCCCTCAGATTCGGCGTCTACTAAGATGCGCTTGAGAAACTATATATTTTGATAAAAAATATGTCCTTGCTGGTAATTAATCCTCCTAATGAGGAGCTTCTCACTTGGCCATGTCCTTGTGGATAACTAATTCCCCTAATGCAGAACTTCTCACCACTATCTTTTAAATAAAGCTTGTATTTTATGTTGACATATTCATTGTTTCTCATTGGGGAATTTTATGTTGACATATTCATCCAAGTTCTATTGTATAGTAAACGTAATTTCCTCTCTTCAACAGGTAAATTATAAAAGTTTTGATGAAATTGATCAAGAGAAGCAGTGGTGGAGCATACCTTTTGTGTCGGATTTCTTTATGAAGAGTAGCCTTGGATCTGCGCTAAAGATGGCTCTTGGTTCTGAAAGCATCAATGCACATCAGTTTGTGCAGTCGGCATTTGGTCAACTGAAGTCACTAAATGATGCTTATTTCCAGAAGGATGGTTTGTCTAATGACTTCAGTTCTGCTGTTGGGGAAACCGGGGGAGATATTGATGTTAAAACCATCTCTGGTTCGAAGGAACTATTACAGCTAGAGACTTTGTCCACCAAACAAGATAAAAATTTTCAGGAATTGAAAGTAGATAATAGTGGTAGTGATTCCTCGACTTGGAGCAATATGGATGACTCTCCTGAGTCAGAAATTGTTTTTTGGAAGAAAATTTCTGGTTCTATCGATCAAACTGTCCTTCAAAAGCTTGGTTTTTCTCTTCCTAGTATTGCAGGCTGGGATGCATTCGACTTGTTGAATAAAATAGGCTTGCAATCTCAAAAAGATGCTGAACAGGAATACATCGAGTCTGGACTCGCAGCTCCTGAAAGAAAGGATAGTAACGAAAATGGTGATTATACATCAACTTCTTCAAATGCAATCCAATCTTCACTGGAGGATATTAGAAAGGCTTCTTGGGACGTGTTAGGTCAAACAGAGTCTATTTTTGGAGCGTTAATGTTATTGAATACAACATTTTCTCAGCAGGGAAAAAATGCATCCCCTGGGGAAGAAAACATGGAAAAAAATGATGATAGCAGGCGACAGGAAGAAAATGTTGACAGTGTTTCTTTGAATGGTACGGGACAGACCGTTTTGGATGGTTCCACACTTGATGAGGGAGCGGAAGAAATTAAAGCATTATTCTCAACTGCTGAGAGTGCAATGGAGGCGTGGGCTATGCTTGCCACTTCACTGGGACGTTCAAGTTTCATCAAGTCAGAGTTCGAGAAATTATGTTTTCTAGACAATGTTTCCACTGATACGCAGGCGAGTTCCAGCTTTTTACTCTCGGAGATTCATTTTGATGATTGTCGAACAGATATTTTAATTTACTACTCGAATATCATCTATAAATACAAAAACAATTTCGTTGGTCGTCTAATAGTTAACAAATTTTCTCTATTCCCTGTGAATGAACTTTTAGGTTGCTATTTGGCGTGATTCTACACGGAGAAGATTGGTCATTGCCTTCAGAGGAACTGAACAAGTATGGCTTAAACCCAACAGATTTCATATTCTTCGAAATTGATTGTCGGAAAACTTTCTTTTTCCTTTTTTGACAACTTTTTTATTTCTGAACAGACTAAATGGAAGGACCTGCGGACAGACCTAATGCTTGTTCCCTCTGGGTAATTGGCTTTTTTTATTCAATGGTGTTCTAATTATTTCTCTCCTTTTTCTTGAATGAAAATTCCATTTCCTGTTCTCTTAGTTGTGATTCTTTCCTTCTAAAGCTGCCTAAAAAATACTATACTGTATTGTTGGAATAGTATGTTTAGCTAGGTGTACTGTGTATTATTTATGGTTTTTTGTATGTTTTTCTTCCATTGTCGTCTTAATCCTTGTCAATGATTGATGGAATTTCAAGAGTTAATGGTAAAGATACATATCATAGAACAGATATTTAAATTTGGTAAGAACAGAGCGCACAGACATTTTCTATAATATCATGGAAAACTTTAATATAAAATTGAAATTACTAACATTTGTGACATTATTCATATTTAGCATTAGTCACAAATATTGCATTTCTCCTTTACATTACTCATGTAACACTTTTTTATTATCGTAGTTAATAGGATTTAAGAATGTATATTCAACCACAACATTGGGAAGATGGTAACACCTTCATCGTACATAAGCATCATTGCAGGGGCCTCAACTTTTCTACATAATCTGACAAGAATCTAGTTGACACTTGACATTTCGTCACAACAATGACTGGATAATTTACACTTATTTCCCTCAGGTCTTACTCTATTCCATTACGATGGTACGTGGATAAGGGATTCATATTCTTCCAATGGATTCTTTGTCACATCCTCCTTACCTGTTTCGTAACAACAATGACTGGATAAATTTGCACTTATTTCCTTCTAGTCTTACCCTATTCCTTTATGATGGTATGTGGATAAGGGAGCTCATATTCTTCCAACGGAGTCTTCGTCACTTAAATTTGAATTTCCACCATTTTATTTGTTTAAATATTATAAGTTTGATATTATGAGTTTCAACATGTGTATTATATCATTAGCACTATTAAATGATCATTTTAACTTAGACTATTAATGATCTATGATAAACAACATTAACACGAGGTTGATATAGAATTATGGTAATGATGTGTATTGTAAGCAATTGTTAAGCCGGTCAAGGGCCTGACTTACTCAGGTCACCACAAACTGGAGCTAGGGTTCCTTTCGGAACTCTATTTTCCTCTTTCTTTACGTTCCAGTCTCAGTTTCCTATCAGCAATCATGTGAGGAGAGTCAACTATTTGAAATTCTTAATTTCTTAACTTGTTAATATTGGATCTTTAAAATATGAAACCACCATTCCCTCCTTAATCCTTATTCACCTTGAACCATCGAGATCAGGATAATATGAGAAAATAACAGGAGTACGAAGCTCTTCCTCTATGACTTATTGATTGCTTTCTTAACAGTCTCCTTAGAATGATTAAAAGTGGAACGTGCTTTGTCTCCTTGAGATAATAAATGGACTGGTACAGTGCGAGTCCAAAATTTCAAAACTATCACATCTGACGACAAGATATGAGGACCTCTACATTGACCTACTAGTCAAGGGTGAAGCCTGGTTGTAACTGGAGAAACCTTCCCGAGCAGCTATTGAGGTAGTTTAGATGACTACCTGTACTCTTTTAAGCTCTTGAACATTTTATTTTTAAGATCTTTTCCTTCAGCCCTCAAAAATCTGTTAACAAATTTTCTATTTCCTGTCACATTCATCACTACAAATTGTTGAGAACTCCTTGGTTGGCTACCTTTCCACTTACAACTAAAGAAGTTAGATTTCGCCGACACTTCCAACTCACCTGTTGCGTAAAAAGCGGTTTGGTGGGATGAAACGCAGCAAAAGCAGTATTGACATTCGTAAATACATGGAATTGGTTTTCTTCACATAAAAATCTCCATTCACCGGGTGAAAGCAAGACACTTTCAGGTGGGTGGGTAAGGTAAGTTCATGCTCCTTCCTGATGCTTGGTATAGGATTACTAGTTTCAAAAGCTCATCCATTACATATTTCTTAGGAGGTTCGAGGATTTAGGATGTAGGAAGGCTGCATTTTGGCCAAAAGTATCAGGTAGGATAGCTGTAAGAGATACGAATTTTTCATCAGACAAGTATGAGCAGCATGAAAAATGCAGCATACTTGGCCAAACGTCTTCTTCATTGCAACACTTTAGCCTACAATTGGGCCATTTGGCCCGTTCACAGGAGATTATGGACCCGTGTTCTATGGAGTTCAGTAATACACAAACCTTCACGCGTTATTTTTCTTGAGTACATTTATAAATTCAATCTAAATTGTATTTTTCTAGAAATAGAAGCATAGTCACGTATGCTTCATCACATCTACTCAAGCATCTAAACCTATGTCGTTGGTGTGTCTATGTTACAGCGCTTGCTGGAACATGTTTTTGAGCACCTATGACACTCTTTCTTCATGATTTTGCATAGCAAAAGTATAGATATATAAACTATCTTCGAGTGGTAGCTGTAAACATTGATTTTATTAATCCAGTTTGATTAGAGAAGCTATTTGTAGATTCATGGAAAATGGCTTACCACTGGAGCTCAATGTTTGAATCAATGGAAAATTATTGTTTTTTCGAAAAGTGACGAGAATTCCTAAATTCGTTCTTGTAAGGATTTTTTGAATGTTTTCTGATTCCTTTTGCTATTTCTGGTTTATTTTCAATTTAGACGAATTTTTATGTCTTAATGCTTTCTAGAAGTATTGAAGTTATGATTGTTCTTTTTCTTTGTGAAATTGTTAAAATTCCTTGGATTTGTAGGCTAAACCCTGAAAGAGTTGGTGGAAATTTCAAGGAAGAAGTTCAGGCAAGCATTTCACTCTGGTAGACAATTTGAAGAATTATTTACTAGGGTGAGAAATTATTTCAACTTGTAACGGCTCAATATCTCTGTATTGAAACTTGCAGGTCCATAGTGGGTTCTTGGGCGCATACGATTCTGTCAGGAACAGAATTATGACTCTGATCAAACTCTCTGTAGGATTCTGGTAAGTCATTCTTAATAATATTTGCAGTTCTTTGTAAATCAATACTGGTACTTTGATCAGAAGATTTAGGTCTATTGAATATCGTTCATCAATATTTTTCCTTAGCGGCTGTTTATGGGAAAGAATATGCCGCTCTTGGATTCGTGCTTGGTATAACTTAAATTCGTGCATAAGTCAATATTTTGTAACATTCATTAGTTATTAAGACAAAATTCTATCTATTGGGAACGAAGAGATTTTTTTCTTGTTAGGGATGTGGGAAATGAACTGACTTAATCTGTTGGATACTCATAGAACGAAGTGATTCATTACGTGTGTTGACTTGGAATGTTGAAGGGGTCCATCAGTTCTGTCCAGCTCTACCAATAAACGGCGAATAAGTTGGTATTTTGATACCCAACAATAGAACATGCATTAAAATTGTTTCACTGGGCTAAATATCCTTTGTGTGAAACAATTTGGGAGCTGTTGGTTTGTCTTCATTGCTTCACTCGAACTTTGAAGACAGCAAAGCTGCCAGATGCATGGAGTGCGGTAATAATTCAATTACACTAGGACTGCGGCATTAAGTTGATTATTGTCCCATAAATTTGCTCCAATATGGTGCGTGGACTCTTGGACAGTGGGTATTTAAGGGCGGTTGTTTAAAATATAGACGACTTTCGGAGTGATCATCACTACAAGTCAACCATGTCTTACCCGACCCATGAACTCTTTTTTTTTTTTTTTTTCATGTTATTGGGTAGTTAATCTAATTAAAATCTTTGTTACAAATCAACTTTTGGAATAAAGTGAATGATTTATTTAGTAGTAATTTCATTGTGAATATTTTGCAGAATTTAATAGAATGAAATATTTTCTTGGTTGGCAGTGAGGATGCTGATTTGGAGTCCATTTGCAAGTGGCACGTATACGTGACAGGCCACAGTTTAGGTGGTGCATTGGCTACGCTACTCGCTTTTGAGCTTTCATCAAGTCAAATGGCAAAGTGAGCTGCATTTTTTTCTCAGTTTTCAGAAAATCATTTTCTTTACCTTCTTAGGTTTTTCGTGGGGTTTTAGTTTTTTTTTTATCATTATTGAATAACACACGGAATACCAAGTGTATTGAAACATATATATTACCCTTGTATGGCTTCTCCGTACGTTTTCACCTTGAATTTCTTTCGTCTCCCCCACAAACCTTCTAGTGGTGACCTCGTAGTGTCCACTAAAATGGAAGCATACATATGCTGAGTTAAAATATAAACTGTTCAATAGTCGGCCACGGAGTTATACGAACGAAGAACAAACTATTCCGGTTGCTTGAAAACTCTAAGCCATTTAGATTGTTTTGAACGTAAATTCTTCCTCGAGAGAAATAGTTTTTATTCTACAAAATAGACCAGAAAATAGTCAATTCGTAAAACAAAATGGAATATGAAAAATTGATTTTCTGCTGCAATTCTGGCTCCGACATGTCTTTAATAACTTGCTTGATTTTATGTTCTAAAAACTCTGAACTTGAAAACAATCTATGAATAACTATTCTTTTTAGTGCCCAAAATTCGATTTTCTGGTTTTTAAAATATTCCAGGAACGCCGTAACTTTATGGTGATAGTTTCAATATTACCTAATGGAAAGTTTGCTTACGCCCACAGGAGCATCTCACATGCCTACTCAAACTTAGCCAATATCTGAACCTGGAAAGATTTTTTCATGGCAGCTAATTCTAGTTCAAAATTTCTTCAGAGATGAAAAACCTATTGCCCACGTGTGTGTTCATGGTGGGCGAAGTTGGGGTTCATGGGATGGGAGTAGATGACTACTAGGGAAGGAACAATCTTGTGCAGAATCCATTTCACCACTACACAGAAGAAAGAAGGCATCTATTTTACTTGAGCTTTAAATAATATTACGAGACTCGAGTTTTTACATAGTTGCTACAATTTATCTCTGTGATTAACACCTGACGACTTGCATCAGGTGCGGTGCGATCTCCATTACGATGTATAATTTTGGTTCTCCAAGAGTTGGGAATCGATGCTTTGCTGAGCTGTATAATCAGGTAAATAAGTTCATTTCTTTTTCCTTTTTTTGGGGCGGGGAGATAATGTGGTAACCAAGCAAGTGATTTAAATGACATATAAATTAATATTTGCTCAAATAATGAGAAATCAGTCTGATATTTACTTAGTTAATCAGCACGGGGATTCAGATCCTATTAACGACTGTGTTCTTGTCGAACAAGGCAGAAGGTGAGAGACAGCTGGAGGATTGTGAACCATCGAGACATCATCCCCACCGTTCCCCGTCTCATGGGCTACTGCCACGTTGCACAGCCTGTCTATCTCGCAGCTGGAGATCTGAAGAGTGCTCTGGTACGTATGACGCCCCCCGGTTATCTGAAAATCGAGGGTATTGCAGTCGGTTGGTGATGTGATTCGTCGAAGACGCATCGTTTTACAGGTGAATTTGGAGTCCTTACAAGATGAGTACCAGGGCGACGTGATTGGGGAGTCGACTCCCGATGCTCTCGTCAGTGAGTTTGTAAGTGCACGGCCGTCGTCTGGCTTCACCCATCTGTCTGAAGGAGCGAGTGGTGACGCCATTGCTTCCATTCTCTCTCTATATTTGCGCCGGTGCAGATACGAGGGGAGAAGCAGCTCGTCGAGAAGATACTGCAGACGGAGATCAACCTGTTCCGGTCCATCAGAGATGGCACCGCCCTCATGCAGCATATGGAGGACTTCTACTACATAACGCTCTTAGAGGTGTGCTCTTCTCTCCCTCTTCTACTTTCGCCGTTCGTCTGAGATCATTTTCTCCGATAATTTTACTATCAGCTTTGCCGGGTTTAATGGTTTGTGAGTTCCTCGCAGAGTGTGAGGTCGAATTACGCTGCATCAGAGAATCCAAGGTCGAACGAAATGGAATCCTAATCGACACATGGGCGATCGACGGCCGGATCTCGAGGTACGTATGCCCCTTGCTCTCGCCTTCTCGCCTTCTAAATGCCGATCACAAGGTGTCGATGGTGGTCCTTTCTCTGTCTATGGTTGCAGATGATATCACGCATGGAAAGTGGGTGAGAAGGCTCGATCTTTCTGCGTAATCTCCCTGATCTCTGAGAGTGCTATGGGTCCCTGGAGCAGGATCTGCCTGAAATTTCTGTAGAGGTACGATCCATCCATTTTGTTTCTTGTTCACTTCATCTTCCCTGCCCGTCATCTACAGTTCTCATCTCTAAACTTACCACTCTCTCTCTCCCTCTCTCCCCCTCCTCTTGTTCTTCCTTCTACTTCCTCTTGTTCCTCTCTCTCTCGCTCTCTCTCTCTCTACAACCAAGTTCTTCCTTCTTAACCCCTTCTTCTTCCAAATCCACGTCACCGTTCTCCTCGCTCATTCTTTCTCCTCTATTACTGTTCCTATTATCGTTCTTCTTCTCTCTCTCTCTCTCTCTCTCTCTCTCTGGGTGAAAGGTGAATAATCCCCAACTGGGCGTCCACTGACCTGTATTTTTCTTCTTCCTGCGTCAGGCCAGGGGGGGCGATCATCAGATCATGTTCCACCGCATGCCACCTGTAAACTTCGATTTTCCACGTAGTTAGTAAATTACTAATCGACAACAAACACCCTCCAGCCTGCGGAAGCAGGCGGGGGTGGGCTATCTGCACATATATCCTTGTTTGGATCAGATCATTTATATCCACCGCCGTGAGAAATAATTTTTCCCATGGACTCTTATAATATGAAATTTTGTGCAAATATGTACAGACCTGCATATCAAAACTCGTGGAAGATGAGAGGAATCAATGGTAGGCCCAAACCAAGCCCAATATGGGAGAGCTGAGAACATGGGCTTTGATACCAGCCCGATGAAGCCCAGCTGCCCCGCCCTTCATAAGCATGGGAAAATTGTGGACAGCCTGACACGTTGGTGATAATGGGATGCCAACGTGGCAACTAAAACGGGTTCTAGACTTGTACCATATTTTATGAACATTTTTCATAAAATAGTGCATAATAATTCTTTTGACATAAAAAGACAATATTTATTAACTTGTTGCTGTAAAAGGCGTGAATTTATTTCGTGAAAAAGAGGAAAATAATAAAATCGTAGAATTAATAATGTCACTGCATGTGCTACCTTCGCATGCTTTACCCATTAATGATTTTTAATTTATGGGCAATTAATTTGAACAATTTTCAGAAATAAAGACAATATTTACGGTATTTAAATTTGTTGCTCTAAAAGGTTAGAATTTGCTGCTATAAATAAATAAAAAAATGTAGAAAATCAATAACATCATTGCACATGGTGTCTAGTGTTTGATTCGAATTCTCTCTTGTTTTATCTTCACAAATTGTGGGATGCCCTCGCACCGTTTATATCTACAGGCACTTATCCCAACGCTGCATGCCCTTCCACCAAGGGAAGGGACGTCATCTCTCCCCTCTCTCTCTCTCTCTCTTTCCGTGCCTGAGACAGCACAGCGGGAGAGACAGATAAAGGAGTGGGCTGAGATGGGCGGCACCTCCATTGTCAGCCCTTGTTGTAGAACGTTCTCGTTCAGGGACACCCCCCCCTGTGCCTCGAGTCATCATCACCAATCCCGCCTCTCCTTGGTACTCCACTGTCGGCGGCGGAATCTCTGCTGCACTGTCTCGAGGGTCTCTTGCCGGTCGGAGATGTCGTCGCCGGCCCTTCCTGCCCTCCCCGAGAGTCGAGTTGTCGTACGTGCTCTATCCAAAACCCCGTACGGCCACCGATATGTAGAATTCGCGGAATTGACGGTGTGGTCGACGAATGCTGGCAGGTAGGGTGCGGGGGGATTTCCGTGGATTACCTGGCAACGGTAACGGCCTTCCCCCGACCCGATGATAAGATCCGGAGCACGAGTTCGAAGGTAATGATGTTCAAACCGCTAATAAACCCGAACACTGGAGAACCTCCCTCAATCGCATCCTGTACAAGGATTATCTTTGTATCGTCCTCAATGACTCCCACTGGGTATGACCTTGCTGATTTCCTCCCGTGTGAGAAATTAATGTGGTGGTATATCGAAAAATACGAAATATCTGATAGCCGGTAATCATCGACAAGTCTTCGCAACACTTCTGAACAATTCGATTGTACCGAGCTAGTTGAGCACCGTGTACTCTGTGATCGGAAGCCGCATGATTCCCCGTGGCCTTCCTACTTGCTTTCATCATCGCTCCCTTGGCATCTAGTTGATCACCTTCCACTGCTACACCTTCTTGTGGCTGAAGGGGTCCTAAATTGGTATCTTATGACGGCCTAACCCCTGCCCGTTAGTTACTTCTTTTCTTTCTGCAAGCAATTATTCTTGAATAGTCATCTACAAGTTGGGTGACTTTGCATGGATTACAATTTCCTTGCTTAACGTTCACTTCTATCATTTACCCTTCTGGGAAGCACTATGATCGTAAATTCCTTTCGATGTCAAGTTGTGGGCTCATTTTCAATTTTTTTTCTCAATTTCTTTGCTTCTCCATTCACTTTTTATCTTTGGCTTCATTTCAAATGTTTTAAATCACTATATTCGTGGCCATGTGAATCATAAATTTGTAGAGGGGCTTCAATTTGTGGAGCATGTTCATAATGTGTTTTGAGGTCAAGAAAGACTCGTTTTACAGGTTCAGGGTGGCGGGAACGTGGGTAATGCACTAACTGGTGTTGCTCGTTTGGGTCTTAAGCCCAGGCTGATCTCGAAGGTTATTACTTTTCATTTTCATCTTTTTTTTTTCATTCTTACTAAGGATTTCTCTTTCATCTGTCTAGCTTGGATTGTAAATCAGATGTCTCTCAAAATCCTTCACATATTTTTGTTTAGTTGAACCATGTATAGCTAGCTGTGCATTCTGTTCACTTCAAATGTTACCGCCTGTTAATCAACCTTCTCATGTCCGTATATGCATGTTTGGTCCAGATAGCCAATGATGCTCAAGGAACCATTGCACTTTCAGAACTTGAAAATGATGGTGTAGATACTTCTTATATGGTGGTAAGCACACTATGCCATTTCAGCAAAGAATTCCATATTTATTTAAGCCCAACATATTCTTTACGTAAGTCCCTGCTTATGTTTCCATTTTTCTGGCCTAATCTATTACGACTTTACTTATTATGTATAATATTTTGGCGAAGTGACCACCCGCTTGGTCGGAATAAACATTTTTTTCCATGGCATGCTTGCCTTTTTTACGTCCCTGAAATGACATGTGGATTACGACATAATGTTCAAGCTTAAGGGTTTCATGTATTTGTCTCCTGTTTGACAACCCATGCATAGTGTCTCTTGAGAGATCAGAGTTCAATGGTTGGAAGCTTTCTAACATGTGATTACCACGGTGGAAAAGTGGGGAAGTCTCGTAAATTGTACTGGACTAGTGGGAATATGTTATGTGCTTCCTACAGGTTTCACTTGATTATATTTGCGTTGTTATTATTTATCATCGTTAATTGAAAATATATCAAGGAAATTGTATTAAAGTTGTTCAGCAAGGAATTGCCGAGGTTAAGGCAAGGAAGTGGTCAGGACATGCGTGGTTCTGAGGACAATATTGAGGTTAAGTTGTTGCTATGCTTGAACAATCTGAGGGCAAAAAACTGTTATGGTGTCTAACTGTTATGGTCACAAATTATGCATGTCCATATTCTACGGGTACAGTTAGGGATGTTTTAAACTTCTAGGCAGTACATTGGACATCTGCTTTACTATGATGTTAGTTATCAGATAACCACGGCAATTAATTTTCTTCTTCACATCTCTGTTTCACCAAACCATGTGATTGAAACATATTTGCCTCTAACCATGTATTGAAACTAGTCATTTTGCTTTCACCATGGAACCGTTTAAGCCCGCCAAACAATCCTAAAGCCAGACAGATTTGGTGACCAGTTTTGTATGATCTTTGGGCAGATATTTTTTTAGTTATTCTCGTGATGAAATATAAGGCATGTTCCTCAAAACTGGACTAATTTAGGCGTGCCAATACCCTTGTGATCTAAATTTTGGTCAGGAATGATCAATTAATCATGAAATCAATATCGATGGTAGCTCAAGGAGTCTGACAATAACTCAAGCGGATAAAACTGGGACACGGTCCTGAAAACATCCTGAGCTGATTGATCAATTATGTCTGGGGCAGTTCCATGCTGATTTTGTCTCGGTTTTTCGAGGAATCCCTGACGTGTCTTTTGAATCTGGACAGGTTTTATCCCACCACAACCCAGTACTGCGGTCAAGTACTTAGCAGAGTAGAATCCACGCTTATAAAGTAGCATGTGTCAAACTCCATCACCAATCTCCCCTCTCAACTTTCAATGAAGAAACCATAATGTTTCCATCTAAGTCTCCTTTGTTTCTATCAAAGTGCGCAAGAAATGCTCTCTATATCACCCATCTGTAACTACAGATGGAAAAACTGCAAAGGGTCTATCTCCCCTGTTTCCTATTGTATGTACAGGAAAGAAAATCTCCCCAAAAGGAAACTTTTTTTTTTATGGTTTTCTTCATATGCACTAACGATCAGTCTTTTCTTCGAATTTATTATTTTCGTTCTGTGGATTTTCTTCTCACTTTTGCTCTTATGTTCCAGGTTTCACCGGAGGGAAATTCACCATTTACTTATATAATTGTTGATAGCCAAACGTAAGAATCTTCTCTTAACTGCATCTCCTATCTCACATTACTAGAACTAATATCCCATATTTATTTCCCACTGTTATTCATCTTTACACTAAGTTTTTTTTATCAGACATGATATCCATGTTGCTTTCGCAATCTTTGATTAACTCAATTTCTTGGAAGCTTCGTGTGAACCTCGTGGTTCTACCTTTATGCTTAATTTTTTTCATGTTTTCGTTGTGTTGTTGAATGATTAGGTTTTTATTACTTTTTTAGCCTAGAAATTCAGGTGTGCCGCGTATGATGTAGAATCTGAAATCCTGATGATTTCTGCTTGAAGAACTTCATAAACAGAAGTTTTCATAATCTCATCCACTGGAAGTTATACGTTAGATATGAAGAATTTGAAAGAACACCGCAAAGGGTTGGTAAGAATTATGTGTACAAGTTTCCCACGCGCAGGCTTAATTGCCTATTCGTCCTATCTTCAGGATATCAGATCACCAAACAAAGGGATTGCAGTAAAGATTGGTACACCCCTGCTTTATACGACCAGCTTTATCCCTAGATAAATGGTTAAAACAAGGGAGAGCGATCAACTTAAACCTGCAGATCCCCAAGCTTGAGGATCCGGCCAGATGGTATCAGATCTAAGGACTCTACTCAAAACGTTAGATTGTATCTTGTTGAAGGGCAGTTATCAATGCTCTTCCAAATCTCAAAAAGGATGATGTAAGATTACTTGGAATCCAGGGTTCCATATACAATACTGAAGCTGCTGCAAACAATCGAACAAGACTCTGCAAATGTATAAATGACATTTTCTGCTTGCATAGAGAGGAGATATTAGAATAAATCATGATTTTACCAAGTGATGCCCTGTAGAAGCCGCATGGATATACAAGCAACAATGCACTTGGCATTCAATGTTGTTGAAATTCTGCGTAGTTGTTCTCCAGAATTACTTTAGTCTCTGCCTTCACATGATGGAGAAATTTTTTCTTGTATAATATTCCATTTTCGTAATAGAAAGGAAAATTAGGTTGAAATTCATGGTCCATTCCTTACTAGTTATATGTCAATAGAGGAGGGGGTAGTACTACATATGAACTACCATGGGCCTACCGGGTCCATATTCCAAATGATTATCTGAGACCTACATGACACAATGTTGGCCTATTGGGTTCTACACTCTATCGGACGCTAACATGCATCATAGTGTTTTCTTATCTTTTATCTTCATGGAATCATCATGTAGCTGTATGTTTTCCACTCGGTCACAATGCATTTCTCTTCTAGTAGTTGACGGCATGAATATTAGATAAAAAATTGAAGAAAGAAACACAGCCATCATATTTATCACATGCATTGTGAATCTCATTATTCTGGAACTTTCACCATTCAAGTTTCTACTGAGATTTGATTACAGGATTTCCCTATTGGTAAACTTAATCCTTGTGATCATTGATGAGAAAAGACAGTCGTCTTGTGAAAGTATTTTACATTGTTTCTGTCAATGTAATTTCAAGCATAAAAGTTGATCGATTGAGTTTTTGGTTATTATATGCAGGAAAACTCGTACATGTATTCATACGCCGGGTTACCCTGAGATGCGGCCTAGTGACCTTCCCCAATCGAAATTATTATCCGCCTTGAACGAAGCAAGGCTCGTGTATTTTGATTGTAGACTGCACGAAACAGCTCTAGTCGTCGCTCAAGAGGTGATTGTCTTCAATTTTCTTCTAATAATGCCATGATGATGCATTCCATTTCAGCAGCTTCTATCAGTCTGGCCAATATTAGTTGGAACATTGGAGATGGGAGGAAATATTGAAAAAACGATGAGATAAGAAAAAGGTTGAAAACCTCTCCCCTCCCCTTCCCAGTGGAAGCACCCATTCTAGAATCGAACTCAGATTTTTCATCTCTTGGTTATATTCAGTTTATCTCCCTGGTTTCAAGAAAGTGTAGTCCTAATCATAAAATCCTGTCTCTTATTTCTCATCTGGATCAATTGATCTTTTAGGAAAATTATTGAGGATTTGTAGGTAAAATATCAAATATTATGCGAGGACATGACGGAATTTTCAAGATTCTTGATACCGACAGGCTTCATGATTTGAAACCTTGCCTGGTGTTCTAGAGCCATTCACTGCTCACCACGAATCTAGTGATCCTACTCTCGACCAGTTAAGATGTGATTAATCCTTGGCCTCTTCAGAATATTAATCATCATCTGTACAGTAGCCAACAGAACATCATGTCAATTATTTGATCATCTCTGTGAGAGTTGCCTCTCAGTTCACCTCAACGCAATCTCAGATGGCTCCCATCGACGTAAAAAGATGTTTAATGAGTAATCGAAGAACCTGATCTGTTAAAGGAAATAATACAATGCTTAAAATTATTTTATGGTTACTTGAATCGTGTATTGTATCTCAGCTGGCACATTTGAAAAAAATATAAAAAAATAAATATTTTTTTCAAATATTATATGGAATAGACAATGATCGTTGTTAATCGAAATCTCCTTCACTTAAATACGCGACACTGTTAATGCGATGACGGTGCAATCCTAATTATGAGAACCTTTGATTTAATTTTTATTCTTTTTCCTAACTTATATAAAGAAGTCTTCTCCAAGTTTCTATCACGACAGAGTTACATCATCGGTCCTCTAACCGGGTCTTCATCCCCAAATGTTTTGCCGTAAAACTTAGTACACTGAGTTAATGCTCATATTGCAACTCATTTACAAGTGCATTGATTTGCCTGCAGTTCTTAACCAGAATTTCAAAATTATTCAGTGCAGGCAGCGAGAATGAACATTCCTATCCTAATCGATGCTGAGAGAAGGAGAGAAGGCCTAGATGATCTCTTAAAGTTGGCAAGCTATGTCGTCTGCTCAGAGAAATTCCCCCAGGCAAGCAGACAACTATTAGAATGATAGCCTTGTGACCAATTAATCTCCTCTTCATCAGGAGGTCCTCAATAGGGTCTAGGGTTACTTCTCCTTGCAATCTTGTGATTTTCAGGAGTGGACTGCAGCACCTTCGATCCCCAGTGCACTCATGTCAATGCTTCTTAAATTGCCCAGCGCGAAGTTTGTGATTGTGACCTTGGGAGAGAGAGGCTGCATCATGCTGGAGAGGGGCACTGAAGGTGAGCCTAGGCCGACCTTCTGTTAACTTTTTTTTTTATTTTAATTTAGTTTAATGATATTTTCTCGGGCCATTCTGATATCCACGTGATCCATTTACCTGTGGATCTTCTCTTCAGGGGCACCAGACTCGGGGGAAATGGATGTGGACAGCCTGCTGGCCTCACTGAAGGAGAAGGCTGAGGCGGATAATCCCATGCCGACCTGCATTTCCTCTGAGGTTAGTCGATAGAGAAAAATCTCTTCTGGGTCTCAAATCATCTGACAGTTGCTGGTTATATACGATTTGACCGACCTTTTATGCCCATATAGAGCAAGATCATATATATTCGAACGATTTTCCAATGCATTATTTTAATTCGATTTTTCTTTCATTGCTGTTAATATCATCGGTGGAAGTGCAGATCAGAAACAGTCCAATTTCATCAAATATTAAAGCAAGAAAAATAAAAATAAAAAATCACATCCTCTTAAATCGATTTGCATTTATTCTCTGTTGATGCCATAAATAGAAATGTTGCCTAAATCAGATTGGAGACGGTCCACTCTCATCATAAAGATACAGCTGCACCCAGTAGTTGACATTGATTTTCATTTATTGCTGTTAATATTATGAATAGATATCCGGTCTAGATTAGATCCGAACACGGCCCAGTTTTCATCCACGTATTCATATTTTCTATGAATCCCATTAAGGTTTCATTGTAATTTTGCAAATTAATCTGTAAAGTGACTTTTTGGGTGAGGAGTGAAACCCAGCTCCTCCTCTTCTTCAGCATTTTTTATCTCCTAATTGCAGCGAAGTATGAGATTGAGATCAGACGGTGTGGGCTCCATCTGCGGGCGGCTGATCCTCGGAACAGCGGAAAAAATAACGCCTGCAGAGCTGGTTGACTCCACCGGAGCTGGAGATGCATTCATCGCGGCGGTGCTATACAGTGAGCTGACCGACCCTTCTCTCCCTATTTATTTCCTTATTTATTTAGTTCATTAATCACATTTTCCCAGCTTAATTATACTTTTTAACCGCCAGTTAAGAGAAAATAAGTACCTTAATCGGCATCAACCTCGAAGCACAGAACATCTAAACTTAATAAAATTTCCTAATTTCTATATCTGTGACCCTTTTCCCCCCTATTTTCATCGTATTTGGGGATTAGGGTTTGGTTACTGACGCCCATTGTGGGCCTGTAATCAGGTTTGTGTGCGGAGATGCCACCGGAGAAGATGCTCCCCCTTGCGGCCCGAGTGGTATTCCCACCCTACGCCTCCCCTCCATTTCCAATCCCTAGCCCAATGTCCCCCCTCTGACGGCTCGCTCTTGGCTGCAGGCTGCGGCCGGATGCCGAGCCCTGGGCGCCCGCACCGGCTTGCCCGTCCGCACCGACCCCCGGCTGGCTCAGTTCTTACTGTGAGCCTGGTCTATTGGTCGGACCCACCACCTTCGCATAATAATTATATAAATTCCTGGATAATTTCTGACCCTTGATCTTTCATCATCTTGATGGAAAGGGTTCCATCTCCCTCTCTCTCTCTCTCTCTCTCTCTCTCGCTCTCTCTCTCTACCAAAAATTCAGGGAAAGTTGAAGCTAAAAGTCGATATTACCCTTCATCTTGTGGATTGAAGGGGCCTGAACTGAACACTGGTGGAGGCTATTTCCGTTAGTTTCTAGGTGAGGAAAGTGAATACTACCGTTTTCTCCTCTATCATGACTGGCATTGGTCCACGTGTAATTAAAAAAATTGAGATCTACATGGGCCGCAGGTTACACTTGTCAAAGTGGGCCGCTCAAAACCGCAAAGAATTGGGCGGGAAGCGATGATGGCGTCATATCGCGTCATCAGCACCAGCGGTAGGACTATATAATGCTGAGGCAGCCTGAAGGTGTCTCCAGCGAGGAGTCAGTTGCGGAAGGGGAGGAGAGAATGAAGCCGTCGCCGCTGTACAACCTGTATCTGCAGGAGCTGATAGAGGATGATAGCACCTTGCTCCCCGTGGGGATGGATGTGGACGACGAGATCTTCAGCGAGCTCGACCGCCAGCCCGTCGACGCTGACTTCTTCAACTCCTTCGAGGACGACTTCGATGATTCTGACTTCTGGTAGATGCCTCCGGAACTCGCTGGACGATATTCGCGGCGTTTCATTCCTTTCCTTTCCTTCCCTTTCCTTCCAGGAGACGACGAATGGTGGCGCCTGATTCATTGTCGTCGTTAGGTAGGGTTTCTTGGGGGGAGGGAATCCCCCTGGTTTTGGTTTTCCCTTATTCGTGGCGGAGGCGCTGTCGTCTCATTTTGGGGCTTACACGGAGTGAGAAATCTCTTGCTATTTTATCTGATTTTGGGGTACTGATTTCTGGTATAACCTGATGCACAATGGCGCCTAAGTATTTCTTCGAGTCGTCCTCGGCTTGTCTCTTCTGTGCGGCTTTAGCGGGCCGAAGTCCCCGGGAGTCTGTGGCGACGTCGCCATTTGTACGTGCCATTGTATCTTGCTCATATACTCTACTCCATTCTGTTCGTTGACCGCGCTTGCAAGTGCGTCTGTATCCCTTTTTCAGTCGTAGCAATCTGGTGTGGCATGTCTGGGAGAGATGGCCCTCAGATTTCATAAGAGAAGAGTCACTACCAGAGGGTCTAAGTTTATTTCTGTCAAATTCCTCGTCCTTTCCCAATATCCCAGTTTCGATGTTCTGCAGGAGGACATCGAATAGGAATTGGAATGCATGTAAATGCATTGTCTATGTTGTCGATCGTATTCCATATCTACGCCTTGGATTCTTACCTTAACCCCCTTTCGTTTTTCGTGCCATTTGTAACTGTTCTAATTCAACTTTCCACCAACGAACCCTCAATCTTCTGCCATGTTCACCGTTGGGCATTCTTCCTCCGTTGTTTCTAGGATTAGTTTTCTTATCAGATTTCTCGGGTCCTTGCCCGATGAGGATACTGTGAGGTTCTTCAGCCTCCACAAGGATCCAACATTGGTTTCTGTTGCTCGAGTGTGGGTGGCACAACAAGTGGGAATGATCTCCCTGATTGGTTTTCCTCTTCTCAGATGAATTCCCGTGGTCAGCTTGATCAGTCATGATCCTCTCTTTTTTCATTTGTCTCAGCAAATGACCACCTTCATAGAAACTGTTCTTCGAATCATCTTCTGATGTTGACCTCTGGCATCGATTAATGGCTCATCCACATTCCTTAATTAGGACTATGGAGAGGGGCCTGACCTCTGCCTTCTCGCATTCTCGAGCTGATTCAGAGAACAGTCCATGTCTGGACCCTTACAGTCGGCTTCTACGGCTCTCTAATGTGGAGCTCATCAATCATCGCGACTAAATTGGTCAACTCTCCGTAGTCAGAGTCATTCCATCTCCCTTCCACAGGATCTGCTCTCACCCACCCAAATATCCTCATTTAAAACCTCCCCATCAATCATCCCAGCTGGAATGGGAGGGGAGCTGGTGAAAAGACTGTCCTCTTTCCTTGTTTCAGGCATGGGCTGCATGGGGGGGTGCCAATGGGCCGGGCCCACGGGCCCATTGTCCTTTTTCCTGGGTTGGGCTTTAAATCAGGCTCCTGTGAGTTTATATGGGCCGGGCCGCGCCCAGGCCCGGTCAGCCTTTTGGTGTCGTGTTGCTGCTGAACGTCGTTGTGGCCCGCCACGTCCCCCGCGGGCCCTCTCTCTGGCCCGAAACTGTCGTTTTCCTCCCCCACACGTGCGGAAAAATGAAGCCGCAGTCTTCCCCACCCCGTTCCACATGCGGACGGGACCCGCCGATGACGGCGGAAACAGCGGGTCCGCACCTGGTCAACGGTCAAGGTTTTGTCGGCACGTGCGACGTGTCGACACATGGCGAGTTCCCACAAGATGCCTCATGGCTACATATGTAAAATCCTCTAAAATATTGGTAGTTGTTTTATAATATATATACAAATATTTCGTCTACTGTTAGATGATTCGGGTGAGTTGGCCCCTATTTCTCAAAAAATAACCTCTCTCTCTCTCTAGTAATATTGCACGTGATGCATACTTGTCGGAAAAAGGCGTTAGTGGGATGTGGAGAGTTATCGCAGTAACCGATTGGGATGGTACATGGTGCATGGATGGATGGGCAGGGGGGATGGGAAGAAGGCCCCCCTGTGTCCGGCCGGGAGTGCTTTTGGTACATAGCGACATGTTGGGGAGACCGTACGCATGCCGGCAAACGGCAATGAGTCTTGGACCGGGAGAGAGAGAGAGAGAGATGGCGCAGTGAAAAGATTCGGATCCCCTGGTTTTATGCCCAGTCCGCGCCGTCATGCGGCTGTCGTGTGTATACTTACCTGCAGAAGCGATCAGAGAAGTCCCACGACAAACATGACAGACAACTTTGACTGATCTCTCTCTCTCTCTCTCTCTCTCTCTCTCTCTACACAACCAACCAACCTCTTCTTATCTTGTTGTTCTTCCAATGACTTTCTCCTGTTGTTTTATACTCTCCCCCCCGTAAACCCACGTTACTGCTCTCTCTCCATTGCTTCGTCCCCGTTCTTCTTCTTCTTCTTCTTCTTCTTCTTCTTCCTCTTCTTCTCCTGTCTCTGTGTCTCTCTCCGTGCAATTGTGAGCGAGTTCTTTGCCCATGGCCTCGCAGCCCGACCCAGAGACGGGGGGAGCAGCGTCCCCTTCCAACAGTCTTGGCATCGTCGTCGAGAGGAACCCACCTGAGAGTCGCCTCTTGGAATTGGGCGTCAGGTCGTGGCCCAAGTAAGTTCTCTCTCTCTTTCTCTCTCCCCCTCTCCCCCTCTCTCCCTCTCTCCCTCTCTCCCTCTCTCTCTCTCTCTCTCTCTCTCTCTCGCTGTCTTCTGAGATAAAGCACGGTTCCATTACCCTTCTAAGAGCTCTCCATCCCTCTTCCTTCTCTCCGCTGCCTTGTTGCAGGTGGGGTTGTCCGCCAGGGAGCTTCCCCCTCAAGTTCGAAGCGGAGGAGACGTGCTACCTCCTCCGGGGGAAGGTGAAGGCCTTCACCAAAGGCTCCTCCGACTTCGTGGAATTCGGCGCCGGCGATCTCGTCGTCATCCCCAAGGGCCTCAGTTGCACCTGGGAAGTCTCCGTCGCCGTCGACAAGCACTACAAGTTTGATTCTTCGGACAGATAACCCCGCTTTTCTCTCTCTCACCCCTTCCACACGCCTGTTGATCACCATTACTTTTTTTAAAACTGGGATGGGTATTCTGAGGCGGATCAGCCGTATTAATTTCCAGTCAAACACGAAGGCAGCAACAGTCAAGGGCGATCCCCAGTCAAATTAATCTTATTTGTTCATTTCCCAGGGCCATGAATGCTGCCCTTGTCTCTGCGTGCCGGGAGAGAGAGAACCAGGCCTTGGCCTCCATGCCCGGGGTGGGGACTCCCGTTCCGGAACATGAATCTAATAATGACCTCTGTTCTACCTCCCGTAGTCTCTTTATTCCTTCAGCCCGTTCCCAGGAGAGAGAGAGAGGATTCGGATTTCACCCCCCGGTTTAGGGTTTCCCCCCATCCGAGCTCGGGGCGGTAAACGTGAGCGTCACGCTCACGTCAACCCGGGGGGGAGCTTCTTCTCCGTGATCGATTGCCGGTCCATGGCAGCCTTCTGTGACGTTTCCATCTGACCACGGGCGGTCTCTGAACCTCCTGACGTCCGCCACAGGAAGATTGCCCCTCCGCCTCGCTGTCATCGCCTCCACCACCGGATGTTCCCATTCCCGTCCGGAATGTAGAGAGAGAGAGGACGGTGACTTGCCCAGTAGATATTATTATCTACTGCGCTCGAAGCGTGTGGCCCGGGTGATTTTCGTTGAATGTAGTAGATTCTCGTGAATCGAGAGGGACACGGCCTTCTAATCCCCAGGGTTCATACGTTGGAGAAGTGTCTTTAATAGTTTCACAAGGATCTTCCCTAGTACTTACTTTGCGCCTAGAGAGAGAGGCACATAGACACAGAGACAGAGACAGACAGTTTTCAGAGTTTTTCTAATTTGCCTTCCTCTGTTTCGTGAAGCCATGAGCAATTACCATTTCCGTACTCAGAGTCGGTACTTAAGGAAATTATGCATATACATGCACATAAATATATATATATATATAGAGAGAGAGGTGATTAAAAAAACTATAGAATTTTCCACGTCGGCTTAATTTATTGCAAGAAAGGGCCCCAGTCCGTGACCATTTTCGTATGCTTGTGTTAGACAGAGAGAGAGAGAGAGAGAGAGAGAGAGAGATTGTCGTAGATGGGGACTGAGCCTCGTCTGTTCGTATGAGTAGGGTCTTGAATGATTCCCATGTCGGTCAAGGCACCGCCTGGCCCATCAGCTCCAGTCGCAAGCTCACATTGAAGACTCCCAGGAGCTATTATCACAACGGCGTCGCAATCACGTCGCAGCTTTTGATTGCATCCGAGGGTCACAACACCTCCCCCCCCCCCCCTCTTTCCCTTCCCCTTTTAGAAATCGCTGGAGCTTTATAGCCTGGTGGGCTCCACAATGATCGTGTCCATCACAGCGAAATAAAAATAAAAAACAAAAGATCTCACACATTACTGTTGATCGAGAAATCAATCAGTCTGATTTATTTCGTACCCTTCGCCTTCGCTCGATGAGGAAATGGGTCGAATTCTACGGGACGACTATAATCTTCAGGCGATTGTGTCGTTCTGAGAACAGGTAGAACATCATGTAATCACAAGCAGCATGATGTAATAATGATCATCAATCACATAATAAGATCAAGTTAGAGAAATGACGACACCTCCTGTTTTTCTTTCGAGTTCATCGAGTTATTTCCTGATCGATCATCATGTAATCATAAGCATCATCATGTAATAATGATCGTCAATCACAAGTTAGAAAAATGGCGACACCTTTCGTTTTCTTCCGAGTTCATCGAGTTATTTCTGATCTCAATATAAAAGGGTACATAATGCTGCAGAAACTAATGGTTTCCATATAATGATTAAAGATGTTGTGGCAATGGATCGAGAAAATCGGTTAAATCTTTAAGTAATCTCAGGATCTAACCAAAGTTATTTATAATTTAAAGAGATCGGAAAAATGCAAGTAATTCAGCACCAGCAAGTGAAGGGGACTCATTCATTCATTCATTCATTCATTCATCCACCCATCTTTACAGACTGAACCAGCAGTCAGAAGAGGGAATATCAGTTAAAATGGAATTAAAAATAATAAAAAAGGAAAAGAAAAGGGAGGGATTGAAATTATATCTGCTGATTTCGGGTATTGAATGGCGCCATCTTGGTGAAGAAAGGAAGGGGGGGGCAAATCACTGATCGAAGCTGCTCACCTGGAGAACAGCCTTGTACTGTTCAAGTTGCACAGGGAAGGATCCTTCAGACAGCGGCAAATCCCATCCCCATCCGATGGGAAGGACGCTGGCAGCGGATGGTCTGGAATCACGCCCACCTTCACGTAACCACAGGCACAGAGAGAGAGAGAGAGAATGGGTAAATAGTCAGTGATAGTGCAGTCCTCAAAAGCTTGTAGAGATGGGCAGAGGCTTGGGTTTTGGTGGATTTTTTCCCCAGATATGGATCTCAGAATAAAGTCCAAAAAATGACAATGCACTGGATTATTTTTCTATATCTAGGTCGCCAAAATCAACTCCAAAACCGAAAATAACAAAGGAAAAGCTTGAAAACACACAAAGGCCAAAAGGTGTCGGCACGTTTTTTTTTTTCTCTCTCTATTTAGGTCTCAAAAAATCCAAAAAAATAAAAACATACAGTGGGTCATGTCAAAAGCATAAAAATAGTCAAAGGCTGGGGAGTGCTATAATTGTGATACTTTAATTTTCAGATGCTGGCGGTTCAATTTTTCTCCATATTTTCGTATCCAAAATTAAAAATACACTGGGTATTGTGAAAATCTTAGAAATAGACAGAGGCCCAGGGATGTTGGCCAGATTATTTTTTTTCCTAGATTTAGACCCCAGAATCTCAAGTCCAAAATAAAAATGCTCCGGGTTTTTTGAATCATGATTTCCTAATAAAATCGGTTCATGATGTTATATTATAGCACGAGTTCCTCTCATCAGCTGTGGCCAGTCGGGGGGTTTTTATGATCGAGGGTTAGGATTTAACCTTGTCAATGTCGGTGTGAGCGGGTGTCTGGTAGCGGGCCACTGTAACAGCTAGCCCAGAGCCATCTGAGAGCTCGAAAACTGACTGGATCTTCCTGCAGTGATATGCAGAAATGGTCGCTTTCTGAGATGATGGGTGGTGAAATCTGGAGATTTCGAGAAGAGAATCGGGCTCTCCGGGATCGTTTACCCTTTTCCAAATGTGGGCTCCCCAAATATCATCGCCCTCTTGTTGTCCTTCAGAGCTCCTGCCAGGATCTCACTTGCACTCGCAGTTCCTTTATTTACCTGAGACCCAGAGAAAGGCCAGAATCAGATTACTGGGCTAATATTGCATCTTTTAAAAAATATAATACGGGAAGATCGATGTGGACGGATTAATCATCGCGCATACTAAATTACTGCGTGAAGTTTTCAATAATAAAAAAAAGAGTCAAATTTATATCTGTGAATTAACAAGTATTGATATTATCGGAGGAAAGGACAGAGCTTGAGGCATCAACGATCTCCTTAAAATAGAAACCGCGAGACCTTATAATATCAAAGTTCTCCGAAATTTAGAGAATTAAAACTAAGAATATACCAAAACAGCCAGTGGTTCTGATGCTGCAATCGCATCACTTCCATCCGTCTCATATATATCACGAACACCACGACTATCACAAATATACACGATCACACCCTTCTGCAACCTGAAATAGCATACCTCCAAATGGTTGTTAGAACAAACAAAGGTCATGTGCAAAAAAAGAATTCGCGGTCTATACACAGATTCAACGCTGCAGGCCTTACTAATTAATTTTTCTGTTAATACACAGATTCCACGCTGCAATTCTTACGAATTCAATGTTCTGTTAATACACGCAATGCCGTTCATCTTTTTTTTTTTGGAGGAAAATATTTTGGGCCACTGAGTGTGGCGGTAATCTTCCCAGACTTTACACAAGACTTCAAAAGCCATTTAAAGGGATAGAAACTTTTCAATTTCATCAATAAATTTAAATATTTATGTCCAGAAAATTTTTGAGATGCTACAAATTGATAGAATATTCATGTCACCGAAATTAAGAAAAAAATGAGACAATACAATATTTCAAGGAGACCAGAAGCATACCAGATCTTGGCAATCTCAATTCCTTCCGGGAAAAGACCACCACTGTACCAGAGACCAGTGCATCAAATCATGTCTGTCGGTCAAGGATGAAAGTCTCTTCTCATAAGTGATGAACATAGTACCTGTTATCCCGAAGGTCCAAAACAAAAGCTTTAACATTATCGCCTCTTAGTCTTTCTATAGCTTCCTTCACCGCACCTGGAAGAATAGAAATAGGGGCGATCATATGTCAGCAGAAAAAGTAATATCAGAACTTATGAAAAGTTATGCGTGTAACTGACTAGTCTAAACAGTCTTTTTCCTTACCGTAGATGCAACAAATAAAAAGAGCAAACAACTCAGTGACATATCAAATAAGAAATTTTGATGTTGATTTAAAAGCTGCAGATTAGTATGAGAAAAATTGATTATGTAAATATAGAAGTCCATTTATTTATTTAATAACTCATTTATACTGGAAAATTTAAAATAAAAAACTTTTAAAAAAGGAGCTCTTCTAAAGCATTCCATAAAATCTATCGACAATATATTTACCACATTGTGAACTTCCTATTAAATATACTTGCATAGAAGGGGAAAGAAAAATATATACTGAATTATTCATAGATCGGCCCTCAAAAGAGGAGAAAGCTGCATTTACTAACTTGATTCTACAGGCATCCATAACAACGCTAACCCGAACTAGTATTTGTACAATTTGCTGAATCTGTGATGATTAACTAGGTAAAAAGCGCATATGAACATAGAACAGAGTCATTTCGTCAACAACACGCTTTTCTGTACCATAAAAAGGGATAATAGCAAGAATCATGGTTACCTGAAGCATTTTGGTTGAAGGTCGTCAACCTAATATATCCAATTCTGGAATCATTTTTCCCAGTGCCAGCAACATCACAGAGTATAGACTTCACAGGGTTTAAGGTAACTTTTGCCCTCCTACACAAGAGACTCAAGTTGAAGAATGTCCAGAGTTTTGTATGCTATGCCATATTTATGATAATCAAGGAACACATCAGAAGCCATACGTTAAAGCAATGTGCTTAATTTCAGAACCACTCCGAATGTCCAATTCCACCGAGCTTCCTTCAGGCCCTCTGAGAAACATTAGGATTTGGAAGTACCACATGAGAGGCTTTGGAGATAAATTGCAAACTCGTTGACGAATAATAAACAAAAAGAATGGGTTGCAGACAGCAGAAAGAAAAGAAAAACAGTGCAGCCATGCACAAAAGGGAAAACTATATAATAATGGATAAATCGTAGAAAACTTCTATAAACATGCAGAAGATAGTACGGTAGTTTTTTCCTTTATTCTTATTTCATCATCTTTGTTCTCAATGAGCATGAAGCACATGAAAGGTCTTCTCATCTTTGTTCTCATATTTAGGTACGGCAACTGGCGAAAATCTTTTTGCATTGCCCGGCTCAAGGCATTGAGGAGCCACCTCATCTCTGAGGCAAACCTCACAAAATTTTCAAATATTTTATTCCGTAATTTTGAGGAATATTTCACAAAATAGGTCCTATTCATGGCCTTCAGAACACCTTCAAGTGTTCCCTATATAACCAATCCTGTGACTCCCAGAATTGCTATGTTAGATGATAAGAAAAGGAAAGAGAGCGGAATACAATCGGGAGAAAAATAGCACTGTTCACTTATGTGCGCCAGGAGAGGAAATCTCGGAAGGTCTAGGTTGGTACCACTCTCCTTGGAAAATTTCCTTGAGCACAGATATTCATATCTTGACCAACCTCCTACTTTCTATTTTGCATTCAGCCAGGGCCTATTGTTGTACACAATCAGAATTCATATCGAAATGGCATCATTTAGGACCACGAAGCCAAAAATAACCACCAACGTAGATATCATTACGATGAACCCCTTGAAGGCATCCAGTTCTTCACATAAATAACACAGCGGACCATCAAGATTCTTCTTCTTAAAAAGTTGACTGTGATGGCTTTCTTGTCTATATAGTTAGACAATTAATTGTCATAAGAAGTGCAAATAAATTACTGAAAAAATGGATACTTACTGCAATCGCTCTGCAGCATCATAAATATCCATGTCCTCTGTACTTTTATTGTTAATCGTCAGAAGAACATCTCCAGGAAGAATTCCAGCCTTACTCGCAGGTCCCCCTGGAGATGCTGATATGACCACAAGACCTGAACCGTCAAGTCTTGTAGGGTACCCAATCGACAACCCAACACCGGTGAGAGCACCTTGAGTGCCAGACTGCCTTCAAATAAAGGTGAAAGTTTTTAGTTGAAAGATCTAAAAAAATTGCCACTAGGATAGATTCATGCGCATGCTGAGGTTTCTCAACTACGTGCCTAACCCCAAAGCCTAAAGGGGGAAAAAGAATGCGGAGTCAGAATGTTTACCCGCAAACTCCTGAATTTTTCAGGTTCTAGAAAGCGAGTAAAAGGATCATCAAGTGTCGAAAGCATCTTCTTGATCGCCATATCTAGACACGATTTATATACAAGATTTTAGAAATAGACTTGAGTGAATGCTTACGAGAAAATCTAAGAGAGTCATATCTAGGTATTTTATGGGGGCGGAAAAAAGAACAGGTGCACAGATATAAGAGAAAAAAATTGGGAAGCAGTAGATGTCGTGGCTTTCTAATAGAATGCATCCCGCAGGTAAAAGGACTGCTTTACACATACAAGGCAAGCACACGAAAAGAGAGAAGATAAAATTACAATTATCTAACCATTAGCCATTTTTAGATAGACGAGCAAGTCAAAAATGCATAGGAAATCCTATGGCAGTCTCACAGGAGATTTTTCCTCCATGCTTCACACAGCAGAGAAATATCTTCATAAGCATGTTTCACTCCGATCAAAATGTCAAATTGCTAAAGCATCATGGTTTTGCACGCGAACATCAAAACCATATAAATATAAAACACATGACGTCATATTCATATGGTCATACACCAGAAGTGTGATAGACTGAAAATGAAACATCAACAAACTATTTCAAATAATGACAGATATAATCTCGGGCAATTCATAGTTATAAAGTCAAAGCCCATACATGTCTCCTCTCGTGTATTCATTGGTTCATTGCGTAGTGCTTCCTCACGATACCTAAACCAACTTTGCCCGTTAAAGCTTTTGTCAAAATATGCACGATCAACTGTTCTCCATGCCTCCAAGAAAAGGAGATTTTCTTCATTAAGTGCCCCTAAATTTAGCGTCAGATACAAATTAGGGTTATCATAAGCCATTATAGTAAATAGTTAGAAATCACAGTTCATATAGTAAACCAAATCCCAAAGTCCAGACAAAAAAATCCATCAAGGAATATACGTACATGTTGGTGACTTGTTGATGCTAACCGAAACTGACAGTATGAGCATCACACCCACGGCTAGACGAAAGAAAAAGATCGAGAAAGAGTGCCAGAATTTCTCTTTCCAATATTTTATCTTGTGTAGGACGACTAAAGATCGCAAAGATTTCAAACTTCCGTGATGATTAAGCACCAACAGATAATGAGAGGATAAGCTGTGAAATGCCTGAACAGGACGGAAAATAAGACCGCATGCTGATTCCTTCTTGTCAATTTTCAAATTGTTGCGACGTCTTGGCCCTCCACTGGAGTTCGTCAGATTACATGAACACATCCCACCATAATAAACCGTGACTCTCGAATCGCCCGGACACTTCCATTGCAGAAACTGTTGAATAACACGTCCAGTTGAGAGATTAAACCAGTAGGCAGAACTTGCTTTCAGAAGTGCATCAATTCATACATAAAAAAATCTTCACTAATCAACCATAAATAAAAATAATCGCATTTATAAGGCAACTAAAATTTAATTCAAACACAGAAGCATTAGAAGAAATTCGAATCTATTGATATAAAAGAGCTTATCTCACAGACTTAACAACAAATACCGTCATCAACTCTATCTCACACAACTAACTCCTTTCGACGGCAGTTCCATGCTTGAAGTATTCTTTATAAATCTTAATCACCCATATTTCAGGTGAAAGGAAATTTGGAAATAAAGCCAACGAGGGCCAGGCACACTTTCGTCCAGACGGACACAAAAAGCAAACTCGGAAATGTAGGCCAGAAAGACGCTCTTTAATCGATCCACCATCGTGAAGCCCAACCAAGAGAACAACATAGATGACACCAAGCACAGGCACCGCATAAATCTGGAGACGGAGAAGCTAACCTGGGGACCTCGCACGGTAAACTTCCGGCGGGGAAACGCCAATTTCGGGAGTCCGGCGCTGCCGGAGCCGGACACGAGAATGGGGCGTGAAGCAGAGATGGTCGCGGCTTCCATGGCCGAAGACCACGAACGGGAGATCCCTGGAGGCAGCACGGCCCACCCCATCCCTCCCCCAACCTTACCTTATCACCTCCCCCTTCTCCCCTCACCTCGAGCGAGCACCAACAGAAACCCGTCGGCTGTCATCACGGTCAGGCCCCTAATGGGCCTTTAATGGGCCAATTGCATATTAAACGGTTTCCCTTTCTAGTTACGGCCCATTTTACCTAGCCCATCTTTTTTTCTCTCTCTCTCGCTCTCTCATCTCTCACATCTCTCACATACACACGCACTTTCCGAAGATATCGTCACCAAGCCAGAAATAAGACAGAAGGGGACTTCATTTCAGAAGATTCTCATATGCACGCTGCAGAGATAGAGAGAGAGAGAGAGAGAGAATTTAGGGGGAAGAAGACCCAGGTGAATCACTGAGAACTCAAGAGATCTTACCATCCCACCAAGCAAGAATTAAGACAGAAGATTCTCACATGGCACGCCGCAGGGATGGAGAGAGAGAGAGAATCAATTCAGGAGGAAGAAGACCGAGGTGAATCACTGATAACTCAGAGATCCTAGCATTTCAGAAGAAATGGACTCAATGTCAGAAAATTCTCACTCACAGGCACCCCGCAGGGATAAAGAGAGCTTGGTAAGCCGAATCTAGTAGATAGAGAGAACAATCCCACCGATAAAGGAAGAAAACAGTCCAAAAATCATTCTTCAACCTAGTAACTTACTACCACCAGTAGCACGTCCGCCTCAAAAAAGTAGGGAGAAAGGAAGGAAGGGAGGCCCTCCAAGCTCGCTCTACATGAAGATGTTGGGGCGGGAGGCCTTGAAGGTGGTCTTGAGCCTGCGGGTGGGAGGCCTGACCTTGCGGGAGACGAGGGGGAAGCGGATCTTGGAGTCGTGGAACTGCTTGGTGTTATCGCGCTTGCAGAGCTTGGAGGGGATGGTCGCCGTCTTGATAATCTGGATGCAGGGGTGCCTCACCCGGTGGCGGGACGCCATCTCGTTGTACATCTGCTCCACCGCCCCATTCAGCGTCGTGTCCCGGTACTCCTTGTACATGTTGTGGTACCCCGTCCGGCTCTGGTACCGCAGCCAGATCCCAAAGTTCTTGATCGTCGTCGGCTTCTTCTCAAATATCTGTGGAGCACGGGACAGTCAGACCCATCCACCCACCTACCCAAATCTCAGATTTTCTCAACAAATAATCCCAGGTCGTACTCTGCTCTTCTATTCCATAACACAGACTAGCAAAACAGGTAGAAGAAATTGATGACGATGATGGTCTGTTCTTCCTATATATACACAGACTAGCTGATAGATGATCCATTAGAGATATGAATCCGTATGAAAGAAGAGGACGGGGTCGAAGAAACTGCCCTGCCTGGACGATTGGATTAAGCCTCCAATAACCCCCTTCTACAAGTGCACAGAGACTAAGAAATTCTGATGATATCACATGTACTGCCTGGAAGCTGTGGAAACTTTGCTCGGAGTATTAATGTGACTCCTGGCAATATTCAAGCGTAATTTCGTGAATCCAAAGTCGGATCAAAAGGCGCGAGCAAGTTCTGATGGGAGGTATTTAAAACAAAGAATTGCGTGTATGGACTCTTCGTCAGTCTTTGGAATAACCAGACCGATAAAAGACAACATAGCCGTATGACATGGGCAACAGGGAAAAAGAGGAAAGCAACTAGGCCCCCACTGTCTGAAAGGTATGGAGAGCTGTTGCCTCGACTAGTCTTCAGATTCTCAGAAATCGAACAGCGTGGTATCAGGTATAATCACCGAGGTGTACTCCCATATAATCACATAAACTTCCGTCGAAAAATTGAACCAATGAGGAGGCTACACGACCTATGATTGGGAATAAAAATAAAATTGATATGTAGCCTGTGGTGTTCGTCATGAGCCTTTAGAATGAACGGACAGATGAACAGCACCATAGTCATATGATGTGGGCAACAGGGAAAAAGAGGAAACCAAGACGAATGCTGGTCACCTCGGCAAAGTTGCCAGACTCTCACAGATGCAGGAACCGTTGAGACAGACAAAATGTACCCTGTGGTGATCGTCATGAGGCTTATGGAACGAACAGACAGATGAAAAGCACCAGAATCTATGTTGTAGGCAACAGGGAAAAAGAGGAAATCAAGACGAATGCTGATCACCTCGGCAAAGTTGCCAGACTGACAGATCGAGGTACCACTGAGGCCGATACAATGTATGTAGCATGTAGCGTTCACCATGAGCCTTATGGGATAGGCAGACAGATGAAAAACACGACAGTCCTATGATGTGGGCAACAGGGAAAAAGAGGAAACCATGACGAATGCTGGTCACCTCGGCAAAGTTGCCAGACTCATAGATCCAGGGATTACTGAGGCCGATAATCCTATATGAGCTGTCTAAGATAAATTATCGTAGAAGTTTCCCAAATGTGATTGCAGAGTAATAACTGATATCGACAGAGGCGTAGACTAATTAATGAGTATAATGCAATTCAACTGACGAAACCAAGCCTAGATGATCACATGCACGCCTAGCGTGGTATGCAATCAAATCAACGTGTAAAATCCAAAAAGTAATCATACACACAGTTGATAGATGTGCGCTTCAAATACAGGATTCAACAATTTAGCATGCATTCCTGAGCATCAAATGAAGAACATCCAACCTAACAAAGGAATTTTAAAAAGCATAGTACACCGCTTAGCTGAGAGGCTGAGTATTCACGGCGCGTACCTCGTTGATAGCGAGCACTTGGCCATTGCTCTTCTTCACCTTCTTCAGTTTCCTCAGAAAGTACCTGAGAATATGGCCGATCGCGAAACATGAGCACACGAAGTGCAAACAAAAAAAATCTTGCCATAAGGCAAACAATGGAAGAATGCGATATATCGTACCAAAACTTGGACTTCGCCCTCACTTCGTTGGTCGCCCATAGCTTCATCCTGAAGATCTTCGGGTGCTCCTCGGACGCCGTAGGGAGACCTCGGCCCACCACCTGGTACTGATGAAACTGCAATAGGAAGAAAGTGCCCCGCGAATCAAATTAAAACCCATGACACAGCTTTGCAGCCGACATCATCGATATCAACAGCCCAATGCACGTCGAAACGCAATCCTCAATGAAGCCCGCCATCGTGAGAAATATCATTCAATCGTGCTACCATCAACACCTGATCTCATTATAATCCCGAGATCCGAGACACCTAGATGAGTCTGTCTGCCCACGGCTGGAGACGGGGGAGAATAGGAATCATCCCCCGACGTCCTCGATCCTCTGAGGGCATTCCCTCGTACAGGGATTAACTCCTCGTCGACGATGCTACTGATCTAGTGAGAAACAGAGACGCCGAACGTAACACCAGGCGTTAGCAGCGCACCCTGAAGTTCCCCATGGCGGCGCTCCTCTCGACTCCCCACCTCCCGCCGCACCTCCGCCGTCCGGACCACCGCGCACCTCGACACGATGTCCTCTTTATGAGGGGGGCCTCAAGCGGCGGCGGCAGAGGCAGTAGTAGTGACAGCAAACCCTAAGCCCGTATATCTAATTTGCCTCTTTTACCCCTCACATTTTCCAAAATTTACATAACAAGTCACCAACGGGCCGAGCCTTTCCAACGGTAGTTGGGCCTTCATACACACCTGAGGTCAGGCCCATTTACTATCTCCGTCGACCAATCCTCGGAAGACATAGCAATCGAGGATCTTTACGCTGGTTCTTTATATTTTTAAAATGCTTTTCTCAAGCCAATTAAAAAAATAAGATATCGGGTAAATACAACCCATCCATCTTCTAAAATATTATAATAATATTTCTAACTATGTAGTCTCACATCAACATATCATTCGGCTCACATTATATGTCACAACCACGTCAACTTTACGTTAGCTAAATTGATCAGTCGTCTCCTAGAAAATATGGCCATGGAAATAGGGTGAGAGGGGTTGACCCACTTGAAGTCAACTCTTCTCCATCACGACCATTCAAAATCATTGACTTTTTTTCCCACCTCTGGTTGACTACAATATTTTGAGAGGTCAAAATTGAGCTACCCACATATGGCTTCTTGATGATATGTGATTTTTTTTTCCTGTGAAAAGAGACGACTCAAAGCTGTAATGAGGCAAGGTGATGGCAAGGCGAATGTTCAACCTATCGAGCTGGCTGTGAGACAAGTCAACAACAGTCCACTGGGTGGCGACAACGAGATGAGACAAGGTGGGAGTAAGTGACATTACAAAAAGACCTTTCCATACCTAAAATTTTAAGTATACCATCTAAATCCTGCAACCACACCTATGTAAAAAGCATAGCACGTGTGCCATATAGCAAAAACACGTGTCACTAGGAATCTAAAAGCCTAGTGAATCGCGAGATATCATTCTCTAGAACTATCTTATATATATAATCACCGTGATGTATATAATCTCTAACACTTGTTACGCTATCATAGCTGAGTACAGTCTGATGTATACTAGGTAGATACACACATATCATCCCCTCATTGATGGGCCGCCATGCACATTACAACGTACCCTAAAACCTGGTTCTAAAGTTTTTTGACGTATTCATTTTTATATGGGAAAGAGTGAGCTAATTACATGCATTCCTAAATAGGGTTTGTGCAAGATATCACATCGCACATCATTTGTTACATTATTCATCAATAAAAAAAATATTATTTCACCCTTTTTGACAAACACTTCATGTGTATGTGTGAATGGGCGATTAGACCTTGGTACATGTTCACTGACATGACCTTTTTTTTTAATTTAACTTATTTTTAATACCCACAAGTAGTAGAACATTCTTAATTTATTTCACATTTCAACTATAAGGCTTCGAGACTATAGTTAAAAATGTGAAATAAATAGCTTATATTGATATCATTAGCTTGTTGGTTTCTAAAGAATTCTCCTACGATCTCATCGAGTGATTGACCCATGCACAACTTTGATGGTTTTAGGGATATTACACTACGAACTAATTGCGAGGGGGTTGATCAGGCCTCTTCGTTTCAAGTCTCAATCTCGTGAATTGTGACTCAAATTATGGAATTCATATCTAATTATGACTACATTTCACAATCTAAAAGTTTCCCAGAAGCGCTATTTATGGATCGAAGATTCTATGGTCAACTATATTAGAGCACAGCTAAGATCCAGAAGTGCTCAATTACAGATCAAGAGCAATTTCCATGCAATATACTGTGGTTTCAATTCATATTTCAGAGATGTGGGAGTGATTTGCGGAGATGAGATCTTTGAATGCTCGAGCAAGAGGCTTTGATTCATGGAGGATAAGAGATCCAATTGAGATGTGTAGACTGCGTGAAGCAGCACCCTGCCTGCCTCCCTGCCTGCCTGCCTCTCTCCTCCACCGGTTGCCTGCTCGATAATCCTCGCCCATGTCTCCGTTCGATTTCTCCGATGCGACTCCATTTCATACGAAGTATTCGGGGTTTGCGGACACCTCCACCCGGGCAGGTATCGTTGCTCCTTCAGCGAGGGCGGCCTTCTCATCTTCCTTCGTTTCTCTGCCGGACGTTTCTCCTTCTCGGACGAAGCCAGAAATTCGTTGCTCCTTCGGCTGCAGATCGAGCAGTTGCTTCAGAGCCCTAACCTTGGCAGCGGTCACGGCAGGAAATAAATTCCTTCTGTAGGAGTAATGGCTTGTCCACGCTTAACCTAATTTATAGATCGTTCAGGATGTTGCAGCCAGTGCGGAGATAGATAGATGGATTCAATCGTCCTGGTTTTCAGGTTTTCCGATTCTTCTCGATCCGGGGAATTCTCCTTCGCTCCTCGCTGTTTCAGATTGCGGGATTTTCTGTGTGAGATTTCTTTCCTCTCTGGAGAATGAGGACCGATGATCGTTCCTGCATTTTCATCCACAGATCCAGAAGGAACATACAGAGGATCGGTCAATTTACCGTCCTCCCTTTCTCTTTTGGTGTTGGATGAAGGAGATGGGCCCGGCGGCGGACTCTCCTTCGCCGGTCAGAGATATCAGGCGGAGACCGGTGTATGCGTGAACAACACCAAGACTGGAAAATGCGACAGATATTATTCCCAAGGTTGAAAAAAAAGGAGCACCCCACGGCCGTCTTTAAAGTCAACGAAGACCCCGCGTTCAAAGTCAACACTAGGAATGGGAAGGAGGGAAGGAAAGGAGGAAGGAAGACCTCAGAAGATTTACAGATACTGCCAAAGAGTGGAGAGAGATGGTGGGAACGGGACGAATCGGCGAATCTAGGGGCGGCCGTTGCCGGCGGTGGTGAGCTCCACCCGGGAGACGGCTGATTTGTGCTTGAACCCTGCGGCGCCGTCACCGGGGGAGTCGTCGTCGTGGTAGACGTAGGCGAAGCCGCCGTGGCGGGTGAGGTCCATCCCGGCCATCTCATCATCGTCGGAGATCCTGAGAAGGCCGAACCGGCGGAGGAGGAGGAAGAGGGGGCCCATGGTGGCGCTGACCCACCCGGCGATTACCAGGATCTGCACCAGCTGCGCCGCCAGCAGACGGCCGCCACCCCCCATGAAGAGTCCGTAGGGACGGCCGGGATGGCCCGGGTAGACCTCGTTGACGTACCTCTCCTTGGCGAACAGGGCGGTGAAGATGAGGCCCCAGGTGCCGCAGCCGCCGTGGAGCTGGGCCGCCTCGAGGGGGTCGTCGAATCTGAACTTCTCCGCCAGCTTGTTGCAGCCGATGAGGACCCCGGCGGCGACGACGCCGCAGATGATCGCCGCCCACGGCTCCACCACAGAACAACCGGCAGTGATGGCGGCGAAGCCGCCAAGGAGGCCGTTGCAGACGTCGGTGACGTTCCAGTGCCCGGAGAGGAGGCGCTTCCCAAAGAGCGTGGTGAGCGCCGCGGCGCAGCCGGCGAGGGTGGTGGTCACCGCCGTGCGGCCCACCGCGGACCACTGGCCGTTGATGGAGCCACTGGGGCCGTAGGACTTGAGGATGGTGAGGAAGGAGCCCGGGTTGAAGCCGTACCAGCCGAACCAGAGTAGGAAGGTGCCGAGCACCACGAGGGAGGCACTGTGGCCGCGGAGGGTCACGGCGCGGCCGGAGTGGTCGAAGCGGCCGATGCGGGGGCCCTCGATGAGGGCGCCCCAGAAGCCGGCGATGCCGCCGACCATGTGGACCACGCCGGAGCCGGCGAAGTCGATGGCGCCGCTGCGGAAGAGGAGATCGTCGGTGCGGAAGGCGCTGGCCCAGCCGTCGGCGGACCAGAACCAATGAGACACCACGGGGTAGACGAAACCCGTGAGGAAGGAGGAGTAGATGAGGTAGGCGACGAACTGGGTCCGCTCGGCAATGGAGCCGGAGGTGATGCCGGCGGCGGCGATGGCGAAGGCCCACTGGTAGAGGAAGTAGGCATAGTCGTACCCGGGGGCTGGGACGCCCTTGAGCCCGAAGAAGTGCCGGCCGATGAAGCCGTTGGAGGGGGATCCGAAGGCGAAGGCGAAGCCGAAGAGATAGTAGAAGATGCCACCGGCGGCGGCGTCGAGGACGTTGGTGAGCATGATGTTCATGGTGTTCTTGGCCCGCACCGAGCCGGCGCAGAGCATGGCGAAGCCTAGTTGCATGGAGAAGACCAGGTAGGCGGAGAACAGCAGGTACGTCGTGTCCACCGCCGACGCCGTGTCCGTCAGCTGCGCCGACACCGCCTCGAACTGGGTCGTGATATTCTCGAATCTCCCGCAGATGAAGCTCGCCGCCGCCCCCGCCGCCGCTCCGGACAGGTTGCCCACCACCGGCAGCAGCAGGGCGGCGCAACTCTGCTCCGCCATCTCCCCTCTCTCTCTCTAGCTCTCTCTCTCTCTGATCTCTCTCCCTCTCTCTCTCTTTCTCTCTGTTCTTCCCCTTCGGCTAGGCCGACGGAGTAAGGAGGAGGGAGACGGGAGACGGGAGACGCGGAGGAGGGGGTGGTGGTGGCGTCCGCTTTAATAGGCGACGGAGGAAGGCGAGAATTCGGGGGAGAACGGGAGTCCCGTGGGCTCCACGAGGGGTAGAAATGTAATCTGTGTAACTAACCCACTTACTCGGTCTTCTCGTTCGCGACTTTATTGGAGGCGGCGGGGTATCGGGCGCCTGTTACGGTAAGATATCGCTGCGGATCTCCCCCTAACTGCCCATTTTTTATTTGAAAAATTGCAATCCGCACTATTATTTATTATCAGTGCCGGCTGTGGTCCCCATAGATTTGACTGTTTCGCCACAGTTGACGAAGACTTTCTCCTCGGCCAGACGGAGGAGCCTTTTCCACTGCCAGTCGGATTCCCTCTCCCCTGCTTCGTTGAATCTTCTCCCTCTCTCTCCTCGCATGTGACGTCAGCAAAAGATAGAAAGAGAGAGAAAGTGCACGTGAATCCATGAGTGTCGGTGGGTTCACTTCTTCTATGCAGACCCGACCCAATTTAGAAACAAAATCAGCCATCGGAGGGCATTGATTTGTCGAATTTTATATTTACGGAAATGGAATTCCCTGTGTGTACGCGAATGCGTGTAGGCAAGCAATCAAGTGACTTCCTGTGGTCTATGAAGTCACGGCACGTGGCAGAGTGGAGACCGTCCGATGGCTTCCTTCTCGAGGAAGAGCGGAGAAGATCGAGCAAACAAGGGGCGAGGGGTTGACCAGTAGAAATTAATTCCGACGGTTGGGGCGGGCGGCAGCTGCGCAGTCGAGCTGAATGGCGTGCTTCAATACTTAGTTGGTCCCATTTCTCACAAGAGAACGAGCATCAGATGGTCAGCGCGAGTTAATATACTCCACCACGGGAAATCGCCGGGGGCAAATGAACGCCGAGACGATGTAGCCTTGTCGGAGCCGCTCTCAGAGAGCTTCCTTCGCGTTGACTTTGCCCCCATTTGACGGGATCTCCCTCGCCCCAAGGAAATGGGAACCAAAACCCCAGGCGTCGATTGATTCTCTGACGACAGAAGATCTCGATAGGAAGATCCTACTTCAAGAGGAGAGACGATGTTCCAGGGAACCAAGTGGGGTGGGAGAGCGGGAGGGCGGGTGATGAATTTAAGAGGCTATAATTAACATCCGACATGGTTGACTCCACAGGACATGGGTTCAGGTCGTGCTGTCAGAGCTAAGGGCGATACCACAAGGGTTGACTTTCATATACGGATAGGATCATTGCATTGGGGATCCCTTACGTATCTAGGATGGGTGGGGTTTTCAGAGTATTGGGCCTCAAGGTCAGGCCCACATATATAGTATAATAAGTGGGCCTCGCCTCAGGTTCGTAATTTGGGCTGGTGTTGGGTTTTGATAGTTTTAGATAGCTCTGAAGGTCCAATTAGTGCTGCAAAGGCCTGGCCCCTTTTGGTCGAGAACGCTAGAGTCTTTTACGTAAATTTTAGAAAATGCGGGGGGGTGAGAGTAAAAGAGGGAATTCTAACAATCGAGGGAGAAACCGGGGTTTGCTCTCGCAGACGAGGAGCACGGAGGTGCGGAAGAAGGTGGGGAGTGGAGAGGAGCGTGGAGGAGGGCCTAAATTAACTGGTGATTAACCAGTTGAGTTCGCCTTGGATTTCAAGAGGTTCCGATTCTGCATTTTTTTCTTCGCTCCGATCGCCTCGTTCTTCTTCACCATTCTTCCGAGCTTTTTCTTCTGTTGCTGTCTTCGATTCTTCCCTGGCTTACGCCATGCGTACGCTGATGATCTCTACTCTGACACACATTACATCAGTGCCTGCATTTACTCGAAATTTTTTCACCACTTGCTTCCTGCATCTCCGCAGAACCAACGATTTTCTCAATCTGTTGCCGTACAGCGTTACAGATGCAATTAATTTTCGCTTTTTGTTGCTGGCTTTCTAGCAATCGCAATACTCGTCCAGTGATTCTAGAACTCCTCTGTCTTTTCTACGCGAAATTTCTGAAGTTTCGAAGGATCCGTAGAGGATGGACTGCATTCCTTGATCCTGTTCCGAAAGAAAACCTCTGGCCTATCACACGGCTTAGAAAACCTAGCGGTGAAATCTTGAACCGTGAGATGTTATACCAACGATTTCAATTCTCCTCCAATCCATCTCTTATTTGATCGCCGTTCCTCCTACCTTTTCAGCTCGTTTTTATTGGGGATGATAGATGCTAAATAGTCATCTTTAAATCCATCTCGACTGTCGTATTATCCAAATTAGATCGGATTAGACGTTCGAAACGATTCTTGTTTGTTCGACTGCTTGAAGAAATTTGATTTTCATTCGTGAGAAATTGTGGTATCATGCGCTTTTCTCATGATATTCTGACGACCAAGTCCCAGAACGGATGTGGTGGTGCAAAATGGAGAACGAACAGGAAGAACTGATCCACGCGATCTTCTCACGAGACAGGAAGCCCAATTATTTATTGACTGTCGATGATGGCTTGGACTATTTTACGTGTTTTTCTCCGATCGAGAATACAAAAAATTACTGCATTGATAACATTTTTGCGGTACATTCCAAGATTGCAGCAGGTTCAGGATCATCATTCATCTTGCTCGATCATAGCTCCCAACTGGAGCCTTACCCGTGGCCAGTGTCTGGGTAGGGACGAATCAAGGATGTGATGAATAGGCCCACGCAGACAATATAATAACGGGTGTTCTCGCCCCGCGCGGGGCCGGCGCGGAGCATGGTGAAGCCCATCTGCACGGCGAAGACCAGGTAGGCGAAGAACAGCAGGTATCTCGTGTCCACGGCGGAGGCCGCGTCCGTCAGAAGCACCGGCACCGCCTCGAACTGGACCGTGATGTGCTCCAACCTCCCGGAGATGAAGCACGCCGCCGCTGCCGGCGCCGCCGCCGCCGCCCACAAGTTGTCCACCGCCGCCAGCAGCAGGGCGGCGCAGATCTGTCCCGCCATATCCTTCTCTCGCTCTCTGATCTCTCTCTCTCTGTCTGTTCTTCCCCTTGGACGAGGCCGACGGAGGAAGGAGGGAGGGGGGAGACCGGATACGGGCGGAGGTGGCGGCGGCGTCCGCTCTTATTGGCGAGAGAGGAAGGCGGGAATTGCCGTCCCGTGTTGCACGAGGGCTAAAAAGGTAATCTATAGTTCCATCTTTTATTAGAGAAATTCCCATTCCCACCATTATTTATTATTATCGGGGGCATGTGGTCCCCGAACCTTTGACTATCTCGAGTTCCCCGAGCCTTCACTGCCGATAGGATTCCCTCTCTCCTGCTGCTTTGAATCTTCTCCCTCTCTCTCTCTGTTCGACGAGGAGTTCTATATCCTTCTAGACGTGCAGAAGTTGAGAACTTTAGAAAATGGGCCGCAAAGGCCCAAGTAGCGCCGGCCCGTTTTGTGAGGACGCGATTATGTATGTTTTTTATGTAAACTTTAAAAAATGCGAGGGGTCGAGAGTAAAAAAGGAAACTCGAACACACCGGAGGAGAATTAGGGTTTGTTCTCACACACAAGGAGCGGGCAGCTGCGGCAGAAGGCGGGGAGTAGAGAGGGACGGGGAGGAAGGCCTAGATTAAGCGGTAATTAACCAGCTGAATTCGCTTCTTCGATCGCTTCTTCGAGCTTTTTACTTTTTGTTGTCTACGATTCATCCGCGGAGCTCGCGTGATATTCTGTGTGATGATGAGACTGATCAGATTTACAGTCATCCCTGGTTTATGGCTGTGCGGATGCTGATGATCTCTACTCGGACACACATTGCATTCGTGCATGGATTCACTCGGAGAATTTTCGCCATTAGTTTCCTGCATCTCCGTAGAACCAGCGGTTTTCTCAATCTGTTATCGTACAGCGTTAGAGATGCTTCAGTTGCTGTTGTTTGTGCTGGCTTTCTAGCAATCGCAATACTCGTCCAGTGATTCTAGAACTCCTCCGTCTTTTCTACGCGAAATTTCTGAAGTTTCGAAGGATCCGCAGAAGATGGATTGCATTTTACGCGCTGTGGCCAACTGCACCCCATTCCTTGATCCTATTCCGATAGAAAGCCTCTCACGGGTTCTAACACCTTGTGACGAACACACGACCTTCAGTTGTTCGGTCTGATGCTCTCCCGGTTGAACTATCACCCTGGATCGAACCAAAAACAGCAAGTTCTTGAGACATTGCGTTATGATTTCTCCAAGTTCTGTATTTCTATAATAAGCTAGAGCTTACCGACTGCAGTTTATTTTATTTTTTGTGATGCTTTTTAAGCATTCTTTTAACCAAATTGCGTGTTAACTTAGCACGAAAGAACAGTGAAAGGGTGATCCTCCTCTTCCTGATCGTGTGACTCCTGATGAGCATACTCACCCGAGGCTTTTGGGGCGCAGGGGTTTGGAGGAGGAAGATAACGATGGCGTTGTGGATGGAGGAGGGTTCCTGTCCGACGACGGAGCAAGAGAGAGCCGACTTGGACGCCATCGCCGCTCTCAAGGAGTCTGCTGCGATCGAGCTCAAGGTAGCGACAGAGCATCGGCCCTTGTGGGTCGGTTCTTCCGGCGAGTCCACGCAGATGGGCATCTGAAGAGGAAATAAGCAGCACGAAGGACCGGGCTGATGATCGGCTTCATTTTCTCTCGATTTTAGGAGCAAGGAAATCAGTATGTGAAGATGGGAAGGAAGCACTACGCTGATGCTGTGAACTGCTACACCAGAGCCATTGACCAGAAGGTGCTGGGTGACGCCGAGACGTCCGTCCTCTTTGCCAACCGCGCCCACGTCAATTTACTCCTGGGAAACTATCGGCGTGCTGTCAAAGATGCAGAGCAGGCAATCCAGCTCTCCCCGGGCAACGTGAAGGTACAGCCGTCTGGGTTTACCTGATTTATTCTCAGTTTTTCTGGGTAAGAATTGCCGCGATACCGTTTTCATCAAATGGAACCTATCAGTTTTTTGTATGGTAATACAGCTGCACTCGTAAGTTATCAAGTCATTGTTCTTCTCACGCGTAAGGACACCCACCCCCCTCCCCCCCCTTTGCGCAGATCATGTGACCATGGAAAGTAATTATATTGGATGCCCTTATGAATAATTAGATCAACCGTATGAATAACTGTATTGGATGATGCCCTTTATGTATTGTATGAGATCAACCCATGTGAATAACTGGTTCTTGATGCCCTTTGTGAATAGATCAACCATATGGATAACTGTTTCTGGATGCCCCTTATGAGTAACTATACACCCTTAGACCATATGAAATTTAACCTAGCTCAATTGAAATGAAATTTCCAAGGGGGGATCAAGCCCGATCAGAAAACGTCCACCTCTAGAGGTTTGACCTCGTTGGACTGTGAATTTAAAATGTACATAGACAAGTTAGGTATCCAAAAGGTCATGACATTTCTGTTCATCGGTGTTAACTTTCATTATTTCATCCATTTCTGATGAATTGCTGCCTGCAGTCTCAATCCATTCTGATGAAAACTTTGAAACTGTTAATTTTGAAGTAGGCACACTATCGAGCGGCCAAAGCAGCCTTCTCCTTGGATCTTCTAAGTGAGGCGGCATCGTTCTGTAAAGGCGGCCTGGATCAGTTCCCTGGTAATGACGACTTAAGGAAGCTGGGACTACAAATCGATTCGCGAAGGCAAGGACTAGAAGACCACAGGTTTCAAGTCTCACAGGCCGTGTCTGCAGCTAAGGTAGGATGGGATATGATATGCTCGTAGACATAATTCAGGGCTTTGCTCTCTTATGAATGAAAATTGTGCAGGATCTTTCTGCGGCAATTGAGAGGAGAAATCTGAAGCTTGGGAAGGCGATGTTCCAAGAGCTGACTGGACTGAGAAAACCCATTATCGATGAAAACAGTGTTCTTCACTGGCCGGTTCTTCTCCTCTACGCAGAAGTCATGTCGAGTGATTTCATCGAAGACTTCTGCGAGACGGACGTTTTCTCAGAACATCTTGACCTGATATCCTTTTCATCATGGGATCTTTCCACGAGATTAATCGGATGTGACGATCTTCATTGACATGCCAACTTGGTCTCCTTAATTTTTCAAACATGTTTTCAGGAAGCTGCCAGTCATTACCCTGGGACAGTGAATCTGCGTATAGCCGCGAGGCGGTTGAATTGTACTATCAGGTATGACTATCTTCCGAGGAAGTTTTCTATTTACAGGTCATGCTCTCCATGCGCACCTGTTGCAGCCGACTTAAATGCTGAAGCGATCCTAATTCTCACTCTCAATGTTGGGCTTTCTCTTTCTAACAGTACGCATCATCCTCTATGAATCAAACATGGAGAGCATTCGTTTTGGTTTATCCATCTCTGAATTCTGCAAGCTTTCTGCGAGTGAAGCGGTTTCTTTTGAATAGCTGACTGACGACGAACCGTGTTATCTGTTTTTTATTTTTTTGATACAATATGTTATGACTCAGATTATTGGCTGCAGCTTCTACTAGCTTCTCCAGCCCTGAACCCACTGCCGCTGACTTTTTTTTTTTTCTTTCTCTCCACATTTATCCACTCATCAGGCTGGCTATGGGATTCCCATGTCAAAGAAGGAAATTCTGAGGAATCTTTTGGAGGGTACTGCGGGTGCTCTTGCAGACGACATTTTCGGTGAAGAGGGCAGCTCAATGCACACAGACGAACACATAAATAGTGAGTGATTTTCACTCATGCTGGGTATCAAAGCCTTGATTATTTCTTTGCCTTCTCCATTGCTTACTAGTGAGTCCCGCAATACCACGCTTTCAGGATTTATGTGGGGGTATAGTGAGAGGTTGCTTTCTGCGAATTATCTCATGCTCAGTGGACACAATTGAGGACGAATGGAATCCAGATGCTTTAGATATTTATCTTTATTATAGCATCATAATATTCCTTCTCCGCCTTGATCTTTCCGGTGGGATCTTCCATCTTCAGATTATTAGTCAACTTCCATCTAATTTCCTCAGGTGGAGATGCTGGCAAATGGATCAAGGTCAATGAGAAGAAAATGCTCAGAGATATTCTCTGCCGACCAGATTACATCATCCCCGGGATCCCAGGTGGGTGGCTTCCATTTCATCAGCAAAGAAGATATATATATGGGGTCATCCTAGTTAGGCCATTTATGGCGCAGAAATTGAAATTGACTGCCCATTTCTCTTCCTAGATTTTCTCCCTAACCCTATATCTTCTGTCCATATGTCTGCAGCGTTCTTTGTTGTTTCCAAGCGGTCTTCTTTCTACAAGGAGTTCAAGGCCGGAAAGTGGACCCCTCCGTGAGGTTGATATACTACTTATGCAAGGAATGCCACATATAGAATGATCTAAGACGGAATAGGTCCGTAAAGGGTTGGAAAGGTGGATTTTTCTTGTCCTTTTTTTTATTGATTTTCTCACATGAAATTTCCCTGTCCAAATGATATATTCTTTGGCCAATTTTGTTAGAAAATCTTTTTTTTTCTTGTACCGGGCATAAACCTAATTCTGCTTAAAATCGATAATTCTACTGGAATCCATTTCAGATCTTGAAGTGACTTAATGTCATAACTAGTGCATGTAGGACAAGCTAGAAGTAAAATTGCATGGTTCTTAGGATTATACCAGATAAATAAGGTGCATTTTCGATCTAGATATCAGAGGTTTTTTTCATAGACTCCAGCGCCCCCTTTTAAATAAGGGCTCATAGGGTTTTAAAGTATCAAGGAAATTAAGAACGCTTGATGAGACTTAGACAATCACTTCAGGGAACATACATAAGTAAAAGGAACTGTTGGTCAAAGGGGGTCAAATGTGTGAGCGGTACAGGGAGTGAATTCAAGAGTGCTGGAGCTATTTGCTTATTCACTATTATACACCTACATAACATCTCAATGAAATCAAAGTGTAAGTTGAGCTCTGATGTGAGGAGAGAGGACGATGTTTCAAGGCCACGAGCACATTTTAGAGCAAAATCAAGCACTAAAGAGAAGTAAACTGAAACGTATGGCAACTATTAGAATCAATCTAACAATGGCGACTAGAAACAGAGGGGTTATATCGTGCGTACCTACCCCGACAGTCGGGTGCAAAGCTAAATTATGACGATCAATCTACTGCAATCTTGGAGTGTGACCAAGAATGTTCTCAATATAGTAGACCTCGCTTAGGTCCGCTTAGGTAGTCCTTCAAATGGTCCAAGCCATCAACAAGAAAATTGGACAGGAAGCTTGACAGTAATTGATTGGCTCATCACGTACATTGATTCATTTCTCTTTGATTTCGTCTCGTAGAAGTTAATTATCCCCTAAAAGAATCAAGCATACTACCAGAAATAAGAAATGAAGATTGTGCGGGTCAGCTCTTCCTATTCATTTTCAAATTTGCATCACCACATCCAATTTGGGACGTGCGCGTCAAAAGATAAGAAGCTCATCATTCCACACTCTTTCACAGATAAAAATCAAACAAGAACCGTTTGGAACGTTTAATCCAATCTATTGATAATACGACGTCGATAATGGATTTACGTTAAAAACAAGAGTTTGAAGAGATGAATTGGCGTTTTAAAAAGGATTTAAACAATGATTATTTAGCACGTATCTGCTCTATGGATCAGATCTAGGATCCTCCGTAAATAACAAGACACAATAAAACAAACTAAAAAGGTACAAGGAATAACGATCAGACGAGAGATGATTGGAAGAGTGGATTGAGAACCGTAGTATGACAGGTCACAGATTCCGATCTGACCGCTACATTTAAGAAGCCGTGTGATGGCCAAGAGGTTACTATCGGAATAAAAATCAAGGGATGCATAGCAGTCCGTCATTGCGCGAAAACTGCAATCCATCTTACGTAGAAAAAACACAGATGACTGCTGCGAGCACTGGACGAGTAGTGCGATTTCTGGAAATCCAGCAACAAACAACACAAATTAAAGCGTCTCGAACGGTGAACGATGACAGATCGAGAAAATCGCGGGTTCTGCGGAGTAGCAGGAAACTATTGGCGAAAATTCTTCGAGTGAATACAGAACGAATGTAATGTGTGTCAGAATAGAACTCATCAGCATTCGCATAGCGTAAGCCAGGGATAACTGTATATTTGATTAGTCTCATCATCCACACATGATATCACCCAAACTCCGCGGAAGAATCGAAGACAACGACAAAAAAAGAAGCTAAGAAAGATATCGAAGAAGAACGAGGCGATAGAAGCGAAGAAACATGCAGAAGGGGAACCTCATTAGATTTATGACGATCAAAGAGAATTGCGGAGGCGGAACCTCCACGTCGAAGGCGATCGAAGAAGATAACTCAACTAGCCTAACTCCGAGTTCTTCCTCAAGACGACATCTCGTCCTTATATGCGGTGAACCCCTGGCGGCGGCGGTAGCAGTAGTACTAGTAATGAGAGCAAACCCTAATTCTCTTCCGCGTGTTCGAATTTCTGCTTTTACTCTTAACCCCCTCACATTTTCTAACATTTACATTCACCCCTCGTATTCTCAACCATACGGGCCGAGCCTACCTATATATAAGTGGGTCTTAAGCGATACAGGGCCAATAACAGCCCACTTTCGAACCTGAAGCCAGGCCCATGTATTATTATATTATACTCGAGGCCCAATACCAGGAAGACCCCAGCCATGCGGGATTTTTATTCTGGTTCTTAATATACTTTTAAATATTTCAAAAATACTTATCGGTGAATAATAATATTCCAATGCCTATTAAAAAATAACCCATCCGGTAAAATACCATAGAATTTTTGGATAATTATTTTTTTAATAAAAAATATAGTTTGTAATTATTTTTTTCCAGGTGAAAAATACCCTCGACCTTCTTTGGCATACCTTCCTTCCCAGGCCCTCTTCTCGCCAATCTCTCTCCCCATGTTTATCTTCAGAGAGAGAGAGAGAGTGAGGCTAATTGATAATTTGTAGGGATATCGGTGAAGAATGAAAGGGGAGATGTAAGATTTCGAGAAATATTACAGCAGCGTTGAGATAATGAAAGAGAAAAAAAAAAGAAAAAAAAAGAAAAAAAAAGAGGGAGGTACAGGGAGGAAGGGAAAGAGGTTCTTGCTTACGAGCTCCGGCCCTCCGAACCGAGAATTCCGTTGACGACGGAGACGGCGGCGAGCACCGCCACCGCCTCGGCCGCCGCCACAGCCCCCGCCTGCGCCAGATCCGCCCCCAGGCCAAGTTCAAGCCCGGTCGCCTCCCCCACGGCAGCCGCACCGATCTGCTTCTCCGCCGCCTCGATCCCCTCCTCCACCGCCTTCTCCCCCTCCCTCACGATCCCCTCCACCGCCTTCTCCCCCTCTCTCACAATCTCCTCCGCCCCCTCCTTGATCTTCCTGAGCTTCTTCCGCAGCCCGAAAAGCGGGATATCCTGCGCCCGTGCCACCGCGACCTCGGTTGCTAGCGGCGCCGCCAGCGAGAGTAGCAGGATCAGCGACTGCCTCCGCCCGCCGCTGGCCCCCGGCGAGCCAGCGGCGTCACGGTCACCAAGGCAGCATCTCGCCGCCAAGGGGCGGCGGGCGGCGCTGCCTAGGCGATAGACCGGCCGGAGGAGGACGGAGGACGGGGAAGCTGCCGCCGCCATGTCCGGTACCTTGTGGCGGGGATCGAGGATTCTGGTGTCGGGGGAGGCTACTCGTGTGGATGTTGTTGTTCTTGCAGGAGGATACTTCGCTCAGTGGCCGGGATCGAGTGGCTGTCCCCCCTGCAACGTGGCCGAGTGACACGTCGGATATACCACCCACGTCCGTCCCTGCCCTGGGTTCCATCGGATGAACGGTCAGGATGAGGGCCTGCAAAAAAAAAACAGCTCATTCGCTTATTTATGTTTCATATTTTCCTCGTTAAACACGTAATTTAATTTAAAATAACCTATGCAAAAAAAAATTCAAGCGGGAAATTAGGATAATTTTGATTGATAAGATAATTATGAGTTTAAACAACTGGGTTTTTATCAATAAATTTTTCCGGTTTGTGTGGAGATAAATAAAACCAAAATAAAATACTTTATACATGCAAGCATCCATATATTTAATATTTGGATATATACCGTGGGGAAGAGTCTAGATTCTTCGCCGCCGTCCTTTCGGGTCCCACCCTTCAACGAATAGAAAGAAAGAGGTCTGGTCTGGTCTGGTCTGGTCTGGTCAGCACCAGCTACCCGAAACTTTTTCGTATTTTATAAAAAAACCCTCTATCAAAAAAATATATTTCAATTTAGAACAGTTGTTTTCCTTAAACAACAGATTCTCTGTTCAATCTGGAACCCAAGTCGGCAGGGGGGGTGAAAGTGAAATATTTCTAGGAATGTGGGATTTAACCGAGCAAACACAATTTCTCACAATACCTACGAGGGGATATATAAACAACGATCTTATGATGTGATGAGGGGGAGGGTGAAATATTGCAATGTTAACTGGACACCGTGGCATCATTACAATCACTTCTGGGGATATGGGCTTGGGAGAAATATTCCAACTTTGTTTGGGAGTCTTCTCGGGTACGTTCAAAAGTTTGACGTTTTCCTTCCGTTTTCTGCGCAGAACGAGACGCGAGCCTAGCGGGGGCCGACTGCCGGTCGCCAGCCGGCCATTCTCATCCTCTCTCCGCCGTCTGGCGGCGCCGCCAGCCACCCCCGCTGGCCACCGTGAGACAATGAAAGTGAGTTTTGTGGGTTCTCGGACTCCGGCCACCATGAGTAAGGGGAGACTGCCCGTGGTCAAAAGAGAAAGGAGGAGGAAAAAGGGGCAGCGCGGCCACCGGCGGAAATATAGGGAGGGGGTATGTTCACCGAATGGTGTTTGTAACTCCAGCCTCCTCTAATCCTGTGCAACTCGTGCTCGTCTTCTAGATCTGAGAGATTATAAGGAGGTAAATATTTTTAAATTACTTAAATAATATCTTTTATAAAAGGTAATAATACGAAGTGAGTCTCCTTTTCCTTCCTCTGTTCCCTCCCCAATCTCCGCTCCACTGTTGCTCTCTCTCTCTCTCTCTCTCTCTCTCTGTGTACTTGCAGAGTCTCCTCCGACGAGTTCGCTGGGGGGCAATGGCTTCTTCCCTTCTTCTTCTTCTTCTTCCTCTCATCCTCTGCAGATTCATGGCGCTGGCGGCGCCAACTGTGGGGTCGGAGGTCTCCGACGCGGTGGTATTGCTGGGGAAGATAAAGCCGGCGCTCGCCGGCGCCGGAGGAGACGACAACCTGCAGCTGTCTTCGTGGAACTCGTCGGTGCCGCTCTGCCTATGGCGAGGCGTGGAATGGGCCTTCTCCGACGGGACCCCTCTCGCCTGCGCCGGCAGACTGGAGAGGGCCAATCTCTCTCTGGTCCGAGACCACTCCCTGCAGGTTACCGCCCTCCGGCTGCCCGCTGCCGGCCTCGCCGGAGCAGTTCCCCGCGAGATCGGCGAGCTCTCCTCGCTGCGGTCGCTGGTCCTCGGAGTGAACTCTCTGGTGGGCTCCTTCCCCCTCGAGCTTGGCAACTCGCCGGAGCTCGCAGAGCTCGATCTCAGTGGGAACCTCCTCGGCGGGTTTCTTCCGCCGTCGATCTGGAACCTCTGCGGCCATCTCACCGCCCTCCGCCTCCGGGGGAACAACTTCTCCGGCGGCCTCCCGCCGCCGGCTGTCCGCAACACCTCTTGTGAGGAGCTCCGGTTTCTTGACCTCGGGGGAAACCGCTTCCAGGGGGAGTTCCCGGAGTTCCTCACCGGCTTCCGCCGCCTGAGCGAGCTAGACCTCGGCGGCAACCTTTTCTCCGGCGACATCCCAAGCTCGCTCGCAGACCTCGCCGACCTGGGCAAGCTCAACCTCTCGGGGAATAACTTCACCGGGATGCTGCCGGCCTTCGCCGGTCGGTTCGCCGCGGAGGCCTTCGCGGGCAACAGCCCGGAGCTCTGCGGGCCGCCCCTGGGGGAATGCAGAGGGGGAGCTCACACGGGGGCGGCGAAAGGGAGGACCCACACCAGCTCCGGCGTAGTCGCCGGAATCGTGATCGGGCTGATGGCCGGGTTGGTGGTAGCGGTCTCCCTGTGCATCGGGTGGGCGCAGGGGAGGCGGAGGAGCAGGGGGAGGGCGGCGGCGGAGGAGGAAGAGGAGGTCGGAGTGGACGAAGCCGCCGGTGAGGGGAAGCTCGTGGTTTTCCATGGCGGGGAGCACCTGACGCTGGAGGACGTGCTCAACGCCACCGGGCAGGTGATTGAGAAGGCCGTCTACGGCACCGTGTACAAGGCGAAGCTTGCCGACGGCGGCACCATCGCGCTGCGGCTTCTGCGAGAGGGCAGCTGCCTGAACAGGGCGGCGTGCCTGCCGGTGCTCCGCCTGCTGGGGCGCGCCCGCCACGAGAATCTTGTCCCCCTGAGAGCCTTCTACGAAGGTAGCCGAGGGGAGAAGCTCCTCATCTACGACTACTTCCCCAACAGAACCCTCGACGATCTCCTACACGGTGAATCTTCTTCTTCATCCCCATTGTCAGGGTTTTGAAAGCTCTGGGACGATGACAGTGGTTGCGGGTGTGGGTTTTTCTTGCAGAGGCGAGGGTGGGAAGGCCGGTGCTCAACTGGGCACGCCGGCACAAGATCGCGCTGGGGGTGGCGAGAGGGCTGGCGTACCTCCACGCCGGCGGCAGCGGCGGCGGCGCCGAGAGCCATGGGGATCTGCGGGCGAGGAGCGTCTTGGTGGATGAGCTCTTCGTGGCGAGGTTGACGGAGAACGGCGTGCACAGGCTGCTGGTGGCGGAGGTGGCGGAGGAGATGCTCGCCGGTGCAAAGGCGGCGGGGTACAAAGCGCCGGAGTTGCAGAGGATGAAGAGGAGCTGTGCGAGGAGCGACGTTTATTCGTTCGGGATTCTGCTGCTGGAGATGCTGATGGGGAAGAGGCCGGGGAGGGAGGACCTGCCGGGGCTGGTGAAGATGGCGGTGCTGGAGGAGACGACCATGGAGATCTTCGACGGGGAGCTGCTGAAGGGGGTCAGGCCCATGGAGGACGGCCTGGTCAACGCCCTCAAACTCGCTATGGGCTGCTGCGCCCCCGTCCCCTCCGTGCGCCCCGACATGGCCGAGGTCGTCCGGCAGCTCGAAGAGAACCGGCCCAGGAACAGGTCAACGCTGTACAGCCCCGCCGACACCCGCAGCGAGGCCGGCACGCCCTTCTGATCGATCCATCCATCCATCCATCCGCCCCCTGTAACCTTCACTGCTAGATTCGGAGAGTTGCTCCCAAGATCTGGGAGCCCAATTTAATCTTTTTTTTAAAGAAGAAAAGGTCACACTTTCTTCTAGAACTTATCTAATAGAAATCTGTCAACACGACTTCACCGTGTCTCTCGTCCCAAGGTTCTTCTTTCATGGAGGCATTGACTTTCAGGGGAGGAAGCTCTGGCGGTAGAGGTCGTAGACCCAGAGGAGATCAGCGGAGCTCACAGTCCACGCGTGGCCGGGCAACGAGAGGGGGAGCCCGCCGTTGACTTCCTCGCTCCTCTGCTCCACGTAGGCCGCCTCCCGGAGCTTGCCCTCCTTCCACAGGGTCTTCACCAGCAGCGTCTTGGTGGCGCCGTCGGGGGCCAGATTCGAGTTCAGCATATCGTTGAACACTCTGAGGGCGAGCGCCGCCCTCTGGGCCTTGATGTGGGCTCTGATCATCGTCTGGCACAAGAAGGCATCCCGCCGGTGGCCGCACTGCCTCGCCATGGCGGCCACCGCCTGGAGCTTCCTCAGGTCGCCCTCTCCGGCGAAGAACTGCACCAGGCCGGCGAAGGTCTGCCCATCGGGGAGGACCCCACTCTGCGTCGTCTCCTCCAGGAGCTCCATGGCGTCGTCGCCTCGCCGGCACTTGACGAGTGTGCGGAGGAGGGAGGAGCAGAGCAGCCGGCGGCGCTCGTTGGAGAGATCGCCGGAGACGACAGCGTCTGCTTCGCGGAAGACTCTCACGGCGGCGTCTGCCCTCTTCGCCACCCCGAGGAAGTCGATAACCAGGCGGAGGGTCCCAAAGGGGAGCCTCAGCCCGTCGGACTTCACCTTGCTGAGGAGGCGCTCCACCAGCTCGCCATGGCCGTCGCGGGCGAGGATGGCGATCATCCTCGAGGTGGTCTGCCGATCATGGACAAACCCTCGAGGACGGTGGCTCACCCAGCAGAAGAATCTCCACGCAGACTCCGGTTTCTTGAATCCCCTGAGGAACTTGCAGACCAGGCGGGAGGTCCACACCAAGTTGGCCTCCTCCATGGCGGCGACCTCCTGCGCGTCCCAACCCTCCAACGCTCCGGCCAGAGCATTCGGGTCCAGCCATGGCTTCAACCTGACGTGGTCTCCTTCCTCGTCGTCGGAGTTGGGATCAATCACGACGTACCCGATCCTCTCGTCGGAGGATACCATCTCTCTGAATAACTCCTCTTCTGCCAGGCCGGCGTAGCTGCCGGCAGCGAGCATGCGCGACACCGCCGAACGCACGGCACGCCCGGGCCAGACGCCGTCGTCCTGCAACTCTGCGAGCAGCCTTCTGAGGCCATCGAAGGCTCCCGCAGAGGTCAAGGCCTCGGCGAGGACGTTGTACTGCTTGGAGGTGCGGCGGATCCTCATATAGGGCAATCTGTCGAACACCTGGAGGGCAGACTCGAGCTTCCCAGCTCCTACAAGGTGCTCGATGACGACGGTGAAGGTCCTCGAATTAGGGTTCGCCCCTTCTTCCACCATCTTCCGGAAGACGTCCACAGCTTCGGCGTCCATCCCGGCGGCGGCGTATAGGGACATGACGAGGTTGTAGGATTCTGTGCAGGGGTGGCGACGGCGAGCGTCGGTGGCGGCGGCGCGGATGCCCTCCCAGGTCTGGAGGGCGGCGGGGAGGTCCCCCGCGGCGGCGTACCAGCGGAGGAGGTCCATGGGGGCGGCGCTGCCATTGGCGGAGAGGAGGGAGCGGAGATCGTCTGCGCGGCGGGAGAGGGAGAGGGTTTTTGCGAGGGCGTGGAAGGCGTGGTGGGTGGCGGAAAAGGAAGGGTCGGCTTGGAGGGCGCGGAAGAGGGAGAGTGCGGCGGCGGGGGAGGGAGCGGAGCGGAGGGCGTGGACGGCGGCGATGGAGTCCACCGGTGGGGAGAAGGACGATGGCGGGGGGAAAGGGATGGAAGGGTCGTGGAGGCGGAGCCGGAGACGGAGGGCGTCGATGGCCCGCGCGCGGCGCAGGCAGAGGGAGACTCGGGTGGTGGCGGCGCCGCCGGTGGAGAAGAAGACGCTCCGTAGAGCGAGAGAGGTTTTCGAGTGGCGGCACTGTACGCGCGGCAACGCTGGCATGACTACTGCGGCCGCTCCAACTTACAATGTAGTGAGATAGAAATAGATAGATAGCTCTAGAGAGCGAGAGAGAGAGAGAGAGGTCCTCAAGGGGGATCGATCCCTCCTCAAAAGAGAGCTCACTCGATTTGATTTGGGTAAAACGCACACCGTCATGCTAAAACCGGCGGCTACAGAGATATTGACAAAAGTTATGAGAGAGAGAGAGAGAGAGAGAGAGAGAGAGAGAGAGAGAGAGAGAGAGAGAGAGAGAGAGAGAGAGAGAGAGAGGGAGCGAGCTTGGTGCAGCAGTGAGGACCGTAAGGGCTCAGTAGTAGCCGCTGTAGTAACCCTGCGGAGCCGCCGCCGCCGCCGCCGCCGCCGCCGGCTGGGAGAAGCTCTGCTGCGCGTAGGCCTTCGACCAACATACCACCAGAAGAACCGATCAAACTATAAAACTCTGCTTGGCTTAAAAATGTAGCGCTATAAAAAGGTGTCAAAGATCATCCTCAAGCCCCCCCCCCCTCTCTCTCTTTCTTTTCTCTCTCTACTTTCTCTCTCTCTCACTACTGTTCTTGAGATAGTTGAAGGAACAAAAGAAGTTCGGAAATACCTGAGCAGGGTACGGAGAAGGGTAGGCGCCGTAGGCAGCCGCGGTGGTTTGCGGGGCAGATGTTGCAGCCTGAGGGTGAGTGAAGCTTCCATAGCCTCCGTAGCCACTGTACGCAGCAGCAGCCTGAGGGGAAGAGGAACACCAATTAGGCTCCTATTTTTGTCACAGGATGGGGAGCTCTCTCTCTCTATCTCTCTCTCAACATAATCCAGAAGCAAAGGAGGAGGCTGGAATGGATGCTCCACCAATTATGGTTTGTTAAGAACCTTATGTGCTGAATAATGTAAGCTAAGAACCTTATAATGTGCCGTAATTACTTCAAGGGTTATAAAGAATCAAGGGCATATAATATATGGTTAAATCCGAGAGGGCAGAGGCAGACCTGCGGTCCGTATGCAGGATTCCACTGTTGTCCCTGTGCCGCAGGGGCCTGTGGCCAAGTAGAAGGCTTGGTTCCATAGCCAGCAGGCCACTGGGCCTGGGCGTTCGGGTAGGCGCCCATCACGGAGTGAGCCGAGGACATGTAAGTTTTCGCTAGTTTTGCCTTCTCCGAATCTAAGTAATCCTCCGCATGCCTCTTCCTGGAGATGGAAAAGCTTTTGTGGCGCAAGAACAGCATGCAGTGTCGAGTATCTGCCTTCTTGATCGTCTGCGCGTCCCCAAAGAGATCTAAAAACTGCAGGGAAAAAACAGGGAATGCATAAGAATCACACCGTTCAGGATCAAAAGGTTTATACAGGACGATGAACATGGAAAGAGGGGGGATATAATAATAAATATGTCGAAAGAGCGGCATTGATTGTGCATTCTTCTACTATGTTTTGAAACCTTTTCACATGAATAATACCATTCATAATGCTCTTAAAGAGTCCTTTCACCTTCAACGAGGTAAGATTAACATAAGTTTCAGCACCATCAGAAATACTGCGCATGTTGGAAAAGGAATAACGAGAAATCTTTAATAATATGACACAGATTCCCACTCAATAAAGCTAACTGGCCAATTCTAAACAATGAAATTAAGGTACCTAGGCAATAAAATAAATAACTAAGCTAAAATACCAAGTATTTTTGTCCATCCCTTGCTGCCAGCAGCAATGGTCTTTGTAGAAGAATCCTGCCCTTATTGCGGCCCATAGTTCATAGTATTGAACTATGATTACTACGCCAAGATGGGTTCACGGATTTACGTATCAAGTATTGAACATGTCACCCACAGCCCATAGTTCACCGGTGCTAGGAGAGATCATGTGCTCTGATTACTACATCACTATCAGGTGCTACCATATCTTGCGGCCCGCCCAATCGTTCCTGTTGTTTCTCATGTATGAAGCATACCACAACCACTCACTTAGGGTTCACAGTGCACACACACAGTTCTAGTCCTACTCCTTGTCTAGGCTGGCAGAGATTCCTAGACTTAGGATCATACCGTTCTCCAACGATGAGCACAGAAAGAACTGCATCTACATACAATTCAAAGAGAAAAAACCAGGTATTTTGGGATTCTTAGTAATGTACTCACCTCCAAATATATGCTAGACAAGTCTTCTCTGTCTGCAGTGCTTGCCGCAGTAGGGTTGTCAGGGTTTGGAGTAATGAATTTCTCAACAAGCGAATCTACATATTCAATTCGCTTTGGTGATGGTAGGAGGGACTCCAGATGGATTATTGCCTGCAAAATGCGGAGATATGTTACACACACAAATGGGGAAAAATAACGAACTGCTTCAAATGATCAAAATGGCAACATGGAACTAGAAAAGTGGTCACCTCAACGAGTGGTTTCGAAAGCTGCACCTGTTCAAAACCACCGGAAAGTATTTCTTTCGCCTTGTCAGGGTTGCCAGTAACCTGCAATAACATGGAGATTACAACGAGAGCCACAAGCTTGTTTAAACAATACGAATGCATGAGGTGTAACCAGTTCAAAGTTGGAAAAAGATGCAAAATGGACCGCATCTGGTCTCCACAAACTTCAATTTTTACAGAAATGCTTATGGTGGCATTGGTTCTCAACAAACATTGTAGGCCATGAGAATGGATGGTAGTTGTCCAGTAATGTGGGGCGATAAACCAAGGGGCTGGACCGACGCAACATGTGAGGCATTAATTGAACAAAAATCACGTGTTACACTGCAAAATATTTCGAAAATCAAGTAAAGAAAATCTATGATCCATATAAAGAAAGTAGTGGAAGATCATGGGAAAATAAACGTAAAGAGATCAGACCAGGCAGATAACTCGGTTAGCAGAGAATCTTATGAATGTAGTTTTGGTTGTGTTTATTTCGAATAGATTCCATTCTCTAGCATATGCACACACAGGGATCTACACGACACCAGTCATCATAGTTTGTTACTTGAGTCCGAGAATAAGGGATTCATTCTCTCCATGGAAAACCAACTCCATAGGATCGACAACTTTAAAAATATTTGGATGTTGGAAAAACAGAGTTACCAGATGAAAATCTCGACGGATAGCCAACTCAGCAGTCATAATTTATTACACAGATCTTCGACTCAGATTTATTTCACGAAAGGACCATCTTACCAAGTATAAATATCGTGAATACTGAACTAACAGCATAGGCAACACTTGGGACAGTTCTTTCCCCCGCTCAGCAGCAATGGCCTCTTCATAAATGGAGAGCGCGGCTTCCTTGTTTCCCTACAGGAGGACAAAGAAATGATTGTTAGAAAGAATACTAAATCAGAAGCATTTACACATTTCACATTATCTTACCAGACGGTGCTCCATATTCGCATGCTTCACTATAGCTTCAAGAAAACCAGGTGAAATCTCGGAGTGCAAGAGCTGAAACTCTGCACGAGCTCCTGAAACATCCGCGTTATTTTCCTTGAATCTCGCGGCAAAAAGGTGGATTTCTGGTCGTTTCTGGAGAAAATCATTGCAACCGTGAGGATAGATAGAGTATGAAATCATATAAAGCTGCATAAATTGAAGATCGTAGTGAATGTCGCACCGGGAAGTGGAAAAAATTGAAATCTAAAATCTAAAATCTATGCCACAAGAATTATTGTAAAAGAATAACAGCGATAAATATGCACAGATAGGTTATCACTAGAAATCCCACTATCCTTTATCCCTGTCTGGTACGATTACTAGAAACTATGCAATACAAGGCAGCTAAGAATTATAACCACGAAATTTTTCTGTTTAAATGGAGAGGAATGGTGATAGAGCTGCAGGTAACAAACAAAGTCTTAGTTAATTGGCCTATCATTTTTTAAAACCCAATCACTCCTGTGAGGGAGGAGGCAAGGCAAAGACGACCGCAGCTTTTAACCACTGCCCGATACAAACCAGATATAAAAGGAAGAGAAAAATACAAAAATAATTCTTCCATAAACTGGTCTACATGTTTTCGTGCAAGATGAGAAATCCAGAAACTCCGGTCCTTACAGTCTGTATTTTGACGAATAGTGCAAGAGTGCTATCTTTAGCATTTTCATACGGTAAACATTGAATTAAAAATCATAAAGCAGTCTTCTGACACGCCATCACTGAATTAAGTTCCCGAGTCGAATTAGTTAACACACCTTCATATTTAAAAAATTGAAAAATACCTTGACAAAGACTTGTGTGGCACGAGCAAGGGCATTGTTTGCAAGCTCCAAGCTTCCACTGGCTTCCATGCATAAAACATAACGCGTCCAGTACTCGGGATAATTAGCACAAGCAATCAGACATCGTTCATACAATTTGACAACCTGCAATAACGTTTGTCACATTATGTGATTTTCCGACTAATAAATGGACGGAAAGAGAAATGGATAAAATATAGCAATAAAGAGTGCACAAGGAGTACTCCATTGGCTGATCAGGGAGGCCCCTCATTACAAACGAGGGAACCTCCTTGCCTGATAGATAGATGGTTATGCGGGTGAGCACTAAGAAGACACCTGCATGTATCAGATGGGAATTTTAAAGATCATAATTGCTACACAAGACAGATTGTGCACCCAGAATGTCCACAGACAAATGAGGGTTTGAAGTACTTAGCCTCATGGAAACCAAACGAAAGTCCATGCCTTAGCCTCAGTTCATATTCCCTTTTTTAAATGTAGCTTCACCGAACACACTTTAGCCAATAAAGAATATAATGCAGCCAATAACACTTATTGAAACATTTATGCATGAATGCTCAAGCCATGTCCCATCACAGAACGAAGAGAAGTGAAAATCAGAATATGCACGACGAAAACTGACATACCTTATTGAAGTCATCCCCTCTTTCAATAAAGTCAAGATAGCTGTGCCAGTTTTCAAGCTCAGGATCATCAAGAGGCCGTACATGAAAATATGGCCTCCTAATAGCTGTTTCAAAACCAATGATCTTAGATTCGAACTCTTTAGCTTTCTTATACATCTCTTCTCTAATTGCGATATACTTCTCCAACTCCTCTGCTTCTGATAAGCCTGCACTTACGGGTTTAGTAGACTGTTCCACAGAATCGGGGTGAACCTCGCCCTCAACTCCATCTGTGGTTACTGTGCTTGCAGTCACCATATCTGCCTCTTCAGCAGTCCGTATTTCCAATAGAGGTCGAGCTGCTGCCAGTTCCTTAAAGCTGATAAACCAAGAAAATCAAACTGTAAATATTAGCTACTAAAAGAAAATGCAATTTTCTCCTCTAACCAATATATAGCATCAATAAAATCTTTTAAAAAAGCATGATCTCAATTACAAAGCATCACAAATTTTGATTTGATAACAAAGAATCAGTCACATAATGAACACTTACATCAAGAAAAATAATTTCGAATAACCACAATAAATAATTATAGTACATATATGACAGAAGAATAAATGCAGAATACATGATCACAACTCTAAACCAGAAAGAAAATTTGGAATTACTCAATAATCATATTGTCAAACTACACCGAAGAAAAGATTGTATAAAATAGGAAAAAGAGGTGTCTTTTTCGACTACTAACAAAAGAGTAGAAACATAAAAGTAGGGAACATGGAAAGCAGCTTTTTCGACTTTTTCCAATTTGGATAAAAAATTGTTGTGCAAAAAACGTTGCATCAATGATTCTAAATATATGGATTGCAAGTATTCAAGGATTAGGTTACAAGTTCAATTAGGTCAGGTAGGCACGATTTCCTATGGAATTTCTCGGACATCAAAGTTTAGAATTTTATTTCTACAATGAGAGAGGACTCCTGCATTTTCAAGAAGTTTCTACCAAAAGTGCAACTTTACAGTCTATTAAATATTTTCTTCGTGTGTTATGCTTCCTGCAGGTCATACACAACACCTTTTAATCTCATGGAGAGAATCAAACCTGCTAGCATTTCAAATCTTTATCGTCCTACATTATGCTCAGCAAAAACATGGGGAAACGATCAACTTTGCAGGGAAGAAGCGCAACAACTCCGGTTGACAAATAAAATAATAATCTTGTATTTTCCTTGTCCAAAATGGCCTTCTGCTTCCTATTCATGAAACACATATTTCGGACCCTTTTCTCCCCATGGTAACCACCAACCGTTGTAGACACTGTTGCATCCTTTTCCTCGTTGTTTGTTAATCAGTTTCTTCCTCTTCGAATGATGTGACCGGTTGGGCAATAGATTGCTTTGTGTGGTTACCATGCTGCTACCATTCTCTCATTGTTTTTCCATCACTTCCCCGCTCCCCTTATTTCTCTTCTTCATTTATCTTTTCTTCTTCTCTCACAAGTCAACTGATGTCTAATACTTGCTGTCTTTATTTTAAACGCTCCATTATATTGTTTGAATAGTATCTGGAAGTCGTTCCGTAAGATGTGAACATCAGAGAGAAAAAGTCCCTCCCAAAAGCTTTGTTTTCCCACATCTCCAAAGATTGGCAATTGATTTATTTCAGTTGATTTAGTGAACTATAGTCATAAAATCCACAGCATCAAGCATTCCTACATAAAAAGTCTTACACAAAGAAAACAAATCCTGAGAGGAGGTAACAATCACATAAACAAGAATAAGTCAAGGTTTCATATGGCAGAAGAAATGAATAATAGCCAACCATGAAAATAGTAATACCTATTAAAATAACGATCTAAGTGCTGGATAGGATTCTCAAAGATCCTAGTATAGATCATGGCAACATGACTCCATGCCTGCTGTGAATACTCATACTTTATGTATTCGTCCCAAAGAGGAGAGGATAAGTAGTCAGTTCCAACATATGCTAGCCCACGTTCAAAGAGCCTGAAACACCACAAAAATGTAACCATGTTATAACAAATGCTCGGATAACCATAGAATCACTATAAATCCTCCATTAATGGGTTTCTATCTGAAGGGGAAATCACACGCAAACATCACATGACACTTCAAAATTATACATAAATATACTAAATTTACCTTCCTGCAAAAACGATTACCATGTCCATGAAACGGAGGTGAGCAAAGAGGCCTTAGCCTCTAACTGGGCTTGATCTTCCTCAAGAAGCATTTTGCAAATCAGTGCACCCATGAAGCCTTGACAGTGTGTGTGTGTGTGTGTATTATATATAACATAAAGGTTGGTCACGACAGCTATATAACTAATACACGAGGCAGTTCCGTAGAAAATAAGGAACACAAGTAAAAGTAAAAGATAAAATGGTGGGGTTTGTATGTAATAGATGCATTTTCTATATGCAATCCCGGCAAACCTTTCCGCCATAAATGTCACATGTCACTGTTGTGGCCACACTGAAATAAGGTTAGAAGAGAGAATAACTAGACTGTTACTGCCCAAGAAGTCAAACAAAACACAAAATCAGATAAATGCAGCAGAGAGGGACTTAAAGAAAATATCACCTTCGGATGGTGTCAGGATCATCATACGTTGGGATTGCAAATTCACAATAATGCAACCATATGTCAACGGAATATGTCACTGCCAAAACAGCCCGCTCGTACACCTCCACAACTTTATCAACAGTGCCCAGGCGACCCTCATGGTCAGCATACTTTTTCCAATATCCATAACACAAGGGAAATTCAGACAAAAATGCATCATAGACTCCTCGTATTTTCAGGATATTATTCTGCAAAAAGTAAAAAAAAGAGTTATACTTCAATTCTTTGTAATAATTAACTTACAGTAATTCTGGATCAAATCATTTTTACGCATTCTTCCAGTCAAAAAATAAAGAAATCTTGATACGTCCCCCAGAAGCCTCAAATGTTATTGAAGAAAAGGAAAGACTGTGTCCTGCTTGATTCTATGGATAACTCAAAATCCAATAAAAATCTAGTAATATCGTCACTGAAACTGTGAACTCTTGAACTCAGACATATATACTAGAACAGAAATGAAGATTCAGAAATGTGACATCACAGGGGAACCATCCGAAAGGCCACGGCAAAATCGCAATGGTAGGAATATTTTAAGGTTGGAAGAACATCGTGAAAGAAAGATGGTTGATGACGCACCTCTTTCTCGGTTTCTTGAATTAGGGCTGTCCACGCATTAAAGTCTAGACTATTGGCCCTCACTATGCTCCATAATCTATCTTCCTCCGTAAAGATTCCTGAACGGAAAAAGGGTACAAATAGAAGATAAATTAGCACCTCAATGTACAGCTCTCAAAAGTGAGAATTTCCCTAATAATAATAAGAGGGCTAGTTCGAAACCAATTCAAAACTAAAAGAGATGTAGAGGAATCCACTAAGTGAAAAAATAACATGGAATTTTCACAAACAGGTGGAAACTAGAAACCAATTGCTGAAAATTTAAGTGAATGACCTACCAGCTTCTCCACCAAATCGCTGCTCCATTACAGCACTTTCAGTCTCATTTGATGCACCTCCATTTTCACCAACTCCTAATGTTACATAGCTTGAGGTTTGTGTTACACCTCCATTTATGGAATCGTAACCAATAGCATGACTTGATTCGCTTACAGCAGTCTCCTCGTTGGCATTCGTGGACGTCAACCCGGAAGGCAACTTGTTATCGTAGGCCGAACTATCAGTAGCATTTCCATCTGTAGGTGTAGAATGTGCTGCATCTGCACTAGATCCAGAGGTCACCGATTCCACAGTATTGACAGCACCAGGATCAGAAACCGTCGTGAACTCTCCATAACCAGCAGTTTGGTACTCCTGGACAGTTGACGTTTGAGCAGCCAACATTTGATGATCTTCCATGTTTGCTGGTTTTTTTTTATCAGATTCGGCTTTTCTAGTTGACTTGCTGAAATCATAAAAAAAGGAAGCCATGAGGAGAGTATATTGCTGAAAATGTAGCACAAGGACAGAGGGATACAAACTAGACGACCGATATCAATCAATTCAGGATGTCACCAAGTGAACTAGATTTTACTGTGGTCAAATAGAAATTGACATAGGCAGCGAAGGGAGAAGAATCAAATGGTGTGGCTAAAATTCAAAGCAAAGAAAATTAATATGCAGCGCTATCACGCAGTTTGGGTAATGCTCAAGGCAGATACTGGTTTATACTTCAGTAGTAAACGGAAGGACTGATTAAAACACTATGAATCTAATTTCTGAACTGAAAATTACGCAGAATGGAAGAAAAACGCGAAAGGAAACATGAGAACGTTGAAACTTAGAATACGCATGGAGTGAACGACGGTTAGATGTACCGTCGTTCTGTGGGTAACCTCTAACAGTTCGAAAATTATGCAACGGTCACCGAACAAGCAGATACCGTAAATGAGTTCCTATTAGGTTACATTATCAGAGTTCTGAAGCGGAAACATTATCCCAGTAGCCCAGAGAAACTCTGATGGCAAAGTATTCAGCGGTACTCGACACTCCGGAGGGAAATAAATGAACAGCCACCTCTGACGATAAAAAAAAACCGAACTCTCGCAGTGCTTCACCCTTCCAGCGGCGGGTCGCGTCTAACGGCGGCGGACCTGAAACAACGGTGGCTCACTGGTGCCGCCTCTGGCAATCGCAGAGGGCACAACAAGCCACTAACCTCCGCCACAGGTCAAATATACCCTACCACTGCGACCAATAAAAACCCTAGCAAAAAGATTTCATCACTCCCCGCGCAAGAAATTGGTTCCCCGAGCAGGAAGAACGACGAAGCAATCAACATGGAGACGGGGAGAACGCCTTATGAACCTCTTTAAGCTGAAATCCGCCCACAGTGCTCCTCCCTTCTCGCCGTCCTCTTCGTCGTCGGCCCTGGCGGCGGCGGCGGCGTTGTAGTAAGAACTAGAGAGTAGTGGGGTCGGGATTGGCGATGAAGGGGATAACCAGAGGTGGCGCGCCGTTCCTGAAATCGGGCTCCTAGTTAGTGGCCCAATGCCTGACCGGCCCAAATTTCATCGTATGGAACTATTGGGCGCAGCCCATTTTGGGACGCTTCCGTGGGAGGCACACGTGTGGAGAAGCCACGTGCCAGCGCAACTCGACTTATGCGAGAAGTCGAAACCGTTTGATCGACTGGGATAATCTCAACCGTCAAGAGAGGATCCGACGGACAAGAATGAAACCCTAGAAGGCGCGGGGTTTCGGTCCCACGTGGTGTAAAGACGATTTTGAAGTCGGTAAAATTGGCGCGGATCTCCACAAGTTTTTTGGCGATCGGACGGCGTAGGATGCTCGCCGGGGAGGCGTAGGTTAGTATACGAGGAAACAAATCGCCGTCACTTTCTTCCGTGGCCCAGCGCCACTTCCCATTTGCGATAAAGCGACGGCCTTGCGGCGGCGGAGAGGGTGGAAGAGGAGGGAGGAGCTGTTTCAAAGGGAGGGGAGAGGAGGGGAGGAGATTTGGGAGGGAAGGGTCGGGAAGTAGCTGCTGCGAGGGGAGGTGGAGAGAGGGTGGGAAGGAGGGGGAAGAGTACGAGGGAGAAGGGGAAGATAGGATTCCAGTTCGCAAATCCTTCTGCTTCTCTCCGGAGAATCGGAGCTTTTTTGTCCGCAAATCCTCCTTTTCTTGCTCCCTTTTTCCTGAAGAGGAAGACTTCGGTGCGGATCTCTCAGGGCGCAAAGTGGATAAGCGGGCGGCCGTACGTCGATCGTGTGGACCTACCTAGGGTTTCGCAGGGACTGGGGGCTGGTATCCCCCTGTATGCTCCGCTGGGCGACAATGGCGTCTGGGTATCTGGCTCCCGTTAGCGCTGTACAGGTAGTTCGTTTGAGTTTGTTCTGGGAGATTGTTCGGTAATGGATTTTCTTCCCCGCTCAGTGGAATGGGAACTCATGGATTTGTCCTTTACAGGTTGGGAGTTACTTTGTGGGGCAGTACTACCAGATTCTTCAGCAGCAACCGAATTTAGTTTATCAGTTTTACACTGATTTGAGTACCATTGTCCACATGGATGGCAGCTCGGAGGAGACAGCTTCTGGAATGCTGGTGCGCTTCTTTTATGTCGTTGTTCTCTCAGTGTATTACCAAACTAAAATCCCGATGATCTCTCTCAACGACTGCATGACCTTACTACTCTCATATTTCTTATGCAATCCTTTCATTAATTGAAGGATACAAGGTGATGAAATAAGTGTTCGGAAAATTTTAAAAATGGCAGTGACTGACTCAAACAAAGATAACCAGAATGGTCACCTAGTGACCGACAAAGGCTACATGTCTTTGTGAAAATATGATCAAACCAATCATAGAAATTGAGTGGGCTGGCTGCGCACATCGTGTAAGATATTGGCCCGTTGGTAAAAAAGGGGTTAAGACGTTGGTTGATATCCCTTGATTTTCTCTGCCTCTGGAATGGATGGGGTTCTTGTAACCTTATCGTTGCAAGTTCTAGACAGCCTACCTATGTAGTTTTTCGGCACAAGTGTTTACATGATTGTTTTTACTATTTACTGACATAGTTGGACAGTCTGAGGTGATCTAAATTGACTTCATGTCTCAATATTCTGCGATATGTTCCTTATTTTATTTATCTTGATGTTTCATCAACTTTTGTGCCGAATCTAGAATGATGAATTTACTTTACCTTGAAAGGCTTTGGGGAGGGCCATTTCATTTGCTTTATGATGGTGAAATCACTGTTATTTCACTGCTATTTCTTCTTCTGTCAATCGAATCTGTCATGTCCATTGTGATCCTTCTGATGACAATGAGGATATAATAAAACTCGATTGTACATTTTTACTGAGTACTGTTATCGTAAGTGTCTGGTTGTTCGGTACTCAGATATTGATCTCATATTCGACGTCGATTCATCTAGCCAGTTTTAGCTTTTTCTGTCAATTGTTGATGAGTTTACTTTTTATTGAATGATGCATATTAAAGCATTCTGGCTTCATCACTTCAAAAAAAAATTCTTGGTGCTCGTGTTTAATTCTCTTGTGTCAACTTAGCACTAGGGGTATTCACTTGATTTTATGGAGTTTGTAATATTAATAACTCCACTTGATTTTTTAAGTGATTAATTGCTTAGCTTACTTTGACATGGAGCTGTTTTATTTGTTGCAGCAAATCCATAGCCTCATCATGTCTCTGAAGTTTAGTGGTATAGAGATAAAAACAGCCCATTCATTGGAATCTTGGAGTGGGGGTGTTTTGGTGATGGTCTCAGGGTCTGTGCAAACAAAGCAGTTTAGTGGCTGGAGGAGATTTGTGCAGACTTTCTTCCTTGCTCCTCAGGAGAAAGGATACTTTATTCTCAATGACATCTTCCACCTTCTTGATGAAGAACAGGTGCATCAGCAGCAAGTTCCTATGTCAGTGCATAATAGCTTCAATTCTACGATTATTAACGCTACATCAGCGCCTGATTCAGGTATGGATTTTGCAACGGTCAACGATGTTTGATGATAAGACTTTGGAGACCAAGTTTGATTTTAAAATATTAGTCGTAAATCACTCGGTTGGTACCTTATTGTAGTGATTATCAACTTGATTGTGGTATAGTCGTCCATTTTGGTGAAATTTTTAAACATAATGTGTGTACTGATGCTTAATAATAATTTTGATATGGTTTGTGCGAAACTGGTGAGCTGGAAACAGCGATAGTATGTATAATTATATATTCTTGATGATTGCTGCGCGTATTTTTTTTGGTTTTATTATCTGTTGTTCACCCTGAATAACTGATTGACTACGTTACCGATTGAGTACATTACTGATGTGACGGGGGGAATTTAATTCTCAGTCAGATCTGGTTTGAAACGTCTGAGAAATTTACAATTGTCTGATCTAAAATTCGATATTCTAACATTCTGAAAGTGATCGTTAGCACATGTGAAAATACCATAATTGGATTCTCTATTCATAATTTGACTGGCAGAGACATGCAGTGAGCTGTAACGTATAGTTCTTGAGGTAAGAAAATGATGGTGAACGACGTAGTAAAGGTTTTGAATTTATTCTAAATGTCCTCCTAAATTTTAGTTTTTTTAGTTAATGTGTAATTCTTCTCTTTATTAACTTAAGCTTCTTGGGTGTGGTCGGTTTTCGTTGTCTTAATGATTTCTTTCCGGGCAGTATGACACAAAATGTCTGTAGTAGATACATTAGTAGGTACTATTCTGTTTAAGCCTATTTTGAGATAATTTTCGATGACCCAAGGATTCTCTTTATCCGGAGGGGCTGGTCTTTCTATTTTTGAGCTCGTATGTAAATTCATATTTTACCATAAACTAAATCAATTATTCTTGTCAACTGAACATGCACTTGCATTGCTAATTAACCTGTAATAGCTTATGACTGTGAAATAATTTATCTGGCAGTTACTAACTACATGCATGGGAGAGAAGCACACATCAATGAATTCACAGTTCCTGCTGATGTTGAGGAAAGTGAATCCATTGACAAGTACAACATTCCTGATCCACAGCAGCAGCACATTTCTGAGGCTGATGATGGTGCTGAAGAAGAAATTGCACCTGAGGAGCTTGTAGCTTCGTTCCCAAGCGACTCTAACTTCCAGGATCAGCCTGCTCCTGTTGAGGAACCTGTTGGGGAGCCAACAAAGCACACTTATGCCTCTATTGTATGTAATGTGTTAAGACATACATTCACCTTGTCTTTTGCTGCCAACTCTATCTTATTGGATTTCTTTTTTTAATCTCATTCAAAATGGTAGTTGAGAGTGGCTAAAGTGCCCACTGGACATCCTGTACCTCCACAAGCCTCTACAGCAAGAAATGTGCAAGTGCTGTCCGAATTAGAGTTGCAGAATGTCTCACAGGCTGCTCCACAGCAGTCACCATCTGGACTTGAGAAACCTGGCAGTTGGGCAGAGGATGTTGCTGGACAAGAGGATGACGGTGAGGGTTTCAATTCTCTATTTTTGGATGCAATTAATTAGAGTTTTCGGGACAAAAGTTTAATTAATGTGTATCTTTTAATCATCGGAATACTTCAGCTTGTGGAGACCATGAATCAAGCTTCTAGTTTTTTCGATTAATGTTCTTACTCAAATATTCACCATTTCAATTTTATCTTCTTTTTTTTTGCTTTTTCAGGTGAGGTAAAATCTGTTTATGTAAGAAACCTACCTTCTTCAGCATCTGTTTCAGAGCTTGAACGGGAATTCAAGAACTTTGGTAGAATCAAGCCCGATGGTGTTCTTATAAAGACTCGGAAGGTAATGGCCATTATTTGTCTGTCTATATACATAACCACAGACTTGCAAATATGTTAACATTTTTGCCCACTTTGTACGTGTCGTATATGATCAGGAGGCTGGCGTCTACTATGCCTTTGTCGAGTTTGAGGACATGGCTGGTGTTCAGAACGCTCTCAAGGTTTGTTTTGCTTATTTTCAGTAATGAGGGTAGCTAATCGCAATTCCTGTCTTGGCTTTGTCCCCCCAACTTACCCCACACAATCTAGATGATATTTCTTCATCGTTCATGAATAATTTTTTGCAAAAAGGTTGTCACTTTGTCCTATAAATATATATATATACAAGTTTGCCCACCTAGTGGCCAAAGCGGTCATCTCATGCACGCCTTCCCCCCCCCCCCCAATCTGTGCAGGCATCACCGATCCTCTTCGGTGGACGGCAGATACATGTTGAAGAGAGGAGACCCGGGAGCCTGGGAGCTCGAGGAAGTAAGTCCTGCTGTTTATCGAAGAACAGAGCATTAGGCTTTCTTTGATTTCATGGAGAAATAGCTGAATTCCGTCCTGTATGTCCCCATCAACCCATGAATTGGGTTGTTGAAATATATATAGATATATATATATATATATATATTCTCCAAGATATCATCTTGACTATCTCGGAGTGACCAGAAGGTTCTCTTGTTTGTTTTTCTGTGCAGGGAGGGTAAGAGTAAGAGGGGGAGGAGGGTACCAGGGGGAGGCCCCAAGGGGCCGTTTGGGCTCCCGACCCTCTGAAGGAAGGGATTACAATGGCCGACCGAAAGGGAACGGCTACCACCACCAAGGACAAGGCCCTCGCCAAGACCGAGGCATACTCGGCCCACAGGTAGCTTTGAAGAATGGGCAGAGAAGCTCGGCTGACGCTGCCACAAACGCTGGTCCCCAGTTTTGATCCTCCCACCCACACTGCCACTGGCCTCCCCTGCCCATCGTCTCGGCTGATGAGATGGGCCGCTAGTCCTCTCCCCTTTTTCGCCAGGAGAGAGGGCCAGGTAATCGACCTCTCTCTACTACCCTTTCCTTCTTTTTTTTCTCTGTTCCCTCTGTGGAGATGGGTCTCTTGTTATCTGCGGGAGCTTTCCCGACTCAGTAATTCATGTGATTCACCGCCGATGAAAGGAAGATCCACTGCCCTCCTCTGCCCTGATGCTTGTCTCGAAAAATAACCAGTGCTTTCAGCTGACCCATTTACTACATTAAATAGGAGGCTTTATTTTTGTAATTGAAAAGATTATTAGGGACTTAATACCCAAAGACCATATTATTAACAAACCCATTTCATAAAATAATTAGGGATCTAATTGTAATAAAAAGATTCTCAGGCATTCGATACCGGAATAACCATATAATATGTTAATACCCAAATGAAATCAAGATTATTTAATGGTATTTACATAGTTATCAACATAACCCGCATCAGAAGGCCTTCCAAGATGGCTAATTTCTCGCCGAGTAGATGCCATCCATCACGTAGAGTATACTAATAAAAGGCTATAGATCGACACATTTCCCCTTCCATTGAAGGTGACTTGATGTAGACTATCGATTCTTCAGCGAGTCATCACCTTCCGTGCGCCCAGATGGGCTGATCCGTGATAAGATCCAGATCGGTTTCAGAGAAAGAGACCCCTTATGTACAAATAAACTTAACTGACTTATATCTAAAATACATCTAAAATGAATATTTTCATAGAATATTACTTGACGAGCCTCCTCTACTGCCCCGTTGACCGTATTAGCAGTCTCAGAAGAGCCTCCTTCCCTGATCTGTCTATTATTTTATACAATTGAGAAAACTGACTAACCATGGAGCATCATCCTCTTTCAATGTTCTGATAATTTCGGTTCTCCAAATTTATTTTCTTGCACTGGTTTCCGTTCCATTGCTCCAAAGAAATGCTCAGTCGAAGAAGAATCTCACGTTGGACTCAGCACGCAAAAAACATCTATCTTTTGCCCAACAAATAATTGGATCATCTCAGATTTCAATTATCGATATTGATTTCAGCCATGTAACCGACTTGGTCAGTCTCATTTCATAAGAAATATGAACTTCTGCCCTAAGGTTTTGACCCAGAATCTAAGGTGTTCAGTACTGACTGTACATGATAATCTTCTTCCACAGATTCATCATCAGATGTCGGGTTCCATAATAACTCACAGGAGATATTCTTGTCATCCGCAAATATTCAAGCAAAACCTTAATTTTTAACATCTTAACTTCAAATACTCCCCCACCTATGGAAATATGTGCCATTTCTACCCAGATTTCCCTTCTTGGCGTAGATTTTTTTATTCCATTAGAATTGAATGTTGGGGACATCACCAAACTGACCAATTAAACAGAAATCTTGCACAAAATGCAAGATCAGACTTTTAGAATTAACCTCTGAAGAAACTGTTCCACATTCTAAGATAATACTTTAGATTGAAAAAATAAGAATATATCCACTAATGCCAAGAATTATAATTTAAAGTAGCAGCATTCTAGTTCACCAACCAAGGGCAGATACTTTTCGAGATAAAAATGAAATCATAAAAAAAAATTCTACAGTGAACAAAGTAGTGTGATAAGACCGATATTGAATTGGCTATATGTAATCAGGGAATCGGTGACTTTGTCAAAATTTTCTTAATCTTCTTGACATCAACCTCTTACAAGTGGGATCAAGTACTATAAACAGGGCATAAAATATCATGTGCAATAAGCTGAAATAGCAAGTAGAATATTTCCTTGTATTCCATGCTTTGGGTTCGTAGAAGCAGGGAAGAACGATCCCACAACAATAACTCGACGACTTTTGCTAAATCAGTTGTTTGATCGTATCCCAGAAAGGGTATTTGCTAAAACAAGAGAACAATCAAGAACTGTTGATCACCTAGTGTGAAACCATTGGTAATATCCATAGTTATATCATCCATAGCTGTGGACCAGACACAGAATTGGTAAACTCAGGGATATATAAAAACTCTTGAATTGGATAAACTGAGAAGGTGAAGAAACTCTAGGCGTATGCATAAGGACTCCTGAATTGAATATTTTTTCAGAAGGCTTCATCACGATTTTCAAAGCAAACATAAAACCCAAAACTTCGAAGAAAAACATTACTGCAGAAGGCTCATTTATATATCTCATTTTTTTCCCCTGCATCCGCATAACATCGACAAATTAACACAGACAGAAATTAGATGATCATCTAATTTATTCATTCGCTGATCAGAACCGGTAAAGTGACACCTACATGGCCCTTGTGCAACCTGAGGAAAATGTTTTCGTAGACTCATTCATAGATCAAAAACTTAAAAGAAGAGAACTTTTAAACGATCAAAGAAATATTGATTTAGCGAAACAAAATATAGATTAAGAAAATGTCATAACGAACGCATAAGAACAAAATGGCCGGCACCACAGCACCTCTAAGAAAATTCAGCTGAGGGCCAATCCCCAAGAGTGTCACGACAAAAGCAACCAAGTGCACGCCGATTAGGTCACTTAGGCGTAGGCGGGGCTCCGTCCACGGACAGTGGCGCAGTGCCGAGGAGGCTTGCTTGCTGTAACTCCAGCTCGTTGAACTGCTGCTCCCTATCCATCTCTATAATGAGAGGAACCACCAGGATCACGAACGTCGTCCCCGCGATCCAGGCAGCCTTCCCCGTGCTACGCAGGAGCTTGTGCGCCACCGAGACGGCATCCGACGCCATCTTCTTCCCCCGGTACACGACCGGAGACTCCGAGAACGAGCTGGAGAGCCTCGCCAGGATCCCCCCGCCGCCCTCCCCTTCGACCCCGCCGCTCGATCCCGCGACGGCCCCGCTGCTCGACTGCGGCGCCATCCTTGAGATCGACTGGGATAGCAGGCAGTCGCCGACTCTCACTAAAACCCTCACTCTCTCTCTCTCTCTCTCACTTTCTAATAATAATTAATAATATCTAATTGTTAAATGTGATATATTAATTTAATAGGCATCGATCAACGGGCTGGGCCCATTCTAATGTCCGAGTCCAACCCAGGCCCTTTTTCTAGCCCGAAGAGTGTTCTCGAAGGTCTTTTTAATCAACCACACTTCTTAGACCAGTCCTGGTCGGGCTTAATAATCGGCGGGCCATGACCGTAACGGCCGGCCCGTTGACGCTATTTAATAAACAAGATTTAATTATGATTAAGAAATTTATAGAATTATAAATTAATGGAAAAAATTATTAAAGAGGTTTGAACTGGGAGGTCCCATGGTGGAGACCAGATGTGGAGGCAGGGGGCTAGGGCAGGCTGGAGGAGGTTCCGGTGCTCCACCGCTGCCCGCCACCGGCCGGAGGATGCTGGGGATTGGGCGTTCTCTCCAGAGTGGTGGGAACCGGAATCAGGAGGTGTCACCGTGTTCCGGGAACAATCCGGCCATGGAAATGGCGTCGTATCGGTGATCGCGCATCATTCTTCGAGACCGGTGAACTTTCTACCCCCCTTCTCGACCTCTTCCTCCTTTACAATGTCCAGCTCTCATTAGCCCTTTCTCGTGATTTTTTCTTCTTGTTGATCGAGTAAAGGTGACTGTGCGGGCGACGGTATCATCTGATTTAAGAGGGAAATTATTGTATCGGTTGCTTTTTGGTTCATTTGCTTCGATAGTCATATGGCAATCTTTATGATTCAATGCTTGGCACTAACCTTCTCTGTCGATTTTCCACGAGTACCCTGGAATGAAAATAAAAGAGGTTGTGGCTTCCTCGTATGCAATTTTTTGGGGAATAAAAGTTGGTTCACTGGTTAAGCTTCCTCATATTTTTCATATACGCATTTGCGCTTCTACGTATGGACTTAAATCAACAAGACGAATCTTAATTTCAGATTAAACCGAGCAATCATTAACCACTTGTACAGATTCCGCCCTTTTCTGATTTGGGCGAGAGGGGTATCGCGATAGGCGTCCAAATCACCACATGCTGATCAAAAACTCTTGATTTGGGTCCCAAATTCAAGACTCTTTAGACGAATGAAGCAATAAAGTAGGCTAGTGTTTAACAGACATCGAAACTGTGTCTTTGGAGTTCAGCAGATGTCTTCTAGAGGGTGATTTAGAGTAAACTAGTTTGTTGACAACCAATCATCTCGAAAAGTGTTTATGTTCTCAGTGAACAACCAATCATCTCGAAGATTAACGTCTGGACATCTCAACTGTAAGAAGAATGCTATTAAGGCTATGTGCATAGCATCTTTAAGAAGAATGGGATTATTAGTCCATGCAAAATCTGGAGATACTCTGAGTCATTATGCAACAAATATCTTGAGGGTTTGGCTTAATTTCGGAGTATGTATCAGGGGAAGAATAGTAAGTCTAACTTGGCACATTTTTTCAATGTTTGTTCCCATGAATTCAGCAACACACCTTCATTAACCCCCTGAATATGTTTATCTTTGTGTCTGAGTTCCACATCTTCACTTCGAGTGCCTCGGTCTCTATGCGAATGAACCTTTGGAATTAACTTGCTTTTGGCATATGCTGGATTTATTTTGGCAAATATTTGACTGTCTCTCATTCAGTCTGCTGATTGAAGGTTTGCGTTTATTAAGAAAGCTATCAAGATAAATTTAGAGAGGAAAAATGTTATAGTGACGAATTGGTACCCTCCTGATCCCTTCCCATTGACCGCAATTTTCATTTTCAACGCTATGTCTGAGGTGGGTGTCATGGATGTAGTCATCTGTTCATGAATGTATTAATGTCTGCCCGTTTGCAGATTTGATGGCCTAACAATGTTTGGAATGTATCAAGGTCAGTTGATCCATTCACCTTGGCTGATTTTAGTTTAAGCTCTTACAATGTTTTTCTCTAATCCCACGTGAAATCGCGGAATTGCTACCAGTAGGTAATATTGCGTGTAATATTACAGATTCGATTGGAACATAGACCTTATAGATCTGCATCGTCTCATGTTGGTGCGTTAGTTAGTTATTAGGCTTTATCTTGAATTGTCCCCCTCCCTTTCAATATCATAGGGAGGGGGTTATGAGTTTGAACCTAATTTTCCCCCTTTGATTTTGACGGTATCAGTTAAAAAAAACAAAGAAAAAAAAGAAAAAAAAAAGAGTAAAGAGACATTGATTGTGATACTAAAAAGTAGGTCAGCTTCCCATTTGCCACAATGTTGGCATTGTAAAAATAGAAGAAAACGTACTATTTTGATCTGTTACTGGTAAAGTAAGTACAGAGCGTCCCTTTGTTTTGTTTCTTGCAGACCTCAGATCAATGGCCAGAAATAGAGAGAGGGCTTCAACGAAGGTATGCAAAGATACATCCGGAATCAGATCCAGGTGGGGAGTTCAGAATACTTGGTTATCAATGGCGAGTGCTACGTTTCAACGATAACACTCGCCAAAGCACGACTAAAGTCGTGTCAGCTTACAGAAAATCGGACCCGGGCTCGCTCTATTTGATGCAGGAGCCCAATTGTCTGGCTGTTCCATGTAAGTCTCTTTCCCTTTTTTTTCTTCATCTCCTCAAGAACTCCGCGATGTCAATTGGATATAAGTCTATAACTTAATCTTTTATTGGGACAAAGATCGAGCAGATCGAGAAGTTGATGTACAGCTGCATACCCAGTAGTGATAATGAACAACTTATGAATTTCATAGTAGTCTTAGATCGATAATATTATGTAATCTAAAATTAGATAACATAAAAGAAAAAAAATCTCAGGCCAAAAGTCCTGTCTGTTAGTTATTTATTCCCTTTTTAAAGGTTTAGTATTTGATACATGTCCGTGTATTGCCTCTCTATCTCACAAAAGGCCAAAAATCTTCTCGCAGAAAGTTGACCTGATTTTCTTCCTTTTTTCTGCAACTTGGTGTATCAATGGACTCTAGACACTGTTGTTCTTATCATGCTCTAACGGTAGCCCCTAACCCAGAAAGCTCTGCCTTTTTTTCAGTGGTGATTTTTTTTTATTTTTGGTTTAAGTTTTATGAAAAACATGCTCATGCACACCACTGGGGTTGACCAGAATTTATTTTTCCCCCTTGGGGAAGGAGGAATGGATGGATCATCCCTGTACTATACAGAACTTGTCTATAAATTTTGATGATGTAAGATATGGTTTGAATTGGTTCGTTTAGTATCGTTGACTTCGGCTGTTCATTAGTTGATTAAATTTTCCAAAAATGGTATTCGCTTCTGCAGATCTCAAGAGTATGCTATCAGCCGGATTGTCAACTCTGACATCTCTTGGTTTTGACCTCCTCGGCGCCGTTTCTGGGAGTAAAGTCATGAGGGTATTGTGCATTGGCCATGGCGGCGGAACCCTGCCCCTATTCTTGGCCAGCAAATTCCAAGGTCAGAATGCGAACCCACCACCCCCTTCATTCCTCCGGGTTCTGTGATCTAGAGGTCAACCATGATTTTCAGGCGCAGTCGTTCACGTCGTCGAGATCGACCCAGTCGTGGTGACGGCGTCGATTCAGGCGATGGGCTTCCCCGCCTGCGCCGTCGAGGACCTCGCCGGCGGCGGCTCCTTCCGGCTGATCGATTCCCCCAACCAGGACCTGTGGCGGGAGGTCCCCGGCAGGCTATCCCTTTTCATATCGGACGCCGACGACTTCCTCCTCGCCGGCGGCGAGCCCTACGACCTGGTGGCCGTCGACGCCTACGACGGCGACGACGTCTTCCCCAACAAGCTCTGGGATCCCGACGGCGCCTTCCTGAGATCTCTCTCCGGCCGGCTCCACCCCGACCACGGCACCGTCGTCGTCAACCTCCACGCCGACTCGGACGTCTTCTCCGGGGAGGGCGGCGACGGCGCCGCCGCTTTCGCCGGCGGGATCCTGCCGATGGGAAGGTACGTCTCGCAGGTCTGCCGGGCGTACAGGAGCCGCGTGGGGATGGCCTTCAAGGTCTCGGTTCCGTGGCTCTGCAACATCTCGCTGGTGGCGTGTCGCCGCCGCGGGGGTTCCCCGGCGAGAAATGCTCTCGTCGGCTCCCTCATCGCCGGCGGCGACCGCGTAGAGCTCGCCTTGGATCTGCCGTTCCCCTGCGTGGAGTACCTCAAGCGAGGCTTCGCCCTGATCGATTGAGAGAGGAAGAGGAAGAAGAGGAAAAAGGGTGGGGGGATTCTTTTTAGGGTTCTTGAACATTTTTGGCCTTCAGGGATTCAACGGTCCGATCTGGTCTTTTCTGTAATTTCGAGAAATTGTGATCGGCGCAACGGGAGAATCCGATGAGTTATCCTTTAAACCGTTTACAGAATCCGATACTGACCTTTTTTGGTGGGTCCCCTCCAACGGTCGGAAGGGTTCAGCCCAACGGGAAACAATTCGCGCGGGTTATCTTATCCGAAGCGGAATAAAGGTGGGAATTTCGCCTTCTTGGCCTCGGGTTATTGATCTCATTTTCGAGCCGAGGGGAAAAGACGGGTTGGGTTTCGCTGTCGATCCCACCCCGCCGCCAGTTTCCTCGGTTGACTCCGGGGTGGTGTCGGCGCCGCCCACGGGTTCTTCTCCCACATCGTATTCATTTCCCGCGTCGCATCCGCCCCCGTAGCCGTCACGGTGCACTGACTCTCCAACCAAGGGATCGATCTCACGTTCGTCCCACACGGGGACAGGGGCATCAGAGGTCAACGGCGCTGGCAAGGAACGAGTGAGTTGGGATCCCCGGTGTTCATCGATGTTTGCTTTTCTCCTCCATTTCTTCTCCGCGCTCTTTCTTTTCGGCTCTGCCGTGCGATTGGAGACGAATGAAGGGAACCGTTGTGTTCTCTGATTCGAATTTCTCTTGTTCGCTGGGGTTTGAACGACAGCCGCGAATCAACTGCATCGGATTTTTTTATATTTTTTTTTCGTGAATGAATTTGGATAAGAAAAAGAGTCGTTCCTTCGTTACTTCCTTAATCCTTTTGATGAATTCCTTCCTTGATGGATTGAGGGTTGCTAATATCTCCATCCGAATTGTCCTCCATCGAATTATTTCTACTCTATATGGATTAGATTCGAAAGAACTTCCACACGGTTTGGAGGTGCTTCTCCAACCTAAAGCTTTCCTTGTTGATGGATATCTATGAGATTCGGTGGAGCATGTTCATGTGATTCTGGGGCATCGACTTTGCTGCGACAGTTATCTTTCAGGGTTCTAGTTTCTGCAGAATCGATGATAAAGAGCTCCTCAACTTAATCACTATTCTCCTCCGTACCAAATTTTATAAAAATTATGGCCGTCGACCAACGTCGGAAACTCTTTCATCGATAGCATCAAATGATCTTAGAAAGAAACACGCGGCATAAATTAATAATAATAATAAAATACTAGTCTTTTACTGTGAGAAATACAATGCCAAATTTAAATGCTTCGCCAGGTTTTTCTTCAATTCCCATTGAATCCCCTCAACCATTTTAATTGAGACTGTCTTCCATATTGGATTCAATGCATTATTTTTATCCTGTCTGACTGATATGCTGCCTGGGTTTTAAGTGTATCCAAAGGTAAAGGTCAGAGAACAGCCAGACAAGAACTCGCTGCAAAAAGAGGCAATTGATTCGATGCTTAAAGTTCTCAATTCTCTTTCCCAAGAAGGTCATCGTCCCTCGAATGCACCTCCTGCTAAACCCGGTTGGTATAGTCATTTAAAACTTCAGCGCTTCATCTACTTATTTTATCATGGTTCAGTGATCATGGTCTCCCTGTGATTTTCGAGCAATTTCTGCTTGATTTTGATTAACCGATCAATTAAACCAATCAACAAAAGTTCTTATTTCCAATTGTTCACAATCTTCCTTATTTTCATGTCTTGTATGTATATTTCTTATTGTCAAATATGCATTCTTCATTTTAATGTTATTTATTTATAGGTCGGTACTCGCAGAAAAACAAAAAGACATACTTTTTCGTGAAACATGCATGAAGAACCCACACTTACATTCTGTAATAAACCTGTGTTCTTTTTAAAATTTATTTATGTACGGATAATAGCCAAATAAAATGATTCCCCACTGAACCTATATAATTTTTTTATTAAGCATGCTTGGAGATGATGCCTTCATTAATTCTATTTAGTTTACAGATTCCGTAGTAATCTCAGATTTTTAGTCGTGAAGTATGCATAAAGAGTCATAATTAATGGGCAATAATGTAACCTGTGTTCTCTGTTGATGTTATTTAGTTCCAGGGTGTGACCAAAGAAATGGTTCCCTGTTGCCTCGTCCAAAGATTTCAAATTCAAAGCCTTGCCAGCCCAACTCGTCCTCAACAACACCTTCCATCCCCAGTGGATCGAAAGGTTAAAATTTAGTAAATTGATGTAATAGTTGTTGGCTCTGTGATGTTAGTTCTGCTTCATATCTGAATACTGCAGTTTTAAAATATCAGGGAGGAAGAAGAAAGATGCCGAAGAAAAGCCGAGCATCAGAGCTAGCAGCTCAGTTCCAAGACCTCGGGCTGTTCTATCCAGTCCAGGTAATTGGTTGAGCTCTCCTCTCTCTCTCTCTCTACCCATATCTCTTTATGTTTATTTATTTTTCTATATAACCAGATGAACACTCCAAACTCTCCAAAATTCGCTTCTCATTGCTCTGAATTTGGGTTATCTTCAGATAACGACGACATGATTGGACACCAGAATCAGCTGTCCAGGGAGAGGGAGAGAGCACCAAACGTGCGGCCTTTAACAGAGAGAGGAGCTGCACCCGCCGCCGGACAGCTCAACCCCACGGTGAAGAACGTCAGGCTTCATACTTGTTCCAAGAGCACTAGACCCTCCCCACTCCCCTCATTAGTACAAGAAAAGCCCACCGTCAAGAATGCCCGGGTTTAGAGAGAGAACACGTTTCGAACGATTCGACCAAGGCCCAGTCCATTTTCTTGGCCCAAATAAAAGCAGAGACTAGCAGCCCTTCATTTTCTCCATCATATTCATCAAATCCCTCAATCGCGGTCATATTCTGGTTCATTTGTCAGACTCGTCATCTTTTTGTGGGCAGAAGGAGAGGTTGACCGATTTAATTGGTTGACTTTTGACGTGTTTTCTACTTGGAAAACCGTGTGTAATATTCAATTCATACCCGTCTGTAATTTTATTTTTTTTACTGCTGAGATAAATACCATTTTATCATGAGAAAAAAATATATTCAAAAGGAAATTCAGAAGAAAAGAAAAGCAGATCTGAAACCTCTCATGATGTGATGATCTTTAAAGATGTTAGAAATGTGACCGTTCATTAGTCAACGAACGGTCACCTAAATGTGTTTTTATCAAGGCCTTGGATCATGATATCCAGAGGAATCAGAAATCAGACGATTGGAAATGAGCAGTCTAGCGTTGACTTTTTTCCCTATATTTTAATTTCCACCTAGAAAACAATGTACCAGGAGATGGGTCGAGAGGAGGATGAAAGCCCGGTTGAGGAGAGAGGGTCTGGTTGAACGCCGACAATAGAGAAATCTTACAGCCTCCAAAAAAATGTGAGCTTTTTTTTTTCCTGTTCTGACGTCGACAGAAAGATGATGTGAGGAAGAAGAAGAACCTCGTCCTCCCACTTCCTGCAATCATCCGGAGGATGATGCTCAAGGACCAGATTGAAACCCTTCTCCGGCGGAGAAGGGCTCCTTCCAGCTGCGCATTCTTGCCGCCGGCGAGAAAAAGAGTCTCCATTGGTGGCGCCGGCGGGGGTTTTACCTTCTGATCAGGCTTCTTCGGAGTCGTCCTTCCCGGCGGGGCCGAAGATCCGGAGGTGGCGGTCCTCCATCGACCCCACGGCCAGGTACTTGGAGTCTGGCCCGAACTTCACGCAGGTTATCTTACCTGAGAACAGATCGAAACCCAGATGTGAAAAATAAACAAGTGAGGCTAGATATAGGGCGGCGGCGCTCCGGCGAGCTTGCCGGCGGAGGTACCCAGGAAGGGAAATTTACGTATGGCGTGTGGGTCAAGCAAGCACGAGAGAGAGAGCGAGAGAGAGAGAGAAGGGGGGTGAAGAACCTGAGCCAGACAAATCGGGAAGCGTCTTGATGGAGTTCCACTCGACCTTCACATTTGCCACCTGGTAAACCCTGCAAGATGATACCAAAAATAGCAAAAAGAAGAAGAATCAAAGAAAGCAGCTGGGATCAGCTTGGGAACCAGAAACCCGGAAATTATTCCAAAACTAGCAAAAGAAAAGAAATGGACACGAACCTAATGTCCGATCCGGCGAGCGCGAGGTAACTTCCACTGAAATCAAATTCCACTGGAGAAAAGCCGAGGACCCAAGGATGAGAATCACGGAGATAATACAAGGAAATAGGGAGCTCCCCAAGCGAATCCGAGTTCTACCCGCGTTCGTCGGCGTGTCCGAGTCGTATGGGGCAAAAGATCTGAAATTTCTCAGCTTCCGAAGATCCCACAGCTTCGCCCCGTCAGAAGCTGCCGTCTGAGAGAGAGAGAGAGAGAGAGAGAGAGAGAGAGAGAGAGAGAGAGAGAGAGAGAGAGAGAGAGAGAGAGAGAGAGGGGCATCAGACAGAATCGTCATCTTCTTCATTCAGGCCAAGAAGGATGAATGCATACCGCGAGGAAGTAGCCGTTCTCGGAGAAAGAAACGGCAGTCACTGGCCCAAGATGACCATCAAACGTAGCCACATTCGACTGCATCAAGGGAAAAAAAAATGCGTGCTTTTCTTTTAGCAACACGGTGAAGAAGAACAACGAAAGAGAGAGAGAGAGAGAGAGAGAGAGAGAGAGAGAGAGAGAAGAGGATTCAGAGGGGCACCCCTCTACCTGGCTCTTCACATCCCAGATCTTGACCGCAGCTTCCGACGTTCCAGTGCCCAAGATGAGGCCATCAGGATGGAACGACGCCGAGGTAAACCCCTCATTGGCGGAGGGATCGCCAACCTGTGCGGTGGTGGCTCACACAGATTATTCCCCAATAAAAGAAAAAGATTGCAAAAGAAATAACATATTTTAATAATAAAAAATTATAAAAAAAGGAAGGGAAGGGTAAGAGATCCACCTGGGCATGGCAGAGTCCAGATGCAAGATCGTAGAAACACCACGTGTTGTCGAGGGAAGCAGAGACGAAGTACTTGTGGGTAGCGTGGACCGTGACCGCCTGGACCTGAGAGAGATCCCAGAGAATTCTCAGAACAGTGGCACAGAAGTGAGACTGCAGAGAGAGACTTTGCGCTGATATGGAAGACCCCAGCACGGTATATTATATAAGATCAGCTAAAGTAGTAGAGAAAAATCCTCTTAACAAGGGAAATTTTTAAAGGGTCTGAAAAAATTAATAGAACCGGGAGGGAAATAAATAGAAAATTGACACAATTGTGTCTGTTTACATCCCTCGGCCAATATCTTCCAGCGTAGGGTGGTGATTCCGCTTTAGAAGTGTACAGCTACTCAAGCTCATGCATTATTTCTTGCCTAAATGCATACCAAATTGTCAGATATTAAATATTTTCCATAGGATTTTCCACTATATGATTCCGCCTTGATGTCCTCCTAGTTCATACTTCTATGTTTCTTCACTAGTTCTTTGGAAGTGTACAGCTACTCAGCATTTTCAAGCTCACATTATTTCTTCCATAAATGCATGCCGATCAAGTATTAAATATTTTCCATAGGATTTTCCACCGCGCTAAAGAATATATTTTGTCGGTGGCAAAGCTGATATTAATTTGCAGGAGAATTCCTCTCATCATGAATCATAAAATCTGCTGACATGGTGAACGAGAAGTAGTTGTCCCATCCATATCTAAAACTAAAAATTTTCAGCAAAGAAGAACAACTAACCCTACATGTGACAGTAAGCACGAGATTCTGCGAGAAAACATGGCTGTGCATAAAAATAATGGTGATAGATAAAACATAGCACCAAATTGATATAGATGGCAGAGATAAACCGGGCCGACCTCAGCAGTATGATCCTTCAGTACATGCAAACAGTTATAGTTCCCGTCATCTGCACCTTGCCATAAACGGATGGTCTACAAGAAGGAACATTATCAGAATAATTCATGCAGAAAAAGATTGGTGAGACAGATAAAATAAATCCTCCAAGTCCAGGACCTTTAAAGCTGGAGACTAAGCACAGTAAGTAATTCTAGTTTAAAGCTCTGACCAGACTAAAGACGGTTAGTTGTCGCCCAGTGGCATTGGAATAATATCAATTGACGCCCACGTCAGCCGATATGGTAAGCTGATGGCCATTACGAAGGGGGCTAAAACTGATGGTGCAGATAAAGGATATAAAGCTTCCACCAAAGGATTATTCACCTTATCAGCTGAGCCAGTCACAAACAGCTCATCTTGTGGCACAAATTTGACACTGGTCACCTGTAACAGGAAGAAGGTCCCAACCAAATGACGTTCCAATCACAGAAATATGAAAGCAAAACCCATCCAAGGAGAGAAGAAAGTCAACATATAGGAAGCTTTAGATAAAAAGGTGGGGCAACTGACCCTCTTTGAGTGACCAGTCAGAGTGCATAATATCTCGCCTGATCCCCGATCAAAGAGTACAGCGGTAGCATCAACTCCACCAGTTGCAATAATATCCTGACAGTCATCAAGAGATTTTAAGTCTCTGCACTAGCGAATAACCAAGGAAAGAAGCATTCTTCTGGCATGTGTAATGCAAGTGCATAACTGTTCACCCAATTCGGGCACACGAATTATGATAATATCCATGACTTCTAAATAAGTATACACAGCAGAAATCCACAATATTTTTAATGCATACAAATGCCACAATGACCAATGTAGTTCAGCCATTCGTCCAACTGATGACATATTGGCCTCTACTTCTGTGACTATAAAAACTCAATTCGTTTATTAGGAATGATTGCAAAGAGGCAAAACATTTTAAAGTTACTGTCAATGGCAGCATGTGCCGGCATCTCCATGGTAAACGCCAGCAAAGGATGGAAAAAATTAACCCATAATATATTACCAAATGTATTACCTATTTAAAGTATCGTGCAAATCATGGATGTACCTTTGAAGGATGTATATCAGCAGACAGTATGCCGGGTTTGCTTGTCTTGTGAAGCGGATGACTTGAAAGTTGTGTAAAGCTCTCTAGAGTTTCAAGAGGTGTGAGCGTGGGTGGAACCTAGAAATTGACAATTTCAAAGGTTAATATAAAATGCAACGAATAAGGACCGTACCAATCAAAATAACCCTCTGTTCTTAAAGGTACGTCTATATCTTTGTTGTCTTCAAATAGAAAACTTCAAGGAAATAATAGTGGAGATGAATAATATTCAGAAAGAAGATATCGAAATCATGTAGATTGATTAATAACGAAATAGATAAAAGCATCAGAATGGCACTACCAGTTTGTTATCGCGTATCAAACAGAAATGACGAGTGCAATAAACACAAGCAGATAAGCACATCAAACAACAATTAATACCAAAATTGTGGAAACCAAGCATCTTGAAGCATTTTTCTGAGAAAAACTGTATTATAACACGCATGAAGGAACAGATGCACACAGGATATGCCATACATTACTGGTTCAATTCATAAATATCATTATATGAAAAAACGTTACCTGGCGTTTTTTACGTTGTGCCGAAAGCAACGTATTGCAGCTTGAAAGCTCCTCAATGATGTCGTTTGTGATACCAGGGCGAATTCTCTTCCCATCAGGGCCCACATCATAATCTTCCACAGCTACAAGGCAAGCAAAAATGGAGATGAAATGTAAGATATAGTGTTATTCCTAGCATCTGGATTAATGAAACCTTTTACAAAACGGTTTTCAAGTATACATCTTTTTCCATTGGTGACAGCTGCACTTGGTTCAGATGCTGAGAGTAAGGGGATCTTTCTCTCCGCCTCGGATAGCAAGGTCCTTGCTTCATCCCTCTCCTTTTTAAGTCGTGCAATCACACGGCATGCAGCATCGTGCTGAATAATATTCAATGTATCAGTGATCGAATTTCAAACGAAACACTAAAATACGTCGACAGAAGTTCAAATCATAGATTTGAAGGTAATGAAAGCAACGGTACACCAATACCACCGAAGCCAAAAAAACTGAAACAGAGAATATAAAAGGAGAAAACTGTGAAACAAAGAATACAAAAGAAAAAAACTCACACCCAAAAATAATGAGCGTGCGAAATATAATAGTTTCAGAGATCTAATGAACCAGCCCCCATATCACCCACAAAGTCACACCAACAAAGATTTGCCAATGGCGATTTTCAGAAGCTCAAAGCATCCAGGACAGCACCAATAGCCAATGATAATGCTGCTCCAGATGCAGCAGCCGCGCCTAAAGACAACTGGTGGGCTGCAGGCTTGAATAACCCATGTGCAAGCACTACCAAAACAGTTGCCCTGCGTGCTGAAGCCACTACGGAAGAACTAAGGAAGGATTTTGCAGCAAAAATATGTATGTGGAAACCTCATTAGGTTCCCCATATAGTTGGGCGGAATTGTGACGGTGTCTTCACAGTTCTCGTCGGCGTTTGGCCAGACTTGTCATCTTATGGGACGTCAAGCAAGAGACAACTAATATGCATTCAGACACGAAAAATCCATGTGATGGTGAGTCATGTGCATCTGTCAATACGGTAATATTAAGGTTTCCAGAAACCATTATCCTCGGCCACAGCCTCGACTCAGGCACCGAATGGATGTGCCCAATGCCTGGTCTAATTAAGCACCTTATGGGGCTGTTTGCCTAGGTGAGGATCTCAACGCCTTGGTCATCTACACCACCATGTCGCCTTGGCAACACGTTGAAGAAAACAAAGTTCAAAGTTAATAGATAGGTTTCCCACAAACCGAACTGGTTTCAACGGTTCACTGAGACCAGAGTCAAGTATAACAATAAGTCAACAGTGTAAAAATAAAATATCTAGATACAACGTTTCCAACAACAAAACACCATAGTATAAGATGTTCCAATGCTACATAGTATTCGTAGCTTTCACGGGGTTAAATTGGCCCAAGGAATTAGCATCGCACAATTCAAGATAGAGTTCTGTTCATATCCACAATGACTTGACATCACCCGTTAGACTGTCTTTAGGCTCAAAAGACGTCGGGACGCTCCTGAAATCCTCTCGATAATTCACTAAACAATGCACATAGCTGATTGTTAGTATTATATTGATGTCGAGCTGAAATCACATCAATGGCATGAGAAAGAAGCTTAAACGGGGTAACACAGCCACCTCATCAAGCTTTCAACGCTACCTTTGTATGTTGTGATACAGTCAAGACCATAAACTGTTAATACCGCTTTAACTGGGTGTGTCACAGACTACACCCTCTTAACTGGCCATCAACACCACTGTAACTGCGTGTTATAACCGCTTTAACAGGTTGTCATAGTCAGGCTAAAAAGAGAGAAACTTGTTGTAACACCGTTTCTCTATATTTTTAGAGTTTTTTTGTTGTTGTAAAGATTATAACTTCGCATGCTTCTCAGAGATAATGGCAACTTCAGCAAGTATCAGATTTAGGGAGTACTTCTGAGTACGAATCACAACCTTAATATATTTTCTTCTTGACTTGTTACTTATTAAAAGATCCCAGATTTTGATACAGAATCAGACAATTCCGCAGATGTGCCATGCCCATGGAGCCATATCATTTCATTAACTTTCACAATTCTGTGCCTTAGGAACATGCCATTTATGAATCATTGCATCTCTGATTATCACGGCTGAAACTATATCTCATTATATTTAACCAGTGACGTTAAAAGTCGTTGAAATTTAAAGGATATGAAATTTAAAGGATCAACTTTGCGCTCCATAGAGACCACAGCAAGTGAGAATGCATGATCGCTGTCTTGAGCTAACCAACATATTCAGGTGAATTTCAGGCCCAACAAATTTGAACTTCAACAACAAGGCCTAATAATACCAAATTGCAGCAGGTCTAGAGTTTTCGCTAGGGAGATTAAGCAGTAGATAAAATGGTTCAGAAGTCTATTTTCGGGATAGAAGGTAGGCCCTCCTAACATGACGCAAATCGGGATCAAGCAGCAGAGGAAAGGAGTCCGACGTTGATCTTCGAGGATAGAATTTTGGCATGCCTAACATGATTCGAATCATGATTCAAGACAAATAAAATAATTCCAGAAACTCTAACCAACTTATCTGGGAGGGAAGGCATAATGGAAGGGAAAAGAGGGGCCATATGTAATATTGAACCAGATAATCCCCTTGGAACCATACTTATCAATCAAACTAGGCCTTTCCTTTCTCCATTTGAACTGTCTCTTCATCAACGAATGCAAATACATCACTCTAAATGTTGTAGTGTCCTGAACGAAGCAAAAATCCTGTTTCGAATGTTTTGAACATGATATAACATACAATAATGTACCATCACGCACATCCATGTATATACAAACTTATTGCAAGTTTAAGAGGCATACGAATAAAATATGGCTAGCAAAGAAATACAGCATAACATATGATGCCTGTTTGCCATTGGGTCCGTATCTACGAGGGAATCCTCACAAATACAGCATGGCAACAATGTTTCGAATTCTATTTTACGTTAAAAACAGAAAATAGGAATAACCTGGTATAAAGCATGACTCAGCTCCTGCCTAGCGGTGTGCAATTGTTGCTCCAATGCAAAATTGGATAGCATCAACGCATCCCATTCCTGTCAGACGTGTGCTCCAAAAATTTATAAAGGCAACATGCGACTGGGAAAGCTTACTTTAATAGAATGTTTAAATAAATATCTACCTCTGATGTTTTATCGTAGATGTCAGAACAATTTTACTTCCAAAATATAGGTTTTAGGTAAATTACACCGCGTAATATACTACTTTTAATGAGCTTAACAGGACATAAAGAACAGAGAGGCATAAAGAGAGGTAAGCGGTAAGAAAAACTACTCACATTTTGGAAAATCCCAAGCAAACCAGGGATGCTAGCAGCCTGCAAGGGCCTAGGCTTCACTGCCTGTCAGACAAAAAAACAAAAGGAACGGAGAGGAATAGGATGTTGAGCTCAGATAGAAAATAATGATAATAATAATTCTGAAACCAATGATTAGGCAATAACTTTGAAAAAAAACATGCACAATGATTAAGACAGATTTTTCTCGTTCAGATTAAAATCTAAGCAGGCCTTCTCTTATCCAAAAACACAAGCCCAGTCAGCAAAGGAAAAGGAGAAAGAGATACTATTTGAATAACCTTATTTGTCTTCACAGGTACAATGTCATCCATTGCGAGTGCCTCTCCAGTAACTGGACATTTTCCGGAATCCTGATAACCAGTTGAGACCAGACTCGTGAAGATGTGATAACCACAAAGTTTAGACGAAGAAACGCGCAAACGGGAGACAACTGCATGGGATGTCCCGAAAAAACAGTGGAGCCAGGAGTGACCACAGAAAGCCAAGGAAGATTACTCAAACAGCGAGGAGAGGAAGGACGCTGAGAGAACCTACCAAAATGTGTCGCTCAACCAGACGCCTCTCGAACAGAAGCCCGGATTTCTTGGAGACTACCGGTTCCTCCGGCACCTCCCCAGAGACTGCGCATAGCACAATGGCAAAAACAAAAAAAAGCGAGGACATAAGCAACCGGAGTAAGAACCAACGACAGAAACCCTAGATTCGAGAGCCCGACAAAGCTCGAAACAGGCGTAGCCCCTCACTTGCGCATAGCATTGTGGCAGGATCTGGGACTTCCGCCGCTCGTCGAGCTCGTCCCTCCCCGGGCTGCTGCTTCTCCTCGACTCCCCTGGATCGCCGGTGGGAAGCCCCAGTGAGCTGCGGCGACAGTGGAGAAGGGCGGGCGTGAAGGATTTGGAGACTGGTATTGGCAGGCGGACAGCAAGGGGTGAAGAGACGGACTTAGGTCACCGCCTGGGCTGGGCCGAGTCGAAAACATCTCAACGAAGGGATAAAATATTATAAACCATCTCTGGGCCCGTAGCCCGGAGCCCGCGGCCCGAATATTTAATTTCGGGCCTCATAATGAAGGCTGAGTGACCGACCAGGCCTGGCCCGGCATCGTAGAACCGATTATTTCTCTCTCGCGTGGATGTGCACGTCGAGGCCTGGGCTTTTATGATCTGGCCCCGGCCTGTCCACTCTTTCTTACAAGAGCAGCAAATAATAGGGGTATATATATAATTTTACGTTTTTCCTGGTATGACTGATAACTAAGAAAAAAGAGGTTTGACCGGGGATGCTCTTGTTCTTCCTAATTTTGAGGTGGGTATTTCAGAGAATTTATCAGAGAATATTTTTAATTATCAGATAATTAAAAATATTTTCCGCAAGATAGTTTGAAGAACACCTGTGGAAATATTTCCGGTTGCCATTGGAATCTTCAAGTACCTAGACTGCTAGTCGCTCTGATTATTCTCTGTTTGATGATCCGCGACTGGAAATCTGAGGCACCTCCCTGATCCGCGCAGATTGTATGATGATGCCTAAGATCAGTCGGCGTAAATTATTCATTTATTTGGTAAGATCTTGGATGGAAGGTTCTCCTGGTTCAGAGGAATCGACAAGCAGAGCAATCCTGATAGAGCGATTGCCGGAGTTTGCTTGCTAATTAATCCCTGCTCTGCGAATCTCTGGGCGCCTTCAAACCCCCAATCGACGGCCATTCTCGACGGCTTCAAACGAACGGCGTAACTCGAAGGAGATCCCCTCCTCGCGGACCTGCAATGACAATGCTTCCCTCGACGCCCTCCAATGGCGATCCTCTCCAGCTCCACCGCCACCAATGCGATCTTAATCGACAGCGCTACCGCATCCAGGCTCTCTCTGAGAGCGGAATCCAACCGGATAAACGAGAAATCTTCCAAGGCCTTGAAGAAATTCCTCGACAGCTTGTAGCAGCTCCTCAGAAACCCTACTCCGGCGGACCCGTCGTGGAAGAGGAAACAGCGAGCGTACCTGGCGACGTTGAGAACCCTCAGGTACGCGACGAGCTTCCTGGAGGCGGCGGAGGATCCCCTGGGCGCCGCCGTTACCAGATTGAAGCGTTTTGAGGCCTTATATCCCTTGATCAGGAACTTGAAAGCGAGTTTCAGTCCGCGGAGGGAGGGGAACCGGAGCTCTCCGACGCATCTCGCCACCTTCAGAGCTCCGTGAGTCGCTCCGATGGCGGCCGAGAGCGGCCTCCTCGTTCGCGCCCCGCTGAGGAAGCATGCCAGCCCTGAGACTAGGGAGCTCACGACGATCAGATCCACCGCTCGATCGCCGGCGGCGCCGCCGCGAGTGGTTGCTATTCCGTCCCCCTCTTCCATGATCCCCGCCGGATCGAACCGTCGGGAAGTTCGGTTAGATCTTCTACAGACTTCGATGCGGTAGTCGCCCTTAGTGGGCCTCGTCAGACCGCAGTCAGATGGGTCTTCCAGGCCCATTATTGTCTTCCTCTTTATTAAAAACCCATAAAACTTTTTTTAATATTGGTAGCCAGAACTGGGTCCCACGCTTCGTCCAGCAGCCATCGCCCTCCTGCCACTGCGAACCCTATAAAACACGTATGAAACTCAGACCTCGCTCACTCACATGTGGTACAGTAGGGGACGAACAAGACAGCGTAGACGACATTTCATCGCCGTCCCGTGAACAAGTAAGACCTATCTCTCTTGCGCTCTCTCTCTCTCTCTCTGAAGAAAGCCTGGGAGAAGGGAACAAAAGGGGGAGATCTCTTCTCCTTGGCAATGGAATCAGCGGGATCATCTTCCTCGTGAGTAGGATGCCCGTGGCCGAGTTTTAAATTCTCGGCGTGATGTAGGGAGGGAGAGAGACAGTTTGCAAGTGGATGTGAATTTTCGATCCCATCGACGGCACTTCGTGATCGGAGTAGATCAAGGCGGGTTTGTCCCGGGATCTTTCTCTCTCTAGGCTCATTCAAGAGATTCCAACTCTGTTTGAATTCTGGCCCCCCCTCTCTCTCTCTAGAACTATTTTAAATATTTCAACCATATGAAGATATTCCAATTATTATGTGATTTAAAATGACACGTAAACTACTCAAATATTGACGAAGATTCTCAGTTTGTCCATAATTATTGAAGGCATTCCATTTAATTTAGTATTTTTGGGTTTTTTATAAAGTTTAATGTAATATTGCTATTTTTTAATCAGCGGTGTCGGTCAAGCCGCGTGGAAAATGTCAAATTAGCCTAGAAATTCGGATGTATTGGCAGTTTGGACGTTGACGCGTTAACCTGCACGGCCGTGTCCCGGCTGTGAGGGCGGAACGTCCACGTCGGACGGGAGGACGATGAGAAAGCTTCCAGAAAGCTAGCTCTGCTCTAATGGACCTCTCTCTCTCTAGATCTCACGCAGATGGCGTGCTTATCCTTCGGTGAGGGGGCAGAAGTGACCGTTGAGATCGTGGGCGGCCGGTGGCTGTGTGGGCCAACTGTTTACAGTGGATTGCCCCGTGGGAGGAGCCCACGTCGACACAAATGACGTCAGTATTCATCGATAAATCAACTAGTATAAGTAAAAATAATGAGGTATTTATTATTTCTATGTGGCGTGTTTAAACTTCCGCGCCCATACACGTGCCGCATCCACAGAGGATGAGGGCAGCACCTCGGAGCAGGTGACTGGAGGGCATAGGTGGGTCCTACATCCACGAGTCCCCTAGCACCCCTCCCCCCCAAAACATGGGTTTCCCCCACTTTTCCCACTCTCTCCGTCCCTCTCTGTGTCTCTCTCTTTCTCTCTCTTTCCTCTGACTCTCTGTCTAAACAGGGGAGCAGAGGAGACGGTTACCAATGCCGTCGGAGAGCTGTTTCTAGGCCCACCTCGGCAGTGGAGCTCTACTCCCACCTCCTTCCTCCTCCTCTGCCCTACCGAAGGGGAGGCCCACTTTTGAGAGACAGGTTCCTCATCTCCTTCCCCCTCGTTCTCCAGAAGCTATCAGGGGGCAGGAATCCTTCTCGGGGAGGTCTCCTCGTTTATCTTCTTGCCCGTCGAGGAGGGGAGGTCTTTTGAAGTATTGGATTGACCGTGCTTCGCTCTCTGCTCCTGGATGGTCGGATAGAGGTAACGGCGCTGGACTATGGTCCTTCCTTTCCATATCTTCATAAGCTCGGATAAATGGCGTTCACTTTCGCTTATCTGGTGGAACTTTCGCTCTTGCCTTCATTCGCGTTCCATAGCTCGTTCGTTCGTAATTCATTCATTTAGGCTATCGGCTTCTGATGGTCTTCTCCTTCATTTCATCTATTTGTTCTCGTCTCCTTCATCTACAAGCTCTCCTTGTTCGATCTGTCGGTGCCTCACAGCCTCTTATTTCTGTAAAGATTTTCGTCCAATCTTTTGTGATTTTGCGATTCGCATTCTGACGACGAGTCATAGAGCCGACTGCTCGGGCCTTTTTTTTTTGGGAAATTTCATTTTCTTCAATATTTTATTGTTTTTTTTCGTGCTTTTATTTATTTTTAGAGAGTCCCTAGATCTGAAGCGGTCACCATCAGCGTAGACAGAGAGTTTGGAGCATCTATTCTCTGCTCCCGACCGTCTGGACGCAAGAATTTAACATATTTTGGAAGAAAATACGGATAAATCTCTCTCTTTCTCCCCTTACCAAACTTTTGTCCGTTCTTCACGAAGCCACGAATTTATGTGCTCTTTGTTGAAAAATATCAATGCGTGAAAGCAGGAGTAGCACCGAACCGGTCCATCTGCTTGGTCCACAAATCTTGTCTGCCCCCACAAACAAGTATAAGTAGCCGAGCAAGTGGTCCCAATCCATCAGTTTTAGCTTTTTGTTCCTCTCCTTTTGAAGAACCATTAATGCCGACGAAGAATGCCGGGAAAATTATGCTTTTGATTCAAAAAATATTAGAATCTGAGTCAATTAAGTTATGAAGGAGTGAGAAATAGTCTTCAGCCATATTTTATTTACCTTTGTTGTTAAATTTTCCCTCTTTGTTCTTGCCTAGAAACATCAATGGTTCCAGAGAAGCGCCTGAGGCTCCCAGGTAATATTTTCTGATGGGAAAGTATGTTCCTAGAAATCCTTGTAACATGTACTTTGTCAAGAACATTTGTCATCGTGATTTCCATTAATATTTTTCCTATAAGCAATTAATGTTTACTCTAATATCCTGTTTTATCATGAACGGCAAAATTGAATGTGCTCTTTGGATGCATCCCCCGGGATATGCACCTAGATAAGAATGCATCTGGTGCTTACTTCACAAGCTTCTGCCTCGGTATAAATGGATTTCATTTACATAGATTTGACTGCTTTCAGCCTCCAATGATTCTCGTGTTGACCTATGTTTCCTGTTTGGTGCTTGTCAACCACACTGAAAGAATAGTTGAAGTAAATTCATGGCCGTTGTGTTGGCAGAAATTTGTCTAGATTTCCTTCGGTTTTCCTTGGCAGAGCTTGCCATATGCACTGAATATGCTTTTATTCAGAAGAAAATCCTTGAAACCTTAGTGAGAATTCGTTGTTCCTTTATATGTTTTCTCACCCAATAATATATACGTTTATCTATTTATTTACTTTTTTCTTCAGGTATTTCACACGAAATGATCTTCCCAAGCACGATCAGCTTGCTAGAGCGGACACAAAAGAGCTGATTTCTGGCGAGGATGGTAACGGGTCGATGCTCCAATTCGGGTGACAGATTGAAAGACGATGACGGGCCAGTCTACAGTTCATCGGGACCGGAATCCTCCTTTCTCAGTTTGGACCCAAGAGGACCGTTGACCTTGGAGAAATCGTGTAGCCAGGGGGGGAGTGACAGAGAGCTCGACACCCAGAACTGGGGAGGCTTCCATAGTTCCCAACATGCTTTAGCAGAACACTTTTGTACCACCCCGGGGACACTAGGTATAATCAGCAGATCACTGTCCCAATGCCGCATCCCTCTGAGCTTAAACCCAAGGTTTTTCCTTGACAGCGTGAATCCGAGCAGGAGAACGAGGGGCAAAGATGAACTGGGAAGCTTCGTAATTGAGTATACTTCAGCAGCTGGCCATCGTTCTGGCGGAAAATGGGTAATCGAGGCAACAGAGGGCGATGAGAAGCCGAAGACCAACTTCAGCAAGCTGGCTGAAAAGAGATTTCTGGTCCTGGAAAGCTTCCCAGATAGGTCACCGGAGAAGCCCATTTCCCGGGGAATGGAACCTCGTCGACAGGGATCTGCGTTGAGCTCAGACGGTTGGTCCTCGTCAGCCTCCGACTGTTCTCAGGGGCTCCTGCATTTGACATGGGAGAGAGGAATTCCTTGCTTCGTCTTCATGGTCGATGGGGAGAAGGGCGAAGAGGTGTATGCGGCCAGCATGCGGAAGGCGGCATCTCCAGAAGGCAGAGCCCTCGATTTCATGTACATGTTCCATTCCTACGGTTCCTTCCAGAAGAGCTGGAGAAGGCCAGTCGCCGACGCGGTAGGCCTAGTCGGGAAGATGAAGGTCTCCAGCTCCTCGAGTTACTCCCCGGAGGCCCGATCGAGACTCACGGAGACCGAGTTCGTCCTCTTCGCCACCAATCTCGAAGGCGCTGCAAGGGAATTGCAGAAGAAGAACAAGGGGTTGCTCAGATCGACCTACTCTTCCAGGCTCAGAAAGGGCGGCGGCCGATACCTCATCGAGGAGCTCTCCCCGTCATACCTGGACCACCAGTTGAAGCTGTTCGATAAATCAAGTAGAGCCGCCGCCGCCGCTGCCGACCTGGTTCATCAAGGGATTCCTCCGCCCAACCTTGAACTGGGGGCGATTATCGTCAGGGACCGGCGGCGGGAGCCCCTGGCCGGCGGCTGGGGCCTCAAGTTTCTGGAGAAGCCCGCCGCCGGCTCATCGGAAGAGGAGAAAGTGGAGGAGGAAATCGGGGGCCCTCCTCCGAGAGTTGTCATGGTGGTGCCCGCCGGATTTCATGGCGGTCCGGCCACGAGTACGGCGGGGGGTCCGTCGAGTCTCACAGAGAGATTGAGATCAGGTGGGCGCTGCGCCTGCGGAGGATGGGACCTCGGCTGTCCCCTCACAGTGTTGACCAGCAGGTGGTCTCCTTCGAAGGTCGGAGAAGAGTATGAAGTTGACCGATGCCCGTTTGACTTATTCACGGAGGCGAGACTCCCCCTCTCCATCTCTTCTTCTTCTTCTTTACTCTCCCATTTTTCTGATTGATTTTCTTTCTGTAAATCGTCTGTTCTTGTATGATTAAATCTTTCACAGGGAGGAAATGAACGTGGAGGACCCACGCTTAAAATTTTTTTCACAGGGAGGAAATGAACGTGGAGGACCCACGCTGCGGGTGACGGGGGCGAAGGAAGGGCTGTACAGAGTTTCCTTCCAGGGGCGGCGGCTGTCAGCCCTGCAGGCTTTCTCCGCCGCCGTGGCCATTATCCACGCGCACACTCCCGCCATGGCCAAGGTAATACTATCTCCCCATATATAAAAAAATAGATATAGATATGTATAGGACCTCCGTCCTTTGCCCCTCCGCCCATTATTACGATGATTATCTTATTGTGATAAATATCACGAAATTATTACATAATATATATCACCCAATATCTGGGCGTCAACCGTGAAGCCACGTGGTGATGGAGAGCCTATACGAGGTGAATTTCATGACAGTGTCCCCGTTCATACAGGGAATCTTACCCCAGAGAGAGAGAGAGAGAGAGAGAGAGAGAGAGAGAGGCTGGTGACCGTAGGGAGGCCCGATTGGTGTAAGGTTATCGGTGGATCAAATAAAAAGAAAAAAAACCCGGTTGCTTCGGGAGCACAGAGCCGAGGGAAATGACGGCGGAAACCTTCTCTTCCCTCCCACTCTCATTCATCCTCCGTTCCAATAGAAACTACAGACTCTGAGAAAAATAGAAAGAAAGACAGGGCAGCATCACACGATGGCGTTGGCGGCGCTGGCGATCCTCGGCCACAGGTCGGCGCACTCCTTCCCAATGGGCCCCGTGATGGCAGATCCTGAGAGCAAGTCAACGTCGCGCTTGGGTCAACCATCACATGAAGAGGGTCATCCGAGCGAGAGATAGAGAATTTAAAAGATTTAGTGTGGGTTCAGGGTTTAGGGCCCAGCAGACCTTTCATTTCTCCTTTTGGGTTGACGATCACTCCAGCGTTGTCTGCACACGGATCAGATGGGTGGAGAGAACATTCAGAAGGGCAGTTCAAGACGAAGAACATTCGACGAATAACCATTAAAATAGCTTGGTGAAAAACACGGAAAGATAAATTATTTGCCACAAAAGGCAAATAATTTCGGCCTGATAGTATGATCCAAGGTGATGGATCATGGTGGGAAAATCTATCAGATGGGCCATAAATGGGGGAGCTCGGCCATCAGGAAATCTAGGATCTTTGCATCAACACGGACACCCAGTAAACAGAGCGTCTCAGATGACCGTCGTGAGATTGACAACCCATTTTCATCACTGGCCGATCGGCGAAGAACAGGGAGGAAAAAAATGCGATGATTACACGAGCAAAATAAATCCGGGTCCATAATTTCTGTAGCGCGTTCTGATCTAGCAAACGTCGCAATCCTACAAATCTCGGGAGAAAACGCAAGAGATCCTCCGCACCCAGAGACAATACGAGGAAAACCAGACCACAAGCTGCTGCATCGGGGAAACAATGGAAGTCGGCGAGATGGAACCGATCGACGTTCGGAAGCTGTGCTGCTTGCTTATGAGGGGTTTATATCAGCATGAAATTGTCTCAAAATGATTGCTCTGATGCAAGACGTGAGTATACATACTATAATGTCGATGGCTAGAGTTCAGTTGGAGGGGAGATGAGAAGACATTGGAGAGCCGGATTACCTTCAAAATACATGTAAACGCCATCCTTTCTGCGCCAGGGCTTCCTCTGCCTGACGATGACGGCGGGCATGACCTTCTTCCTCAGATCGGGCTTCCCCTTCTTGACAGTGGCCATCACCATGTCTCCGACGCAGGCAGAAGGGAGACGATTCAGGCGGCCCTTGATCCCCTTGACGGAAATAATGTAGAGGTTCTTCGCGCCCGTGTTGTCCGCACAGTTCACCGTGGCGGCGACAGGCAGACCCAGCGACATCCGGAACTTGTTCCCGGACGAACCTCCACGCCCTTCATGGAAAAAAAACAAGGACATCAAATTGATCAGATCTGCTATATCCGCGTGATCACACAGGGGAGGTGGAGACGATTGTTCCCCCCCTCCCTCCCCAACCTAGCTGGATAATAATCTTCTACCGGGGAAACTCCGATCTGTGGAACGGCCCTAGACACGCGGAGAAGCGTATGTCTCATCAATCTCAGTCAATTCTCCGTAGATCTGAGCTCCTCAGAAGGAAGAAGATAAGAACCCTAGGCGAAGAGAGAAGAAGCCACAGTAGAAGGAAGCTGCGCGTTACCTCGCTTCGACATGGCGGCGGCAGGGCTCGACCAGTCCCCTGTTGCGTTAAGCTCCTACCACAGGCACAGAACGAAGACCTGTCTTTATATGGCTCCTTCCTGAGAAACTAGGGTTTTTCTATCAGCGATGACCAAAACACCCCTTTCGGAGGACCATTGTCACTTTACTATTTTGTCTTAAACTCTTGCTAAAATTATTATTTTACTTTTACTTCTAAAATGTAATATTTTTGTGTTGGTACTCCATTTTCCAGGGAGCTAGTGATAAGGAAACACTTTGTTTTCCAGGTCTGTCAAACGGCGGAAAACAACTCCATTATTTTTATTTTAAAGTCCTTAATAATTTTGGTGTTTGAGTTTTATCCGCTAAATGACGAAGATTTCGATTTATACTCTAGCGAAGAAATGGCGGGAAAGAGATGCACTGAGTGAGTGAGTGAGTGAATGAGAGAGAGAGGAAGAGCGGGTCTCCCCCTCGGATCTTCGTAGTTCATCCACTTCTTCCTACTTCGTCACCTTCCACCATCGCCGTTGCTCGCACCCGCCCGCGTAGATGGCTCGGCCTCATCCAGACATAACCCTGGAATATCTTATGAAGCTAATCAAGGGGTTCGTTGATATTCTAATCCTGGCTTCAGGTTACTGTTCATCGGGCATGGCCACATCGTGGGACGAGGAAAATATCAAGAAAGCTATCAGATGGGGTATCTTCTTCGAGAAAGTAAGAGCGCTGATTATCTTCTGTCTTTGATCCTTTGATCTTCTCTGTTTACGGACGTTGTCAGGACGTATGTAGTTGATTAAATCGACGCGGCATTTTTTCCCTTCTGAATATACGGAATGGTCCATACAACTCGCGCAGCATTCATCGGAATCATATCCGGTTTCTGATTGATTAGTATGCCACTTTTCCAGGTTGTCTGCGACGCCTGTTGATCCCAAATTCTATTTTATACGATCGTTTCTATCCATAAAATCCTTGCCATCCATAGGCCAAAGAATTCTTCTTTCACGAGCTACGATTTTTCCGCCTTCTTTGCGGACCAACGTGGAAGGACAACCGCTGTTCAGTAATCATTTCGTTGGAAATATCTGGGTTTTGAACCGAGTTTTATGCTTGGCTGCAGCTTTGACTTTCTGTTACTAATGTGTCTACCCTTATGGATCAGGTGTTCCGCTATCTTAGTCAGTCGGACGACTATGAAGTCTTGATTAAAGAACTCGATGCATCACTACTTGAACTTACTTCTGATTCTTATTTCCCTCAGGTAATGAATTGACTTTGCACTATGAAACAGATGCTAGTACAGACATAGCTTACTTGTCTAAATATTCCAGGGACTAAGACGTCTATCTTCAGGATCTCTTTCCAGAGCTAAAAGTCTTGTTTTAGAGTTTTTCTCTCAGACCCTCTCTCTAAGTGAGAGGCATCTCCATGTCCTTATAAATACTATCACTGAAATGGATCTTGGCGTGGAATCCGAGAAGGGATTCGTGGAAAATCCCGATGTTTCAAATTTTCTTGGAGCAAGTGTCAGAAATCCTTGCTCCCCTACAAAGACACCAGGTATGAAGACCGAGAGACAAAGGGCGTCTGGTTGCTCCGGATTTGTCTTTCAAGAGTTCGCAGAGAGGCATGCTTCTATATCATGTTTATCTTCATGTGAGGCAAGTCTGGGTACACTGTTGGAGCTCGTTGTGGGAAAGAGCTTTGATGGTCTTGAGTTAGATTTTCTGCAAGAGCAATCTTGCGATGCTATTTCTCTCATGTTAGTGAACTAACCTCAACGCTTTTCTTCATTTCAACAAGAAATCTAGTGTAACTTTCCAGCGTTTAAGATCTTGAAACTTCGAATATCTTCACTATCTAAATTTTATGCATTATTTTGAAAAATATTACCTTATATCATTGATTTCCTTAATCTTATCGGTGACAGCCTTGTCAGTGGTTCCACAAAACCATATTCAATTTCTTGTTCCCATCTAGAAATTGGTTATTATGGCCGGTTTAGCCATCAGGTAAACTAGCCATTGGCTGTTTTTTTTTATTGTAACCCGTGGAATGTTTAACATATCACAAAACATGCCTTATTTTTTATCCCAGTAGAAATGGCCGTGTGGACATATTTTCGTTATAATTTGAACCCTTTAATTGAAATAAAAATGAATAACTGATAATACTCTTTTGAAATGTGGGATTTGACCACTTAAGACTTTCAAGACCGAGAGCTGTCTTTCTTCAGATTTGGCAGTATATGCGTGGTTTCTACCGGGAAAGGTTTGGGACGTTGTGCAGCTTTGCAAGGGATGTACTCTTTTTCCAATTTTTATTGTTTGGTGGACTTGCCATCATCTTTTCTGTCCAATTCTTTTATTTGACTGCTCACAAAGTGTAAATTTCAAAGTACATGCAAACTATTATCTGTTTATCATTATATTTAACCAAAAGGAATCTAATGGCATATACTTATGAATTGGATATGCCTTCCTGTAATCTCTCCCATCGAGTAACGGATAATATGTTCTGTGTAAGGTCGACATTGCCTGTTGATGAGCTTGTAGAAATAACAATCTTTGATCCTTATGGACCTGTGAAATTTGCTACAATTTTCTTGTACAACAGTTTCCTCTTCATAGAATGCTGATTGATTTATGTTGATTGTTCTAGGAGGTTTCCCCCTTTGTTCATCCCATTTACTGTGGGATGTTGTTTGACTCTAGTTTAGTTGAACAGTTTTTTGATTTCTACATTATGGTCATTGGATGCTTCATTTTCATGTTTTTTTAATCACTCAAATGGCATTGTTTGTTCTCTCTAATGAAACTTTTTTTTGCTTGGAAAACTTCATGTATTGGGGGGGGGGGATGTGCTCTCAACGTTGTATCTTTGCTATTTATACATACTCACGGGTATTGCTTCACGAGGCCTAAATTAAGCTGAAGTCATGTATTTCTTCAACAGGGATGGCGAAAACCTTCCTACATTTCTTCTGTGGAACCGTTGGAGGAAAAAGAATCTCGCTTACCTTCTAAACAAGAGGACATTAAAGCTGCTCTCTGGTTCCAGCTTGATTTTTGATGCTCCTAAAGTTCAATGGGCTCAGATCCTCGAGTCATTGAAAAGCTCCTCCGAAGCCTATGATGATTGTTTGCTTGAAATAGTGGTAAGTTTGACTGAGTTTCTGTTCTTTTTTTGCATGTAGGATATAGTTTCTCCTGTATATATATGCTGTCTCGTAGTTGACTTAATTAATTTTTGATTTTGAATTAACTTTCTCACCAAACTTATATGTGGGCCTGTTATTTTTAATACTAATTTTATTCTTATCCTCATTCTATAGACGGTCGCATCTCATGAAAATAAGGCATCAGTTAAGTTTAGTGCAGTGTAGATGACTGTGGAGTTAGCAGCGCCTCCATGTCAATGCCAAATTGTTCTGACGATTTGATATGTCTGGGCCTTGCTTTGGTCTACTAAAAAATCCCGGATTTCGAGAACGAACCGCTAATTTTTGCATCATCACTGTGTGTCACCACCAACTGAAATGAAAATGCTACATCTCTGGGTGCAGAGTTTACGAGCTGTTCTTATATGGACCACTGATAGGCATAAACGTAAGCAGAAATTTTTAATCAGAGCTGGGCTGCACAGCAGGGGGAATCTGAAAGCGTGAAAAACACAATATCTTGGTTCGGTTTGATCCTGAGAAATCGTACACTAAATATTATGGGATTCGAAGGCAGATGCTTCCGATATATATATATATATATATTTTTAAAAAAAGAAACTTGAAAGGCATATTTGCAGGTCTTCCTTCATGTAAGTTATGATAGGGTTTTTTTCCACTTGAGATGAGCTTGAATATAATTATGAACCAAATAAACATGCCCATAAATATCTATTATCTAGGATCCCTCTCTCTGTTGTGGATGGGTCCTGGATGCTGGCAGATTTTTAGTTGTCTGTAGTGGTGATCCTGATAGTGCCCTATTATTATTTCTAGCTGTGCCCTCCAAGTTCCTTGTCATTTCTTGTGATGGTAGATTTTCATTGTGTTTACTTAGAATGCTTGTTGTCGTTGTTGTCGTTGTTTACTTACAATGCGTGGTTCCCCAGGAGCTGTCTCTACTGGGCCTCGTTTCTAGTCAGTGGACGCGGCTGATTGATCATATTATGTCGTTCTCCTTCCATTTCCTCTCCGTCCGAGAGCAGTATGTTAGTGTGCTGACTTTTCTTCAAGAATATCCCCGGGATGGACATTCTGCAGGGAAGATGATGAGCTCCAAGGTACAGAACTAGACGCTGCTACTCTGTTCGATTTATCAGGCTGCCAAGTTCTTCGTCTTCCTTGGAACATTTGCACCACCCTTTATCTCAGTAATTTATTTCTGTTGGGGGAGTTTATGGATTCTTCTAATAAAACTGACCCATTACTTAATCGGAATGGAATCAGCGTCAATCTCCCAGAATGTGATCCATAACGCGATATGAATGGAGAATTTGATCGATATATATGCTCTTAGCTTCATCCTTTTTGTTTTCATTCTTGGTTATACAGAGAGATCAAAAGGATGGCGGAGTACTTAGGACCCACATCCCCTGTTTCTTGTTTTTTTTTTTTTTTTTTTTTTTGGGTTCCCTGTTTTTGAGGGACAGTGAAGGCTATGAACTGCTGAAGCTCTCTCCTGCTCAGGAAGACGACATTCTTGAGTTCTGCACGGCATTGCTGGCTACCAAACCTGAAAAACTCTGGGAGCTACCCCCAGTCCTTGTGGCCGCCGCTCTCCCGTCATGGTCTGTGCAATCATCCCATTTGCTTTCTCTCTCTTGGTTTGGAAGTGACGGCTGGGATGATCGCAGGTCCAGCTTGCTCAAGTCGCATGTGAGAGAGATTACGAGGGAGCTCAAGAGGGAGACGGGCTCGCCCAGGTGAATATCTTTTTTAAAAAATAAAAACTTTGCTCGAAATCCTCGCGGTATGGTCCTGGCCTTTAATGATGTGAATTTATTTTACTTTATTTTATTTTATTTTTCTTCTCAGGTGCGCCTGCAGCAGGGACGCCGAGCAGCAGCAGAAGCACGTAGACTGTAAGTGCCCAGAGAAGGAAAAAAACGGTACCTTTAGGTTAGTGTGGTTTCCCATGGTATGACGTGTCTTTCCGTCCCCCTGCCACAGGTGAGCTGGCCCAGAGGATCTGCTGCCTGTACGTCTTCGTTGACAAGTGATCAGTGCAGTTCTGGCTTCTTCCGTGGATCAGGTTAAACTAAACGCCGGAAGGGGTTCAGCATATCATGCGTCAGCTTCGGTTCCAGATAACGCTGCAAAATCCCCTTCTCTGTATTCCCTCTCACAGTAACCAGTTGAGTTGTTGGTGCCATGGCGATTCTGCGCCTCCCCCGGCCGCCGCTGCTGGTCTTCCCGCCCTCCTCTCGAGACCCTGCGGCTATCACAGGCAACAGGCGGCGGCTCCCCGTCCTCCGAGCCGCCGCCGGCGAGTGGCGGCGGGGGGTGGCGGCGGAGATGCCGCCGGCGAGGGACCGGGTGATAGACTTCGGGAAGTACCGGGGGAGGATGCTGGGGACGCTCCCCTCGAGCTACCTGAACTGGGTCTCCCGCAACCTCCGGGCCGGCGACTCGCTCCAGTGGGCCCTTCTCGCCGACGAGGTCCTCTCCGATGAGGTCTACCGCGACCGCCTCGAGTGGGAGTCCGCTGAGAGGCTCCTCACCGGCGGCGCAACCGGCGCCGCCGCCGCAACGGTCTCCCCCGTGGCGGAGCTGCTCGACGTCAGCCGCCGATTCGGGTGGGACAACGATGACAAGGAGGGGTGGCGTATGGTGGACTTCGAGCTCCTGGGCACCTCCCGGGGAGGCCGCATTCCCCGGCTCGCCGCCAGGCCCGCCGGCGGAGCAGCGGCGGCGGCGCCAACCGGTGGAAAGAGGGCCGGCAGCGGAGCGGCAGAGGACTGCTGGATTCACCGGGGGGGGAGGACGGCGGCGGCGCCGCCACCCGGAGGGAGGAGAGTGGCGCGTCTGAGCGAGGGGTGCAGGTTCACTGTCGGAGGTGAGGCGGAGGCGGCGGCGACGGGGGCAGAGGAGAAGAGGGAGGAGAGGAGGCAGAGGCTGAGGATGAAGCGGGAGCAGCGGATGCTGGCGTTGAGGAGGGATTTAGGGCTGGACGACGGCGGCGCTGCGGGAGGAGGCGGCGGCGGCGAGGAGGCTGCTGTGGCGCGGAAAGGGAAGGGGGGTGCCGCCATCCTCCCCAACAGCTCTCTCCGTGGGCTTCTTAATAAGATCAGAGGACGAGAACCCTGACGGCGGCCCCCTTTTCTCTCTCCTATTTCTCTTCTTCTGGTCGGACGGGGTGCGCCGTCAGGTGACGTCACTGTAAGCGACGGCGGCGGCCACTTTTCCTCCCCCCCTCCCTAACCTGGGCAGGAAATTGCGTTTTGATCCCTGGACGAGAGATGTTGACGTGTAATGATTGTTTGCGGCGGTGGCATACGAGCAATTGTGGATTGTGGGTGGGGATATTTGCTCAGAACTCATGCGGAGATTTCTCTACCGCAAATCTACCGCTTTTCGGATTAGGAAAATTGGGGGCCGGCGGAAAGGTGGGCGGGGACCACAGGACCAGAGGAAAAAAGCGCGAAGATACCGCGAGACGCTCGTCCGACGGCGATAAATACAGTGGGGCCCAGAGGCCACACGAACTATTCCCCCCGGGGAAAGGGCTGTTTTTGTAATTTAACGCCTTCCGCGATCTATCCGCCTTCCACGTCCCCCGGGTTAGTGCGTAGTGTTTCGTCCGATCGAAACAAATGATTTTTTATTTTTTGGCTCTCTCTCTCTCTCCCTGCGGATCGCTGCTTGTATTGGCTGGTTATCCTGCTTCGGACGCCGAGATGGATTTTGCAGTTCCGTGCACCTGATCGTTTCCTCGTCGGGTGGTCGTCGTCGCCGTCGTCGTCCTCCCCCGCGCCGCCGCACGGCTGTGGTCTCAGTGGAGGGAATTAATCATCGCTCGTCTCTTGTGCGTCCTCCGGGGGAAGGTATTCGGAATCTCTCCTCCCTTCCCCTCTTGCCCTCTGGCCCCCCTTCCTTCACCCCCTCCCCTGTTGAGGTATCGGGGCTCTTGTCTGAAGGGCGCGAAGTCGAAGGCCTTGTTCTTGCGGGGCTAACTGTCCATTTTTCTTCTCTTCTCCATGGATAGAAGGCGGCTGTAGCTTGCAATATATCTCTTCTTGGATAAACATGCAGATAAGGAATTTATGCGATTATCTTTCTGTTTCTCGCGAGAAGAAGATGTGATTGAGTAAGTTCTACGGATTGTATCATCCATTAGGACTTTAGGGTGGAACAGCGATTTCCAATGCTTAGGTTCTGCAGGTTAACCGGGGTACATGAGTTGATTGGCGATGCCTTTTTCCTTCTTGTTTTTCCTGAGAGTTTTGATTTTTGAGTGAGGGCACATTCTGCACAAGGGGTTTGGGGGAGGCTGGGAGGGGATCTAGCGAGGGGTCCCGCTTTTTCTGCGAGCTCAGAGCATCGTTGACCTTAGATGATTAAATGTCCATTTTTTTGGATTTTTTAGTTTCCCTCAGCCACGTCTTTCAGAGGCCTGGCGTGAAGAAAGAAAAATCGCTAGATGCAATGGGGGCCATCGGCCTGAGCTTTGGGGCTTTGACCGCTTGCCGGCTCCTCAGTCGGGCCAGTTTAGTCTATGGCATCGCATAGCCCACATGGTCTATGGCCCAGATTTTAATTTATCTTCTAGGTACATGATCTGTCATCCTCTTAATTAGTAGCTGAGGTTGGCAATCTCAGTCTAATGGTGATTTGACCTTGAATGGACTGATGTTTATTTTAATTTTTTGCGTTGCTCTTGGGGTAAGAGATGTTATGGCGGAGACTTGGATGAAAATAGGTTAATTTTTTTTATTTTAGTAAACTCTTGAAATTAATTATGAATCCCAAGTCATCAGTATGGATCTAAAGGGAAAATTTTGCTACCTTTGTTGGGTTTTGTTTTCCAGCTGTGTGATTCTTAGCCTCCAGATGGTTGTGCAACGGTCATGGGTGGATTCGAACGGGGATTATACTTCCTTATTATTGGTATTTCTCTTTCTGATGCGACAGCCATGGGTTCATAAGATTGCAGCTAGCACTCGCTTCTAGTGCTGGAATATTTATGATCGGTGATTCTCATCCTGATAATAACTGCTTTCGGATTTCGACTGTAAATCATATGGTATAACCCTACTTCAGGTTTCCTTCATCTTGTTGACTCACGTTTACTCAGGAGTGGAGTCGGACATTGTTAGAGTCGAGCTTTACATCTTGATGATCACATGTTTATTTATATCCTTGCCAGTACGTAGTGATTCTTATCTGAGATTTATTTCTATCATCAATTACGTTTTGAGAGACAAATGATTGCCATTTTAGAATAGCAATAACAGCGAACGGTTTTCTTTTGCTTTGTTTGGTATCACAAGATTCAGTTGGATTGCCTTTTCTATGATCTTATTGCTTTGAAGATGCTGCGTGCCTTTTCTATACTGTTGTCTTACCTTAAATATACAGTTCTGTTATGAGTTGACTTGAAATGTTCAGGACTAAAACTTGTCCTAAACATTCTAACTTTGTCATCAAAACCATCTTGCCTCTTTTTCTACTGTTGGCCGGGCTCTTAGCGGGTAAGATTATACCTGATGCATCGTATTTGATTAGACTGTTATTGATTTCATTCTACGTGTAGGATATTTATGGTAATAATATATCCGCAATTAGTATTTCTCTTTTCCATTTTTAGTTGTGTAACATCAACATCCTATTTTTCAGGTGGTGAAAGTTCACATCCCATGTGGCAGCCGACAATTAATGCAAGAATCTAGACAGGCGAAAGTCGATCGTGGGAGGCTCTCTTTATATCAGAGGAAGTGTCCCCAGTCTGTGTTCATGGAAAGGAATGAATCAACCCCCTTTATCCAGATCAGGAGTTTCTAGAGTGATGTCATCATCTTCACCAGTTATGCCAAGCCCTGTAGAAGGGAAATATCCTAAACTGCCCGATTCCCTACTGGTCTCTATGGAGAGGGAGCGTAGAACTAACGTATTGTCCCCAAATCCAACTTGCCTAGTCTCCAACAGTGGTGTTGTGGGGCCTTTATTTTCATCAGATTCAGGAATTTCTTCAAATCTCCAATTTTCTTCCATGTCCCCTCACGGGAGGCATCCGAGCTCTTCCTGCATCTCCCCAACACCAAACAGTGGCGCATCTTTTCTTTTAGCAATTTCTTCAAATTCAGGAATGTTTCAGCCTTCGTCATCCAGTTGCCTGTCTAGAGATTCTAGTGAACTCATCTGGTCGCCAGAAACCATTGAGGACTTCCTTGTTGGAGACGGTGCTCCTGTTGAGAATGCTCAAAGACAGAGTGCTACCATTGTGAGTGCTGAAGATCCCAAGCAACATGACTGGCCCGATTGGGTGGGTAGCGATGATTTGGGGAGCAGCTGGAATGAATATCTCCTTGATACTGATGCTACTGCCACTGAGTCTAAGGTGCCTACTTTATCCCTGTTATGGCAGTGGCTGTGCCATCTCCATAGGAGATAAGTCTTGTACCATCTTCCATCGTCTCTGCACGTATGTTAGGGTTTTAACTCATTTTGTTGCATCTCTTCAGGTGCTGTGTGCAGCACCACAACCATTGACGCAAGTTGCAGCACAACAACCACATATTCTTCAACAATTACCGTCTCATTCTGGGGATATTTTTCTGAACAACTGCACCTCACCGTCTGCAAGTAACGCACCAGTCAAGCAAAGGATGCGCTGGACACCAGAACTTCACGAGCGCTTTGTGGAAGCTGTCAATCAGCTTGGTGGCAGTGAAAGTATGCGATGCCATCTTTCCTGCATATTGTTTGATGGAAGTGCAAAGTCCCTCCTTTTATTAAATACTTGATTATGTTTCAACAGGAGCTACCCCTAAAGGAGTTCTGAAACTCATGAAAGTTGATAACCTGACCATTTATCACGTTAAAAGCCACTTGCAGGTATGCGCAAAGCTCTCCTCCTGGATGAAACTTTGCCAAGATCCACTCTGGCTTCACGACTTTTTTCTTTCTTTCTTTTTTCTTCTGTTGATTGCAGAAATACAGAACGGCTCGATACAGACCCGAATCCTCAGAAGGTTAGTGAATGCATCACTTTTTTTTATTGGAGACTAGAACTTAAATAAACAGCATAGCGTGTTTCTGTTATCTTAGTCTCCCAGTTTCATACCCAGTTCTTGTTGCTATGTTTCTCTTCTCCCTCTCTCAAAGCACCCGTCTTCAGGTTCAATTATCAGGAGCTCGATTGCCGTTTGGCGTAGAGTTTCTCTTTTACTATTCTTCTGTAATTAAAGATTCTCTATTGCACTTTGATCTTCACGTATGCCTTTTTTGGTTATATAACTTTTGAGATACCAAAGAGAGTTTCATGCGACATGCTCTCTCATGAATCTGTGGCCACTTCCATATCTTTCATGCAGGTACTGGAGAGAAGAAGGTTTCTGCTATTGATAAAATCTCTTCTTTGGATCGAAAGTCGTAAGTTCCCCACAACCCATCCTGAAAACTTCTAGCGTCATATCTATTTTTTTTTAATTCCTGCGTGCGTAGAAATAACTGTGTCGGCAGTTCTTGTGTCCATCCATTGAGACGATGTTGACCTCTAAGTGTTGTCATCCGCTTTGTAAACTCTTTGAAGCTGACATCACAAACTTAACATACCAGGATTTGTTGTTAGAGTAGATCATGTTGGATTTTAGATGGGAAATTACAGATGAAACTAAGAGTCTACAATGGCTGCTTTGCCAAATAATTTGATTCAAAACCTGGTTACCGGGCACCCAAGTTGTTTCCCAGGAGACAATTAATCCCCACGATGATGTTAAAATAATGGGGAAAATGGAATAATCTGTCCGTCCTACAGAGAATGGAAGACTGCAAGCTGAAACCAGCAGGAGTTGTGGAATAGCAAGAAAGAGAAGAACAGATTACCTCGTTCTTTGATGCTATCAGTCGCCAGCCATGGCTGCCGGCTGTGACTGCTATTCTTTTACCCTTTTTATTTTTTTTATGTTGATATAATCATGTGATTTATAAGTACTTTTTCATTTGAACCATGGTTCTGTCTTCCCCTCTGGCTCGGCCATTTGGCTGCTCTGGTCTGATCTGATCTGAACCATGTTAGTGCAAAATAAGGCAAAAATATTCCCGCCTTGTGAAATTACGATATGCCCTACAGAAGTAAAATATTTATTGTCAGAAATCTCTAACACACTCCGTCGTTTTTTCTTGGTAAGAAATTTGTTCTGAGATAGAACTCTTCTTAATCTTTTTCCAGCGGTATTGATATCACCGAAGCATTGCGGCTGCAGATGGAAGTTCAGAAACAGCTTCATGAACAACTCGAGGTGCATTTCTTTGGTGTTGGGCTGCTCTGACTTTCCCCCATTACTCTCCGCATTTCTTTGGGCTTGCACTAATATACCATCATGAGGCCGCCTTATTCGATCAAATTATTATCTTATTATTCGAAATGAACAGAAGCTAGTGGTCAACGGCTGAGTTCAAATGCGTTTGTTTCTCTGCAGATCCAGAGGAATCTGCAGCTGAGAATCGAAGAACAGGGGAGGTACCTCCAGATGATGTTCGAAAAGCAGTGCAAGACAGGGAAGGAGATGTTTAACCTCCCTCCTGCATCGGACATACCCTCAGTCCAATCTTTAGGCATGAACCAATCCAACCATGGAAGTGAAGCTCCTGAGAAAGATCCGTCCAGAGCCTGTGATCAGGTCCGGGCTGATCTCGAGAGAGCCGAAGAGAGCCCACGGAAGGTGGGCGCCGAGCTGAAGATGTCTGAAGCAGAGCCCTCCGCCGATATCACCTTGAGTGACATCGGCGAACCCCAATCTCCCCCCTTGAAGCGCGCGAGAGAAAGCAACGAGGCCAACCCATCAGTCCCAGCAGCAGCCTCAGACTAACATATTTGGAAGCTCTCTGCGGTCTTCTCCTCGCCAGGGCATGAATGAAGCTTTTGATGGGAAATTTTGCCATCCAAGAAAGCCAGGAAACCCTCGAGATTGGCAGATGTGTAGTATGGATACTTGTGCTCTCGCTCTGGAGCAGGAGGGTTGACTTCTGAATGTTTTCATCCTTTTTATGAAGCCAAAATGAGGACTTCAGGGTTGACTTCCATCTGCCCGATGCTCCTTGCCTGGTTGCCTCGCGTTAAAGCTAATGTACTTAGTCGAATAAGGCTTCTATGAGCTATATATGTACTCTATAAAGCGTCGCTCCCTGGAACCCTCCTCATTTCTCCTTCCCCTTTTTTCTTCTCATTAGCTGAATCATGCCGATATTCATACACATCAGACGATCCAATTCTCCGAAAAAAGAGAAAAGACCCACTTGATTGAGAATGCATCAGCCGGCTATAAATCACCGGGACTGATCTCCTGGCGGATTGGGTTCAATTCAGAAACCGGGTTTGACCAATACAGCCGAGAGAGAGAGAGAGAGAGGGTTCTATGGGGTTGACTTCAGATCCATCTTCGTGATTTTTGCAGGAATAATGCACGTATAGAGAGAATGATCTTGAGGTGTAGAGAGAGAGAGAGTATTCAACAAACAGGGTGGAGTCAAAGTAGTCAACAATTATTTCTCTGACAAAAAAATGCTGGCGGGTGAAAGTATGTGCCCGACAATATTTAAAACTTAGAAACCAGAGAAAATAGCAGCAAGCGTCTCACAGGAGATTATTTCTTCTCATTTCCCTGCACCTGCGCTGAGCCATCGGCTGTGCCCTCAGTTGACCACGTCCATGATCAGCTTGCGGGACTTGAGGACCGACCACTTCATGCGGCGGTAGTAAGCCGCTTGAAGAAGGGCAAGAGAGAGAACGAAGATCCACTTGAACCCCATCTGAGAACAACAAAGCTCAGCATCAGCAATGAACCTGGGAAGCTGGGGAATCGAAGAGGACGATCTTTCAAACGTTCTGTGAATGGTTTTTACCAGTTTCCTCTCCTCCATCTCTGGCTCGGCCGCCCACGACAGGAAGGTGACCACATCTTTCCCCATCTAGAATGCCACGCGAAGGGGAAGAAGCCAGTGTTAGAACACATGAGGTAAGTATGGTTTCTTAGCGAGAGAGAGAGAGAGAGAGAGAGAGAGAGAGAGAGAGACAGAGAGAGAAAGGCAGGGACCTGGGACTCGGTCGCTGGGGTGCCATCTTCATACTCGATGGCGCCGTCAATGAGCATCTTTGGCATGGCAATGGCGCCGCCAGGGAAGTAGGGATTGTAGTGCAGGCCCTCTCGGATCTTCATTTACGGATCAACCACAACCCAATTAGTATAATCATGAACATTAAAGGAAAGGCAATGCGAACATATTTTCTCTCTCTATAGCATAAGTTTCAGAATTACCACAAGAGCATAAGTTTCTCTCACTAATGTGGCCAATCAGAAAGGGGAGGAAACTATTGGACGGACCTCTAGGATACCCCCCACCTCCCTTCATAATATCTGATCATCATTAAATCTAGAGAGATGATCGATTGGGGGGGTCCAAAGATGAATGACCAACTTTCAACGTTATGCCAAATAGGTGATTAATCATCAACAAACTTAGATATATATAGAAAATACACATGAAAAAGAGAGAAAGGGCAGAAGAAAAGAAAAAAAACTGCAATATAATGAGATGATCATTTAATCCCTTTTCCTTTGGGTTGCCAGAGATTATATTCTTCCACAATCAAAAGAAAAATCTGAGAAGATGACTCACTGAAACTCCTGCTGGGGGTTCGCGGTATCCAGTGAGAAGGGAGAACACATAGTTTTGGCCATTGTGGCGTGCCTGAAAATATGAAAGGAAAAAGAGTCAAATTTGGCAACAGAACCAAAGCCTAAGGCTAAAACCTAGCAGGCTCACCTTTGTAATAAGACTAAGATCTGGAGGATATGCACCACCATTAGCAAATCGCGCTGCCTGTTCATTACCATATGGCTGAGGGAAGCGATCACTTAACTTGCCAGGCCGAGTAAACATTTCACCTTCGTCATTTGGCCCATCAACCACCTCAATCTCAGAAGCCATAGCCTTAGCTTCGTCTTCAGTGAATGCAACACCCACAAGATCACGGAATGAAATCAAGGACATCGAGTGGCAAGAAGCACAAACTTGTTGATAAACTTGGTGACCACGGCGGATTCTGATGATGAATCATAGCATAGTTATTCATAATTTATAACACATAATTTGGGAAAATTTACAAACAGAAACAAAGGCAGATGAACTATGTTTCATCATGCCTTAATAATAATGCAAAGAAAAAATTGCCCTGCAATCCCTATTAAATGGTAACATTCTGCATTAAAGGCGGAAAAAGAAGGCTGGTGATGCCACTATGTGTTGATCAAGGAATCAATTACTCACGATGCATGATCATAGGAACTGAGGATGCCCTGGTGGGGCCATGGGTAGTTTGGGCATGCTAACCCATGCTCTGCTTCGTCAGCTGATGCAATTGTTCCAAAGCTTAATATACCAGAAAGACCAGCTCCAAGGAGTGCCAATGCCCTAAAAGATTTCATTCCTGCAGATCCAAAAGCTTCTTGATCCTGTTTCAGCACAAAGGATGAGAGCATTGGTGGAACCTGCAGAACAATATACACCGAAAGTTGTGAGATAAACGTGAAAATTTCATGTCAGGAAATATACGCCACCTCTTTCCTTCTTAATATAGAGTAATATGTTTTGATCCGATAACTATAGCCCAATATAATCTTGTTTAAATTACTAGACAAGTCCCCAGAAATAAGGATACAATGATATCACAGTACCTTCCCAGTTTGTCAACTTGAGAAAAGTCGACCAAACTTTAACAAATCATCACACTTTTCTAATTTCAGTATAAAACCGTTAATATTAATGCATCAAACGATGGCATAAAATAAAGATCATCGCCTATAAAAAAGACCTTTATGCTCGTCTAGATCACTGACCTACTCCATGGACCATTCATTAGATTGCCATCTTCTGCGCCAGATTTTTGTCCCCCGTAAACAAATCATAGCATATGAAAGTTTATCTTCAAAAAATATTATTCAGAAAACATAGATGAGTATGCTGATGAACCTCGCCTTAGAAATTCCAACAAACTCAGGTTGAATACACATGTTTTTTCCCCAAGAATGTTCCCTCCATATCTCCATTCCAAACCAGTTCACAAATTGAATATTTTCATATATTAAATTTGTCGTTTCTGTTAGGAATCCACCCCGAAAAAAGCAGATACAACTACTTCCAATATTCATAAGTTCTCTTTGTCTTCTAAGGTGGCAGATACGCCCTTTCCTTGTGCTATCCTAGTAAGAAGTTACCATTCTAACTTCTGCTTCAAACATTCAAAGTGAAACCGAATAATTCAGATCATTCTCAACGTCTTCGTCTTGTGCATCCATTACCAGACCATCTGAGCACCAGAAGAGCGCTGTGAGTCTCTTCATGTCCTCTAGTTTCCCCATAGTCTCCATGACTTTGAGTAACATACATTCTCAGCTGCTTTTGTCTTATCCTCTTAAACATTTTCCTCCTGATCATCTAAGAAATTCTTCGCCTTTAAGTGGTCCTTCCTAACCAGCATATCAAGAAAAAAAGGTAATCATCTACTTTTCTAAATTTAAGAATCCCAGATAACAACTGGAGCATGCATCTCTTCAGTCGGAAATGAAGCGTCAATAATTTATGACCCCGTAATATCCCACTACCTTGAATGCTCCATCACTTTGTACATCCGCACTTCGTACCAAAACGAGTACTTTGTCAGGTCTCTTCAGTAATTAATTCCCTTCACCTCTTGGAGAGCAGAAGCATTCCCATGCCTTTTAAATGATGGCCTCTGAAACCCTATCTCCCCCAGAAATATGTCTGCTTAATACATACCGCTAGTACAGAGGGGAGAGAAATAGAGATCAAGTCACGGGAGATAGCAAGCATTACCTTCCTTTTTTTTATCTTAAGAAGAGATTACTAGATTTCTATTTCTACAGCCATAATGCCAAATTCGCGGGATCGCAGCATATTCTAATTTAGAACCAGAAATGTCAGTGTTTCTTACTACAATCCATTAATAAATACATCAGCAAAAATCTAAAAAAAATACAGAACTATACGCGTCAATCAACCTTATCTCCTATAAAAACGATAAAAGCCCTGATTTAACGTCTCAGATATGTATTAATAAAATACCAAAGCCAACGTGTTTCCTAAGCCGAGCCGCAATATCACAGTGAAAAGCTATTAAAGAGGACACAATTCAATGCTTCAATTACGAGATCGTATCACAATTAGTTTGAGGCAAAATTCAACTGACTGTCCCTTCGCTCAATAGTCTAACTCATTTTTATGGTCGAATATCCGATTCTAGGGTTGTTCACGGATGCGACGAAAAAAAAAAACAAAATCGAAACAAACGGAGCAGATGAGAGAGGACAGAAAGGGAGGAAAAATATTTCTTACAGATGAATGTGACTGGAGCTTCTTCCTCAGCAGCTGATGAATGGCCCGCCCGGCAGCCATTGGAGACGACGAAGAAGAAACACCTACGGCAAAAACATGCCCAACAAATGCATCGAAATCAGAAAAAGACGACACAAATGTCAGGGATGATTCGATCGGAAATGGATCAAAGATTTCGGACCCGAAAAGGGGGAAAATTCGGCCTCCTGGCTGCTCGTGGATGTGGAGTCGCTTCTCCCGGGGTCCGGGATGCGAACAAAATAAAGAAGAGAACAACAAGGATAGGGAGGAAAGAGAGCATTTTAGTCATTTAACTGACACAAATTAGTGTTGCCGATTTTCCCACGTAGGATTCCCATCCCTCCTTTAACCTTCAAAGGGATCTAATAAGTCCATAATACCCCCAATATTCTACTTAATGTCAACTTTGTCGGAGAGCAACTCGTTCTTCTTCGATCGACGGCGACGATTCGTTCACTCTGATCGATCGGGCGGACACTAGCAGCGGTGTAGACCCCACGACCCATAATGGGCCGACTATAATGGTGTCTGGGAGGCCATAATCAGATTATTGGGCCCCTTCGCCGAGCCTAATAGGGCACCATAGTCTGCCCACATCAATAACCGCCGGGCACAGCGGCGTGAAGAAGAACCAGGAGGAGGGGGAGAGAGAGAGAGAGAGAGAGAGAGAGAGAGGTTTTTTGTTCGAAAATCAGACCCAAAGTTCATCCAGAAATCTACTCCAGAACAGTGCAAAAACTACAAAGCGACGGCGGCCGAAGATGGTTGGTTGATCAGTTGCGGCGGTTCATCTTCTCCACCATCGACCGAGGCTCCCCCTTGCAAGGACCTCCTCGAGCTCCTCGAACGGAACCCCCATGGTCTCGGGCACGAACAGGGAGATCAGCACAAATGAAGCAGAGGAGAAGCCGCAGAAGAGGAAGAAGGTCCCCGAGCTGCCCAGCGCCTGAGTGAGGCTGAGGAAACTCTGGCTGACGACGAGATTGGAAACCCAGTTGCAGACCGCCGCCATGCCGCCGCAAATGCCTCGGTACCGCAGAGGATAGATCTCTGAGTTGACTATCCATGGGACGGTCCCCATTCCGGGGGCGTAGCAGAGGATGAACGCCGCCAGCCCGAAGAGCGCCGCCCACCCGAAATCGCTCGGGCAGCCCTTCGTGTACCACGCCCGCCCCTCCCGCCGGCACACGTCCCCGCCCGGCGGCGCCGCCCAGCACGCCCCCGGAAGAAGCTGCAGGAAGACCCAGAAGACGAAATTTCAGCAACTTTCGAGCTCAAGATGACCCAAAGAGGGAACTTCAGCGACTTACGTGGCCGACGGGGCTGCCGCAGAAGCCGCACTGGGAGGAGGCCTTCAGGCAGCTGACGCAGTTCCAGTTGGGGATGTAATCAGGACAGGTGAGGTTCCGGTAGAGCGGCGCCGCCGCCGCATCGGCGGCGACGGGTGGAGAGTTCGCGGCCGCGGCGTGAAAGACGCCACCCAGGAGGCCGAGGAAGAGGACGATCCCTGTCAGGCTGGCGAGCATGAGCTTCCTCCTGCCGACTCTGTCCACGAAGCACATGCTGAGGACTGTGCCCACAGCATTGAGGCCCGAGGTGACGAGGGAGAGCGCCATGGCGGTCTTGTTGGAGGCGAACCCGGCGAGCTGGACGATGGTGGGGCTGTAGTACATGACGGCGTTGATGCCCACCAGCTGCTGCGCCACCTGGCAGATGATCCCCGCCGTGAGGCCTTTGCGGACGACGGCGTCGCCCCATGCGCTTCCTATTCGGGTAAAAACGCCGGCTCGATCTGCATTCTCCGCTTCAACGGACAGTCTCAGGGCCTGGATCTCGTCGTCCACTTCGTGAGGAGGGTATATCTTTCTCAATATCTCCTCGGCCTCCTGCTTCCTGTTCTGTTTTCCGGAAAAGAAAAAAAAAGGGAATTTTTTTCTGCTCATTTATTCGATAATTAAATGGCCAAAGAGTGAGAATTTCTGCCGAAGATCGCGCCGACCTTCCTGTAGAGCCATCTCGGCGATTCGGGCAACATCAGCATCAATACGAACTGGACGATCGCGGGGAGCCCTGCAACTCCGAGCATCCACCTCCAGGTCCCTGGCACCTGCGACATGCTCCATCACTCATTATCTATATACAGTTCGAGATGTAGATTTCATGCTAGATGACGATATGAATTGATGTGGTTCCCCACCCGGGTGAATGCCAGGTTGATGAGGTACGAGAGGAACTGCCCGCCGGTGATGAGCAGGCCGTTTGAGCTGACGAGGGCTCCTCTGATTCTCGCAGGAGATGCTTCGGAGATGTACAGAGGAGAAGTCATGGAGGCCATTCCGACTCCGAGGCCCACGAAGATTCTTCCCAGAATTATCACCGCATAATGCGGGGCTACGGCCATGATGACGGCGCCGACGAAGAACAGCACGTCGGCAGTCAAAATTGACAGCCTCCGGCCAAATCTGTCGTTCATCCAGCCCCCAACGGCGGCGCCAATTATAGCTCCTGCCACCGCCATGCTCACAATAGTTTCCTGTATATGCATCAATCAAAAGCTAGGAAAATTGATACTTTCCGAGAAAGGAAATAGCCGAATAATGGGTCACCGAAAAATTTAAGGCACACCTGAAGAACAGTTTTCCGGTCAACTTCATGGAATTCGTCGCGGATGTAAAGAAGCGCACCCGAAATCACGCCTATGCATAAAAAAAACCAAAAATAAAATCATAACATAAATGCTGGTTAATTGTCAAATAGACAGAGGAAAGGCAGGGAAAATTTTGTTTTCTGTTCATGTTCTGCGCCTGAACAAAACGGAAATTATGTGAAGAAAAATCGAGGTATTTCTCAAAATTTATTGGATAGCATTTTCGCGATAGGTAAAGCTTAATCCGACAAAATAGACATAGGAATTGTAAGGACATATTTATTTGTTCATGTGCATCGTTCCTACACAGAAAAGATAATAATAAGCAGTTTATTTATAAAAAAAATATTTCAAACCATGAGATGAAATACGCTTAGTAGTAATATGAACAGAGGAGAGGCCCAAATCAAAAAAAATATTCATGAATAATTGAAACCCTTGGGAATTAGAATGGAAGTTCGGAAGTGGGTAAAGCATTTTGATCCATCCAGGAAAATGATCAGACAGATATCGTCGTCGAAGAGTAGCACTGATCCATTGATTCAACGTAAAGAGGGTTCCATCAGCGAGGGTGGGAATTTCTTCACATAAACCAGTGAAAATGCCACCGAATAGGCCATCAATCAAACGATACCCATATTGCAGATGCCAAATCGTGTGTGCACGACGTAGAATTAGGGTTCAAAATCGCCGGCTGAGCTAAGAATGTCTGGAAGCAGGATGTGAATAATCTGATCTCTTCCTTCCCAAGCAAAGACGAGGAGATCGAATCAGGTACCTGTATCATATCCAAAGAGCAACCCTCCGATCCCAGCGGAGAATGCGAGACGTAGAACATAAGGTTGCCTCCAGATCAAACTCAAGCATTCCTTGAATTCAGCTTTGTCCGCCTTTTGATGGCCTCCTTCCATTGTGTTTGAACCAAGGAAGAAATGCTCGAGTTCCCTCACTTTAGCCTGAGAGTGAAGACTGTGGGAGCGAATCCATAACAGATCGTACGAAGAAGAACAGGAAGCCAAGATGCTGGGAACAAGGCAATGAGAGGCGAGAGGGAGAAGACAGAGGGAGAGCGCAGTTTGTTTACCAGAGTTGGACGGCCGATGAGACGCTGGTACGCAGTCCTTCCCCTGTTTCTTCCTCTGTTCTACCTTCGATTCGCGGGGAGGATCACCGATCCACATAGCAGTAACAATGAAAGATACGCTGGGATAATCCAAGTAGATGAGAGAGAAAGAGGGAGTGCATCTCGCCGCGGGGAGGGCTGTTTCTTGATAGGCTGGAGCCCTCGATCTTCGGGATACAGGGGAATTGCTTTCTTTCTCCGTATGCCATCTCTGATTTGGTTTCTGACGGTTTTGGCTAACCTGGAATCGAACGAGAAGCGGGAGACTCCAGCGACCAAGTCGGCGCTGGATCTGTACCGATCTTCATCCATCAAACTAGGGAAGAATCAGCCGTAACGAGAGAGAGAGAGAGAGAGAGAGAGAGAGAGACAGAGAGAGACAGAGAGAGAGAATAAAGCTGATAGTCAAATATCCTTCACTACCTCCCGAGAGGCTCTCTCCGGCGCAAATTCCTCATCCACTCTGCGGCGGAAGCGGAACGATCTGCCAATTTGTTCGAAAAGCGGGGAAAACAGAAGAGCAGGGGATCCCCCACCCCCCACCCCAGCAATTTCTCTCTCTAGAACGCCTCTACAGCTCTTTTTCTCTCTCTAGAAAACTCTCTCCTCGCTTCTCATGCTCTTCTCGAATGCGCCGGCCACCGGCGGAAGGCGGCGCCGGCGACATCTTGTCATCTCCCTCCAACCCCCTCGATGTTCCTTACGCCTGAATTGGATTTCTCCGGTGAGATCCAACGGAAAATCCGATACTGAATCCAAAATAGCGTGACAAGATATTGGACCATGAGACGGGAATTTTTGGTCGAGGTCAGCCCATTAGTCGAGATTGAGCCCATTTGACTTCCTACTGGACCTCATTGAAGGCTTCAATATTTTATGGGCTGAAGCCCAATCGGTCCTGTATTGGGCCCTTTTGACTCCCAAATAGGCCAAGACCGAACCCATCGTAGGCTCCGCTGCTCGAGTAAAAGTCGACGTGGCACTAATCTTCTGCGAGATGGGCCATCCTTCCTATAACCACGTTGGAACTCGGCATGACCTATTGGGCCTCTCGGATGTCACTCTGGATCAGCTCTTAGCCCAGTGGGCCTCTGCGAATCATCAGCTGTGCTCTTGTCTTATTGGAGGATCATGATTAGCAAAGTGGTTCCGGAGTCACACGAGACATTGGTCGTACAAGCATTGCGCGGGATCACGTGTTCCTCCGGAATAAAATTAAAGCGAACCCTAGATATCATCGTGTCCGTCTGTTTCTCCGGTCGGCAAGATCGACGACGCAGGGTGCTCCCCAAACGTCCCTTAAAGTATAAAAGGGCGGCCTCCGCCGACCGTTCTATTTCCTTCGTTATCCGCCCTGTCAGGCTGATATTTTAGGCCATCTCCATCGAACCCCCCCTCACTGGAAGGCAGAAACCCTAGCGGGGTTGAGGGAGGGAGAGAGGTAGCGGGGGAGATGGATTCTGATCAGGGAAAGCTGTTCATCGGGGGGATATCGTGGGAAACAACGGAGGATAAGCTGCGGGAGTACTTCGGCAAGTATGGGGAGGTGATGCAGGCGGTGATCATGCGCGATAAGATCTCGGGACGGCCCCGGGGCTTCGGATTTGTCGTCTTTGCGGACCCCACTCTCGTTGATCGCGTTCTCCAGGACAAACACACGATCGATGGCCGCATCGTAAGAAGCTTTCTCTCAGTCTCGAACGGCTTTTTTGTACGCATTCCTGATTTTTTGCATTTTTTAAAATCTTTTTGTCCCTGTTAATGGTGTTTTTTTGACGAATCACATTCCAACGAAAAATTTAGTATGTCCTTTTTAATTGTTCCTTTCGGTGCCCACCGTTTGATTATCGAGATTTAGCCCGCTTGCGTCGTTTCTAAGCTGTTAATTTCTTTAGCTGTTAGTTAATATTGATTGGTCTTTTTTTTGCGTTATTTGCACGCTTGTTTTTTTCACTTTCTTCACCCGCATCTTCTTATTTTCTTTCTATCAAATTCATGCACTGTTTTTCTTTGTGACCTTCACAATCCTGATGTTTTCTGTTTTCCTTTTTTGATCTCTTTGGGGTTTTCAAACGAGAAATAAATGCTCCATGTTGGGCTCCGCTCGCGCTCCCCCCTTTTAGCAACATTCATTTTCTTCTATGACTATGTTTTTTTTTTCGTGCTGTTTTACTTGAAAGCACCATCTATCCAGCGTTTAAGGATTGTATATGAGGGAGTTTTTATTAGCATTATGAGATGCAATTGTTGGCATGATTATTTTTTATAAATTGGACAAAATTTCCTTCTTGCTTGCACATCTGCTGTCTGGTTCACTGTCATGTTCATTATCATTCTTGACTGTCATCCAGGTTGAAGCTAAGAGGGCAATGTCAAGAGAAGAGCAGCACACTTCCTCAAAATCTGGGAATCCTGCATCTGGTAGAGCCATGGGAGGAAGTGGAGGTGGTTCTCAAAAGACGAAGAAGATATTTGTTGGAGGTTTGCCGCCCACACTTTCGGAAGAGGGATTTCGCAAATACTTTGAGGCTTATGGTACAGTGACAGATGTTGTTGTGATGTATGATCAAAACACTCAACGTCCCCGAGGGTTTGGGTTTATCTCATTTGATTCTGAGGAGGCTGTTGATCAAGTGCTTCATAAGACCTTCCATGATCTAAGTGGGAAGCTCGTTGAAGTCAAGAGGGCCATGCCAAAGGATGCTCTAAGCCACGGAAGTGGTGGTGGTCGTTCAGTGGGCGGAGGTGGCGGTGGATATCAAACGTATGCTGGTTCTAATCCCAGTTCCGGTTCATATGAAGGTAGGATGGATGCTAACAGGTACATGCCACCGCAAACAGGAGGAGGGTTTCCTCCTTATGGATCCTCTGGCTATGGTGCGCCTGGTTATGGATACGGAACAGCAAACAATGGCGTTGGCTATGGAGGATTTGGGGTCGGTGGGTATGGAGGTGCTGGTGCTGGGTACAGTGGTCCTGGTGGTGCCTATGGCAACCCAAATGCCCCTACAGGTGGCTACGTAGGTGGTCCCCCCGGTGGCCCAAGGAGCCCCTGGAGTAATCAGGTCCCATCTGGTTATGGCTCTGGTGGATATGGAGCTAGTGCTGGCTATGGGTCTGGTGCTTCATGGAATGCCCCAGGTGGTGGTGGCGTTCCACCCACGGGTCAGTCTCCCAGTGGGGCAGGTGGCTATGGGAATCAAGGATACGGTTATGGTGGATATGGCGGGGGTGAATATATCTCTCGTGGAGGTGGTACTGCCCCTGCAGGTGGTGCTGTTGGGGATCAACATGGGGCAGGCTCTGGATACATGGGTGGAGGTTATGGGGATGGCAGTGGGGGTTATCCGAGCTCTTGGAAGTCTGATCCGTCTCAAGGTGGGATTTACGGGGCTGGCCAGGCGGGTGGTCCTCTTGGTGCTTCTGGTTATGGCGGTTATGGTGGTGCTCAGCCCAGGCAGGCTCAACAGCAGTGATTGAGATTTGTCCTCTGCAAGGTCCTCTCTGCGCGGTTTCCTCAGAGGGTCGGCGGTTTGCTCGCAGCTGATGGAAAGGACGCGATACCAGGATTGAAGGCTTGATTTTTTGTCACCGGTTGGAATGCTTGAATCCCTGTAGTTTATGTAGTCATAGCTCTATCTCGTATAATGATGAGTAGTCATGAGAATAGTAGATATGTCTGTTATTTTATTTACTTACTGAGTTTGTAGTGTGCTTAAAATGATTAACTTTAGCTATCATCTTGTGTTATGTTCTTCCATGAGCCCGTCATCTCTAGTGTAAAGCTAGAGTAGCCTTACCTTGAGCTCACCACCTTCTTTTGTGGTTGCCTAGCTAAGTAAAGCAGCCTACTTGCAATGCTGGATTTTGGGTCGGTAGAATTTTGAGGGTTTCTTTCTGTATATAGAATCTGACTGTTATGGATACTCTCTGACTGTTCTTCAGCTGTCTAGACTGTCAGTTATATTTTGCAGCTCCTTTTCTTATGACAAGAGTATTAGCGATGGGTAGCCAGTTAAAATTCCGCAGATCCTTTTCTTTATGACAAGGGTATTAGCGATGGGTAGCCAAATTGCTATTTTTCTGGCATTTGATAGTTGTTTATAAATATAGCCATGACAGCGCTAAATAGCCCTCACACAGTTATAATGTGTATCATGATTCAAGATGATGCTCGGCATGGCAGCTGTTACTTCACTTTGATTTGATAGCCTTCACTTTGATTTGATGTTTCCGTTTGGTTAGTGATGCATGGTAAATGTTTCTTTATTTGGTAGGTAACATGGTAAAGATATAAAGGGATGTTAGTCGTAGTGGAAGCTAGTGGTGAAGGAGAGGAGAGTGGCTGGTTAAGAAGAAAGGGAGGGATGAGTTGGGGGGCGTGTAGCAAATAGAGTAGAGAAGAAATATTTGTCAGTGCAATAATTTGTTTTCTTTTCCTTGCTGTATTTTCCCTTTTGGCACAGGGGATGCTGGAGCTCCGAGTTTGGAGTTGGTTGTTAAGCCACGGGGACACGCCCTCTCTGCCAAGTGTAAGCCAGAGGCCCCGCTCTCATCCGGGCTCTCCCCCCATCATCCGTCTCTCACAGGCGACGATGACAGGAGTAAAGCTTTCCGCTCTTACTACTTACTGTATGGTGATTCAGTTCCAATTCAATTACAGGCGACGATGGTGATGGTGGTGGTGGAAAAGAGTGAGGAGGGGGGGGGTCAACGTCCATGTAGTCCCCCCCTCTTCCCCGTTCTTTATTCCCCACCTTCAGTGATGTTGTGCGCGGCGAACGCCGCTGGGAGGGGAAACAGACAGATGACAAAGAGAAGGGGGTTCCACGGCCACTCTTTCTTTCTATCCATATCTCTCGGTCTCGGTCTCCCCCAGTGAATTAAAAAAAAGGGGGAAAGTTTGGTATTGACTGAAGCTAGTGAGAGGGTGGCCATGCGTGGGTTGTGTGCTCCATGCCTCCCGAGAAACGCCGCCGCGAGAGAGTTGCGCACGTTTGACGGTGGCAAACGGGGAGGGCGGAGAAAACAAGAATTCAAGAATTCATGAAATTTATCAATAACATCCCTATTTTCAACCCAGATTAAGTTCTTTCCCGAAATCCATATCGCTTCTTGGTCGATACAGCGCAGAGCAGCGTCAAGCTCGAACTGAGTTCTCAATCAGCTATTCCAGTGCGTCAGTCTGAATCTCTAACCCGGATAGAAAGAAGAGCTCTGATGCTGTTAACCTCGATGATCTCCTCTTCCTCTATCCATCTATCTAGCATTCACCGGAACAAAGACCAGTAGAAACCTACGGCCATTTCTTTTCCCTCCTTCCACTCCATGTTTCATAACATAGCTCGGTCCCATCGGTCATAGGAATCCAAATGCTTGTCCTCTTTCACCATTTCGCCTCTTCAACATGGACTGAGTCGCCATGTAACATCCCACAAACTGAAATCACACTGTGGAAGTTAAACTTTTTCAAAATATTTGTTGATAATTCAGTACAACAATGCATTGTGGAAGCATCCAGCCTAAGGGTATCAGAATCGGAAGGCCAATTCATCCTACCCTCCATAGTCCCCAGTTCATGGGGAAAAGAGATCAAGGTCTCGATTTACCTGAGCCATCTCCGGACCTGAACTCTACGCTCAGTCTACCATGAACCTTCTGTAACCAGACAAACCGAGTATTCTTTCACTAGAATTCAGTTGCCCTGACTACTTTTCGATTTCTCAGGATTTTAGTTACAAGGAAGCGCGCTCCACTTTCCACGAGCGAAGGTAACATCTGCCTGTTGTTCTGTAAAATGGTACAATCCTTCCTAAGAATCCCACGTACCAATTATTCCCAGCCTACAGCAGGAACAAGATTTTCACGTACCCAATTATTCAGGAAATTTTAATTTAAATAAATGAAACAACGAATCAGGAATACAAGATGGTGTAAAGAAGAGCACCTTAGTAAGTATATTCAGCATAGACGTCACAATGGATTTTTTTATTTATCCTGTTCCTTGTCCTTGTAAAGTCTTATCTCATTCACCACTCTTTTAAAAAGGTAGAGATCAAAAGGGCTTCTGAATAAGATCAAACCCAGCTTGAAATAAATACTTGGCCATGAACCTGCTTATGAGAAGATAATTTTGCTGACATGTTGCAGGTCAGATGCTGCAAAAACTGATGTTAATTTCTTCATGAATTCAAACCGAAAAACCCTAATGCATTCTGAGGTGGAACACGAAAAAGGGAGAGGGATAAGGAATTTTAATTGGATATATAACTTCTCACCGACTAGAATTAATAGGATCATCTAATAAATGATAAAATATCACATTAGAAGATTCTGCATCCATTGACAGTTTCTTATATTCACCATTGGGATTTTAGATAATATACTCAGAATAAGAAATCAAATTAACATACGGGAATCTGAGCATCTTTCAAAAAAATTCTGGAGCTGTCTTTTGCATTTGAAGTTCAGATTGAACAATACTTAACATCATTTAGATCGATGAGCGCATCTGGTGCATGAACGCATAATATGCATCCATCATAAACATCTTCTGATCCATCCGCACAGAGAAACCTGGAACAGCGTTAAATCCTGCAATTTTAGGCGATGATAAATTCATATGACGGAATATTAGGTAACCCAAAATGCAATTTCAGCTGTAATCCAGAAATTTTGAACTTCTCAATGAGCCACGGTTTAAAACTTAACAAGAGAGATAATTTTCACTTGAATTCAATGTCGAATACAAAAATCATCTGAAATATAATAAAAAGACACTAAAACTGTTATCAACGAATTAAAAAAATATGTTTTTCTTGTATCAAATAAAGCCCAAGGGAAAAGAATATTCACTCAATTCTATATAGGAGTCTGTACAACGAAGAATGCAAAAATACAAGTCAAAAAGAACCATACACAGAAGCAGGTGACTAGTTGGCTTCCAAACAGAACTTTAATCCACTTATAGTCCCACAACAATCTTAGGTTTGCTGGTGTTTGGGTAAGTGCACCTCAAATATAAAGGTGATCGCTAAGAAGAGATGGAAGACCTTATACAAATAGCAAGACTGTCACTTGAATAACACTCTTCATGCTTTCCTCTATCAATAGATGAAACAGAATCAACCACAGACCCCTATCTTATTTGGCAATGTGTGACTATATACACCTTGTTCTAACGGCAATACCAATTTTCAAGAGAAAATGACAGCAGAGGCTGCTTGTTTCTTAGAAAAAGCATCCTGACTGTAAGTTTTTGCCGCTTTCAAGTTACTAAAAACGTAGTGATAGATCATGGATAATGAGGAGATTACCTGAAGTACATGATGGTTACGACAGAATGAGAGCACAGAAAATGTTGAAAAAGTCATTACTCCTTCCCAAGGACGAGACCAAATTGATGAACAATTTGGAACCTAGAAGACACATAACCATTGAAAGATTAAAATGTTAGAGTCAAACTCCATTAAGGTGACTTTTCTATTCAAATTGGATACTAATGCAATTATAAATAATTCTTGGTATTAGGGTTTACCCAGGGCAAAGAGGAGAACCTAGAGGTTCTGATTGCGGGGATCGAACAGAACAAAAGAGGAGAAAGATCGGAAGACTCGTCATTTTCCGCATTGATGGCGAATACAGGTACGTCAAATTCCATCAAGTGGTATCAGAGCAGGTTTTCTCCCCTCTGTTCTGATTATTCTATGAGGCATACGAGAACCACAGTCAGCCATTAAGTCGCCGCATGGGACCATACCATACGTCGGCCGTGAGGCTGAGACGATGGAAGCGGCGAATAGGCCACCGTGTCGTCCATATGAGGTTAGACCAAGGCAGCCACTGGCCGCGTTGGCGACCAGGAAGGCTATGGCCTTAGGCAGTGCAGCGTGAGCACGCAGACGACCGTCGTACGTCGTCGAGGTGTGGGTTGCCACAACGGCAATCCCAATACCCACCGCCGTCGTGCTGATTAGGGCGGCGGTCCTCATCGCAGCGGGCCCCCTCTTCGCCGGCGGGCTCGAGTGGCAGAGGATTGGGGCGGTGACGCCGGGGGGGTCGATGCTGTCTCCGGTCGGCCTCGGCTCCGTACCACTGCCTGCCGCGGTGGCGGTTGCACTCCATGCCTCCGCGGTGTGCTTCACCACCGACGACATTGGCGGAGAGGGTCTGAGGCGGTAGGGCCTCGAAGCGAGCGCCGCCTCCTGGGCCGACGAAGCGGTTCGTGGGATGCGGTGACTCACTCCCGAGGCGCCGTTACAGTAGTCATTAAGGCATCCCCATGCGAACCACTTCACACGGATCACGAAATGACGGCCGTCCGGCGATGACGTCATCTAATGTCGATTGTACAATAATAATAATAATAAATGTATTATTATTATTATTATTTTATGTGTTCATTATTAGTATATTGTAGTTTCAATGTTCTAACTTATTGTCTATATCTATGTTATTAGTATTTTTGAGCAACTTGTGTTCCTCACGAACATGACACTGAGTAAGAATGGTTATTTGTATTAATTACATCAAGTGGATTTTAAATTTAATTCAGATGACATTCAACTTTACATTTAGATAAATTAGATTCACAATACCCACTAACGTGAGATTGTTATGCTTATATCTAAATGGGTGAAATGATTGTATTTATATATTAAATATAGAGTATTTAAGTACTTAATGATATTATATTTCATAGACTTTTATGTATGTACAATTAGTTTCATGTTTATTTAACTAATAGTATAATATTTCATTTGCCTACGTAGAGTTATAAAAGTATTATAGTTAAATATAAAGGTACCTATGTTGAATGATGCAAGCTTATTAGAATGAAAGAAAGCTTTGATGGATTTAGATATTTGCTTTTGAATGTCTGTTCCTACAACACTTACTGATGAAAGCAATGCAAAAGTAAATATTCTCCGTAAAAGATGAGAGAGATCAAATATATTATCTTTATCATTTATATTACAACATGTGTTTAGAGATATTAAAGATCATGTGACTTCTAACACTCTGGCAATTGTTTATATGGAAATGATTGAACAACAATTTATTAGGTCTAACAAAGCCAAAGTAGGTGTTTTAATTCAAAGGTTTACTTTCATGCACCATACAGGGAAAAGAAACATATAGGAATACATCATGGCCATGTGTGACATTGCATGAAAATTGAATGATATGAAGATTACTATTCTTGATACATTTTTGGTCCATTACATCTTACAAACACTACCAGTGGAATATGACCATTTTAAGGTCTCCTATAACATACATAAGAATAAATGGTCAATGAATGATCTCATGACCAAGTGTGTTCAAGAGGAAGAAAGGCAAGTTGCTAGTCAACTAGACAAGATAAATATCATGAATATGGTAACTTACAGATCAAAGAACTGTGCATCAAAAGGCAATATGATTAAAAAAAATTTAGAGAAGAATCACAAATTAGATGTGACTAAAAGCTCCATCTCTAAGGTTAAGTGCTTCTCCTGTAAGAAATCTAATCATCTGAAAAAGAAATGCTCAAAGTACGAGGTTTGGTTAATCAAATAGAATTTAAGTAATGAGGTATCTATCACAAGTCATGAATCAAATCTAGCTCCTAATTCGAGTTGGTGGATTAACTTGAGTGTCACTATGCATATTTCAACTACCTTGCAAGGGTTTCTAATAAGGCAGCCTCCAATTGTGTGTGAACTATATGTTGTATCTACAAATTAGATGCGTTCACACATAAAGTTAGCATGAGATTATAGAATCACTCTAGAGTTTGGAGAAGCTTTACTTTTCAAGAACTCTTTTTATATTCCATCATTTCAACAAAATGTAATATTTGTATCAAATTAGTTGAAGACAATTATCGTGCCATTCTTGATGCATCAAATATGTCTTTAACTAGAGAAAACATTCCCTTTGGGATTGGTGTAATTGATGGATTATTTAAGCTTAATGTTTATTCTGAAAATATTTCTCTAATTTATTTGAATAAAAAGAATAGAACTAACAATAATTCTATATGGCATAAGATGTTGAGACATATATCTAAAAGGAGGGTGAAGAGATTAGTGAATGGTTTTTTGGAATCTTTGGATTTCACAAATCTCGATATCTATGTTGATTGCATCAAAAAAAAACAATCAACACATTTAAGAGAAATATCATAAAATGTGGGACAACATTAGATTTGATTCATATAAATGTATGTGGACTTTTTCATCCATGTTTTACAAGCTAAAAGTATTTTGTAATATATATCGATGATTATTCAAGGTTTATGTATCTTTTCTTCATACATGATAAATCTAAAGTCTTTGATATGTTCAATGATTTTAAGAAAGAGGTAGATGTTTATCTAAAGTCAATAAATTAAGAAAACCTATAAAGACGGTCAAATTAGATAGAGGTAGATAATACTATGGTAGACACACTAAGAAAGGACAAATGTTGGGACTATTTACGTTATTTCGTAAGGAATATTACATAATACTTTAGTAACACAATGTTAGGAAAGCCTAATATGAATGGGGTTGTAGAAAGATGAAACATAATGGTTAAAAAAATGGTCAGGATTATGATGAATTATTCTACTCTCTCAATCTCAATGTGGAGTGAAGCTTTAAAAATAGTTGTGTATATTCTAAATAGGGTTCCAACAAAGTCCATATAGAAAACTCCTTACGAGTTATGGACTAATAGAAAACCCTATTTAAGTTACATGCACATATGAGGTTGTCCAATTGAAGTTAAACTTTATGATCTACATGAGAAATCTCTGGATTTAAAGACAATCAGTAGATACTTTATTAACTATCCAAAGAGGTCGAGAGGATATAAATTATATTGTCATACACATATCTTAAGAGCCGTTGAAACTAATAAAATTATCTTTTTAGAAGATGTTTGTGTTAGTGAGAGTATCTTTAGGGATTTCATTTTTAAGGAATCTTATGAAGATATTATTGTACCTCAACAAATTTTTGATGAGGTTAATGATATTTATCATATTCAAAAGATTGAGGTTTATGTGTCATATGTTGTTCTAACCTTAGACAACAATGAAGAGGTAAATATAACTACTCAAGAACAACCACATGAACAATCATCTGAGCCTATTGTAGATTCATCTATTTAATATCTAAATCAAAATTTGACTATGTGGTATATCTCTTAGGTGAAGACATAGGTCAATGGGTAATAGATTTCATTACATTTTCACAAGCCATGAACTATGTAAATTCTAATCAATGGTTACAAGCTATAAAGGAAGAGCTTGTGTCTATGGATTGCAATCAAGTATGAGACATCGTAAATTTGTCTATAAGAAATAAACTTATAACCATGACCTTCGTAACTCATTTTGATTTAAAGCTACATCAAATAGATATGAAAATGACTTTCCTAAATAACTAACTAAAAGAGGAAGTGTGCATACAACATTCTCAAGAATTTGAGATTAAAAAGTAAAGAATATATAATTTACAAATTGAATAAATCTATATACGAACTCAAACAAGCTTCTAAATAGTGGTACTTCAAATTTAATGAAGTTATCATGTTCTCTGGGTTTAAATAAAATATTATTGATCAACATATTTAAAGAAAAGTGAGAGTGGATGAATATTTTTTGTATTGTACGTAGATGATATTCTACTTCTTAATTCAAATCTTAATTTATTAAAAGAGATCAAGAAATTTATTAAAATTAATTACATAATTAGCATAGAGATTCACCGAGACAAATCTTTGGGCATACTTGGGTTGTCTCAAAGGTCTTATATATCAAATGTGTTGAAATGATTTTTGATGAAAAATTATTCTTCTAGTAAAACACCTATTGTTAAAGGTAATAAAGTAAGAAAATTACAAGGACCTCTCTTAGATGAGAAAAGATTTGTAATTAAGTAAAAATCATATGTTGTTGTAGTTGGGTCTCTCAACTATGTACAAATATATACTCGTCTAGATCTATAATTTGTCACAAGATATCTCAGAAGATATCAAAGTTCCCTTGCCTGATGAACTAGCAAGCTATGAAGGAGGTTTTACGATATGTTCAAGAAACTAAAGATTTAGTACTCACATATAGGCAAATGGATCAACTGGAGGTCATTGGATACTCTGACTTAGACTTTACTAGATGTTTGGACACACAAAAGTCAACTTCAAGCTATATGTTCTTATTTACTAGAGGAGTTGTCTCATGGTCTAGTACCAAGTAGAAGACAATTGCAGCGTCCACAATGAAAGCCGAATATATAACTTGCTTCCACGCATCTTTGTAAGTTATATAGATGAAGCACTTCATCACACAGTTAAGAGTTGTGAACTCTATACATAGACCCATAAAGATATACTGTGATAATAAAGTTGCTATCAAATTCTCCAATAACAACAAGAGCTCGACTGCTTGTAAGCACATGGAGATTCGGTTCTTGGTTGTGAAGGAGATAACTAGTGATCGATTAGTGTCAATTGATCATATTGGGACTGACTATATGCTAACTGATCTTCTTACAGAGTCACTTTCATTTGGTACTTACAGTAGACATGTATGTAAGATAAGGTTAGTCAATTCCCTAGAGGATATGACATGTATTTAGATACTAATGTAATATGTGATATCACACATCTGATATTTGAATATTAGTTTATGATGAACTATCATTTATCATTAGATAAATGAGAATGACACTCTATTTATCTTGTCATGACATAGTGAGCGCATTTATTAAGATTTTTTAAATATGACATAAAGTATTTAATTTTAATATTGATCATGAGCATCTTAATATATGGAAGGGACATACATCCTAAATGTTGTATTACCATTATGACTAGTACTTTTGAATGATATTATGATCAAAATGAGGATATTATTTAAAAGCATTAAAGTTGTGGTCGCCTCACATGATTATCTAATATAAAGAAGATTAGATAAAGTCAAGTGGGAGATTGTTAGAATCAAACTCCATTAAGGTGACTTTTCTAATCAAATTAGATATTAATGGAATTATAAATGATTCGTAGTATTAAGGTTTACTCGGGGCAAAATAGTAATATGGTTATGGAATGTATTATATAAAAGTCTGCCTTAAGGTTTCAACGCAATAGAACAGCACAACTCGTACGGAGACATTCCATCCATAGGAGAGAGGTTCTGATTGTGAGGATCGAACAGAAAAAAAGAAGAGAAGGATCATAAGACGTTCGTCATTTTCCGCATTGATGGTGAATATAGATATGTCAAATTCTATCATAAAATTGAAAAGCAAAAACAGTAGATAAATTTCATTAATCTTACACTCTACATCACGATAATGTAAACTCTGCTCGTATAGACCAATGGAAGACACCGAACCGCAGCGTTCTAGTTAGGTCAGCTGAATGCTCCATCAGAGACGTAGGCTCAGCTTGGCGGGAGATCGCCATTGATCACTCCACATACAATGACAGGTGATGCCCCGAGTTGCTAAAAACTAGGCGAAAAACCAAAAAACTCTGGAAATCTGCGGGGCAGACGGTCCGATAGAACACAAAAGGGACTAGTCTCCCTCCCTACGATGCTCGCGAGCGCTGGGAACGACGGATGGAGAAGCCAACCCCTCTCGTCTCTCGTACGATCTTCAATCCTCCCGCTCTTTCAGGGTTTCCCGCCCCCGCCCCCCCCCCCCCCCCCCCCAACTGTCTCAACGGTAGCCACTTCCCGCCTGCGCACTAATTTAGTGTACCATAACGGCCCTTCTTCGGCCTTAAAAAAAAAACTGGCCCGCCCCGGGCCGGTCCGAGGTTGTCAGACCCCATGATATAGTCAACTCCACAACAGCTAACTCTCTCTCTCTCTCTCTCTCTCTCTCTCTCTCTCTCTCTCTCTCTCTCTTGCTGTTGAGCCGCGAGTAGAGGGGAGAGGAAGGGAGGGAGAGAGGGGTTACCGGAGGACGTCGTCTTTGAACTTGAGGATCTCGCGGATCATTAACCAGAAATATGGGTTGGCGGGATTGCTCTTCTGGGCGAAGAGGCCGGCGAGGCCGTTGCGGCTGCCCCACTCGCAGCACTTGCCGGCGTCCAGGCTCACGGAGAAGGACATGTCTGACTCCTCCATCTCCACCCCCAGCGTCTCGAAGAACTCCAGCATGTTCGGGTAGGTCACCTGCAAGGCCAAGCCCCACCGTAAGCAGCGGCGCGGCCGATAATAGCCTCCGACCAAACCGTCGCGCAGCACCGAGAAGAGGCCCCATGCTGCCGATGACTAATTGCAGAGAGTCTACAAGGAGGGAGAAGAGAGAGAGGGAGGGAGAGAGAGGTTTTACCCGGTTGAAGACCATGAAGCCGAGGTCCACGTCGATACCGTCGGCGGCGACGGTCCTGCAGTGGCCGCCGAGCTATTTCTCCCCCTCGTAGAGGACCATTGCGAAGGGCTGACTTTGACGTTGTTGTCCAATGTCTGACTTTTCCACTCAGGAACGTGGCCATTATCCGTGAGCATACGAATACCCTCGTCATCGAGAGCAAGGTTGTAAATTGCTGGTTTCAAAGGCAAGTAGCCCCTTCCACTTCACCAATATTTCATGTCTCTCTACTCTGCCCGACATTTGGGTCAAGCGAAAAATATCAGCGGCTTCCGTGAATCTTAAACGAAGATATGCAATGGAATATGCGACCTGAAGAAGTGCTGAAGACAGAAAGACGGGCACCAGACTAGCCCCTTCCACTTCACCAATATTTCATGTCTGGTGCCCGTCTTTCTGTCTTCAGCACTTCTTCAGGTCGCATATTCCATTGCATATCTTCATTTCAGATGCACGGAAGCTGCTGATAATTTTCGCTTGACCCAAATGTCGGGCAGAGTAGAGAGACATGAAATATTGGCCGACAGAAGAGAGAACAATACCAGAGAGAGGGAGAGGGAGAGGGAGAGGGAGAGACGTGAGCACTATAGCTAGGAACGATAATGACCTACAGTGTAGATGACGACCCCGACAATGTTTCTCCCCCACCCACGCGGAGACCAAGTTCAGCGCAGCCCGTTCACATCCTGTACTAGGATCGCGGTGCGTTGACTTTGTTGTTGCGGTCTTAAGTTTGACCTTTATTGCCTGATCTGACGTTTTGGATTCCCGGTTAATCAGAATTATGAAAGGCGTCCAATTGGCCACGTCACCGGAAACCTCACGTGCAATTTGTTTTCCCTTCACGTACACGGTCAGTTATCGTAGATGTCGATCGCGGACGAGGTTGTCGGATCTGCTCTGATGGCGATTGCTAAATCGCGACTTACACGTGTCAGCAATCTGACGGCTACTTCAGTGGACTATTTTTGGGAAGGCGCTGTTCCCCCCCCTAACGTGCGCTTTTTATTATTATTATTTTTCCCCACGAAGAAGCGATCACTTTTCCGATAAAGGCCCGCCTAATCAGAAGGCTGTGATCAAGACACCTGTCAACGATCGACGAGCAGATTCCCTTTGAATTTTTTATTTATTTTGAAAATATTATTATTGGTTACCTTGCAATGTAGTATAACTTAATATCGTGTTAAGATTTTTAACCATGATTATTAGCCCCATCTTACTTAGATAATCTCTTTCTCTCTCTCTCTCCTCGATCTAATTATAAAATTTATATAAACTCGAAACATATTAATGATTTTTTAATTATATGTTTATTTTTAAAAATAAATAGTATAATGAATGCATATCAACACCCCTGACAAAAGTTGGTTGGTTTTACTTTAATACGTATAATGCGTATGAAATAGTGGGAAATAATAAGATCGATCACATTGAGTGTGATCGACACGTAGACTGTTGGAGTCAAGGTGCCCCGAATCCAACAACTGCAGGCGCGTGAAGCCGAGGTACTTCGACCATCCACTTGGCGAAAAGTCAAAATGTGGGTTCCCACATGGCGCACTATGAGTGGACAAGCGTCCGGGTCGGAGGCTCCCAGCTTCGTAACCGCGTTTGCCAGCCCAAGCCACACCCACGACCCCTCCCCCCTGTCTGTCTCTCAACCGGTGATAACAGACGGGGTCCACGTGGCAGTTCAGTTGGCGGGCTGAACTGGACCTTGTCCTCGTTTCCGTCGATGATGGGCTGGCCCCACCAAAAAGCCGTCTCCTCCCCTTCCTCCCCCTCGTTTCTCCAGGTCGCGATAATAGTGGAGAGGTGAGAAGAGGGGGCCCTCCCTCCCTCTCTCTCTCTCTCTCTCTCTTCCCCCCACCCCCCAACCGCAGGCAGGCGAATGTCGTGGGCCTGCGACAACCCTCGCGGCCGCGACATCTTCTCGGAAGCCTGACGGACGGTCGCCGGCCGCGCTACAGGGTTCCCACCGGGGGAGGAGGCGGGCCAGCTGCTCTCCGGCGCGGCGGCGATGGGGCGGCATTCTTCCCTGGCGAGCTCGTCGTACATATCCAGGTCCGACGCCGACCCAGAAGACGGCGACATGGACCTCGAATGGCCCTTCGGCCGGATCGACTCGATCGACGGCGGCGACCTCCGGGAGACGGCGTATGAGCTCTTCTTCATGTCCTGCCGGTCGTCCCCCGGCTTCGGGGGGGGCCGCAATGGCCTCGCGTACTACCCGTCGGCGGGAGGGCAGGAAGGCGGCGACGGTGCGCTGCAGGGAGGAGGAGCGGCGGGGCCGGCGCCGGGGGGAAAGACGTGGCAGCAGGGGTTGGTGGCGACGAGCCGGATCAAGAGGGCGCTGGGGCTGACGGCGAGGAGGTCCTCGCCGAAGCGGACGTTGCAGCAGTCCTCTTCCAGCGTTGGGCCCTCGCAGACGGGTGCGCCCGGCGGCGCCGCCAGGGTCATTAAACGGCCCATGACTTCGGCTGAGATCATGCGGCAGCAGATGAGGGTGACGGAGCAGAGCGATAACCGTCTTCGGAAGACCCTCCTCCGAACCCTCGTCGGCCAGGTTCTCTCCCTCTCCCACTCTTTCTCTCTCTCTCTCTCTCGTCGAGGATGAACGGTTTGTACCAAAAACAGTCACAGCAATTGGATCAGGAAGAAAAAGAAGCAAGACATTGACTCTTTTTCCTTTTTATGGTCTTGGCCGGCAGACGGGGAGAAGGGCAGAGACGATTATCCTCCCGCTGGAGCTCCTTCGCCAGTTGAAGCCATCGGAGTTCAACGACGGGCAGGAATACCACCTCTGGCAAAGGCGGCAGCTGAAGCTCCTGGAAGCGGGCCTACTCATGCACCCCTCGGTCCCCCTGGAGCGGTCTAACTCCGCCATCTCACGCCTCCGCGAAATCGTGAGGCAGGGGGAGACGAAGGCCATCGACACGAGCAAGAACTCCGAGGCCATGCGCGCGCTGTGCAGCTCCGTGCTCGCCTTGGCGTGGCGAAGCCCCGGCGGCGCCGTGCCGGAGGCATGCCACTGGGCCGACGGGTTCCCCCTCAACGTCCACATCTACCTGTCCCTGCTTCAGTCGATATTCGACACCAAGGAGGAGACGGTGGTCTTGGACGAGGTCGATGAGCTCCTGGAGCTGATGAAGAAGACCTGGTCGACCCTGGGGATCAACAGGCCAATACACAACGTGTGCTTCGCTTGGGTGCTCCTCCACCAGTTCGTCCTGACGGGGCAGGTGGAGCAGGAGCTTCTCTGCGCTGCTCTGTCGATGTTGGGAGAGGTCGCCAGCGACGCTAAGAGGTTCGACCGTGAGGCCGTCTACGTGAGTTTACTCTCCGCGACCTTGGCCTCCGTGCAGGGATGGGCCGACAAGCGGCTGCTGGACTACCGCGGCTACTTCGAGAAGGGGTCCTGGGGGTTGATGGAGAACGTCATCCTCCTGGCGCTCTCCGTTGCCAAGATAATCGACGAGGATATCTCCGGCGCGGCGGCCGGAGCTCCTCCGGCGAACGGAGAGCACGCGACGCCTTACGACTCGTCCGAGTACCGGGTAGATTACTACATCAGGTCGTCTCTGCGGAATGCCTTTAATAAGGTAGAAAGATCAAAGCTTAATTCTCCCTCTAGCCGTTCATGCATTGGCAATAATCTTCCTCATCTAGGATTTTTCTGCGCGCAGATGTTGGAAGATAACGGGAACTGGATCAGCTTGGCGGGGGAAGTGGCAGAGAAAACGAGCCAGTGCCTTGTCGTGCTCGCCGGAGAAACCGAGGAGCTGGCCGTCAGGGAGAAGGAGCACTTCAGCCCCGTCCTGAAGCGGTGGCACCCGGTGCCGGCCGCCGTTGCGGTGGTGACGCTCCACAACTGCTACGGCGTGGTACTGAAGCAGTACATGGAGGAGGTTTCCACTCTCACCCTTGAGTCGATCAAGGTCCTGCAGGCCGCCGGTAAGCTGGAGAAGGCGCTGGCCCAGTTGGCCGTCGAGGACTCGGCGGAATGCGAGGACGGCGGGAAGGGCATCGTGAGGGAGATGATCCCCTACGAGGTGGACGCCATCATCTCCTGCCTCGCGAGGAACTGGATAGAGGAGAGGCTCAACTGCGGCAAGGAGTGCCTAAACAGAGCTAAAGATACAGAGGTGAGTCCCTCCGGCGGCGCCAGAATGGTTCAATCTCTGTAGCCGCTCGTCTCCCCGCTTACAGAAAGAATTATTTCCTTTCTCCTGGTATAGACATGGAATCCGAAGACGAAGGGCGAGGCACACGCCCACTCGGGGGTGGAGATGGTGAAGCTGGCTAGGGACATGGTGGACGATTTCTTCGATACCCCTGTCGGCTTCAGGGATGATATGGTTCAGTACCTAGCAGACGGCTTGGGAAGCCTTTTGGAGGACTACACCGCCTTCGTCGTATCCTGCGGTATGGTCGACCCCTTCCCCCTCCTCATCCTCCATCTTTCCCCATCTCTGGTTAATCTAGACCTAACCCTAAAAAGGACCTGCAGGGACGAGGCAGAGCTACATCCCCGCCCTCCCCGCACTCACAAGATGCAATCAGGACTCCAAGTTTGTGAAGCTATGGAGGAAGGCGACGCCCTGCAACGCCGGGACAGACGACGCCAACGCGAAGAACGGGTTGGCCGACGGCGACCACCCCCGGCCGTCGACCAGCCGCGGCACCCAACGCCTCTACGTCCGCCTCAACACCCTCCATTACCTCCTCTGCCAACTCCACTACCTCGACAAGACCCTCTCCCACATATCCGCCGGCGTTGGCGGCGCCACCCCTCCCGCTCACCTGCGCCTGAAGACCCGCCGCCGCCGCCCCTCCTCGTCCCTCTTCGACGGCGTCCGCGCGGCGATCCAGAGCGCCATGCAGAGAGTGGCGGAGGTCGCCGCCTGCCGGCTTATCTTCCTCGACTCCAACAGCTGCTTCTACGAGGGGCTCTACGTGGGGGACGTCGCCAATGCCAGGATTCGCCCCGCCCTGCGCAACCTGAAGCAGAACCTGGCGCTGATATCCTCCGCGGTCACCGACAGGGCGCAGCCGCTGGTGCTAAGGGAGGTGATGAAGGCGACCTTCGAGGCCTTCCTGATGGTTCTCCTGGCGGGGGGCGGCGACAGGGCCTTCCTGAGGGAGGACCAGGAGATGATCGCGGACGACTTCGGAAGACTGAAGAGGGTGTTCGCGGCGTGCGGGGAGGGGCTGGTGGCGGAGGAGGTGGTACAGAGGGAGGCGGAGGTGGCGGAGGGGGTGGTGGCGCTGATGGGCCTCCCGACGGACCAGCTGGTGGAGGATTTCAGCACGGCTGCGTGCGAGTCGAGCGGGACGGGGGGGCTCGGAAGGGCCTCGCAGCGGCTGCCGATGCCCCCCACGACGGGAAAGTGGAACCGCTCCGATGCCAACACCATCCTCAGGGTGCTCTGCCACAGAGACGACGACGCCTCTAACCGGTTCTTGAAGAGGACCTTCCAGATGGCCAAGAGGAAGTAAGAGACAGCATCGGTCAATCCCATCTGTCCTCCGAGAGAGACGACGAACAAATGACGACGGCAATATGAGAGAGATGATGGCCGCTGGATGTGATCATTGATCTAATGACATTTGACCAGGGATCCCTCCCTCTCTCTCTCTCTCTCTCTCTCTCTCTCTCTCTTGCACACACATTCAGGAAGAAATGAACCCATATTACAAAAATAAACTCTTTATTAATCCTTCTACAAAAAATTAAATAATCCCACATCCAAACACATACCACAGGTTGAACAATCGAAAGCCCAAGCACATTTCATTCACAGGATCATCCTTCATTCAAAGATTTCTCAAAGTCAAAGCCCACAGGAAGGGAGACTAGTAAGCTTCGGCATCCCCTCTGTTCAGAGTTCTCTCTAGCCTGATCTCGAATGGGGTCGAATGCCAGTTCACCCTCCTATCCTGCAACATAGAAAAAAGTGAGCTTCACGGGCAGAACCAGTGCACATTTCTCTCTCCCCACCGCCCTTCCCCTCTTTCTTTCTCTCTCTACGTCGAGCTACAAAGATACCTCTCTGTATTTGCTCGTGGTGTTGGGAATTCCTTTGGTGCTGTTGTCTGAGGGGGATCTCTGAGACGAGCCCGAGTCTCTCTCTAGGTTGGTGCGGCTCCAGTAGCTTCCCACGGTTCCCAAAATGGGCATGTCATCTGGGCTCCGGCTCGGCGACTTTCTGGGCGAGAAAGACGATGCTGGGCTCTTTTTGAGATCTTCAGCTGTCAGAGCACCCAAGATGGGGCGTTCTTCGCGAGATACGGATGAATTTGATCGACAGGGGCTGTTCTCCAGGTTACCAGACGATGGGAGCCAGTTTGAGAGGCTGGCATCTACTGAGATGGGGCTCGGGGAGGTCGAATCACCCGAAATCTTCTGGCTCCTCATTTGGAGCTTGAAATCGGGAAGCTCTAATCCGCCCTCCAGAGAGATGTTTTCCTTCCTAGGGTTCTTCAGAGGCTGTGAACCAGTCTTGGCCTTGACGGACTTCCACTGCGAGAGGTTCTCCACCGGGTTGAGGACCGAGTGGACGTACTGGCTCCTGTCCCTGCCGCCGGTTTGGGAGGCGGCGGCGAGGACGGGCGCCGCCGGCTTCCGATCAGGGGAGCAGCAGGCTATGGGCTTCGCGGCGCTGCTGACCTCGTTAAACGCCTGCTGCCTCTCTTTCTCCATTTGCAGGGAGAAGTAGGAGTCGTAGGACTCCTCTTCTTCGTTCTCCCCGTCGTCACAGTCGCCTCCTCCTTCTTCTTCCTCGTCTCCGTCATCACAATCGTCATCATCATTGTAATCGTAATCGTCCTCTTCATCGTCAGTGAGGCAATTCTGGTATCTGTGATTCGCCGAAGAAGGCGGAGCCAACCCGTCACCTTCTCTGGTATTCTTCTCTTCTTCTTCTTCTTCTTCTTCGCGCACCTCTAGTGATGATGACTCAGCCTCGCCGTCGTGGGCTGTCGGGATCTGGTCGTACGTCATCACATTCAAATCGAAGGTCACCTTCTTCTTCGGGCTGCTGAAGCTCGACTTACCGCCTTCATCCCTCCTAGAAAGAGAGAGAGAGAGAGAGAGGATTTGATCGCTTATATTCTAATAATGGTAGGAAGATCGAAGAAATGAGGGCGAGTCGGAGTACCTCGACTCCACTGGGGGGGTTGGGGATTTCCCGTCGGGAAGCTTCTTCAGATTGGACTTCCATCCCTCATTAGCACCTCTGGAGAGGAAACTGGGGAGAACAATAAACATGAAAGATTCTCAAAGCGGAATAAAAATGTTTTCTCGGAAGTGATAACCAGAAAAATCATTGTTCATCGGAGAAAGAGGAAAGGGGAATCCTCCGGAAAGCGGATCAGACTCGTAGAACAGCAGAGACAAAGGAGGAATCTAGCCACCTCAATTGCAGGTTTGAATCTGGCACCAAGGCCTCCGCCGGGAGGAGCTTCGGCAGCTGCGGGGCCTTGAGAAGCGGACTGCTCCCGAGATACTGCGGCGGCAGCGCCGGAGGGGAGATTGGCTGCAGAAGCCTAGAGCTCTCCGGCACCTGCAAAACCCAGATCACCCATTACAGAGAACGATGGATGATCTACCCAAATAAAGACCGGCGACATCGCAGTGGCGGACCTTCACTCTCTCCCTCGGCGGAATCCGGTGAACTGCCTTCCGCCGTTTCTGGTCCTTGGGACCTCCGAAGCAGGCGAGGAAGCACCCCATCTCCTCCCTGCTCCTCTTTCCTTCTCTCTCTCTCTCTCTCTTCTCTTTCTTTATTTCTCTGGCCTGGAATCTCTCCTTCCCTGTTGAGGGGGAGCGGAGGGTCGCAAAACCCAGAAGTCTGGAACGGTCGGGAGGCCTTTTTGTCCCTGAGACAGCCGGGATTTTGAAGAATATGACCGTTGCAGGAGCCAGCTAACAGGAGCCCACTCTGCTCTCTTTTGCGTTGGGAGGGAGCCTGTTATTCTCACCCCAATCCCTTCCAGCTTACCCCTCTCTCTCTCAGCTTCGCTCCCACGGAGAGCGTGGAAAGGTCGATGCCAGGGTGGGTTTTTGACCGTTGTAGGAATTAATGGCGGCAACTTAGAAGAGAGAAGATATGGTGGGTCCCATCAGCACAGGTAACGGATAGCCGACACGTCAGAAGAAAATTATTATTTGAAAGAGGTTATTTAAACGTCAATCACCAGATTTCTAGTAAAAAATGTGCCGTAAGAAATTGTATGATGCCCACGTCTTACGTGGCCGCCCAGCTGGCGCACCACGCTGGCGTCCCCCTCTCTCTCTCTCTCCTGATGACGTGGCATATGTGCGGTCAATGACATCTACTTGCTAAGGAAGTGGTACGTCGGTAGACCGAGCCGTTCGAGGTGGGCCCGTTTGCGTCTTCACGGATTGCGTCACTCACCCGGTGCTGGGGAGGTAAAAACCGGCGGTGGGTTCTGCTCCGGCGTCCGTGAAGAGTCGTAGTAATGAGAGAGGAGATTCGAAGTGAGTAATCACTTACCTTGTGTGTAAATAAAAGCAATTTGAGTGTAGTGAGGGAAAAAATCCCCATAATTGGGGCCGACGGCGTCAACAATCGTCTAGTGTTCTCACCTCTCTCTCTCTCCCTCTCTCTCTCTCTCTCTATATATATATATATGTATATACAAGACAGGATAGGCCCAAACGAGTGCTGAAAATTTACTTGTAAATTTCTAGTTTTTTCAAATCTATCGGCATATATTTCTCAAATTTGGTAAGGCATAAATCTTAGATTCATACGAATGTAACACTTTATTAAAAGACACTATTAAACTATGCTATTTTAATTAGATGCTATGGTCTAAGTTTATTATTTATGAGTGAGGGGTTTCATTTTATTGATGGAAATCAGAAAATCTTACTATTGTAGAAGTTTGTTATAGGTTTGATTGGAGAAATAATTGAAATCTTAATTTAATATGATCTTAATTTGTGTTATTTCATGAATTATCATCATCACTTAGTCATTAACTATGCACTTAACTTCTTGACGGTAGTGGTCATTATCCTTTTCCATACATTGCACTATGTGCGTCAACATTTTTAGAGCTTTGTCAATAAGTTATTGGCAAATAGATATATGACTCGAAAGTGTTCTATCCCTTGTTGTTTTACCACCTCAAGTGGTGTGAGGGTTGTTGTTGGTCAACTCAAATAGAGAGCAGCTTGCAACTCAAAAGGTATTCTACAAAGTATCATATTCGATAGGAAGTGTCAGACCACCTCATTTGCCTTGCATTTTGATTATGTGGGAATGAATGTTGTGTATTTAGATAAATGGTCCACAATTACTAGTATCATGTCATAGTTTTCCACCTTAAAAACTCATGTGATAAAATCTATCAACATGAACTCTCAAGGTTGTTTGAATGTTAGGAGAGGTTCCAACATCCCAGATGCCTTCCATCAATCTATTTTATATCAAGCAAAAGTGAACATAAACCATATTTGATATTTTGTTCTACATCAAATCAAAACTATAGGATATGTGTCATGGTGTATTATTGTCTAAGTGGCTTTCATGTGATGTTTAATATATTTTTTTGTAATAGGTGACATCACAAGCTACCAACACATGTTACATACAGTTGATGATCATATACATAAAGTTGATGATCACATACAGTGGCTCTACCAATAAGTGATGAGTCTTGTTATTGACTCCTACTCAAGTCATGTTGATGATGCATCTATTAAGTATACTATTTGAAGTTCTTTCAATAAGCCACTAATATTGAGTTATGGATTAAAAAATTATAATTTTGATGATTTTTAATATTAATTATAAATTATGAAATAAATAATATGTGTTGTAAATTGAATTAAAGATTGATGTCTTAGATGAAATTGAAGTGCATAAATTATTTCAACAAAGAACATAAGTCTTAATATTTGATTTTTATGTATCAATTGTCTTCAATAAAAGAATCATATTTCTAATGAAATGAAGTAAGTTTAGGAGAAAATGATCAAGTCGTTGATTTGTTATTGATTTAAAAAATTAATGATTTAATCTATTCATATAAAGGCAAAATAGTTTAGAAACTCAACCCTTATTACTAAAATAATTTTTATCTTTGAAAATATATCACAGGTATCATAGATAGGTGCCAATGCAAAGGTGATTTAAAGATGAATTTAGAGCAAAAACTGTTTATTAAAACAGAGAAGTATTATGATTTTTTTATTTTTTACCATTGTGTTTTTATATTTTCTACGTTCTGTATGTGGCATGTTTAGGTGTATTTTAACTTAACCATGTGCACTCATGTTTAGGTGTAGGCTGCTAGAAATCAAACTTCTAATATAAATATATAAACTTAAGGAGTCTATGATGTAATTAAGAGTTGTGCCCATGAGTCATTTACATTCTAGTGGTGGAATAATAGAATCTAGGTAGAGTCATTAACAATAGATCTAGGTTAAAGGAATTTGGTCGAACCACTCTAAAATCTGGTGTGCACAATTTATTCTCAACTTAATTTATATTTATATATTGGTTTAAAATAAAATTGAGATGTTAATATATAATATATAACACATAACTTATTAAAATTAATTAAATCAATTCACTCATAAATTGATTTATCTAATAAACTTTGAAAGTAGTTAAACAAAGTAGTCTTCAATTGTTTACTATGACTCTGCTTTGTGAATAGGAAGGAACCAATCACCCTAGTTCTTAGTAGATAATATATTTATATTTTTAGGTATCGATAATTATTATGATTTTTTTCAGCAAATGATTCTTAAATATAAGGTGTTAGAGTATATTACAAATCACTCGAAAAAATATGATACTTAGAAGACAAAGTCATATCATGATTACTTTCTACACCTCATCAAAAGTTCATTGACATTCATCTATTTAATTCTATTTATAGTCTTTCCTTCACAATTATGAAAGATGTATTGTCAATTATAAAAAAATGTATAAATCATATTTTTGGTAATAATTAGCCAAACTTGGGACATATTGCAACTTATTGATACATCTTAGGGGTCTCAGCTAGTTATTAATGATCTAGACCCTCTTACAATTCTTTTATACCTTTTAGTGGCCCACCACATGTCCTAAAAATTTAAAACTCTTTCACGACAAAGGTAGCTGACATATTTTATAAGTCCAAAGGATGTTATGGTGAACTTAAAAAAGACCTATAATAGGTAACTCACATTTTTTTGGGTTATTCTCCTTGATGTGTACTTAGTGATATTTGCTCTTGAGATTTAACTTGAATAACATAAATATATGTTACTTATCAATAATTTTAACCTTATTTAATTTTTATTGGTCCATGAACAATACTAGTAAGTCATACATTTTCTATTAGAATAAATCATGTGCATCAAAAGGTATCTGAAATGGTGGATATATCTTGTTTCTAACATGTCATCTAATTACTTTTACAAGTCTTGAGGTGAGTTAGAGGTATCTTGAAGGGAGTCTACACTACCAGATCCTCTCTATATCAATAATATGACATGATCTATTTCACAACGGGAAGTAAAGTGAGTGAAAGGGTCACCAACATAGTATTACAAAGTTCTTAAATGAGTCATATTACCTATAGATGAAGTTAACTTTGTACTCCTCTCTCAACCTTGGCTTACTTCCCAACTTCATCCTCTAGTTCTTGGAGAGTCATGAGATATGGGAAGCTTTCAACTCATTTCAGTTGGAGCACAAAACACTTATTTGTGATCTTACTTGTGTCTTTGTTAACCTTAGAACAAAACAAGACGACCCACTTCAACTAGGATCTCATTTTAATGTGAGAAAACACATACATTTGTTTTAAAAAAATATTGAACCCTAAGATTACATCAAAATTGTCTATTACAAGAACTAAGATGTCTACTTAGACTTTCCTTGAGTCAATATAGAGAGAAATTTAGTATGTATAACTCTTTATGTCACTCTAATCAATGCTCATATTTATATTTTAAATAAACTTTAGTTTTAGTTAGTTGACCTCTCACTTTAGAGAAAAATGCAGGTAGCCCACCATCCATCATCACCTTTGCAGCATGATTGAAAATGACAATCTCACACTAAGAGAAGTCATCGCATCATATTGAGGGCACTTGACCTTTTAGTGTTGTCAACATCTAAAGGAGATTGACCATCTTGAGCTCTTCAATTACAAGAAAAAGCTAATCTTATGTAACTATTTGATTATGTTGTGTTTATGTTTGCCTCTAGTCTACCATATTTGGGCCAAAGATGCTATCTTGTGGCTCTTCGCAAATGTGATAGTTGGTCCATAACACATCCTCAATTTGTAAAGGTGCATCATTATTGGTGATGGCCTTCCTTAGTTTTTCCCATGTAGTAGTCATCTCTTTATTTCTCTAAGGTTATGTCTACTTTAGCTACAATGGTTCCTTCAACCTCAATTTTCTTACAATTTTAGATTATTCATCTTTGTTGTCACCTTATTTCTCTATTTGTGATCTTTTAATAGTTGAATTGTTATCATTATATTTGAGAGATCCTCTTTCATTGAATTTTGCCCTTAATTTATACTTATGAATTATAAGTTTGTCCTTGGGAAGGAGTAATGACTTTTTCAACATTTTATGTGCTCTCATTCTGCCGTAACCATCATGTACTTCAGGTAATCTCCTCATTATCCATGATCTATCACTACGTTTTTAGTAACTTGAAAGCGGCAAAAACTTGCAGTCAGGATGCTTTTTCTAAGAAACAAGCAGCCTCTGCTGTCATTTTCTCTTGAAAATTGGTATTGCCGTTAGAACAAGGTGTATATAGTCACACATTGCCAAATAAGATAGGGGTCTGTGGTTGATTCTGTTTCATCTATTGATAGAGGAAAGCATGAAGAGTGTTATTCAAGTGACAGTCTTGCTATTTGTATAAGGTCTTCCATCTCTTCTTAGCGATCACCTTTATATTTGAGGTGCACTTACCCAAACACCAGCAAACCTAAGATTGTTGTGGGGCTATAAGTGGATTAAAGTTCTGTTTGGAAGCCAACTAGTCACCTGCTTCTGTGTATGATATGCGCACAAGAAACTTGAATTCTTTAGATCATGAAAGCAAGATTAAGAGGCGTATGGTTCTTTTTGACTTGTATTTTTGCATTCTTCGTTGTACAGACTCCTATATAGAATTGAGTGAATATTCTTTTCCCTTGGGCTTTATTTGATACAAGAAAAACATATATTTTTAATTCGTTGATAACAGTTTTAGTGTCTTTTTATTATATTTCAGATGATTTTTGTATTCGTCATTGAATTCAAGTGAAAATTATCTCTCTTGTTAAGTTTTAAACCGTGGCTCATTGAGAAGTTCAAAATTTCTGGATTACAGCTGAAATTGCATTTTGGGTTACCTAATATTCCGTCATATGAATTTATCATCGCCTAAAATTGCAAGATTTAACGCTGTTCCAGGTTTCTCTGTGCGGATGGATCAGAAGATGTTTATGATGGATGCATATTATGCGTTCATGCACCAGATGCGCTCATCGATCTAAATGATGTTAAGTATTGTTCAATCTGAACTTCAAATGCAAAAGACAGCTCCAGAATTTTTTTGAAAGATGCTCAGATTCCCGTATGTTAATCTGATTTCTTATTCTGAGTATATTATCTAAAATCCCAATGGTGAATATAAGAAACTGTCAATGGATGCAGAATCTTCTAATATGATATTTTATCATTTATTAGATGATCCTATTAATTCTAGTCGGTGAGAAGTTATATATCCAATTAAAATTCCTTATCCCTCTCCCTTTTTCGTGTTCCACCTCGGAATGCATTAGGGTTTTTCGGTTTGAATTCATGAAGAAATTAACATCAGTTTTTGCAGCATCTGACCTGCAACATGTCAGCAAAATTATCTTCTCATAAGCAGGTTCATGGCCAAGTATTTATTTCAAGCTGGGTTTGATCTTATTCAGAAGCCCTTTTGATCTCTACCTTTTTAAAAGAGTGGTGAATGAGATAAAACTTTACAAGGACAAGGAACAGGATAAATAAAAAAATCCATTGTGACGTCTATGCTGAATATACTTACTAAGGTGCTCTTCTTTACGCCATCTTGTATTCTTTTTGGCGATGGTCTAGATTTTGGTTGTAGTAGATATAGTAACTTGGACCAAAATCAATCTCTTGCATTGAATCCCTTGGTGATTAATGTTACACCCCAGGGCATATAGTGCTGATATGAAATATCATTCTCTCTACAGTTCTCTATGCATCCCCCCCCCCTCTCTCTCTCTCTCTCATACACAAGCAAACAAGGATTCAGTGCCTTTCTCCTCTCATGAGAAGTAAATTCGAAAAGCTGCACTGTAGCAAAACTTGCTCCTGGTTGACGCCATCCAGCGAACCGTTGATTGAAGTTTTGCTGCTGTGAAATTTCTGCTGAGGATCATTCAAGTCAGGTTTCTTTGTTATTGGGATAGATGAATCCTTATGGATACATCCCCCGAAGGAGACTGACGGAGGTCCCTAGGTAATCAGTTCTGTCACCCTTAGATAGAGTCATCAGTCGATACAAAAGTCTTCTTCTTGCATAGAAGAACGTTATTTGGGTGCTACTCATCGGTGCTCTGCTATAGGGGGTGGAGAGCTCGCCCTGTATTCGCTCCAGCCGAGGAGGAGAAGGGGAGTTGTGGCAATTAGGAGCATGGTGACGAAGAGGAGCCCAACACGGATCAGTGACGAACTGGGAAGCTGGAGGCAGCACCATAGAACGAGCACCACCAGAAGAGACACGCTGCCGACCCACGTGGCCCAAGCTCTCAGACTTGCAAGCTTCTCCACAGTCATATTGATCATCTTTGGGGCTCTTTCACAAGTGAGGGTAGAGAGTCCGATCAGGAGGATGCCGGTAAAGAACATGAGCAAGATAGAGGCCATGTAGACCTCAAAGAGCAGCCGGCCAGGCTGCGGCGGCTGAGCCACAAGCAGAGCAAACGATACGGGTATCAGAAGAGCAGCCAACGCCTGACAAGACCTCCGGTCTTGTTCTCCTCCTCGGGTCCCTCCGCCGGGAGGAGGCTGCTGCTGCGCCGCCGGGGAGCCTCCTCCGGAATGATGGGTGAAAGCCATTAGTGGAGCACCGGAATAATGAAGAAAGTAAGTTCATCTAGTCCTTTTTTGTACGCAATCGTGACTGTGTATGATGCTTCGCGGAAGGAAACCTTCGTGTGTCCAACCGTACCTCCAGCTCCAGCTGACACAAATAAAGGTCAAAAGAGACTTGATCGAAAATATAATATTACTATATATTATTAAATTTTCGTACTATTAAATGTGTCACATCATTCTTAAAAAGGGCAGGCAATTAGCGTGAGTTTCAAAGCCAAAACTCATATTTTTTATCTAATTATCACGATTTTTTTACACATCATCGGTGAAAGATTAAGCAACCAAAATCACTAGATCATCAACAAAAATCTTGTCAATACGATTCACAAAGTATTGTTACTAAAATTACTGAATAATTCACGATAAAAAGATCGTGAATTCATCAGATAAAATATTTCTAATTGATCGACGAACAAACTACCATCAGAAATAAGACAATCTACCGAGAGATAAGTCATCACTTCCTAAGAAGGTACCGGATGCGATGAATAGCTTACTTTTGTTGTGCAGACCTCAGGATGAAACTCTTTGACAAATGTCTTACTTTTATTCAGCTTTTCTCCGTCAAATGACAGTCATCGGAGAGTCATAAAGCTGCCATTTTTCTGCTGCACTAGGTGACAGCTATTAGAGATGATTCAACGACTCATTTCATTGATTTCTAAATTATGCAATGTGATCTAGAGATTGTTACGTCGTCTTTGTCTAAGAAGAGCTTTTGAGGCTGTGGACATTACATGACGATCCTTTCGAATGCTCAAGATTTCAATACATCACTGACACATTACTGCCACGACGCTAGAACTCTGTTTTCGTGCTTTTAACTTAATTTCTATTTTATTTAGTGATAATTTATATGATTTAAATTTATCAAGAATATACTTCATTCTATTACGATTCTTTTGGCTTTTACATATCTTAATTTGATCAATTAAATTATTTGTAATTGCTTACGTAAGAATTACTAAGTGGAACTCTATTTCTGTCCGATTCACATTTGCTAAGTGCTGATGTCATCATGACGTATGCATCCTTATTTCTCTTTTTTGTGAATTTTAAATATATTTTATTTTCACTTTCTAGTGTAAAATTTATAAAAAATAGTATTCTTTGAAAAAAAAGCTAATAATTATTTAATATTATATTACATCCTTATGATCGACTTGAAAAATACCACTATTTTTTAGAATTTTTATTGAATTATAATTGATATATTTGTTCATAAATACTTCTAAATATCTAAAAATTCATATTTTCTAGTTTTATAAAATTTAAATTTACGTGATTTAATGTACAACGACTAAGTCACGTCACCATGTGACACTCATAAGAGATGATTTGATGAATCACTTCATTGATTTTTAGACTTCACAAGAAGATCTAAGATTATTCATGTGTCTATGTCTAAAAAGAGCCTTCAAAGCCATAGATATTACATGATATTCTTTCCAAACATACAAAATTCTAATGATTGCTATTATGAAGCCAAAACTCTATCTTTCCTACTTTCAACTTAATTTTTACTTAATTTAGTAATACTTTACGTGATTTTAAGTTACTAAAATATTCTTCATTTAATTATCATTCTTCTAACTTTTATAAATCTTAATTTAACTTATTAAATTATTTGTAATAACTTACGTAAGAATCACTGGATAGAACTTTGTTTCTATCTGAATCATATTCCTCAAGATATTGACATCATCTTAACGTCTTCATCTTTATTTCTTTTTTTATGGATTTAAAATTTATTCTAATTTTATTTCTTAGTCTAAATTCAAAAAAAATCATATCATTTGTGAAAAATTATGAATTATTACCCAAAATTATATTACATCTCTATGGTTGACTTAGAAAATTATTTTTTATTTTTGAAATTAATAATATTATAATTAATATATTTGTTCATAAATATTTCTGAATATTAAAAAAATATTATTTTCTAGTTTATAAATTTATAATTTATATAATTTATTATACAATGACTAAGTCACATCACCAACCACAATAGGTGCCTTTATTGGATGGTCATGCCCTTTGGATTGAAAAATATCAAATAGAGCTATGAACACCATTTAGGGTATGCTTGATAAAGCTTAAGCATGGCTTGACCTCTATAATAAATACTTGACTTTAATACAACAAAAAATAAATAAATGATCATTATGGGTTATAAGATAGATCAAATTCTATCATATGTTTTTAAAAATCTCATAAAAAATGAAGCCAAATCTTACTCTACTTCATGATACAAGGAATTAGATAGAAACAAGATTTCATGATGTTGCATCCAACTCATTACTATAATTTGGGCTGCCAAGATTGACATCAAGTGATGTTAAAGAGAAACTAATCTTCTTAAGTTTTCACTCATAAATTAGTTTTTGAAATACTAAATTTTCTTATAGGTACATGATGTGATCACTTGTTCACCTATCAACTCAAGGAATTTAATAATTTTATCATTAATCAATATTTCTTATTTTTCATTAAAGTTTTACTTCAAATATCTAGACTAATATCCATGTGTATCAAAGGAAATCTATCAAGGTTGTGATGTTTTAAACATTCCAATGAAAACATGCTAATAAAAAGACACTACAAATACAAGTATATTGCTTATGTTTTCATTTATTTAACTAATGAATAAATATTCTACTTTTTAGTACTAATTATAAATATAGATAAAACTTATTTAAACACATTATTTGGAAAATCAATGCAAAATCAGTCTAAGAGTGGTAAAAAATGTACTTAAAGCCTTAGTCTCATCATTTGTATGTCATTCACATGACATATTGAGAAAAAATGAAAATAAAACACAATCAAAAGAGAAATCTAATGCGTAAGTGCCTAATGTTACTTCGCTCATCTCTACTTGTCACCTAGAAAGAAACTCAGCTTGAAAGCTATATGAAAGATAACATAGACATGTATGATGTGGCATAAAATGTTGACCTCTTTGTCTATTTACTTATATTGATATAATTTAAAAATTGTTGACATGTCATATTGATGTTGTTGCTATGAGTCACTACATTTTTTTAATTATTTTGATAAATTATAAATCACTATATAATTACTAGATTTGTTCCAAAAATTCTCTGAAAAATAAAAAGCTAGTTTCTACATTTTAATTTTATGATTATTTTTCTGTCAATTATAAAATATTCTCAATATGATAAACCTCAGATAATCATATTAACACTTTTATTAAAAATCAGAAATATATTCATATTGCATAAGTGATAAAAATGACCAAATTAAACATCAATTCAACATAATTTTTAAATCAATACTAATGCATTTTAAATTTAATAATTAGTGTTTTACATTGATTCATGTGATAATTATTTCAATTTTACCATATTTATTATATAAAAATAGAATGTTATCAATATCCACCCTATTGAAGTCATTTCCAACATTCTCTAGAACATTATACAATATCCCACGTAACTCTCCATGAAATAAAATTATGTTCTATATTTTTTCTCAAGAGGTTGCAATAAGGACAACTTCAGGTAGGCATCATTGGACGGATCCAATATTTAACATATGTCATGCAGTTGACTCTGCTAACGGTGTACGTTCATAAATTTATGCTGACGTGCAAATGTTTGTAGGTCACTTGCTCATGGAGGCCTCCTACTTACGCCATTAATAACTGTACATCTTTGGAGGATGATCACAAACTTTTTCGAACTGACATTTTGACTTTGATGAGGAGGCCGTCACTAGCAAAATGGTATGCCCGGCTAAAATTTTCTTATATGATAGATCTGGGCTTCTATGCTTCTATATTTTTTTTTGAAATCTGAACGTGAGACTATCAAGGATGTGGAGCCGACAAATAAGTCAACGCTATATTTATTATTCACCAAGAAGAGGGACTCAAAGCACACTAGGAGAGACGGACAAGAAATAAAGGTGGAGTAGTGGTGGTCGACTACCTTTGACAAAACTCCAGCGATGTTCCGCTCGACTTGAATCAGCGGGCCGACGACATAGGCCATCCGGCGCCGCCGCCGCTACTGCGCGGCGGGGAGAGGAGACGGGAGGGGGAGGAACCCGTGGCTCAGCGCCGCCCGCCATGCATCCTCCACGTCGAGCGCCACGTCTCCTGTCTCGTGCTCCTTGCGGCCTTCCAGGCCGTGAACGATCCCGGCCACCCGGCAAGCGCTCATCACCCTCCTCGGAAGCCAGTTCTGCAACAACAACGCACGCAGAGCGGTTTAAGTAGAAGCTCGGAGCTTCTCGTTTCTCTCTCACTTCCCGTCTTGCTCTCTCTTTTCCTACCTCGCAGGAGTGCATGTTCTCGAAGGCCTTGGGAACGACCATGGCCGGCGTAGTGGAGTAGAAGCAGTCCTTGCGCACTTCCCTCACGGGGAACTGGGAGAAGGGGATGAAGAAGGTGCCCCGCGCCGCCCTCCTCTGTTCGTCTTCCGTCAGCCCGTCTCCTACCAGCCACACCTGCAAGCATAGCTTCCTCAAGTCGGGAAGATCAGGGGGCAATGAAGAAGAAGAAGAAGAACGTACTGACCTTGGGAGTGTAGCTTTTGCAGAGAACCAGAAGGCTCCCGAGGCCTGAGGGGAGGCGCAGTTTCAGCATCTCGAATTCCTCCCTCTCCACTGTCGTGACCTGTTTTCGAGAGATTATTGGAAGACCAAGATGAGCATTCGCCTGAAGAAAGGGAAGCTGGACAGTGGGAGGGGGGGCTTACCCTGATGGATCTCAGGCAGAGGGCGTTCGCTACCAGGAAGGCTACCTTGGAGAGCTTTCCCCTGAGGAGAACCTCCTCCGTTCCCTGAGGAATGCTGTGTATCACCGCTGCAGCGGCTAAGCCGCTGCCGTCAACGATCCTCACCGTCAGCTTCGGGTGCTTGCGGACGTAGAACTCGCCGAGTCGATTCAGTTCCTCACCCTGAATGTTGCCGAGTTCTTCCATATTAATTACATTGCAATAATTTGAAGTATTGAGAAAGAGAAAAACGAATCACGCACATATAACTCGGAAAATATCAGTCCAGCTTAGTTTACGATTTAAACCGAAAGTTGACAAGCTATTTACAATTAAATAACCATTTTTGGCAGAGAAGTCAACAGGGAGCCGCAGACCTGGTTAAGAAGACCCAGGCTGACAACTTTGACTCCTCGTCTGTCGGCGTCCAGTATGGTTTTATCTATCAGACCATTTATGGCGTCCCTTTCCAATGGAAGCGTGTACTGCAAAAATGGTAACAGCTTTAAACACACCGGACATGTGATGCTCAACAGTCCTCTAGACCCGGGCCCGGCAGAATTTTCGGGCTCGAAACCCAAAACCAGGCCCATGGTAGTAGTAGCCATGGCATATGTATATGAGAGAGAGAGAGAGAGAGAAGGGAATTTCACCTGGAAACCGAATCTTGGGATGACCCAGGTCTGGAGACAGAGAGCCTTCAACTTGTTCCTCTCGACGACGAAGGCGGAGCCGCAGACCCGAGCAAGTAGCAGGAACCAGCAAGAGAGAGGCCACATCAGCCGGACGTACCACCTGGAAACGTAGGGCTTGGAGGCCAAGGAGGCGAAGCCAAGACGAAGGTGAAAGACGGACTGCAAGCTGGTGGGGTGGGTGAGGTGCACCACGTCGGGAGTCTCCTCCTCCCCCTTGACGGTCCTCTCGTAGAGCTCATCGGAGGTCCTGTCGGCGGTGCCGTACAGGTAGTCATAGAGCGGCATGAACAGGCAGTAGTTCGTCCGGAACTGCGTGTGGTGCAGCGAGTGAAACCTGCGGAGACGAAGGCCACCCCATTGAAGAGACGGGCGAGCTCAGAAACCCCAATCCTTGTTCAGAAGCCGGAGGTCTGAAGATGGGGGAAGAAGAACTTACGTGGGGGTGTACATGAGGTACTTGAGGGGAGGGAAGACGCGGAAGAGCCAGGTGGGGACGATCTCGAAGTTGCAGTGGCCCATGTTGTTCATGAAGTCGATATAGAGGAAGTACGCCATCACGGTGATGATGGAGGCGCAGCCGGTGAACACCGTCGTCATCAGCGGGATCATGAAGAGCAGAAAGTATACGAATTCCTCCACAAACGGGTGGATGACGGCTGCCAGAGCGACCCGCGTTACTCCGGATACCACAACTGCCGTGGGAATATTCTGGCGAAGAGGGAGGAGGGGTTGTCCTTACAGGTGATGGGCTCCGTGACGATGGACGCGTGGTGGTGGGAATGGTAGCGCGAGTAGAGGTAGTGGTGGTGCAACGCCCGGTGGAACCAGTAGTAGAGGAACTCCACAGGCCCAGCGTGCAGGACGGCGATGAGCACCGCACCCCTCGTGTCCCACCATGGCACGCACGAAGCTCCTGGGACGAAGATGTTCGTCATGTACACCAGTATCGTCGATAGGAGGATCTGGTCATCCCTGCCAACCAAGTATAGAGATGCCCACATATGTAGAGAGACGGAAATATAGATATATAGATTGATCGAATAGAGAGAGAGTGGATGAAGAATGGAGGAGAGTACCAGTTCCGCTCGCGGTCAACCTGCTCGAACTCGATGCTCTTGTGGACGATCCTGTGCTTGCTCCTGGCGGTCTGGAAACGAGCCCAGCTGATCCAGAGAAGGTCAAGGACAACCCGCAGCAGCTGCATTGGGATGATGAGAAGGCTGCCCATGTCGATCTCCTCTCCCGGGCTGCTCATCGCCCGGTGGATGGTCAGTGCCGCCATGGGAACCACCAGCAGGTACTTTTATCCACACAGTTACGGTCGAAACATTGTGTTAGAGATCCAGGAAGAGAATCGCGGTGGAACAAAGAAAGGGAGAGAAGATGGACTGAGTACCTTGAAGCTCCCAAACCTCTGCCATGGCCACTGGGTGAGGAGCCCTGGGTTGCTAGCCATTGCCTTCAACCTCTTGAGCTCTCTCTCTCTCTCTCTCTCTCCTGGTTTTCACTTCTTCTGAGGGACGAGGTGCGTATTTGTAGGCAGGGCCTGCTACTGTGAAAGCATCATAAGGGACGTGGTCAGTTACTGTGGAAGCTTTTAGAATCTTTAGTATCGTGGCTCTATCTTATGGGTGAGCGCTTATTCCCCGTGCATCTCAAGTCTCACTTCGTGTTGCCAAGCGAGGGGCCGTACCTGACAGGAAATTAATTCTTTTAAAACTTTCCGGACCAGATTTCTTGGTGTTACAGTAAATCACAGCGGGGCGGTGGCTCGGGGTAATCTCACTCCTACGACCGAGTGCGAACCGAGTCAGGCGAGTCGGCTCGCTCCGCCGATTCTCACCCGCCACCGGCGGCATCGCCGCCGTAGAGTGGGGCTCGGAGCGGCGGCGAGAAGAAGATTGGCTTCCTCGGAGAAGTTACTACCGGGCAGCGTGTCGACTCCGGGCAGCGTCTTCCTCAGAGGGTGGCGATGGGCAGGTTCCCTCCCGAGGTAGCCGGTCGAGTTCATCTTAAATTTCTTACTCAGAAGTAGAAACCAGCGGCCACGGAAGGGTTAGCTTTTACTCCGCCCACTAGCTGGCGGTTCATTGATGGCGGCGCCGCCTGCCCCGCCCACCGTAGGCCCACTGTAGCCTCCTCGGGCAGAGAGAACCAACCAGAGCACCCCCGCCCTCTCTCCCTCTCTTGTCGACTGCAATCGGAGTCAGCTTTGCTGTCATCTGTAGCAATTCTGGTCCTACGCAGCTGTGGGCACAGTTCTTGAAAGTCAAAATAGTACACGGCCCTGATGTTGGTGCCCAGCCGGCGAATGGCGGCGCCGCTGGAGACCCCGCCGGTGGGCTTGAAACCCACCCTACCTGGTTAGCTGAGGGACCGTGGTTACCTGTAGTTCACAGTTCTTAATAGAAAAGAGAGAGAGAGAGAAGGGGGAGCCTCCAAGGGACAGCCCAATGGGTAGAACAGCACAACGGCTGTCTGGGCTCCGACAGAGAAAAGACCGGGGAATATATCGCACCAACGAGAGACTTCCCGCTCCAATTGGAAGACGATGTGAGAGAAAGTGAGGAATCAGATGTGGGTTTGACTCCAGGCATGCCAGATGGCAGTGGCCTCTCTCTCTCTCTCTCTCTCATTCGTTGCGGATATACACATACATGTATGAATCTACCTACACATCTTCAAGAGGTGAGCAGAACTGTCGACGCCTGGGCTACAAATAGGCCCGGCAAAAGTGGGCCTTTGGCCGGCCCAGGCCAAAACCAATTGAGAACATCAGCAGTACCTGAATTAACTTTAATTTGTCGCATATAATTATATTTTATTAATGACCCTGCAGGGCATAACTGCCCATCTGCAGCCCAAAATAAAAGGACAAGTAAAATGGAGGCAATGACGCATTATTCAATCTAAGATAGATAAAAAAAACAGTAGATTAATTGAAAGAAATCCACCCCGAGATTTAACGAGATGACCGGAAGCAGCCTCAAGAACCCTAATCTCAAAAGTTTCTCGCCAAAACCTTTTCATGGATGATAACAATGATACCACTATTACCATCTAGAGAGGGAAACTTTAAACAAACTCGGCGCATATACTCACTCTTCCTCTGCGATGTTGCCCTTCTCGCTGACGTAGATACCATCCAAGAATTTCCGGATATCCTTGTTCTTCACGTGGCATTTCTACAGTAGATGAGAAGATTGATCAATACCAGTCCAAGAAAGTCAACTCTTTCTCGGTAGAGTCAGAAATAAATAGGGAATTCAGCAGGCGGAGAGAATCATGGGTTAAAGATAGTTGCTGACCTGGTTTATCAAGGCGGCGGAGCGAGAAACAAGCTCAATGTCATTACCATCAAGAACGAGCTCGTCCTTGACTTTCTCAGACCGGATAATCTTCACTCCTTCAAGCATGTCGATCTTACGGACCTGAGGTAAAAGTACATGGGAAATTCAGGAACTGTTGAGGTAATTAATGAACCAGTATAGGCCTTCTTCAAAGATTTGTTGAGCTATTTATGAGATATATCACTGCCTGATGCGATCTGGCTCTTGGGGTCCCCTCCGTTTTCTCTCTCATTCTCTTTTCTTTGTGCTCATTATTTTCCACGAGAGGAATTAGAGTTTAAAAAGAACGTCGACAATTCAACCCTTCAAAAAACACCAATAATTTACTAACAAAGGGAAGGTATCACTCTCTTCTAATGGTAAGAGAGATTTCACTGAATCTGATTGGTAGAGGCCCTAAATAGAAGGCAGGGAATAATACATAGAATGAGGGTTTACTTCAGATATAGCCAATTCACTCAAGGCAAATAAGCAACTGAGAAGCACCCTTCAAGTCCTGAAACCACGAAACCTTATAAAGTGATACGAAATATTCAATATTGTATCATGCTATTTATTTCTGATACAAAAGTCCCACGTTGGTTGAAAAAGCATATAACCCTATGGATGATACTCGGGGCCAGACCACTCGTCGCCACTTGGTTCTTAGTTGGATAACCCAGTAATTTAAATTAAATCAGTGATAAGCATTTTCCGTCCGGGGACATTAGTTGGCTTTGAGTCTGGATGCCCAAGGAATCTCACAATTTCCGTTTGATTTAGATAATCAATAAACATTCAAAATCACTGGCAACATAGAATGTTAGGGGAAAAAATGCAGTCAGAATGGGTAGGAGTCAAGACAGATCTTGATAAGAACTCATCCAAGGATCTCTTGCATGCCTTTCACCTTCATTATTAATGATCCTATCATGATCAACACATGCAGAACAACACATGGCGGCAGTAGAGATGTTTCTGGACAGGAAAAAAATATAGGTATGCACAATAGTTCTTCATAGATACTGTAAATGCCTCATATCTAAGATAAAGAAGAGCAAAAATTAAATACATAACCATCCGATAAGATAAAGAAAATCATGTACAACCGCTAATCGGGAAAGAGGAAAAGATTCCCAGACAACACATTATGCTCAAATGCGATAAGTCAATAATAACATATATACCTTCTTCTCTCCGAGGAAGTTCCTTATTTCGATGGCATTGTTGCTGCTGGTGATACTGGCGTTGATGGGAAAGTGAGCATACACAAGTCGCATCTTGTACCGGTACCCCTTCGTTACACCAGTGATAAGGTTCTGGACGTGGCTGATGGCGGTCCTGATGGCGGCCATGGTCCGCCTAGTGCCGAACCATGCGTCCACCTTAAGCTTCCTGCCCTCTTCGATGAGCTGGAAGTCGAGGTTGAGGTGCTTGAAGTTTCGGGTGAGCTTCCCCCGCGGTCCCTCCACCTCGACGATCTTCGCCCGAACCTTGATCTTGACCCCCTCGGGGATGTCCATCGTCTGGGAGGAGAGGATCGTCTTCATCGCTGCTCCCTCGCCGGTTCCTCCCCGCTGCCCCGGCGCTGAACTGCTTCTCCGCGGGAAGCCGATGCCACCGATCGAGAACGGCGTCGGCACGTTAGGGTTAGGGTGAGTGGATCAAGGGAGGGTGGTGGTCATCAATACGGTTAATAATGGGCCTGTTCATAATGGAATGGGTCTAGTATCGAAGATGGGCCCGGCCGGAGCCAAGTCTAAAACATTGCGTCAGCCCAACCTTGAAGCCTAAGCCCAATTCTGAAAGTATCCCACCATTGCACTGGCCCAACATTGCATCGGTCTTCCCCCTTTTTCTTTATTTTAGGGACTGGTTTCATGTACAAAGTTAGCCCCACCAGTTTGTAAAACATGTATAAAAGGGGGCTTAATGGGAGAGAAATCAAAAGAAGAAACCATCCTTCTATTTCATGGCTGAATCAAGGTTTTGACGTCTCCTCCCCTCTTCTGCTGGTTGTGGTTTGAGATTCATTAACTCTATTTACTCATTTATTTCATTCCCCATTAATAATAATTACTTTCATTCTCCTTTTGGTAATTGTCAATATTTTACCTTCTTCAGATCACATGAAATATGGGATATTATTTATTATACTCATTTTTTCCTTCTATATCATTTATTACCTTATGCACATTCCTATCTTGTGCTCCTTTATTCCACTATGATATCATGTCACATTGTAGGACTATTATCTCCTACCATATTGATATCATTGCTAGGTTGTTTAACATTATTGTTTGATTTCCACCCTAGATATTTTGAAGAACACTGGATGTGTAATAAAATTGGATATCAAGAAGTTCAACTAGAGTATCAGAATATGACAAGTCAATATGAAAGCTCTCTCAACCCACCAAACATCATGTAAAGTATTACTTTGAAATAATAAAATGTCAAACACTATGTCTATAAAGAAAATAACTAGATGAAAAGATCTTGATTATAGTCTAATGAAGGTTGTCAAATGAGTTTTTGTTAGAGGCCATTCATGAAATATTAACAATTACATTATGATTAAAATCAGAAATGTGATATATGATTAGATTTCTCATTAGTAAATTACTTTAAAGCAATGTCAGTTCCTGTTGAAATTAGTGAGTTATTCTTTCATATGAGTAAATCAATAGTAGAGTTGTCTTAATAGGGAATAATGTTTTATGTAAGAAAATTGGTATTAATTTAATCTACACCAAAGTATTTAATGGCATTGAGAACATTATATAATATCAAATGTATTTCTTCTGGTTTAAATAAAAAATATCATCTCTTTAAATAGTCTTGATACTAATGGTTGCATGTATTTAATTAAAGGTATACTTATGAATATTAGCAAAACACCATTTGTTGTGATGAAAAGATAAAGATGAAGTGGCCTCTACACCATCACAATTTCTTGTTTAACCATATTGACATCTACCTCCATAATAAAAGAAAATGTCACCAAAATTTGACATATAAGACTAAGACATATGAGCAATAAAATAATAAATTTTTTAAACAAAAGAGGTTTGTTTTGTAGACAAACCACATGTAAGATTGAATTTTGTGAGCATAATATTTTTGTAAGTACATCTACTCATATCTTTGAAGTTCTTTTGTGTCATGTCAAAAAGGTTTGCTTGTTATTTTTTTCCTTTTTTTAGATTTGTTCTCAAAAAATGTGTCTTAAAGTAAAGATGAAGTGTCTAAATATTTTAAAGAATGAAAAGCTTTGTTCAAAAATCATAAAATTTAATAATTTCTACACAAATGAAGTTATTTTTAGGTACCAAATAATTAGACATACTCCACAATAAAATTGAGTTGTAGAAAGAACTTTACTAACATGACACAATAACAATATAAGATGACATGGTGTGGAAGAAGAGGTGTCCACAACATGTCATCTTATAAACTACTAACTTCTAACAACCACCATAAGCTTTAAAACTCTTAATAAATATGATCAGATCATCTTTTTTATTATTTTTATTTGAAAGTTTTTGGTTACATGACCTATGTCATATTAATAATAGGAAATTAGAACTCACGACAAAGTACATTTTCTTTGGTTGTGATTTTCAAGAGTCAAATGATACATGTTATAATTTTTGACCTTGAATCCCTCAAGATTTTAATTGAGAGTAATATTACTTTTGATGAAACTGTATTTTTTTCACTCAAAGTTCTAGATAATTGTCTCACAAAATATATTTTTTTCTAGTAGTGTTGTAAAATAGGTGGAGTTCAAAATTGTTTGTTTCCATAACATGCATCCCTAGCATCATAAGTTATGATGAATGATATGCATCTAGTGAAAATTTCTTTAATTTTTTTTAAAAAAAGGATTGGTGAGGAAGAGAGACTAGACCACCATTAAGGTATGGTTATGCAAATATGATTGTTTATGATTATTTATCACACAATTATTTATACATGACTAGTTGTTATAGAGGAAGAAATTAAATCTCTCCAAAAAATCATACTCAAGAGTTGGTGGAGGCTCCCAAAAATAAAAAGTTGGCTGCAATTAGGCCTTCAAGAACAAAAAAGACACTCCAAATATCAATATAATAAAGTATAAGACAGAGTTACAAATGGCTATAATCAAATAATTATCATGACATTGTTAGATAACTTTATATGGGTTTTGATAGCCATAGTTGTATTATATAATTTGAACTTAGAGCATATGGATATCAAAATAGTATTTCTATATGATAATTCTGAAGAATAAATAGATATTAAAAAATATGAAAACTTTCTAGTTAATGTAAAGGAGAATCATGTTTGATTGTTCAATAAATCTTTGTCAAACCTCAAATCCCCTTGACATTAGTATAACGATTTGATATATTTATGATGAAACATAGATTCTTTCAAAGTAAGTTTAATAGTTGTGTTTATTTTATAAAGTTTTAAAATTATTCTTTCAATTATTTGTTGTTTTATGTTGGCAATATATTAATTGTAAGAAAAGACATAAGAAATGAGCAATTGAAAGATTTACTCAACAATGAATTCAAGACGAAAAAATTGGGAACAATGGATAAGATTTTTACAATAAAGATTCAAAGAAAGTGAGGCATAAGTAAATTATGTTTGACTTAAATTTAATACATTGAAAAGTACTTAGACGCTTTGGTGTGTGTGGATACCAAATATGTTATTACCTCTTTTACTATTCATTTTAATCTTTCAAGTTTTTTGTCACCATAGTTTCTAAAAAATGAAAAATTCATGTCACATGTTTTGTACTCTAGTTTAGTAGCCAAAATAATGTATATTATAGTCTGTACCTTTTTTGATATATCACGTGTAATCAATATAATTAACATGTATATTTGAATATAGGTAAATCATATTAACAAGTAGTAAAGTAAGCTTTTATGTATCTATAAGGCACTATTAATACATGTTTAGAATTTGGGATAACTAGTAACCTTTAATTGAATTTGTTACTTTAGACTTTGTACTAGATCTTGATAAGGTCACTCACTAGATATATATTTTTAATTGGTGGTTGTGATGTTAGTTGAAAAGGTAGTCTTTAGTCAACAATTGTAGTCGACTACATAAACAAAATTTATAGCAATTATGAGGGAGTCATATAGTTGATAATTTTTTTTGAAATTAATTCATCAAAAATATATTATTGTCTATTTTGACAATCAGTTTTATTCATTTAGCTAAAAATTAGAGATATCATAAAAAGATGAATCACATAAGTGTCACGTATCATTTCATTTTTGACATAACTATCTGATGATAAATCATTTTGCAGAAGATTAACATCAAAGACAACTTAGTTGACATGTTGACAAACCCTCTTCCATCTTCAAAGTGCTAACAATATTTGAACCTAATTTGGGTTTGGGTCACTTGATAGTAACATCATGGAGATTGTAAGTAACTTTTCTTCATTGTTGTCACTATAAGGAACCTATAGAGTTATGATAGTGTCAAGCTTGAAGGTAGATATGTTGACCAAGCCAAAGTAGAGATTTGTAATGGAGACTTGCTCAACCCTTTGGAAGAAGTCCATTTAGACCTCTCTTCCCCCCTTTTTACTTTATTTTAGGGACATATTTCAAGAATGAAACCAATTTTATTGTTTTGTAAAATGTGTATGAAAAGGAATGTGGAGAGAGAGTTAGAGTGAGAAATCAAAATAGGAAACCCTCTTTTTTCTCTACTGGCTGAAATGAAGAGGGAATCAGACATCTACTCCCCCTCTTCTGGTGGTTATGATTTGAGTTCTATTAACTCTATTTACTTCTATTTTTATTCCTCATTAATAGTGTATATTCTCCTTCTCCTTTAGGTGATCGTGAGGTGTGTTACCCTCTCAAGATCACATTAAATCCTTGTTATTCATTATAGTCATTTTATTTCCTATATAGAAACTATCTTCTCGTGCTCCTCTCTTTCGCTACAACGTTAGGCTTCACTGTAGACCCATTATCTTATGTAACGAAACTCGATCACTCATTATTATCACCATTATTCACCACGACAATCAGTCAAACAAGAATTCGAGCTCCGGAAGAAGAGAACCATGTCTCCCTCTCCTGCTTGCCCTATCCCAAAACGGATCTCCGGTGGGCAGAGAGGAGAAGAACCCCCCTTCCTACTGGATGAACACCAGAGGGGTTATCAGAAAGATGGGACTCCTATTTTAAGTGCGGGGAATGCTGTGAGTCCACCCAGTGCATGCTCGGACTTTAACCTGGTTCATACCTCTAGGCCACCATTTGTGAATCCCCATGGCATACAGACATCTTCTGCACATCCTCATGGTGATGCACTGGAACTGACTTCCGTGGGGGGAGGCAACATCGTTGTCTTCTAGGTTATTCGGTCGCTCTTCCTCTTGGTTTAACAAGGCACATCTAAGAGGAGGAATCTTTCTCCCTGCACCACTCCCCTACTTGAGAGAACCTCAACGTCTCCATCGCCGGGTTGCAGACCCATAGCCCTCTCGAAGACCTGTAGGGAAGACGTTCGATATGAGGTTTTGCACCTTAGGCTCGATGACGGAGCCTCAGCCGGCGACGTCGGAGCCTGGCCAGGAGCGGTATCTCCTCTAGCAAGAGTGCCTTCCTAATGTATCACACGGTAGCAGCCTCTGGTTCTTCGAAGCATTTTGAGCTAGGATACCTCCCGGCCAGCTTCATCTCCTCTCCCAACTGGGGATACCGCTGGAAACCCTAAACCCCGGATTCAATTCAGTATGTTTTGTGCGGGTGTTTGAACTTGCGATCTTTCGCCACTCCCAACTTCGCCATCTGCAGAATCTGTCTAGATGGCAAGAACAAAGCGATTACTAATCTTTGGTTGAAAGCTCATTAATTGGTGCGCATAAGGTGAAGTTATCGGGCATCAACAAGTATCAGACCAAGTTGGTTAATAAGGCTTCCATGGCTTTGGGATCCCGAGTGTTGCAGCTCTTTGCTTGTCAAGTTTGTCTTTATCCCTAAGAACAGAATTGGGATTGTGCTTCTGGAATTAGACATAGTCCTCCAGTGATTGACCCACTCTAGTTTCAGATTGTCAACATCTCTTCCATATAAACTAGGTAGTACGGCTCGCATGGACTGTCATGTTGTGGCATTATCAACTTCTACAGGAACGAAACATTAAAAAACTCAAGCTTACCCCACTTGAAATACTTAATTTATAGGCCATACCCTCAATTATTTGAAGACGTGCAACCAAAATCCTTAGAACCCTAACTAGACAGCACATAAGAGACTATTCAGGGAGGGAGTGTGCTATGTACACTAGTTTACTGGGAGTGATGTTTTGACGTTGCTTGATGTGCAGTGTTATGACATCATTCAACCCATAAGCCCTAATTAGTTTAACTTTAGTTTTTTTGGATTCTTCAACTTGTGTGCATAACGCTTTTGAGTGACATGCAATTCAATAGAGTTTTCATTGTCCACATCAAATTAAAAGAAGCATGAAATACAATAAAAAATAGCAATTGTGCTGGAATTAAATATTTATCTTGCTTTCGATTCCTCCCATTTAATTATGTTGTTGCATCGATCTTGATCTTTGTACCTGCATTTCTTACAACTTAGTTTGGCAATATACTAAAACCTTTGATTTCCGAATTTTAGTTAATGAGTTGATTTCTTTGTAAAGCATCAACTTGCATTATTAGGTTTTTCATGCTTGTACTCCGTTTTATGATAAAAAGTTGGATAATGTTGTAAGCTATCTCAACCATGCAACGGCCTTGATTCATTGCTAGTGATGAAATTATCATTTTCGTGAAAACTTATCCATACAAGTAACCCAATTCTAGATAGCTATTTGATAGATTACATTATCCTCCTCTTAGAGGCTAATAGGAAATACTATCTTTCCTTACATAATAAGCAGCCAATATCTGAGATAGTATATGCAACATTTACATGGTCACTTTCAGTTTCAAAGGGTTATTTAGGAAACTATCATAGGCTCAAACCCTAACCTCCTTAATCTTAACCAAATCCAAGTTGTTCACTCAACTGGAAAAGATCATTCCCTAGTAAATTATTATAGTAATGTCATACGTAACATCTCTAGTAAAGATCACTTCCACGTTGTTGTAGTTTACTCCTCACTCATAACTTATCGTATGACCAAAATCCATATTTAGAAATCCATTGTTGCATAGGACTGACAGATTTCAGGTAATTGAAGCAAATAGAATCTGGGAAGCCCTACCTTCCTAGCCTTATAATCATTCTTCTAACCCCTCCTAATGAGAGAACGTAGGTGAATAAAATACATAGTATTACCTTTTCCACTGACTAAGTCGTTAGACTTTGCTTCTTCAGACGGAAGATCCTTACAAACTCGATTAGATGACCTTTTGTTCCAAGGCATTAACCAAACTCCTCCTTTGAAACATGCAAAGTTGTAAAACAGCGTCTGTGACTTCCATTTTCCTCAAAGAGTAAGCACATGATAGACTACATCTGATTCGGATATCCTTCCAACTCATTGCCCAAGACGCTTCAAGGGAATGATTGACTAGGAGATAGGCAAACTGTCAATGGGAGAGAGACTGAACCTTGCAGGCAGCTATGGAGTCCAAGACCCAAGTGTGGGCAATGACCTCTGCGCCGGTTCTGGCCGCTACGGCCTTTGCCTCTTGCAGCCTCACGTCTATGAGCCCCTTGGTGTCTGCTGAGTTGCCTTCCTGGGGAGGGTCGAGACTGTAGACCACCAAGCCTGTTGAGCGGGGCATCTCTGTGATTTCTTCCACGATGTGCCCTCCAGCAGCGAAGATCAAGTCCTTCAGATACCCCTTGTAGGTGGGAATGAACTCGCCATTGAAATAAAAGCTCAGCCCGCAGAATAATTTCGGTCCCTGGAAAGAGTTGCAACAAGGCAAGTCCATGAGCATGAGTTGAGAGGATGGGTTGGGGAAGAGAGAGAGAGAGAGAGAGAGAGAGAGAGAGAGAGAGAGAGAGACCTGCTCTAAGATTCTGATTCTTCCATTTCTGGGGCCATCAAAACAGCCATGGATATCATGAGAGATTTCAAAGCTAGCCTCTGCAACAGGTTGCCTAGCATCAAGACAAGCCTTAATCCCTGCAAGTGTTGACATCAAGGAACAAATAAAACCACATCAACAAGATTCCTCGACAAATCTCACACAGCAGCATTGCGCGGTTAGAATAACACTACAACAAGTTCTTGTCTTAGCCATCGAGACAATTGAGCTACCGCTATTAGAAAAAAATAAATGTAGAATGCAGGATGGGCTTACAGTCAATGGTAAGAACCCATTTTCCACTCAAAATGGCCATGAGGAATTTTAGGGTTCTACTGCAAGCTCCGAATGGATCAGTTGATGCGATGACATGAGTAACACTTGGTCTCCAATCCTTGCTCAACACCGCACCCGTCAATCTTGCAAATTTGGCTACAGTATCCTGAGATGAAAAGATATGAATTTGCAGAGTAGCACAATATGAGCAACAAGACTTGCATGCAAAGTTTTTCTTTTTCAGAATGGGGAACGAGGCCTAAATAGGGATGGATGGACCAACCACACCTTCTCTGCAGCTGAAAGAGCAGATCCACATAGAACCCATCCTCTCGTCACTTCAGGAGGAGCCATCCAAAGTTCCTCATCATGTTGTATAAAAGTTGTTGGGTGATTTGGCGATTGATGGCCGTTTCTGAAGAAATTAAAAGGAATACTATGAAATAAAAGATAAGAATGAAACAAGAGAGCACTGTTAAGCTGTTAAGACGATTAGTGTTAGGTGTAAGCTTACATTTTTGAAGATGCAGAAGAGGTACTTTTCAGACTCTTTCTTCGATTAGATTTATCAATGGGCAACTTTCGATCAGAGTGAGAAGGACAGAGAACAAGAAAATGATCCTGACAAAGGCAAGACACAATCCAGTTACGATCTTCACAGTATGCTATATAATGCTTAAAGATTTCAAGCAAGGGCTGATGGCTTACACAATCCCATCGGCAGCCAGGGATCTCAACAGCACAGGGAACATGGAAGCTCTTTCTGCAAGACTTAGCATAGCAACCAAGGGCTGCCCCTTTCTTGCCACAACTGCTGCATTTGATCTTCGAAGCCCTTGAAATTTCAGCCTCCCAATTCATAACATTGTCTCCATCAAAGAAAGCTTGAGGCGCCCTAAGTTCTCAGCAGGGATGCGAACAAAATCAGTAAGCCTCGAGCAACGAATCCAAAGTTCAGATAGATATGCATAGGCAGGATGAATCAGACGACTTCAGCATTGACGATTCTCTATGTCCTTGACTAAAAATGACATTGACGAGGACCAACGTGCACCTTACCATTCGATACATTTCTGATGAACATGCAATATATGAGGCCGTGCTGCGTGTTCTGTGTCTACAGGTTCTCCATTGTCATAATGCAGCATAGGTCCAGAGGCCTGAAATTCGCAGCATGATGATTACAAAATTGCAAGATGGTCAATGTCTATCTGAAGCTGAGGGTGGAATATTATTACCTCCGACTCTTTAGAAGAGTGACAGAAAGCACATGTAAAATCTGGATTTGATGTGAACTTTTTTGGTTCGCTGGAAGGTGTGACACGAATTATACCCTGATCTTCTGATTCCAAATTAAACGTAGCGACACCCTGCTGTACATGTTGCCGTCCAAACCCCTTGGACTTTTCATCCAAGTAAGTTTTCGTAATATCACAAGAAGGCTCACTGTTCAACTTAAGTCTCTTCGGCTCTCTACATTGATCCTCTTCGATTTCTGAAGTAGATTTCCTGTTTGTACAGTCTGTTTTTTGGCCGTGAAATCTAGTTTTGTTGATTTGACAATCCGCTCCCTGAGCAGACAATAAAAGGATGAATCTTCTATTAGTCCAATCTCGGATTCCCTTCTGCATGTGCCACCCGTTGATGAACACGTACAAATTTTTAGAAGAAATGAGAAGAAAAATGTGCATTTGAGAGAATAGATCAATTATAAATTCACACAAATGGAGGATCCAATTAGGTCATACATAAATTTCCACAGAACTGGGGAGGTATCCTTCATTACATGGATCTAGATTTACAATTCATCCATCGTATCTCTGGCATAAGACTTTGGGAGCGAACCAATTAGACAGGAGTTCAGGTAAGAAAAAATTGACAGATCAACAAAAGAAACCTTCGGAAATAGTAGAATTTTCAATGTTTCATATTTCTAAATTACGTGAGACTTGAATCAATGTGTACTGTTATAAACAATAATCATAAAATTTTCAAGTAGTAGGTTCACAGATTAAACAACAAAGCTGAAACCAGTCAAAATTCAGTGCATACCCCTTGACTCTACAGTATTACTTTGTTATATTACAGAACAAGTCCGTAAGTGTTGCCCCAGGGCAGCTCAAAATGAAAGCTGTTCAACAGGATCGCAGGTGAACCACGTGGATGGAATTCTCTTTAAAAAACATGGGTGTTCGACAAAAAAAAGTTTTGGAAAGAAAGGAGCTTTTTCATAAAATCAGTTAAGCCAAAGTCTGCACTTAAATAGAAATTTAGCCTCATCTTGCGTCTAAGCTTCATCCAACAACAGAAAATATGTTCGTGCGTGCAATTTGAGTTTATCATGTAGGAACTTACATGGACACTCCCTCGATCATTGCTATCATCATCGGAATACTTGGGGCCAGCAGATGAGGGTGGACTGCATCGTACTTGATCAGGTAGGACGTCATCTCTTGTACTGCATGGTTTTGATCTACAGATATTCTGCACATCTCCATTCTGAGATTTTTTTTCAATGATTTTTTCACCAAAATCATGACCCTTACTTGTCGACCTCTTCATTTCTACAAAAAATTCATAGAACATATAAACACGTTGCCAACTATCTAACAAAACAAAAAGGACAAATTTGTTTAGCGAATTAAACAAGCAAGCAAACACACCAGGCAAACTGACTTCTGCCCTTGGTTGGCAAAAATTTGCATTAAAAGCGGCACTCATGCTTTTATATATGTTCACCATAGTTTCCATATGCGAAGCACGCCTCAGTTCTGGGAAAAGAAAACACGAGAGACATTAGATAAGTGAAACGTGTTCCAACATCTGTGTAAAACTGAAAGGAAAAAATAAAGCCTATACCTCGAGGAAGAAGGGATAATGTGCAGATGGGGCAGCTTAAACTGCCTTCCACTGAACTCGTAATGCAAGAACTGTAAATAATAGCGAGCTAGCAGAGTTCATTATATTTTTTACATGGGATTCACAAACAAAGACACAGTAGTGAATTACCAAACCTGCAAAATATATGATCACAAGGCAGTAGCACTGGACGTTTCAGTAGATTTAAGCTGCAAGAGCATAAAACACGGTATCAGAAAGGATGGAGAAGGATACAAAAGGGAATGAAATTCCAGATAAATAAATCAATAAGAGGATAAAACATGAGCCATATTTCCCTCAGCAATCACTGCCATCTCACTATCTACTTCAAAATAGAGATTCACACTGATCAACTAATTCATGGGAAATTCCACGTTGTTCATCGATGGAATCAATTGAAAATTCAGTCTACGCTCAAATCCTTGAATTTCAATGAGACCAAGAATTCTTTTATGTAGATACGTTCATGATGATATCTAAATGGCCAAAGAGACGATAATTCCAAGCGTCAATCTCCATGTATTCCAACTGATTGATAATTCCAAGAATTTTCACCATGAGTTTCTCCAAGCATGTAGTACTTCGGCTAGGTCTACGACCATATTGTGCACCTTTCGTCCTCCGCACTCAAATGAGGGAAGATCTTCAGCAGTACGCATCTATATCAGCGAGAGGGATTTCCTATGAACCCTCATCTTCCGTACCAACCCCACACATATCGGTAATGGATCTCCATCAATGGGTTCTACAGATGCTTGCGCCATAACACAGGGTCGACACCTTGCATACTCTGTATTGTACTGATATACGAAAAAGGTAGAAAATTTACAGCGCGAACGTACCACATGGGGCATTTGAGCTCCAGCTCCAACTTCTGCAAGTGAAAGAAGCACGGATTGATCAACGTCCCGTGACTGACAGACTCCGCCATCCCTCCTCCTCCCTATCGCGGACTCCGTTTCCCTGTCTCCGCCCTAATTACAAGCAAAACAAGCGCAGAGGACGCGGAGCGCTGCAACCTTCGACCACTTCCTCCAGCACACGAGGATTCACCTGCTCCGACGCCAAATTCACTCCTTGTATTCCAAAGTTGTCAGCCTCTCCCTCTCCGACGGCGGCAGCAGCAGCAGCAGCAGCAGCAGCAGCAACGGAGGCCGCCGGGAGACGGGTAGATGTCCGCTGCAAGCTTCGATCCCCTTCCTCCGGCAGCTGAGCTGATTCCTCCGCTGCGCTTACCTCTTCACTCTGGTCCCCCTTTGGCAGCTCCAGCCGGGCGGGAAGGTTCGAGAAAGAGGCGCGGGGAGGCGGAGGGGTCCTAGCGGCGGCTGAAAATCGATATAATAAAAAATACGTGGACGACAGAGATCGGTCTCTATCGTCTTTTAACATGTTTAAGTTTCGAAGAGCCCGCGTCGGCATCAGTTTCCCGCGTTTCTATGTGGTTCGGATCCTGAATTTGGGTTTGGTAGGATCCGTCTTTTGATATGGGCTTTCAAAGAACACAAATAGCAGAGTAGAAAGTATATATTGAGGCATATAAGGATAAAATAACAATCGATAATTTATAAGGAATCAAAATCAATTATCCCCTTCTCTTTGAGTAATAGGCTTTTCAAAGAGTACAAGATGTATACTTTGAAATATAACGACAATATACTAATTATAGAATTTATGAGAATCAAAAATTAATTATCCTCTTTCGCGTTCTGTCTCTCTTGCTAGACAGAACAAAAAGCATATATATATATTAGGGCATCTAAGAAAGGATATGGGATTAATAGATAAAGTTTATGAGGATCTGGAATCAAGTATCCCCTTCTATTAATGGTTATTAAAAAACCGAGATCAGCACCGCCGGTCGGCTTCACGCTATAAATACCTCTTCTCCGCCATCCTACTGCATCGCCTCTCAGTTCTGTGGTTCTGTCTTCCGCTCTTCTTCTATCCCTCTTCTCGCCGCCGCCGCCGCCGCCGCCGCCGGTGGTCTCGACTTCTGCCCATCCTGTCTATACCCGAGCTCTGTTTCTAACACTTGGGCGGTTCCTCTTACTGGGCTTTTCTTTCCCATGTGTGATATTTATCGCCTTCTAGGGTTTATCACCGGACCTCAACCAGTTTAGTCCATCTTGGCAAAGCTGGCGAGCCTCGGCGCATGGCCTGCTTTGAATGCTAATGGACTTAGAATGAGATCCTCCTCGCGGTTCTGCAGATCCTCTGCTCGATGGATTGCAGACCAATGGAGGAGGAAACATCAGGCACTGAAGTCTCCATCTGGGTACCACCTCTAACCAGCCCATTTTCTCACCTCAAACCAGTCCCCCTACTGAGCCCACCTGCAGTGAACAAGATCTCTTGGGGTATTCATGGTTCTGCGATGAGCCCACCCGATGCTCCAAGTCCAAGTCGGTTTCTTTTTCGGGATATAGGCAATATTGGCTTGATTTCTAAAATAATACAAGTTCTTGTATGTTCTTGACAATCCTTGCTTGATAGGAAGTGACTCTCTGGGACATCCATAGGAAATAACATGGTGTGAGGATCGTATAGCCGAGTTGGACGTGATCTACTCAAAGAAAATGGAATATAGGAAAGAAGATAGAAGGCGAGTTATATCTGAATAAAAAAAGATATCGGAAAAGTCGGAAAGAACGAAGAGATTAATGAAATATAAAAACGGAAGGCGTGAAAAAAACTAATAATAGGAGAAATAACCACGCTGGTAGCTGAAAAAATGGGAGAAAATTTAGCCATAGAATGAATAGAACCAAGGGAATAGGAATGATGAAGCTATCTAAGGATTTTGGAACTTAATAAAAATATGAGTAATTAAGTAATGATAATAAATACTCAAATAAAAGAACAAAATTATGAAAGAAAAAATATTGAAATGATTAAAATGGTAAAGAAAACAGAAAAAAATAAAAGATAAGAGAGGAACAAGTCGAGCAAAATAATACGGAAAAATCCGTTTAAAAAATAAGTAAAGATTAAAACAAGCCAGTGGTGAATGAATTGACAGTAAATAATGAACGAGTGCCGCCAAACAGAAAATAATTAAAACAACAAATATTCTTCCATACATATGACAAGCTCACGATTTTTAAAATTAAATGCGCATTTAAACCGCAAACATGGTTCCACAAACGACTTCCTATGCACAAGATGCTATCCAATTGAAAAATTATGTGTTAGAAAACGAAGAGAAAACACGTCATAAAATAAAGCTATAATTATATCAGTAATAATACATTTGAATAAAAATGAAGGAAAGAAATCAATAAGAAAAAATCAAAAAAAAGAAAAGAAAAGGAGGAAAGGTTGGTGAAAACATCCAAGTGAATGATTGGTGAATAAACTTCAGAAAATACGAAAATGAAGTAAAAAATATGGACAGATGATGTTAGTAGAACAGAATGACCCACCAAACATAGGGCACGATTCGGATGTTATAAAACAAAAATAATTAACTACTAGAACACAAAGAGGAGGATGTATCAGCGATAAATGTAGTCACATCAGGCAATAACCGATGATCATTATAAGATCACCTCCATAAATGAAGACGTGTGTGAGCTTCCAATTTCGTCGGTCTCCGGTTCGTCAGGGCCGACTGTTGCTGGATTCTCCCTGAAACCAGTTGTTCTTCGCCTTGCAAGGAAGATCTCCGAGAGCCTTCTGTTGCCGCCCAAAACCAATGATCATAAGAAGGACCTCCTCGAAAAGTATTGGAGGGCGTTCGAGAAATCAACTCCAACGTCCGGCAGAGGACGGTGTCGCTGCAGACGGAGGTCAAGTCGCTCCGCGAGGAAGCCAGGGCACTTCGACGACCTGCGGCAACAGAAGGTTCCCAGAGATCTTCCTTCCAAGGAGAAGAAGAACAACTGGTTTCAGGGAAGATCCAGGAACAGTCGGCCGGGTCCCGACGAACCGGAGACCGACGAAGAGGGAAGCTCACACGCAAAATGACCTAATCCGAGGGGGTTAACCACCTGTCTTTCCGTCTCAGTCGGGGCCTCCTATTTGTAGCCTCAGATCCTTCACTAAGATCTGCCGCGGTTGGATAAGAAGGTGGCAGGAGATTTAAAACTAGGATGGCAAAAAATACTCTGATCGTAGTCGATCCATGGCCGAAGTATATACTCCCGATCTAGAGAACGGTAACGCGAAAGGAGATAATCTACCTCGCCGTGATCTGCGCTTTCCTTGCCGGAGAACTACCGAGCAAAAGAGAGCGGCATTTCCCGAACTCAGAAGGTTCGTTTGTCGCCGCGGCGGGAGGAGGGGGGGAATTACTCCCGGTGCAGAGACTTGGGCGGGAAAAGATATAAAAACATATACATATATATATATATATATAGCGAGAGAGAGAGAGAGAGAGAGAGAGAGAGAGAGAGAGGACGGAGAATTGAACCAGCGGCGTGACCAACGGTCGTCTGTTTTTATCGCTCGCACGTGCAAGGGAGGCACGTGTAGTTTAAAATATAAAATATTTTGAATGCTCGTATATCCAGAATGGCATGCCTGTAAATAATTATTTATTAAAAAAAAGCAGTCTGCGGGTAATTTAAAATAACAAAAAGAACTAGAAAAATTTGCCGATTTATATCTGAAATTCATAGACCTAAAATATAGACGATAAATAGAAGTAATCGTACATCAATTAACGGTAGATGAAAGAGTGTACGGTGAGATACACGACTTCTAACTTACACAAAAATGCCGACATTCACGCCCGATTAAAAATAAAATAAAATAAAATAAAATAAAATAAAGAAATGAACAGAGCATAATCAGCTCCACGGAAAGGGGTAGTCTAGTATTGGATATTCTGGCTGTGCAGCAGCTCATTGGCAGCAGCGACCACACTCTTGCCCTCTGCAGGGATATCAAGCCCTGGCTCCTCTATCTTCCTCTGCAGGAGCTTGTCTAGTTCAGCTCTCAAATTCTACAGGACAAACGCATAGATAAACAGTTACCCATGATGGGTTGGCGTAATGAGCAATTCTGCATAATCTGGTGGAAGAATCAGGCCATCTAGTTCAAGATGGAGTAGTGAGAAGAGAGCACTGTACGAGGCGGGGCGGGGCGGCGCACCTGAATGAGCTGCAACACACTCTTTGAGGCGGAAAAATGGAGGTAGCCGTCGAGCATCTCGATGCCCTCCCCAGAACGGCTCGGCCGCAGGCTCCCTCCGAAGAGGAGCAGAGCGTAGTCCGATATGTTGGTCGAGTCTCGGAGATAGATGCTCGCTGTCTTCACCTTCTCGCTGTAAACCATGTAGGGCAGAGGGAATGTGTGGACGCCGGCGTTGACGGAGGAGGGATGAATGTCCACCTTGCCGACATCTTTGCTGTAAAAAGCAGTCCTCTTCCCCCTTCTTTTGCACTGAATCACGTTAGGGTAGAGCCCGGCGCATAAAATGGCGCATACCATCTCCAGATCGTCGGAGTAGAGATTGTAGGCCTGTTGACACCATCTCACATGATCACCATGGAAGTGAAGATGAAGCAGGAAGGCCCATGCTAGGGAGATTGGAGGATTGGGGAAAAAATACACCTTGGGTCCTTTACGTTTGTCGACGAAGCCAATATCTGATAGGAGGTCGAGGAACTGCATCCTCATGTCTTCCATCATCTGCAATGTAATGGGGGACAAGAAGTTCTCCCAGCAGAAGGCACGGTCCCTGCCACTCCGCTTGGCATCTTTCCATGCTTGGAAGGCTTTGAGAAGAGCAATGTGGTCACTGCAGGCGATATTTCAGAATCATTGAAGAAATGGGAAGGCAGATGCGGGAAGGAACTGGGGGGAGGGGAGTAGGAGGCAGTGGAGGAATGACCTGCATGAATCTCCTGCAAAAGATCTTTTCGCAGCATCGGCTTCTTCTTTCCTGTTAATGGGAAGCACGAATGGATCGCGGTGGGCGAGTGCAGCTGCAATTGTTAGTGCTGGATCCAGGCACTGGAAGATGGAACCCATCAGCAGCATCTTCCCGATGTTCGGATCCAAAGGCAGAGTACAGAGGTGACGACCTGTCAATAAACAGAAGAATGATGTTAATAGAAACTCCTCTCTCTCTCTCTCTCTCTCTCTCTCTCTCTCAAGCATACCAAGAGGAGTCAGTTCCTCCTGATCGTCTAGCGCTCCAATCGTCTTCAAGAGGTCAATGGCATTTTGAACAGAGAGAGGATCTGGCGGCTGAAGTGCCTTCGAGAGGAAAGAACCAATAACTCCGAGCTGCAGGGTTTTGATATTAAGGCACAGTTCTTGCAAGGGAGTCCTGAGAATTTCAGGTAACTGGTATTGGAGCATTGCATCGTGGATCATCTTGGGGTACAACCTATAGCAAACTCCAGGTTGAACACGGCCGGCTCGCCCTCGTCTCTGCAGGCATTCCACAGAAAATATGCTGAGAAAACTCCGAACGTTTTGATCAATGGGCTTCAATATAACTTGCCAATTGTGCTCACCTGGTGTGCCGAGGCCTTTGATATCCATGAAGGTAAGAGACATGCAAGCTTGTTGAGAGCATCATAGCTGGTTTCCTTTGCTTTCCCACAATCTATAACGTAGACAACATCGTCTATAGTGATGCTACTCTCAGCAATATTTGTTGCCAGAACTATTTTCCTGCATGTTTGACCAAAAACAATAATATTCATGGCCCAATTATTAAATCAGTCCTTACTATCTAAGGCGGCATGACATGGCAAAACGTTCAGTGCAAGGCCAATGTGATGCTTAATTTTAAACATATAAAAATTACTAATTAATTCTTAAAAAAACTGAAAAGAAGTTGAAGTATGCATGTCTTCATAGCATAAATGTATAAGGAAATTATTTAGTAACTGTTGTATCCACATGAAAATTTATAACAATTAACTTATAAAATATGTATAATATGTATAAACTTTTCCAACCTAGCTGTACTGTAGATAAACTTCAATATCTGTGGCCTCATTGGGTGCTACAAACAAGACTATCGGCCTGTCTACTCAGACCATTTCATTGTATAGGGCCCTTCTACTCTCAAGGAGACTAGAATGGCGGGACAAGTAATCACTCTTTCTAAGTTTACACTACGGAAATATTCAATAATTGAGTTTTCTGATAAGAAAAATATAGCTCGCTTGTTTCGACAATATAATGAATAAAAGAACTGAACGGCTCTATTGATGAATGCCATGGCATAAAATATCCAAGTTAAACTTGCAGGAACTGACACGCACAGTTGCAAACATATGAAACATATCAAGATAAGATAACTAAAGCACCAATAAGCACTTTGGAATTACCAAATTGGAAAGTAACATGTGACGTACCTCATATTACTTGGTGGCCTGTCAAAAATTTCACGTTGATTGACAGTAGGCATTGAACCGTGCAATGGAAGGACAAGAAATCTGCTTGAATTTCCGAGAAGAACGTTTCCTTTTATTTTTTCAAGCAACTTTGATATTTCTTCCCAACCAGTAAGAAATACAAGGATTGCTCCATCCCCTTCTTGGCGACAAATGTACTCAATTGATGCTTCAACCTGCATATTAACAAGAGCAGCGCACAAGAAACTATGATCGGATTGCTACGTATACTGATACCACCAATAGAGCATCATAATGTGAGAGAGATTAATTCCATATATCGGAAGGAGTAACGCAGGAAATAGTCAGCAAGAGTAACAGTTCTCAGAATCACATGATGGAGATCCCATTTTACCACATGCTCACTCAGCAAAATAGTGAAAAGAGCAAGACATAAAAGATGATAAAGAATACAAAAGGTAAAATAATAAAGAAAAATAAAAGACAGTGGAGCACTTAAGTCAGCATTACTTACGAGGCCCAAATCTAGCTGCCCCCCAGTCCAAGCTTCCAGAGATTGCCTTGTAGATGGGCTGTAACTTTTGTAATAACTATCAATGTCCACCTCCTACAGCAAAGGACGAAGATTCAATTCACAGCATAGAGCAAAGTGGAACGATAGAATGTTTGTTGCTGAGAAATCATAAACCACGCACTTGAATTCAGAGGAAAATGTGTATTCTGCTAGATGACAGCTTCCACATTACCTCAAACATTTCAGTCAAAGGATCACTTTTTGAAAATGGTTGTCTCCTCCTCCTCCTTGAATTTCCTTGAAAGTTGTCAAACTCTGATTTTATTTTATAACGAGTTTTCTCAAGAATGTCTTCTAAGAAAACTTCTGCAACGGGAAAAGTCCGACCCTGAAATGTGAAAACAACAGCTCAGCGAAGAACAGCTCCATCAAATATACCAAAACGAATTTCAATGCATAGGCCTAGTTCAATACCGGGATGTGAATGATTGGTGCACCTCCAAAGTATTTTGAAAATAGATCCGCATTAATAGTAGCACTCATTAATATAAGCCTCAGATTTGGGCGACGAGGAAGAAGATCACGCAGAATTATTATAAGGAAGTCCTCGTTCATGCCTCTTTCATGAATTTCATCCACTAGTAAATGAGTAACCCCACCTAAATCTGGTTCTTGAACCTGTAAAAAGAGCACAGACATTAGTTATTTCCCTGACAAGAGCGACACGAACAGTATATGATAACTTTATAAAACCATGACATGCCAAAGACACAACCAAACAAGGGAATATTGCAAGACAATTTCCCATATTGCGAATTCAGGGATAATTATATTACATTTCTTCATCAGCATCAAAAAGGTACAAGATATATGATACGGTACCCTTCAAAACATATGCTCGTCGTAAGTGAACAGTCTAGAAGGTTCAACATTGAACATTAGGGAAGGAGTGGGCTGAACAGTATAAATACCCCTTTCTCTGTGAAAAAGTGGGGGCATCTTGGAAGAAGAGAGATAAGAATGGAGAGTGGGGAATTCTCTTGAACTAATTCCTGCCTGTTACATTAATTTTTTTTCTCTGTTACATTTTTCTTGAATCCATTGACTTTTTCCCTTCATTGATTGAGAGGTGAGGAGGGAATCATAACAATATATACCTCACATTTCTTTGCCAGGAAAAAGGAACCTCACAAAGACATCCAAAACTCCCCGCAATCCCACCAACTTCACTCATAATCACAGCCAGAATATGGTTTCCCTAGTCCCTGGGAGAAACTTCACTTCCATGCAGCAGCCTTTCATTTTCTCTCTCGTTTTGATCTTAAAAATAACAGGCGGGGAGGTCCCCAGTGAAAAGAAAAAAAGAATTTAAAACAATTATTTCCTGACAGAGATTACCTGACAATGACATGACAAAGCATGGATAAAAAAATGTACGAGTAAAGGATGTAATATAATCAAATAAACGCCAAGTAAGAATTATCTTATTACCAAACGGCGAAGAAGGACGCCAGTAGTACAAAATAAAAGTCTTGTCTGTGCTGAGCGCTTAGATTCCAAACGAATCTGATAGCCAACAGTTTCTCCCAGGCTCTCACCCCTCTCTGCAGCAATTCTACCGGCAACAGATATAGCAGAAATACGACGAGGCTGGGTACAGATTATGCTGCAATCTGCTCCACGAAGGGCTGATATTTCCTCCTCGATTATAAACTGGGGCAACTGGGTAGTTTTCCCACATCCAGTCTCTCCGGAAACTACCAGAACCTACGCAGTATAATCATACCAATGAGAAAAACAAAGCACTGAAAATTTTCTCCAAATGAGATATGTAAATTGATGAAAATTGTACATAGTTAAAAGAAAAGCCAGGGAAATTACAGCATGGCACGTTTCTTGCTTGATTTCATTCAAAATAACTGTGACTTAGTAGGGACAAAAAATGACACTGCAATAGTTGATCCAAATACTTGGAATATACATGGTGAATAGTGCCCCTAACAAAGGAAATCTCTCTCTCTCTCTCTCTCTCTCTCTCTCTCTCTCTCTCACACACACACACACACACACACACACACACACACACACACACACACACTCACCCAGTGCTATCACTATCACGAGGAGACAATGGTATTGTAATTTAGATATAAAATACCCTCAAGGGGCTTCTCTTTCTATCATGAACTATCACCAAGTCAATTAGATGGAACTTTGTAGCATTTCTGCTTCGCATTTCGCATCAATCTCTGGATCTTGAGAAGAAAACCTCACCAACAATATCAAGTGGCGCTAACAGGCAATGATATGCCTGTCCATTGTAAAATGCCAACGTACGACATAATTTCAGGATGGAATACCGCCTCTTCAACAATAAATGATAATTAAATAGTGATTAATGCCATCCAACCTGATTTTCAGCAACAGCTCTCAGAAATTCTTCTTTCACTTTGTATGCTGGTAACTGTTCTCTGAAAGACTGCATTGCTCTTGCAGTGGAGGTTGCCTGATAATAAATAGTACTAGTCAGAGAGTAATTCGGAATAAAAAAAAAAATTCATTTTATTCTCTGAGAAATTAGTTCCACAGTTTTATTATAATCATGAATAGCTTAGATATACACGCACCTTTCTAGAACTCTGCAAGTCCCTGAGTTCAATACTGAACTTTTCTTTGGTGACACCAATTTCACTTGTCACGTGACATTCAGTTGTACCAGTGGTTCGTAAAGATGGGCCAGGTGTCTGACTAGATGCACCACTATAAGCAGTGGAATGTGATACTTCTTTAGATTTTTGCAGCAGATTTCCAACTCTTCTTTCAATATCTGTGGTCATCTTAATCTGCAAAGATGCATATATTTAACCTCAAACATTACAATGTTAGTGTATTAAAATGAACCTAACTTAGCCCGAATCAGCAGACCTCTTTTTGAGTTGATCCATGTCGATCATCAAGATCAGCTCGGTAATCTGGCAATGGGACTTTGCTGACAACAGAAGTCTTCCCTTTACTGTAAGCATGGCTTTCTTTCCATAGATACACAGATCAAGGCGAATAGGTTATCAGTCAACATAATTTTGATTTTACCAATGACGAAACAGGAAAGAAAACCATTTAAACAGGCTGATATATGTTCCTCAGAAGTAATGAAAGTTGGATCAAGGAACAATGTCTAAGAAGCACATATACAACATTAACACTTGAAACTTTCTAGATCACTCAAAAACTTTCTACAGTGAAGAATTAGAAAGGAAATTCATCTTACAAGTAAAGTCCTAATTGGCGAGCCATATCTCCAAGAATTTCTTCACCTTCCCGTCCAAAATTCCGCTTGATAATTAGCTCTTGCTGACCACTATTCTTCATTTGATTTATCTTTGTCCACCATTCATTCTGGTCCAACTTTTCAACCTGGAAAAAGATATAAAGATAGGCAGGAAGGCATGCATAATAAGCAAGTGAAGCAGATAACTCTGAGTTCAACTATCTTCGAAAAGCTGCAGGCTAAACGCTACGTACTTTTCACTCTAAAAATGTACAATTGTCCAAACTGGACAATTTTCAGATGCCACCTTCACAGTACAGCCAAAAAAACTTTACTCCGGTTATCGTTTTACTCTGGCTAGAGGCCAGTTAGCCGAGCTTTTCGTTTGGCAGGGAGGATAGTTTTAAAGTTCTAATTTTTTTCAGCTTCTCAATGCCATGCATTCACATCGGGTGGGCAAGTTAAGACTCAGCAATTCTCATCATGTTCTTATTGTGAACACCACGATGACCATTACCCATCAAATATAAAGCACCAGTGCCCAATAGCACCAGTCCGTTTACTACTCAATCCACACCTATATCAATTTTTTTGCAGATCGAACGAATTCATCCAATGACACCCTTCAAATATGCTTCAAACGGAAACAACAAATTGAGGCAGGCAGAAGAACATACATCTCCGGCCATCTGCCGCAGCCGCTCAGCCCTCCATACGGGATCCCACCACCGCTGATCCCCCCGGCCCCCGCCTCTTCCGCCACCTCTTGAACCCCCTCCTCTTCCCCCCCCCCCGCCGCCGCCGCCGCCGCCTCCTCTTCCCCCACCCCTGCGCCCGCCGTGAAAGTTTGGGCCCCGAGACGACATGGTGCCGCGTACCTGCCGGACGACCGCTAGCGGGCGTACAAACGCCGACGATCGACTGTCGAAGGCGAGGAAGCAGCTGGACATTCAGCAGCGAGCTTTACAGGAGGAATCGCCGCCTTCGTCACGGGTTTTCTAACTCATGAAACCTGGTGAAGTTTATCTCCTACCCTTTAAAACCATATTTTACGTTTATACGCAAAACAAAAATAGAGATCTCTCATGAAAACGTTCGAACTTAAATATTTTTATCCCAGAGCCCCGAAATACGAATATTTATAACGTAAAAAAATTGAATCTGAATCATGGCATTTACATATTTATAATAAAAATTTGGACTAAATAATAATAATTTTTTATTTAAATAGGTTTAGGAAATAAAAGCTACAACCAACGGGAACGCCATTTCAGGAGAAAAATTATTACGAAATTTACATCATTAAAAGAAAAAAGGACTTCAAAATGGCATGAACATATATAAAATGAAAAATGGGACTAAATAGTAATAGTTTCTATGTAAAGAGGTTGAAAAAATAAAAGCGACGATCAAAGGGGATTGGACCGTCCGTTTTCCGTCCAACGGAACGATTAAGCTAGGGCTCGCTCTGCTTTCTCTGATTCTGCTTCCTCGTCCTCTTTTCTCTTCCCATCAACCCACCCTTCTCAACTCGTTTGCCGCCCCGGTTGCCTCGGATTCTTCGTCTCTTCAAGTGTCGCCGCGGAGAGGAGACGGCTGCAGTCCCGAACTTCGCGGGCAAACGTGTAACTCTTCCCCTAATTCTCTCGGCCTTCTTCTTTCTTTTGCACCGTCATACGTCGCTGTTGTTGCGCATTTTCAAAGCGACCTAGGAGTCGGGGAAGCAGGGAAACATGAAGGATGAGGGAGAGAGATAAAATAAAAACGTTTTACGACGGCATATCTTCCGCATTTGATACTCGGAGGTTTCTGGGCATTTTCTTGGGTGGCGAAATGCTCTTGGTTTCGGAAGGAGAGAACCCATTTCTGTGAATGTCACTGCACCGTAATTCCCTTAGTGGTGCGGGTGAAAATACGCCTAGCAACACTCGAAAGACTACCTACGCTTGTGGCTTGATAGAATCGCTTCTCTATCTTTGCTTGAAAGACCGTTTCGTACCATGAGAAGTGTCCACTCTTTTCATTCCTTTCTTATCCAATCTATTCCTCTAATTGACCATGCGATAATTTTATGGAAGGAACTGATGAGATCGCTATTTTTGTGCATGATGTTATGCTTGTCTCAAGGTTTGAAACATTTGACTAAAATTTTTCATAATTTCCTGGTGATCTTATATGTTTATCTTTATCCCAAGTAAATTAGTTTTCCAGTGTGCAGGCATAGTCCATTGCCACTGAGCTTGCTTCTTTCTCTGTGGCTATATGATGCTTACCTCTTTATTTTTTCTCATGTCGGTTTCTTAACTATTTATTTATTTATTAATTTTATCTTTCTACCAGCTAAAACCTCTCCATGTTTTTATAAACTGATATTTTTTCTTTTTCACAATTCCAATGGATTCGGGATGTTTTCATCAGAGTACCTCTGCCAGTATTGCGGCATGTCGGAATACTACTGAAATTCAGGATGCTGGGATATTATTCTTGTTCTAATGAAGAAGTAAGGGTTAAATGATGATTGATTTTCAGCCATCCTTGGTGTTAACTTAGCATTTCATTAAACGATTCAGAAATATGAGCGTTGCTCACCAGAAGAAAGAAAAATATGAAAATGGTAATAATTTTCTTGGAACTAATGATAGTGAAGGTACATCAGCTCGGACAAGAGCTTTCAGCTTTGACCAAGTTATGTTAAGAAGAAGAAACAAGAAACTTACTGAGGATGCTAAAGAAGAAATCGTTGTTCCCAAGTCACTGCCAGAAAAAGACGACTCTGGGAATGCCCATGAGTTCACAGAACCTGATAGAGGCAATGATCTCAGGAAAGATCCCAAAAATGCAACAGGAGGCATCAGAACAAAAGAGGTTGCGTCCAACAAGAAAAGTAGTCCTAAATATAAAGATAAAGTACGTGATGATGTGAAAGCTAGCACGAAGGACAAGATGAAGATTAAATCCAGTCATGATAAGACTAGTCTGAATAAAGAAGTCAACAATGAAAAGCAGAGTCGCCATAGGAACAGAGCAGATGACCGATCAAAGGCTGTATCTGAGAAAGAGTCTGGAAAGAGGCTCTTCAAAGATACACAAGTAAAGGATAATCACGAGAGGAAATATGGAAATTACGTACAAGCAGATAAGAAGAACAAGTTTACTGTTAATAATGAAAAACCTAGAAGGCCAATCGACATTTTCACTGCAAAAAAATATGATTTTGGTCATCGACAAGAAAGAGAACCTCTGGATAGAAGAAAAATTCGTAGATATGAAGAGCAAAGCTCAAAAAGAAGAAGATCAAGAAGTCGGGAATTTGATCGAAGCAGGGGTAGATCTCCTTCAATGTCGCCAAAGGGGTACAAGCGATCCTTTCATGGAAGAGATCATGGAGGGTCATCAAATCGTTTTGTCAAATACAGGACGGGAAGGCAGCATTCAAATGCTGGTAAATACAGAACATCAGGAAGTGGGCGCCAGGAAAGTACTCGTTATCAGCAGCATGAAAGTGGCCTTGGGGGCTATTCACCAAGGAAGAGAAAAACCGAGGTTGCTCCCGTTAAGATTCCATCACCACCTGCTCCCTCACCGGAGAAAAAGGAAGCTACATGGGATTTGCCTCCTTCAGGAGTTAATCGTACTAGTTCTGCATCTGTTCCTAGGAATCTTCAGTCATCTACTCAACGCACTTATGATCAGCCATCTTCTATATCAGACACTGCTATCCCTGTGAAATCTCAAGGGACATCTTCTAGTGCTGCACCAACAGTTTCATTGGCATCCATTGATTCGGTTCACCTAACTCAGGCAACTCGTTCGTTGAGAAGGCTCTACATGGAAAATTTGCCATCTTCAGCTACTGATAAATCGATATTATCATACCTCAATGATCTTTTGTTGACAGCTGGTGCCAATCACATCCCCGGCTCACAGCCATGTATTAGCTGTATTGTAAGTGACTGAACATGGAATAGTGTGATGGCTTTGTTTTCATCAAGAGTAGTCCAGATGCTTCATTTTCTGTCAGGGGTCTGATTCAAAAGTTTGTATGGGAATGCTTTAACTTTGTACTTTCTATGCAGATTAACAAAGAGAAGGGTCAGGCTGTTGTAGAGTTTCTCACACCTGAAGATGCAACATCAGCCCTTTCTTTTGATGGAAAGTCCTTGTCTGGTTCTGTTCTAAAATTCAGGCGCCCGAAGGACTTTGTGGATACAACAGCAACAGTAAGATTGATTTTTTATTCTCATCAATCTTCTATGAGGATTGTACTTTGATTTAGTAAAATTGATAATGACTTGGAATACTACCAAAATTAGCTTAAACCTTTAAAATTTGTTGCACATAAACTCGTCTTCCACTCACAATCTACAATATGTCAAACACATGATAAAAGGAAGAAAATCAGTTTAGTTAAAACAAAAAGGTTTCTGTCGGCAAAAAAAAGTGAGTGGAACTCTGCACAACATTTATACCTCAGCAATCAAACCGAATCCTTACGAACTTTTCTTTTGAAATTCCTTGAATTTATTGTTGGAACTGTTATCTTTTTTAGTTCTGTAAAGCTTGCTTGATCATGTGCTCAGCAATCAAACTGAATCCCTATGAAAAAAAATCGAAATTCCTTGAAGTTATGGTTGGACATGTTATCTCTGTTAGTTCTGTAAAGCTTGCTTGATCACATGTGCTCCAGATACGACTGGAAACCTCACAGATTAATATAATGGCTTACTTTGTTCCTATTTACACTGCATTCCTGAAACGACTTGTCCGATGTGTCAGCTGGTGTCTATGTAAGCACATTCGACTTCATCTCTGCTATGTTCTAATTCCAACCTGTGAGCTGATAAACCCTAGTACAAACAGTGAAACTAGTTCCTCATGAGAAAGTTTAGACTTTCATTACTTTTTACGGGGTTGATCCGAAAGATGTAATCTTACTTGCAGAGTAATCCTGCCGTTCAACGTTTCTTTGTTTTACTAACTATGGAAAGTACATTATTGTATTGATCGAATAAAAGTTTTTCAGCTAAACACAAAACGAGTGCAGTGTTGTGGGCGCACCATTTTAAAAGGTCCTAAGCAACCATATTTTAAAGCATTAAATAGGGGCAATCTTAACCACTTAATCTCCACCAAACAGGGACGATTGAAGAATCCCACTTCATCTAAAATACTGTGGACTGGTTCGTAATGCATCCCACGTCATTCCAAACGTGGATTGGGATGTATGTATAGCATCGTGGTGAATATACATTCAGACATTTATACTGAGATGAGAAAGAGTCATTCATGACCTAAACATAGTGCACTGGGTAGTCAGATGCGGATGGGGCAAGAAGGTGTCTGTGTCCTTAATGACGTAATTGAGTTGGAGTGGCAAGTAGGGACATAAAACATGAAGGCTGGTTACTCTCCTTGTCCTTTCAGCATAACAGAATTGGCAATGATAAATATGATCAGAAAATGTATCGAATGGACTGTGTTGTGATTCTCCAGACTTATATAGGCTGTCAGCTATTTATGTGCGCCGCACCCTCTTTTGCCTGAAATCCTAGAATAAACATGAAAGGCATAATAATTGCACGCATAATGTTCCTCTAAACTAAGAGAGTGAAGAAGAAGACCTTCCTGTAACTTCGAGCTTAATATCAATTTGAAGTCTTCACTTGGCAGTAAGAGGCAGTGGGCATTCTTTTATTGACATTATCCAGTGAAGACATAAAGCTGCGGAGTGACTGTTCTGGAATTATTTTTCCTGGAAACAGATTTCATGCGTTTTTCTTTTCCTGTCCGAAATAGACTGGTTCACAAACTTCAAATGCTCCCAGTACAGTTCTCCTGATCAACATAATTCCAGGAGAAAGCACTGTCACCAGGAGTTTTTCACTGAACTTTTCAAATGGAATGCCGACTCTCTAGGACTTGAGATCTCTATATCTTCAGGGTTCTGAGATGAATTCAATTCTAGAATCAAGAAAAAGAGGAAGATGAGACATAGGAGGAAGAGTAGAAGATGTAGATGTAAAATCAAGTGGAGGAAAGACAGGAGGAACTCGTCACTGGTGTTGCCATCTGAAGAAATTAAATAAAACTTGCTGTATGTTTCGAGAAGTTTGTACATTTTTTTGTTTTTCTGCTATTTTAAGGTAATAAAATACTCCACCTTTTAGTATCATGGTACTATGATCTTTGGATTGATGGCTGATTAGATTATCGTTTAGTCTCATGTTTTTGGTCTTAAGTAGATGAGTTCTGTCTCTCTGACTAGCTGTTTTGGAACATGTGACGGATGTCGGATTTAGGACTTAAAGCAAAAAAAAAATCCTGTCGTTTGCTACTCCATGTTGCTCATCTTTAACTTATCCTTTATTTTTTTCCCTGCTTCAGTCAATATTTAATTAATTTTCCCACGATTAAGCTGCCTGCGGTTTTTCTATTTGTTTGGCACGTGTTCTATATTATGCTTCAATGAGATACCGATCCTTTTGTGTCCTCTTCGGCTCAATGCAGTTACTATTCCCTACATAAAGTTGTTCGTTTAAGGACTATATTTTGCTTTAAATCGAGAAGCCTTTCTGTTTCTAAGGTGCACTGTGGTTAATATCCATGTACCAGGTTTTCAGACAATTGATATTTTCATGCAGACTGGAGTCCAGGAGAAACCTGTTGCAGCTCTTAATGAGATAGCTGATATTGTGAAGGATTCACCACAAAAGGTACTTGTTTTGCTTCTGCTATATCCATTTACAGGCATCAATTATTGGCTCAAGGAATATGTTTACCTTCTCAAAACATGAGATGCCCAGATATTTTGATGTGTGATGATGGGTTGCATTGATATTGGATGAGTTTCTAAAACTGTTTATTAATTTTATCCTCTTAATTGATGTTAATATTCAGTCCCTTGTGATATCTCACCTTTTGCTGTTTTTCATTTGATTTTTTGAATCGGAGAACAGTTATGAAAAGTTCTCTCTGTCTCCGGACCAAAAATATGTTCTGTCAGGTATATATTTAGATGGCGCGATTATATATCATAAGTTCAACCGTAGTTCATTCATTCTATCTGCCCAGGCCATCCAATTTGATTTTCGAGCTGAAAGCTGCTGAATGGGGATCAAAGCCTAGCATCCTTAATCGGAAGAGATTTCGCTAGCATAACCCTCACATGTAGTCGAGAAAGTCCAGGGGAATTCTCTTGTTGAAAACGTTGTGACTATCATGATGGTGAGGACACAGAAAACAAAATTTTGGAAAGGAGACTTTTTGTTGACTTGGAACTTCTCTATACCGCACAAAATTCTCTCCCTCAAATGTTGTATCTGCCTTCTCCATGAGCTTTTGAATGCAACTTTTAGTGAGAATTCTATGAAAGGAATTTATTGCCTCAACCTTGTGCTGTTCACGTCAGTATTATTCAGTATTTTTCAACCTTGTATTTCTTCTAAATCTATGGTGCTATCTTTTACCGTCCGATTTATCCAATCAAGGTGCTGTCATTGCCAATCTTCCTAGAGTCTCAGTGATTTACCATCTTCGAACTGAAAAATAGTGGAAGTATCTCAATCAATTTCTCTTTAGTGTATTGCTCCGAGGAAATATGGTGTTAATGACAGAAGCCACATTTTATTCTATCATACTTTCCCTGTTGTTTGCCCAGTAGGTCGGCCTGAAACGAGCATTCTTCCTCAATTCTTAACAATCATTTGTGAGTAGTGCCTAATGTGAATTTTAGCGTTTCACAGTCCTTTCGCAATAAATGTGTCTCTGGATTCTCCTTTCAAGTGGAAAGAACTTCAAATGCCTTCGACCTCTTGTGCCGTTTTAGAGGTCCTAATAACGGTTAGTATTGGTTAAATGGTAAATTAAAGGTCTGTTAGGAGTCATGTTTAATGGAATCTATCTCGTGCCTCCTGTTAAATATTTTGAGTGTATTGTTTAATATCGTTTAATATCGTTTAATTCAAGACTTTAGAGGAAATTTCCCCCGATTCTGCATCCGAATGCTGTAAAAGTTTTGGTTATAGACCTGCACAAATGTCTGCTCTTAGGTAGTTTTTTAGTCTTGCTATTTACTGGGATTTACTCAAGAACCGAACTGACTCACATCAACTTCTATGAGTTGATTCAGATCCTTAGGATGCGTGACGTATCATATCTTAGATGATTTCATTCAGTTCTTATGAAATAAAACTGACGGACATCAGATTTAATGATATGGTGAAATATATTAAAGCTATTATCTGAACCCTCCATCGCACCATTACCAAACATTGCACGTATCAACGAAAACTATGTTCTCCGTCTTGTTTGTAACTCAATAGTTTGACCATATTTTATCAATAAACAATTGTATGGGCATTGGGCCTATGGGATCCACATGATTGTGGAGTACTTTATCCCATGAAATGTCTATCTATATTATCTGGTTGTGGCTTTTCAATTTCTTCAGATTCGTTGGTATAGAATACCACTTTTAACTGTGAAAAAAACTCACGGCGGTGTTATATATTCGCGCCTTTGAAAAAACGATCTCTTAGTGAATTTTATTCAGTTTATGATTCCTTCTTGCAACCAATTTAATGCTTATCATCTCAAAATTACTGTTGTCCATCATTGGATGCTGCAGATTTTCATTGGTGGAGTTTCGGAATTTCTGTCTTCCGATAAGGTAAATTGGCTCAGAGAAGAACATCTCCACACTATATAACGCAACTCCCCCGAACCCACCCACCCTTTATTCTTCGCATTTGCTCTCATGATCAACTGCATATCTTTTTTCAGCTTTTGGAGATTGTCAGCGCGTTTGGGCTCGTGAAAGCTTACCACTTCGAATTTAATCCGGAGCTCAATCAATCATGTGCTTTCCTCGAGGTACATGCTACTTAATAATCCCTCAAACGGCTTGTTCTAGTTAGTATTTTTCTGTGTGCTGTTATCCCATATTTCCTACCACTGTCCTGGGACAGCTGGGACAGCTGGGACAGCTGGGACAGTGTGGACCGGAGGATCATTTTGATTGCAACGTAGTAGAATAATGTCATTACCCAATTTATATTGAGATACAGAAACCCTGGTTGACTTGTGAAATTGTCTGGCCATTTCGTTGATTCAGTACATGGACCATTCCATCACCCAGAGGGCATGTGCTGGGCTGAATGGATTGAAACTTGGAGGCAATGTCATTACAGTTGTTAGAGCTCTTCCGGATACCCACTGGGGGGAGGTAGAATCACATTTTCCTTAATCTTCTTCTTCACCTACCTGGTATCCACGTCTCTGCGCCGTCAATGTCCTCAAACAGACTGTCATCTTTCCCCAGGAGAATCCAAGAACACCGTCATACAGGGTTCCTGAGCATGCAAGACCGCTGCTTGAGAAGCCCACGCAGGTCCTGAAGCTTAAGAATATGGTATGAAATAATCTTTGCCAAAAAAGTGAACATCTCATTTTCTCTGATCGCCATTCACCTTCCTTGTCCATAATTCTTGACCAGCTGGATCTAGAGAGCTTCTCTCGGCTGTCGGCACTCGACTTGGAGGAGATCCTGGAAGATGTTCGTCTAGAGTGTGCAAGGTCCAGCAGTCTCTCTCTCTCTCTCTCTCTCTCTCTCTCTCTCTCTCTCTCTCTCTCTCTAAACCTCACCAGAATTGTCACCAAACAAAGCTTGTATTTACTCCCGCCATGGCTGGTCCAGGTTCGGCACCGTGAAGTCTATGAACATCGTGAGGTATGCGTCTGCCAGCACTGCCAGCGCTGACGTCGAAAAAGATCAAGTCAATGCGCCAGTGAACATGAAGCTGGAGGAAGATGGTGAACAGCCGCCACCTGACCATAGCAAGAAATCAGAAGATATTATGGAAGAAGTTTCAGAGAAGCCCGCGGAAGCCACTGGTGACCCCCATCGCTCCCCTCAAGCAGCTGCAGATGTAAACTTGGAAGATCTCCCCGAACCGGAGATCAGAGGCGAGGAACTGGATGGCAACCTCGAGGTGGTCACGCCAGACGGCGGCCATGGCATGGACGATGGTATTGCCATGGAAGAAGAAGCCGGGGAGGATTCCGCACTCGAAGAAAGATCCAAACAGACCTCTGAGAGCAATAATCACCAGGCGGACGATCGAGGGCTCGAACCGGGATGCGTGCTTGTGGAGTTCCAGAGGACAGAGGCTGCCTGCGCAGCAGCCCATTGCTTGAACGGGCGGCTCTACGATGGGAGAGTGGTGGCGGCGGCCTACGCTCCCCATGAAGCCTACTTGGCACGGTTTCCCAAGTGATCTCAATCTCTCCGGGGTCTGTTCTTGCATCACAAATTGCTCTGCAGATGCCGATTGCTTGCAAAAGGGCAAAGAGGCAAAAAGTGCTGGAATCTTACTCCATTTAGAACGCAATCACCCTTCCAACCATTTTTCCCATGATGGGTCTGTGACGGAGGATGTCTGTGCAGACAATTGGAGGGCTTTTGAATGAAAATCCGGCGTTTGGTGAATTTCCAATTATGAGTCTGTATTGGAAAATTATGCAGAAAAAAATATTTTTTTTTGTGGAAAATGTGCCCATTTTCCAGCTAAAACTCTGCTTCCATTCCATTTTAAGTAATTAAATGTCTCTGGGTCTGATTTCAGTTCCATCTTGTGTTAATCTTGTAAAGTTGATGTGCCCATTTAGTAATTTTTTTATATTTAATTTTTTTATGAGAAATTATGTCAATCGAATGGACCTACTGACGGATCACGTTGGTTTAACTTGATCCACGGGTGCACCGAAAACTGCCAGATGCGCCTCCCGTTATCCCTTGCTCCTGCTCGACGTTATCCCGTCGCCACTGCCGCAGCCCGCAACGTCTTCTCACTCTTTCGGAGGTTCAGAAGAGAGAGAGAAATGGCGATGAGAGGGCTGCTGCAGCTGGGCCACCCGGGCGGCGTTCTCCGCGTTGGGAGCTCATCCTCTGCTTCTGCTCCGACTGCGAAAAGGGTTTCCATGATGGGCTCTCCCTCCTCTTCTGCTAGCCCCTTGATGAAGAAGCAGAGCTCGGGGCTGGCTTCCAGCCGGTCGGAGTTCAGAGGTATCAACATCTCCGTCGCCTCCTCCGGCGCCAGCGCCGTCACCACCTCCCGAACGCTTTTCCCCTTCCAGCCCGTCGCGCGTAAGCACCTCCGACGCCCTCCCCAGGGATGATGGAAACCATCGATTTCTTAAATTTGCGCTGTGGTTTGCAGGCCGGATCTGTCCGTTCACGGGGAAGAAGACAAACAAAGCGAACAAGGTGTCCTTCTCGAACCACAAGACGAAGAAGCTGCAGTTCGTGAATCTGCAGTACAAAAGGGTTTGGTGGGAAGCGGGGAAGCGATACCTCAAGCTCCGGCTCTCCACCAAGGCCCTCAAGACCATCGAGAAGAACGGCCTGGACGCGGTCGCCAAGAAGGCTGGGATCGATCTCCGCAAAGAGTAAGCCTCGCGATTTCCTTTACCGTCGTTGTCTCCCGTACCCTTCCTTCCCAGCCGGCCTCTTCTGCCTGATATTTGAGCCCATCAATCAACTCTTCGGTGAGCTTGGAGACTTAGCAAACACAAATCTTTCCTCGAATCTCTTTGAATAATTATCTACTGCGCTCTCTCTCTCTCTCTCTCTCTCACACACACACACACACACAATTTACAGAGCATCGGACACATCCGTCTAGGTCGCATAGAAGAGCACCCAAAGAAAGGCTGGTTCTCATATAATCGTACACCTTCAAGAACACTCCCCATAACTTGGGTGGTGCATATTTTTATATAACTCTTTCGATCATTTACTCTAGATATATTAATTCAGATGTGTCCGTTCATGGCGCTGACCCAGGAGTCTAGTAGGGTGCTTAATCTTTGCCAGGAAGCTCATATACTCTCTCCACTTGGCGCAAGTCCAACCACAGTGGGTTAGACCCAAGCTTCAATGGGTCAAACCCGGAATCCCATCATCTGACATTGAGTCAAACCCAGTTCTCTAAATAACCATCGAGTCACTTATATTTTTCAGTTCAAAGTTTTCTGGATCGTGCCCAACCCAACCCGATTGAAATGACCAGAGTCAGCGCAGATTGCGGTCAACACCAGCCATCACAGAGGCTTGACGAACCCTAAAGCGAACCAACAAGGCTTCAGACCCACAGGAAGATTTAGGAAGAGAACTTGGAGCCGAAGAGACCATACCCATTTCCATTTACTCTCTCATTGTCCAGGGAACAAGGCAGCTCATACCCTGGTGTTTGACGGACTGGTCTTTCAGCAACTTGTCTATGGCATCAAGGGGAGCGAGAAAGGGCATAGAAAGTAGGCGTTTGGGTGTTCTCCTTCTTTCCAAGAATGAGAAGAGAGGGAAATGAGATGTCGAACAGCCAATACACCAAAGAAAGCACTTAGAATATAATTTCACTGAGTAGATCTCGCAGGAAATAGACTTCAGGTGAGGCAAATCAGATCATTCCACATCAAATCAGAAGCTTTTGTTCCCAGAGGAATGCTCCAATAGTCAACATTGAGGGTGGAACAAACACACATAGTTGACTCTAATACCATGTTGAAGCTTTCCATCTCTTGCTAGTGCTAGTGCCAGTGCCAGAGGAAGCTGTTCTCCTCGAAGGTTGATGAGAGAGAAAAAAGGCTGAAAAAAATGACTTCATTTATCTAAATATTAAACGGGTACATGTATTTATAGCAAACCCGAACAATGGGTCGGATCTAGATTATCAGGTTCGCTATGCCGAATCTGTGTCCGATCCGATAAATAGAGAAAGAAAAAACATATAAGGAATGAACCTATGAAAGGAAAAACAGGTGGTCTCTTCTGATCGTTAAATGGGGTGAAAGGGGATGCCGGGCTTCAGCTTCCATCCATTTCAGTGGGCTCATCGTTGGAGAGAGAGAGAGAGAGAGAGAGAGGAGAAAAGTGCAAGTGGAGTTGACTTTTTCTACACATGCCTTAACGGAATCTCCAGATCTTGACGTCCCTGTCGTGGCTGCCCGTGGCGACTTCTCCCCTCACGGGGGAATGTGTCAAGGCCGAGATCAAGTTCTCGTGTGCCAGAATCATCATGCTCTTGTTCACTGCCAAGTCCCACACATACAAAGTCTGCACCATCAAACGCCAAACAAAACAATTATTTCTGTCCACTCACAAATATGTTTGCGTATCTTGTCAACAGTCAGGTGGGCCCAACGTGCATGTAAGAGAGAGAGAGAGAGAGAGACAGACAGACAGACACAGAGAGAGAGAGATAGAGAGACACAGAGAGAGATAGAGAGAGAGATAGAGAGACAGAGAGAGAGATAGAGAGAGAGGGAGAGAGAGAGAGAGAGAGTATTTTTATTTCTGGGCTTCTGCTTAAAGGAAGGGCCGTTGACTGATTTTTACTGTTTACCGGGAGAAATCATGGTCAACAGCTTGAAGAGGGGAATTTAACCCGGATTTTTAAGATAAGATGGACCCATTTGAATTCTATAAGCCGTGATGGGTGGGTGGAGATGATCAAAATTACCTTGTAGCCTCCGATGATCAGTGTCTTGGGGCGGCTCGGATGGAAGATGCAGGAACAGAGCCTGTTCGCCGCTGCTGTGAACTCGTGAACGCAGGCTCCCGATGCCACCGACCACACCCTCACAGCGTCCTGACAGGTAGACGCCACGTATTCTTCGGCCGCGTCCCAGGAGAGTCGCTCCACCGGGTTGCAGGTGATAGACTTCGTTCATGTTTGACCCGTCCGCCGCCACTCGATGAGCCCGCGAAGCATCTTACCTTTAATGTGCTTATCTGTTTGCTGGTCTCGACGTCAAACAAGAAAACCGAGGCCTCGGAAGCTGTCGCCAGAAGTTGACCTCCGCCGGGATGGAATCTGACCCGGGCCGTGGCACCCTGCCCACCATGGGACGTAAACATGAGAAATAATGGAGAGGCACTGAACATAGTATGGAACAGAGAAAGGTTTACGCGGGTCAACCTCGCTGACCCGCACGCAGGAACCATTGCCAGCGCTCCAAAGTCTCGTCTCCCCCTCGTTGTCGCACGAGCAAATCAGATCCCTTATACTCGGATGGAAATCCACGGACGTCACTGGGTGCTTATGCCCGGTGAATGAGGTCAAGCACGAACTCGGCTGTGAATGGGGCGCATCGTCGGTCAAATGAGCAGCAGCATTTGCGGGAAAGAAAATTACTCATAGAAAAGAGACGCAAGCGAGAGCAGACAACTCACGTCGGCCGGACTCCAGTCTCAACGGTTCTGTCGAATGAAGATGTCGCCAAGTGCACTGACTCCGGCCTAAACCGAATATCTGTTATCGTATGGCTGTGGTCGTCTACAGAACTCTGACTCCTCGCACGAACCGTGTCCCAAACTAGAACCTGACATCAAGCACCTCAAAATCAATGAACATTCACGGAGAAATCTCTAGGAGAGCAGAGTAACCGAGCATCAGTCCTCAGGTGGGTTGTCTGCTCTGGGGACGTCAGAAGCTATGAGAGTACCCCAGAAAGAAAACGCAATCACCATGGTGTTATCTCTGAAGCTAAATAATCATATCAACGCGGTCACGCTAGAAGACATAAGAGATTACCTTATCATCCCCACCGCTGGCCAAGAAATTTCCTTCTGAAGAAAAATCGCAGCAGAAAACCTTGCCATGGCTCTTGCTGATGTGAACAACCTCGCGGATGTCAAAACCTGAAAAAACAGATCGTCAGAAAAATTATATCACTTTCAGGGAGACTTCAGCTAGAAAGTTATCAAGGAATGTAAATCACCCGCACTTTCCAGCGTTTTAAACGTCTCTTTCCCATCACCACCGTCAGGTTTTAGATATGAATCCACATCATCTAGAGGATTTAAAGCACCCTATGGAGAAAAAAGTTTAAAAGTCCGTTCAGTAGACGACTACTTATATGATTTTTATGTACTAAAAATAACAAAAAAAATAGTTCAATAAATGGCGGAAATACCATCTGATTTGGAGATGAATCGGCCTCCACTGTTCTTCCCTCGTCTTAAGTTACGATCCTTGGATTATTATCAACAGGTTGTGTGTTTCCATTCATCTGCACGCCTTCAGAATGTGCGTATGCAGATGGAGTAGTGGGAGAGGAACTTGAAGGGCCCACTGTATTTCCCGGACCGGTTCTGTTTACAGCTTCAGATGAAGGGATCTGTTTCCGTTTCCTTCGGTTCTGATATGAAGGAATCAAATCGTTTCTTTAGTATATAACCACATATGAATCATATTGTATTCAAAAGGTTAAAAAAAAATTCAACGGGAGGAGAAAATCGTATCTGGGTACATTCACACCTGATATCGCTGCGATTGCTCCCCCTGCTCCTGAGATGGTTGAAAACATCGTTGCATCCTGAAATCCGTGTTCATCTGATCAAGAAAAAATGAGATTTTCAGATGACATTCTGCCTAAAAAATTGATGCAGCGGCGTTAAAAATTCCACAAGTCGATGGGGAAACCCAGCTCCATAAAGCATCCAATTGATCGTGGAATGTGGTCTGAGAAACTCATGGAGTTTGACAAGTTTCTCAGGTAAATGTTTTAAAAGAAATAAACTGTTCGTGGAGGAATTTTCTTGCTAGACTGATGCAGCTCAGAGCTGAGGAAATACAAATCTCAATGAAGGTTTTACGATTATTCATTCTGTAAGAATCTATTGAAGCTGCTAGAATCTGATGTTCTTTTCGTGATTGTGGATTCAACTTCTGAAATACCCCTTGTAATACCAGAAGTGGATTCGGCATCTGCGGCCTCCGTGACGAACTGGGCTGATCGGTTCCCTGCACATCAATCAAAATCCGAAACTGTTACATATGGATGTAAATAATGACGTCGAGAAGGCTTGGACCGTTTGTATTTCAACATGTCTTACAACTGAAGGCGAGAATGTCAATGGGAGAGCACTGGCTCCTTGGTTCAGACCTATCAGAAAGGGAGACAAATATCATCAAGACCCCCGAACTATTACTTTAATTGCGTTCTGAAAGACATAGCTTTTTTCAACTTACATGCGTTTATGTGTCCTTAGGTTAAATTTCATGCTTGTTCCCGTTACATAACAAAAATATATTAAAACAAAACAAGGTCGAAGCTTGTCTAGGACACAAAGCTTTATGCACTTGGCGAGCACGCAGATTCTAGGAAGAGTTTACCACCATCATCTACCCTAGGGTTCGACTGCGCAACTCCATTAACGTGTTGACCAGAGGGTAGTATTTGGGACGATGCAGACCCTTTTCCTCTATGAATGTCCTAGAAAGATAAAACTAAAGTCATCAACCTGTAATAGAAGATAGTTAATGAAAGGATCATTACAGAATGGACTTGAGGTCATTGTATGTACTGGAGGAGGGTCACCGACAGGATTACGTTGGGCAAACTGCCTGCTTTGATATAAAACAGAACAACACCGAGCAGTTAAACATGGAACAAAAATGATGCTAATGAGTTTGATTTTCCAAGGAATTTTATCTTCAGAGCGAATGTTACCACGTCTGGTCATGTTCTGACCTCCTCAGGCCCATCCGACTGCTAACATGAGATCGTGAATGTGGATCAGCGTCTTGGAATTGAGGAAGTTCCATAATTTCTTCATGGCCACTAGCTGTCGGCATACTGGAAGTTGATGGCCCGAATGGCGTTCTACTGATTTTTGACTGTTGTTGCGCTCTTGTGTTCATTCTCTGGGCCTGTCGGCAAGAGATTATTTATCGATTGTACATCAACTGAAGGCAAGTACTTTGAAAGAGGCCGCTCGAAAGTGTTCCCAACAGTCTGCATGACACCTGTAAGTACGATGTGGCTGCCTCAGATGCATTCTCTTTCCTCGTTGCAATGAAAAAATCCCAGAAGACAGACCACCATTCAAAGAGGAAACCTCCTGGGACATCAATGGCTGCATTTCAGGGAAAAAAAATTACAAGGCGCATTGTTAAACTTTTCCATTCATCACCTTAAAAAGTACGACCAAAGCTCATCTTTAATTTTTTCCTTTTTCTAGTTGTTGGCCAACAATTTGATAAATGAATCAGCTTTTGTTGAGGGTTAGATGATTAAAGCTGCGTAGATATTGTTTCAGGTTTGTAGCAGAGTTCGAGACTAATCCTTAAACCATTTAATTTCCTACAATGGCTACCCATAAAACCACTAATTTCCTAAGTTTATCACCGATATATGACTAATATCAAAGCCAAAGTAAATTTGGAATCAACTCGTGTTTCTTTATGCGCAGTTTGAGCCACCGATTTTACAAGAACTTCCTCATGAAACGGCATCAAACATGGTTACTTCCTCAAAAGTGCTGGACGATAAACGGGTGTTGACCAAAACATAAGATGTATGCATACTAGACAGATTCCGTTATCCCCCGAGACCATTTGACGGCATAGTTCATTCCCGTCGGAGACCATTTGACGGCGAGATATTCTCAGTTTTGTTAGGTTTTTAAAAATCTACAAAAATGGCAGAGTTTGATGTAATATAACATTGATGCTTCTTTATAATTGCATCAGGTTTTGGAAGTTTATTGCTAAATCCAAGAAAGGCAGGCGGGTTTTATTATAAAATTATTCAGGACAGTTTAATAGTCTTAAAACTAAAATTCTCTATATCATATATATGGTTTAGTATACAGAGTCAACTGGTTTTGTTTTGTCTTATCTTTTCTCAGTTAATGAAAAGGATCCAGAAATGCATAATCACTTTCTTTCTTCGTGAAACGACTGCAGTAGAAAGCATATAATTCCAAAAGACTGTATCTTTTTTCTTCCAGAATACTTGGTGATGATGCTCTCATGTTTTTAAGACGAAAATCAGATAAAATGAGACAGGTGAGCCATCAACTCAGAAAAAAAGACGCAGAAAGATTGGCTAACACTTTCACATTGCGTCCAGTTGATCTACGGAAAACAGTTTTGCAATATTTTAAAGTGTAAATATTTTGCAATATTTTAAAGTATAAATATTTTGCAATATTTATTAAACAGATGAAGCAGCCAAAAGATCCCAACTCCACTTCATATTGCCCACTATATATTTCATGATCATTTACACGGTTGTTATTTCTTTGAGCACAGCTGGGAGAAAGAACTTCATAATCAATGTAAGTGACGTGCTAAAGTTTTGTGCTAATGGAGATGTTGGAGAGTCAAACATGTGACTTATCAAAGAACATTTTTAATTTTGTGGTCAAGTTCAAATAAGCTTAAGTTTATTATTATCTCTATGTACTTTGCTAACATGCATGGAAATCCAATGTACAAGTTCTAAGTTGAGTTATATTATTATCATCAACTAAAATGCATGGAAATGACTTCTCCAGTGTGCTATTGTACAAGTTCTAAGTTGAGTTATATTAATATCTTTGATACTTCATGATATTTATGCATTTCAGTTGTTGAAGCTTTTAACTTTTTGTTATTCAAATTCTGGATTCAAATCATGCTAGTGTCATTGTTACTTTGTGATTTTCAAGTATTTTACTTAATGAGGCTTTTGATTTTATGTCGTTCAATTTTTGAGTTCAAATCTTGCAATTGGCTCTGATATTTTGATATTTTCTAAATACTTTGTCACATATGTTGTCATTGGATTTTTTGTACTTATTTACAAGCTTTAGAATGATGTATTAATTCAAAAATATAAATATTTCAAAAAAAACTACTTAAATTTATCAATTAGCCATAGGATCAGACAAACATCATCATTATACACACTATATATTTTTAAAAAATATTAAACTTCTTATGCTAGTTCTCATAATGTTCATTACACATTTTTTAAATATTTACTATATTAATTTTATTTTTAGTATCAAAACCAAGGACATCAAAAAAGTGTTATTTCATCACATAAAAGTTTATTATATTTAAAATAATTGTTATCATGAGACACAAGAATTTGATTATAGTTCATAAAATTGGAACCCAAAAATACATATAGATACATACTATTTGGAAAAAATACATATAGATACATATAGTCCCTTAATGAAATCCATAGAGATAACACCTTGATCTTGTTCTTCTTATAGATTGGACACTTTCATATTTTGGTGGATTCTTCTCTCTATTTAAAGCTAGTACATATTTTGCCCAATTCTCTTGTTTATCTAGAGGAAGCATGAATGTCTGGTAATGAGGGGGTCATGAAATTCTTGCAAGAGTAAAGGGTTGAGTGTGAAATCCATTATATGCCCTCAACAAAAAATATGTTATGTGTAGTGAGAATTTGTGAAATTTCTTTTTCTTCTTTCTAAAGTTTTGTGATAATTTATCTCAACCATTGATCAACTTTATTCTCTGTTGATATCAAATTCAAGTTGATTACTTCTAGCTGAGTTACCTTTTCCAAATTGAGCTCTAGCTTAATTAGTCTTTGAGAGAGGGTGTCAGCTACATGATATTCATTTTAGCTTTATACCAGATCTTGAACTCAAATTGATGATCGTCAATATTGATTTATGATGTTATGACATTATGTGATAGTATTCTAAAAAGAATTTTAGTTTGTGCCAATATGCATAGATGAGAAACCATTTTCTCTTTAGATAATGGCTTTATTTCATGATAGAATTGTTTTTGTCAATTCCCTCTCATATATTGTTTTTAATTTACTTGTAATTGACAATGTTTGATTGAAGACAACAATGAGATATCAATGTTGTATGAGCACTACTCAAATATTGATTTTGAATATGCCCATCTCTAATTCAAAGGGATTTAGAAAATCTAAAAGTGTCAATATAAGTGCTATCATTAATACTTTATTAAGATGATGGGACATGCTATCTAGTATCTAATGATAAATTGACATTAATACTTTGTCAAGTTGATGAGTCTTGTAATTCTTTCTAGTTTTTTGGACAAGGTCAATTCATCATTGGGTATCTTCTTTTGATCCATTTCCACATCTTTGATAAAATCACAATGACTAAGATATCCTATCCTACCTTAGCAAAGACTAATTTTTTTGGAGCTAATGTGCAAGTGATGTTTTTAAAGCACAGTAAACCTAAAATAGGTTTTTCCTATGTTGTTCCTCATTGTAGGGGAACACTAAGATGTTGTTAAAGAATATTAACATAAAAATTTGAGAGAATTATCTAGATATCTAGTTCATAAGCTCTTAAAAGATTGACAACATGTTGGAGAGTCAAACATACATCATAAAACACATGTATTGACATTTATGAGTCTAAAAAATTGTATTCAAAATGTCTTCTTCTTTGATACAAATTTGATGATATCAAAATTTTAAATTAAATGTTACATAATATATTGGTATAGCATAATTAATCAAGTAATTCTTTGATGACTAGAATTAAAAACATATTTAGAATGATGATCATATT